TTATTTGTTTAATAAATACCAAGCAGGTGATTAAATGGGTGCGGGACTTGTACATAGATTTGGATCAATTTTTTTATTGTTTAATTATGGTTTCCCCCGGTACCCGTTATCAATCCCGTACGGTTAATATGTACCCCATTAACCTGTATGGGTTTGGGATATGAGTTTCATGTTTACTCTCCAAAAGAGATTGGATACCCGTTTGAAACGGCACGGGTACCCAATCCCGTCCCGTTGCCCACCCCTAGAAGTGATTGGTTCCAGGTCCCATGCCTAGTAAACTATTACGTACTCTACATGACCTTAAATCTTCTATTGATATGCTTTTTATTCGGGTTTAAAATATGAGTGATTTGTTCAAGGACTCATCCCTCCTTATTGTTCACGTAATGTACATTAACTTAAGTATTCAATGCAAAGTAGTTCATCTCCTGAAGGGTGGACGCTTCAGACTGTATCATAGCAATCCTAATTGAGCTTCTCTGTTCATTTCACACATTTATTATTTGAAATATCATTTAAATGATTCATATGAAATACTATAAAAAACCCAATTGAGAGAGTAGCTCTTGAACTAAATCTGTGGTTGCACAATCATACATTTTAACTTAAAGGACATGTGTAATAGGACGAAGGAATCCAATTTTGAGGAAAATAATCCAAATCTAAAACTTATCATCATATGACAATAATAATTTTCTCCACCTAGTTAAGCACAAAACCATGATAAATTTCTATGTTAAGAATCGGTTCTCCTACCTTGTCCCTATGTAGAAGAAAAATTAGAAAATAAAAAATGATATGTCTGTTCCATTGTTGACATTGTCCATAATTATTGGCTGGAAGAAAATATAAAAAAAGATGAAAGTTCCCAAGTTTGCACAATAGTATGACAGTCTTGAACCAATAGTTACTCCTCGTCTGAGGTAATAATGGCATCATGCTTTCGTTTGGAATGAGTAGTAGGTGTTCCCTTAGCCATACAATCGCTGTTAGGTTGGAAATCACTTGGACAGGTCTGAGATTGTAGTTGTGCTGGTGATCTTGGAGGGGAGTCATTGGTGTTGATAGAGAGACAGGAGGAATGACCGCTTGCGATATGGTCCTGTAAAAGAACCAGTAATGCACAAAACTAAGAAATTTGGGAAGGATGTAGGATAAGTACAACAAATAAAAAATATAGAATCATCTTAAGAATTTGTTTATAAAAGACGTACCTCATTTTCCATCGAAATAGATGGATCAGTTGTCACAGTTTTTCTAGCCTCCAAAATATTCATTACAGTAAGCCTACTGGAAGGGTTCGAATAGTCATAGTCACTAATTCGTATATGCAGCTTTAACTGTTGACCCTCCAACTCAAGTATTGTTGGATGAGGAGTAGTAACATCATCTTGCATATCAGCGAAAAGTTGTTGGGCAGAACTGTGAAAGTGGGTTGACGCCGTGTGATCCAACAACACCAGTTCAGTTGAACCAGTGGTGTCGAAAACAGCTATGACTATTCGAAACCTACCAGGAAAGTGAAATTACAAAATCAAATACTGCATACAAACTTTTGATTCAATCATTGTGGAATTTGGTTGACTAAGTGTGTGTGTACAACTAATTTACATAACAACCAACGTATAACAATTGACATATGTTTGTGCAAAAGTTAGTTCTACGGCAAAGGGTTTGAAAATAATACGGCTATACCTGATATTCTCAAAATACAAATAAATAAAGTATGGGAAGCATATTATGGCATAATTTCAGTTTTTTATTATGTCAAAAGGAAAGACATCGAACTCCTAGTGCGTTGTTGCCAATTGTTGACAAAACCTTATAGTTCTGTTGATTCTAAACAACAAATCTTATATATCTATAGTAGAATGCACTTCATTTTAAGCAATTTTTATTCAGATCACATACCGTTTCACAGCTTCTTTGGAAGTTGTATTGCATTTCCCACAGAAGAATCCATCTGCTTCTTCTTGAACCAGCTTGCGGCATTGTGGAAATGAACAGCCATTGTAAAACCAATTCTCTTTCACCTTAGAAACGGTGCAATCCAATTCAAAAGTTCGCTGTGCAACATTCACATGTAGTGGAGAAAAATTTGATGAATGAAATGAATGGAAATACCTAACAGAATCGATTAAGTTTGGATATCGGTTGATTACTAACCTGGTCTTTCTTGACAGATCTGAGTTGACACAATTCTTCAATGGTAACAGTAGGGACAGCCTGAACTGACTGAAGATCAAAGACCTGTGGTGCATCGTTCCGAGGAAGACTAACAGAAAAAGTTATTGATATTTAGTCCATCTAAAAAATAATAAATTTACGAACAAAAGTAACTTTGAAATAATGTATGCAATACTGTTTTTGTATAGCAGCAACTTCTGGAATTTCCAGATTGGCATACAATCTAGTAGCACTGGATGATGATAAGTAGAATTCCTCTGCAAAGCATTGAGTTTAGAAAGTGAACATGTTGTAATTATCAAGGCAGACTTGAATGATGGACACATTGGTTTTGACAAAAACACCGGAGAACGGCTACAGTCTATGAAAATAAACAAAAATGGAATAAAAATTACGCCTTACTATTCCACGTTCTGACAAAGAGAGATGTAACCACGACAACAACAGTAGAGTTTTCTGTCGGCCTAACAATATTATTCAGCTGAGCGATTACTCTTCCCCACAATGAAACTTTTATGATGTGGCCACTACATTACAAAAAGTATCGGTCTTCAGGTTGTGATAGACAAAATAGCACCATCATTTAGAAACACAAAAAATTGGAGGAGGAATTGATAGGGATAGGAAATTTTACTCTGACAGCTTGATGATCATATCCCTGCGGGGATTCCTATTTGAAGATGATTTTGGAATTTCAGTAGGTAAACATTTCACCAGCTGACCAGCAACGTCTGCATCAAACCGAATCCAGAAATTCATTTTCACTATTAATGGCAAAACACACAAACAGACTTCACCCAGTTAGTACTCACCCATCAGATCCTGAATGCGATCATTAAGATCAGGAAGGTCCGATGTTTCCAGAAATCTAAATTTGTAAGCAGGGGTTCCGGGAATTTCCTCAATTGGACGGACAGTAGTATGGTCAGTGAAGTGGATCATGAGCCGATTACCAACTGGACGGTAGTTCTTTTGTGTCAGCTTGACCGAAAAATTGGCAAACTCATAGAACCTTTGCTCTTGGACTCGATCTTCAAATTCCTTCATCTTATCTTTTGGGACACGCACCCAGATATCATTTCCCTACAAAGGCATAACAAAATCTCAATCACAGACGGAGAGGAAAAGAACCAAGCATCAATGAGATTACCACAGAACATTACCTCCGCATCTATAACAACGAATTCCAAACAGATCAAGGAATCGTTTTTAGAATTGTAAGGAATCCATTTCCTCGAGACGCGAACAGAGAGCTTGGGGTCTTTTTGATCTGTACAAAGCTGAGCAATGGTGAGAGGCGGCATTTTGGTTCGGCTGGTGGGGGAAAGAAAAAAAAATGGCCGACTGATTATATTAGGAGAAGGAGAATAAAAAGGGAGGGAGTGTGAAGAATCTAAAGCATAACCGTTTGGTTTGAAAATACTGCTCCCCACGTCGCCATTTCAACATGATAAGTAGTCATGGCGTTCGTAAAAGGGGTAACCGTCAGAGTCATGGCCGGCGCTGTAGAAGAGTGGGGAAAATGACCCCTAAAAAACCGGCGGAACCCTTGTGATCTGAAACTTTAATGTTGAAGGTGAATAGGGTTCCTGCTTGTTTGGGCTTTATGTTAGTATAACATTAGGCTTCCCCAAATTACCCATGTCAGACATGCGGGCCCAAGTTATAGTCTTCTTGCAAATTTTAAAAATAAAATGGTCCAAAAGTGGAAATCATGGTGACTGCCGCATTAGTGGGCTGTGGTGGGGGCAAAGTGATTTTGCTTTTGGAGGCCAAAGCTTTTTCTTTCCTTTGTTTTGGACTTGACCGATCCCATAATCCCTCTGGATGTCTAAGAGAAGAAGCTGGGCTCTCTTTCTTGTAAAGGCCCCAATTGGTTACTTATAATATATACAAAAAATGTTGTTTCATATTAGTTCTAAGAGTTCATTTAGATTAAAAATTCTGCATCCCTTTCACATATTTAATATTTTAATTTGATACATATTATTATAATAAAGATATTTGAAGTGCGATAAAAACAAAGTAAATTATTTATGGGCTCTAATATCATTTGTAGAATTTTAAACAATTTGGTTAAACTAATTTGCTATTTTGTATCTGTTTTGCCGTTCTTTCCTTCCCTTTCATGATACTACTGTAACAGTATATTACTCTGTTGATGAACTCTTCTTTTTTCATTGTTGGCCGGCTAGTCAGATGATGACGAATCACTTGCATTAATTCTTATGACAAAAAGACAACATCTTCATTATTTTTTCGATTCAAAATAGGTAGAAAGGGAGATTTCGTGTGTCAAGTTAGCTAGATTCCTTGTATTACCAAAAAAACCTTAAATAACATTATTTGGGGTGACATCTATATATTTTTGTTAAGTTATACATTTTAATGTTGTAATTTATATATTAAATTAACGCCTTATGTACTTTATATACCATGTCATATAATCATAAATATCCTTCATTCATAAAAGAAAAAAAATCATAAATATCCTTCATATTTTCATCGTATACACATAGAATTGCGATAGGGTCTTTCTTTTCTTTTCTTTGCCATCTTTTTCATTGGGATGGGAGGCAGGTGGAATTTATATTTGGCAAGTGCAGTATGAAAAATTTATGGAAAACGAAAGATGATAGTTTATTTATTTATTATTTTGTTTTTTTGGTGTCCATATATCCATTTCCTAGCTTTATGGGTTTTTTGTTTTTTATGGTGACTCATTCATGCATTATCTTTTTTGTATATATACTCGAATTTCTGGAATTCCCCAACTTGGCGCTGGTTGTTTTGATTGGTCATGGGAACTACATTATTGTTCTCCTTTATAAATATCAATATTAAACGAATACTTATAAGGAAAATAGAAAACACCACAGACATTTTTTTTTTGTTTATTCAATATATATATAGCCCCTAGATTTTTTTTTTGGCCCGTTTGATCTAAGAATAAACAGAATTTTTCTAATTGATTTCTCTAATGATATCAGTCAATTGTTTAAAATTCTACAAATGATATTAGAGCCCATCATACGATCCAAAATCAGGATTGGATCATCACGAATATCCGTAAAAATGTATAGTGGAAATAATAAATAGAGCTAAAGGAAGAGAAATGCCTAGCACACCACAACCTATTAAATGGTTGAATGTGGTTCATATTTACAAACACAATCCAAGAATCCATTAAAAGCAGTCCATCCTTAAAATGCCGCAGGTAACATCTTAAGCAAAACCAAATCACAGTGACAGGCCATGCGGTTCCACGATCCAACTTCAATGACAAACTGGTAAAACGTCGCATGAATGCTGTTGAGAATAGCGATGAAGTTAGTATCCCAATCGATATCAGTCTCCGCAACCACATCACGAACAATGCGTCTAAGGTTGACAGAGGGAAACACAACTTCCAGGTCTTCAGTTACATCATTGATGGTGAAATGCACAACACTGCCCATAGAGTGCATTGAAGTTGAAATTCCAATTCCTTTTAGGTTTCCCGTCATGATGTATATCTTCCCCTAATACAGACACGTGTTATTGATGACGAAAATGCAGCAAATGTTGATTTGGGTAATGTCGGTGTTTTCTAAAATTTGGTGTTTAATTGAGTTTTTGGGACGTACCGTGTTATAAAAACTGAACTTTATCACATTAAGCTGTGGAACTGTGGTGTGCTCAGCCATGGCCATAGCTTCCTCATATAGCAATGGTCCAACAATATAGTTAGATCCAAATTGGGGTCCATATTCCCTAAAAAACAATTCACCATTATCAAATTCAATAGATACAACCCACGTTACAAATTAAAGTTGCAAAGATAGAGGTTTGTGAATCTTACTGGTTTAACAAAGGATGCAAGTGAGGACAATGGATGTTGAGATACATTTTAGTAGCTCGTGAGGAAGAAAACGTATAACCTCCTAACATCCATTTACCAATAAACCACAAACGCATGAGTAAATAACATTATGTGAATACGAAATGTTATTCATTTACAAAACATGATGACCATAATTGAAGTGATACTGCTTATCTTATTAAACTGTAACTTCAAACAACGTTTTACTATCCCAAATTAGTAAACAAAAAGTAATTAATTGTGCTAATTGCATAAGAATATTATGTTCTGTAAATGACTCCGTATTCTGAACTTAGTCATTGTCAAACGAAACAAAGGGCATCATGTACTCCATCACAAAATAATGTTCGAATTTTCAAAGACATGATAATCAACTGCATACGAATTAGCTACACAATTAATGAAAACAATGTAAATATGCATTTGTTCTCACTTGACCACAAAAAAGATTAGTATCTTTCTAATAAGATAAAGACAGAAAATTTATCCACCTTCGGTTTGCTCGATGAATAGTGATGTGAAGACCGCAATCTGCCCCAATGCTCCATCATCAGAAACTACTTCTTGAAAACTTGGTATTGCCGAGTCCGACAAAAAAACATAAGCTATCTCTCCCCTAAAGAAAATAAACATGAGTTGGTAAGATAGAAATAACTATTGTTTTCATAATGAAATAAACAAAGAACAATTTCACAGACTCTGGCGGCAGGAGCGTGATCCGCTTCTTCCGAAGCGGTAAACCTGGGAAGAGAACCTGAACAGGTTCACAGCCAAAAATTGTTCCAACCAAATCTACAAAACCCAATCCAAAGAACCGTGCATTAAGATTTAGGGTGTTACCAAAATTGCATTTATTTGAAGAACCTATTGTTTTAAATGTCATACCCGGCAGATAAATTTGATTCTGAAATGCATAAGGGATGTCCCTAACAGCAAGGAAACGGAAACTATATTTGTCAATATCACCTCTGTCCTCCATGACATACAACAGGGTATCCGAACGAAATGACAAACGAAAATCCGCTTCTGCGACTCGATGAATAGAGCTGTTCTCTTCAATGTAAAATGACATTACTCCATAAACACGGCCCTCTTGAAGATTTGACAGAAATCGATTTAAATGTGGTCGCCGAATGATGGCTTCAACCAACTGAGCCTGCATAGTCAAGTAAAATGGATTAATATAAGTACAACCGTTACTAAGAAAGAGGGCAGAATGAATAATTACCGACCTGGTTGTTCATGAATAACAGATTCACTTGTTGAAGTGAATCACCAGTATGATACAGCTTTCCCCATACCCTCAGCAGCCGCAGCCGCAACACCCAGCTGTCGTTTTCAACATGTAGAACAGGAAGTAGATTGACAGACATAATTACGTTTTAGGATTGGTAAAAGAAGGGTCAGTGTTGGAACAAAGGAAGGAGGTTTCAATTGCCAATATAAATGAAAGGAACAGTACCCAATTCTAATTTAAATTGAGCGGGGGATTTTGGTATCTCAACCGCGCGAGAGTTTTGGGGGAAGTGGGGATTGTGGCTCCAACAAACCAACGGTTACTTTATTAATTTATTTGTTTACAATAAATCAATTTCTGCAATTAGTTACAAAATAAGTTTAACCAAAATGGTCTCAAATATCTCTGTATCACCGAGAGACCAATTCCCTCCCCAATGGAGACAGCTGTAGTTTGACATGTTACAACCACGCCTGGTGGTAGGTTTGGCAAGTCTCGGCGGGCTGCAAAAAATTAGGCCCAATACTGGGCGGATCAAAATTTACCTAGCCCTCGCAAATGACAAATAGGGATGGCAAAAATATCCGTAACCGTGGATATCCACCCGAATCCGGCCTAATCGGGTAGGATAAAACCCGAACCCGAAAGACATTTAGTGGGTACGGGTAAAACCCGAACCCGAATATTGTGGGTAATGGGTGGGCATGGATTTCTCACTATCCAACCCGAACCCGCCCGATTATACAAATGCATATGTATTTTCTCTAGATATAATCATTATTTTTCTCTAACTTATTTTATATTTAGCATATAAGTATAATATTTTCATGAAATTGTGTTGTTTTAATTAATTTTCTTCATTCTAGTGAATTCTTGTCGTACTTTTCCTCTTACGTAATGTGAGAATTCGTGTGAATGTTAACATATTGGTTGAAGTTATGAAGAGAAATGATTACCCATGGATAACCGTGGATACCCGAAACCCGAACGGGTATGGGCATGGTTTTGATTTTCTACCAATTTCACATGTGAGTATGGGTATGGGTAAAACCCGAACTACTTTGGGTAGGGTAACGGATATGCACTATCCGCCCCCGACCCGACCCATTGCCATCCCTAATGACAAATTAGAATGAACAGGTTTTTTTTCCTGATTAATTAGGTGGGCTTGAGTTTAATAATGAAAACCCCAACCCTATCAGTGACGATGAAGGGGTTTTATTTTTGCACCTGACTTTGTTATTTTTTATTAAAATTCTTACCAATCCTTTCATTTTGAGGATCCGAATTGCAAAAGAAATAATGCAACTCTTATTATTTAACAGACAATGAAAGGGTAAAATAGAACATAAAGACAAATAACTAAAGTAATTAAAAATGAAGATAAATTAAACTATTTTATTTGTCAAAACCACATCGTTTTCAAGAATTAGAATACAGTACATATTGAAAATTTTCATCACTGATATGACTATAAAACAATACGGACACCAATACGATAAAATATTTCCCATCGGTTCTTTAGTATAACATATTTCTAAACATCCTCTCATTTTTACTAAAGAATCCGTCAAAATAAAAATTGGAAAGCTGGATGCATCTAGTAGAGAAGAAATTTAGGATCAGTGGCGTATTCATCGTGATTAGCGATGTCCCGGTACACCGCTAAAATTGGGGAATACAATTATTCAACTCATGCTATTCGTTTACATATTGATAAAAAAAATATTTTAACTGAACCCGACTCCAATAAAATTTACAAAAATGATTATCCAACTCCAAGTAGTAGTTTTCATATGAAGCTATACAAATCTTTAAATGTTATTCTAAGTGATTTGAAGTTGGCCCATTGCCACTATAAGTAGACATATTGTTATAATTAAAGGTAAAGATGGATTCCTATTAAATTTTAAATGGGGCTACTAAATACAAATATAATAGTAAAAAGCTATTTCTTATCTATATTTATTTTCAATATCTAACGATTCAATCCAATAAAAAACTCCTCTAGTCCCCTTGTTGTAGTAGGATTTATGGAGAGTTGTTTGATAACGATTTAGTGTTACAATTTTTCCATAATACTATCACTTCATGTGCTTTGTTGTATTTAGTAAAAATAAAACATTTCTCATTTTCATTATTGCTACTTATAATTGTACTTTAATTTAATTTTTAAGAAAGGACACGCATATGGAAATTTTTTGGGTACCCCACTTAGTAGGAAAATATAGAAACTGGTAACAAAATAGCAAATTTGAGCAAAGAGTTATAAAGAAAAGTAGACACAAGGGCGGCAAACAAAAAGTTACAAATAAAAATCAATATGTCAAAAATAGAACAATATGTTGTTTGCCATCTACTTATTCCAACTACATGGTTGGCCTTGCCTTCATGGTTGGCCTTGCCTTGCAAACATCCTGCTTGCACGAACCGATTTGGAAAAATGTTAAGGTTAGTAGGAAATATATAAATTTTTCATATGGTAGAAAATAAATATGAACTTTGTGAAATAAGGTTATTAGATGTGGTTTGTAAATAATGTGACATACCTTCAAGATTGCAGTACCAAGGTTCAGTCAAAGATCTCTGTGAAGACTATGTTTTGCATCGTTTTCAAAGGCCGACCCTCTGAATCAGAACTCAAAATCTTAAGACCACTTTTTGATGTAACACGGGACAGTGCAACATAAAGTTGACCGTGAGAAAACACCTGCTTTTGCAAGCAAAGTCCTACCTGGTTCAATGTCTGGCCTTGGCTCTTATTAATAGTCATTGCAAATGATAATGCAATTGGGAACTGTCTTCGTACCAGAGTGAAGTTCAAACTCTTGTAATGAGTAGAGAGCGATAAACGCGGCAAGAAAACTGTATCACCAATATGTGTGCCAGTTAGAATTTTTACCTCAATAAACCATTTGCCCAACCGCTTGACAACCATTCTGGTTCCATTGCAAAGCCCTGTGCTTTGATCCATATTCCGAAGGAGAATAACGGGACACCCAACCTTCAATTTTAACTCATATTCAGGAAAATTGCCAATCCTAATAGAATTCAAAAATTCCACTGTATAGTCACCCTCAACAACATGTGTATCCTTAGCATCAATCTCAATTGAATCTGAGCTGAAATAGGTAACCTCCTCTCCAGGAAACATACCTAACACATAATTATTAACCATTGCAACAGTGTCATGGTGTGGTGCTAGAATAGCACGCTCAACCAAATAAGTGTCATCATTGTGTCTTGTCAGTAAATCAAGATAGACGGTAGCCACAATATCAGAAATAGGATCTGAGTGTCGTTCCACACATATTTCAGCTGGAATAGAGATAATTGATTCACCAAAAATATTACTATGTCTTCCTTCACCAATCTCCAAAAGCCAATTGCTAAATGACTCAATCTCAAGACTTGAACCGACCATATCATTACCTTGGGCTAAACGCATATTCTGGGTTAACTTCAAAACAATCATTGACCTCCACAAATATGACCGTTTAATAGACGAATTTACAATATCAGTCCTCGTACCTTTGGAAATGATTGGCAGCGTTTGACGAAAATCACCTCCAAAAACCACTGTCATACCCCCAAACACCATGTTCTCAGAAGCAACATTTTTTGTATTTAGTATATCCCTTAAGGTCTTGTCTAAAGCCTCTATACTATGCTTATGGGCCATGGGTGCTTCATCCCATATAATTAGAGAAGTAGATTTAATCAAATCTGCTAAGTCTGAACCTTGTTCAATGTGACATGTTGACTTCGAATCACAGGTTATAGGGATACAGAATCTTGAATGTGCTGTCCTACCTCCCACCATTAGCAAAGCAGCAATACCAGAAGATGCAACACACAACACAATTTTTCCTTCCTTTCTCAATTTCATACAAATTGCTCGCCACAAAAATGTTTTCCCAGTACCTCCATAACCATCTACAAAAAAACACTTACCTCCACCCGTATTCACAGAGTGTAGGATCTTGTCAAAAGCCAAACTCTGTTCAACATTCAGCTTCGAATACAAATCTTCAGGTACACAATCAAAGTCATTGGAGGTACGACACATCTCTTCTGCAACTAACCTATTCATATCAACTGATGTCATACACTGATTAGGAATTGGCAATCCTGGAAAATCAGCAAGAGTCTTTGAATACTTATGCAATAACTCATCAATCGAAATTAGACACAGCTCTTTAATTTTATCCTCATCCAAGTTCAATTCAGGAAGGTTGAGTTGTTTTCTCCTGGAGTACAATATATCATCGCTAAGTACTATCCAATTCTTATCCCAGAAAGATTGGGCATCGGCCACTTGACAATGAATAAGAATACTAACAAAGAGTTTCCGAAGTTTATATCCTGTTGCCCAAAAGGAAACTTCTTTCAAGCAATCATTCCATTCTGAATCAGCAGCAAGCAAACCACGTGCATAACATGCCTTCTGAAATGTTGGATGGATAACACCATTCACAGTTCTAATATCCTCATAACTCGAAGCACCCTTTACAACATGCAACAATATACGCAAATAGTACCTGTCTTGTGCAGATGGGTAGCAGTAATACAATCGTGCAATGCACATCCCTTTCTTCCGCTTCTGCCACTTTTTCTCGTTATGTTTCCATACATAATATTGTGGAAGCTCTGCAAATGTATATTTGTGAGCTTCACTTGACTTAGCATTAAGATCCATCCAAGCCAACAACATTGTTTTCCCATTGGAGTCAAGAACATCTCGCACACGGGATTTTGGATTAGAGTATACTATATTTTCTCCAGGCAAATGATAAGACATACGTAACACTGAGGGAGACTGATTGTAAATATCAAACCTAAAGATTCGCCAACAGGCTTCACCAGAAGTTATATACCGAGCATCCATGAAGGCTTTAATTTCATCGATTTTGATAACTTTCTTTGGACCAGAGCCATTGTCAATATTAGATGTTTGTTCTTGTGCAGCCAATGTTGCCAATGCACGGTCCTCAGGTTTATTGATATACTTAAACAAATATTTCACAGCCCTGAAAATATAAAACAATATAGTATGACCGTTTAATCATTACATGTGTATAGACAATACTAAAAATTATAGTAATAAACACCTAACTGCAAAGTTATATCGTTGGAACATGTGTCACAAAGATAGACATGAACATATTTGTGCAATCCAGATTAAGTGTCATACCATATACGACTATATGAATATATTGTAAGCAAAAAAAGTTGATCAATTATAAAACGTAGTAGATAAAGACGATATAATCACCAACCTTGTTTTGTTGCAAACTTCAACGTTGATATGAGCTCCAAACCGTAGTAGCAAGTATCGATTATACGGCACAACCCATCGATTGTCAAGTTCCACACCTCCACAGTTAAATGTCCTACCATTATTGCGCCGACGGTATTTGGCAAAACCGTTATCATCAATTATAGTCTGACTGCAAAATTGCTTTGGGTAATGTTTAGTACATTTACCATTCTTCATGCATGAATTGTTGGGCCGTAAAGCACCACATGGTCCATGCATCATAGAAGTCGTGACTATTGTATACAATTCAGGATCCAGATCAGGATTTGGTATTTCAGCACATATTATAGAATCAATGTCAGAAGGTCCATGAGGCTTATTCTCAGCCGCAAGAAATAGGAGTAAGTGTGCGTGAGGGAGTCCACGTTTTTGCCATTCAATTGCCAAAACATCTGTTAAAATTTACCAACAATAATTAGAAAAATTAATCACATTGTTAATGAAGAAAGAGTAGAAGATAAAAGATATTATAAGCAGAATACATACATGCACGTATTTTCCCAAAAATTTCTTTCTCCTTGATCTCCGTCATGAATTCATCCAGTTTAATCTTGAAAACTCTTGCTATAACATCAGCACGATTAGGATCCTGCCCAGTGAAGTCTCTAATCAAATCAACCATAAGCTGAATCTCAGGCCACTTGGCATTACAGGTGAAGGTAATAAACAAATCTGGATATCCAATCCATTTGCAAATGGCCATAGCATCTTGAAAATTTTCATATTTGTATCTTGGACTTCCAGTGTGGGTAGCGGCTAGAAAAACCGGCTTTCCAGATAACTTCAGATCACTATCACCACGCAAATAAGATTCTACCAACCCTTGGTAATGGTGGCCTCTCAACTTTGACTGGTTATTACGCATCCACTCCAAACGTTCAGCCTCAATTAAAGCATATGCATTAACGACATATTGTTGAAACAATTTTGCAGATAGCAACAAAGAATTTGATTCACTGCACCTTGTTTGAAGACGATAGCTATAATACTCACATTGTGTTACCATTTTCTCCAAACCACTTTTCCCATATGTATTCTGAGCATAACTAATACTTGGGTGCCACCCATCTTCTCCATAGGGAAATAAAATTGGATATTGCAAAGCCATTAGACTGGGATGGTACATGCTTATTCTTTCCATCTGAGATGTACAATGCTGAACTATAATATCAGGGGAGAATGTTTCATCCCCAGTTTCATCTACAATCAACGCTGCAATCTCATTTGCAGAGGGCAAATCATATTCTCTACTATTAGCCTCCCGCTTGGCCAATAATTTAACCTGCAGTTCATCAACACCATATTGGCCTATCTTATCTCGTGCTGAACGAAAAGTACGTACCAGAACATTAGATGCATCAAACATTTGTTGAAGACCTTGAACAATAGATGCCCGTAAGGGATTCCTATCAGGATCAGATGAGTAAAAATCCAAGCGATTCTGAACCTCATTATCCGAGTCATGAATATATAATTGTGCAAATTTTGGACTAACGCCTTTTGGAGGAACCAAACTGCCTATTCGATGATAAATTTGCCCTCCAATAGAATACACATAGACACCTTTGCCATCATTAATGGAGTGATTCACTTTTCCGCCGATGGAAATAAAACAAAAAACAGCATTATAACCTCGACTGTTTGCACGAAAATGACGGCTCTCAGTAGTATCACCTTCCAATAAAGTCTTGAGAAATTGAGGAGGATCCCGACGATTCGGAAGCTTCACCTTACCATGCTTACAACATATTGGAAATGAAGGTAACAAAGCATTTCGTGTGGCCAAAGTGCTCTCATAACGCCAAAATACAGCACCACAATGTTGACATCTACATGAGGGAGCTCCAATATTGAAAGAGTCAATTATTAAAATACCTATAACAATTTATATTTTTAGTCAAAATAATAACTATGGCATCATGATAATATCATGCTCCTACATATTAGACAGGTCCATATAAGAAATAAAAATTGATAAAGTCTACTCCACATAACTTCTAGTGAGAACCAGGCTATATAAGATAAGAACAATTTTATATTGACCTGCCCTATAATGGAAAAAGATAATTAATAAAACTGCCTTGTATAATTTCAACATGATATACATACAGAAAAAACAATTAATAAACATTCATTTTAAAAATAGTAAGAAAAACAAAACTATTGTAAAAAATATTGAGATAAAAAAAGCTAATGCACACAAATGCTAACAGGAAAACCACTACGATCACACATTGTGCAACAACAATTACAATGACCAAACAAATATTATATGTTTCCCCTTCATAATGCAAAAACAACATTGAACCTTAAATAAATCCATAATGCAAAAAATAAAAACAATTAGTAGTAAAATTAATTTTTATCCAAAACTTATGAATCAAAAGGTGGAATTCACCAAAAAATACATAAAAATAACGTAAACAAACTCGGAGATTAGCCAAAATACAACACATACTGAGATTGGACCGATGGTTTAAGACGGCTTGACGTCTACGCTTCTGTGCCAAATGAATACGCCGGTACAGTCTATTCCGTTTAGTCAATAGATTAACAAACTCATTCTCCAACCGCGAAGGACCTAAGACATTATAATACAATGAAAATTAGTATAATATAATTGCATTATAGATTATAAAGTAACAACAAACACCAACCACTAAATTGCTGCATATGTTTATCCCGGACATTGAATGACCTACGACTTCTTTTCCCTTTTAAAATGACATGTCTCCGCTGCCGTGCCAGTTGTGACAGGGATCTAGAGAGGCCATTCAGTTCACCTTTCAACTCATCTTGTTCTACATATTACAATTAACAACAAATTTGACATCTATACATTTAATGATAAAAACTAAATTGTGAATGCAATATGTATTCATCCATACCCTTTTCGAACATTGCTTCTTCCTCGGCAGATAGGACAAAGCGCTGGCCCTCATCGTGTGGATCGTAAAATATTGCCCGAAATTTCCCTGAGACAAATCAAATTAAGTGAACTATTGTATTTTTATTGCAACACTAACTACAATCTCATAGATGCCACTATACATACACGGATGCGACGAATCCAGAACCCGTTTATTGAGTGATCCATTCACATTCATACTTCTAACCCTTGTACCTGAATAATAAGGAGAACACAAATCATTGACCACCTGTTGTTGAAAACAACAAACACATAAAATCAATTACTTCATCGACAACACAAATCATTGACCACCTGTTGTTCAAATCAACAAACACACAAAATCAACCATTCGACAAAATCAGAAATAAATATTTTAAGTTCATAACCAACCTGGATACAATAATAAATCACTTTTCAAGGATCGCCATATAAAGAAGAAGCAAGCAATCACTATCGTCATTAGCAAGCCAGTGAACAAAAACACATAGATTAGGATACTGCACTGCGATAGCAAGAAGAGGATTCACAATAAATGTTTTACAGCAGGAACGAATTACCTGATTGAGTGTCATACCTGTACACACTACTATTTCTGGTATTGAAGGCAGAAACTTTGGATGAACACAACCGGTTGAATTGCTTCATGAGCGCCCCGCAGGAGTAGTTGTTGCTCCTGCAATTGAAGAAGCAAGACGCCAGCTGTTACTCTTCTTTCTATGATTGAGGGAGTAGGTTTTAGGGAATGATGATTGAACCTTGTCTTCCTAGGTTGTACACCTAGAAGATTCCTTTTACGTGAGGAAAGCTGGGGGGAGAGCAGATAACCACCTGTCATGCGATACATAGTGGTGGAAGGTGGGATTTTTCCCAAGACGTGGGCTTTTTTTTTTTGACAATTGCAAGACGTGGGTTAGTTGGGTCTTAGTGGGCGGCAGTACTTTTTGGGCCCATTAAAGTTGAGGCCAGGTTGGTGCCCGGTTTTTCTCTCAACAAAACTATACGGCCGCGCTGCACAGGTAGAAAAAACAATCCACCATTCCCAATTTAGCCCTCCTACAAACGCTCTCCATCCAGCAAATTTGAAATGGGGGCTGCAGTTTCTCTATTCGGCTTTTATTTATTATGTAGATTTTTGCTTTCTCTTTTTGTGGAGATTCACAATTAACAGCATCTTCATCAAACTATCATATTGAATTGCAATGTGACGTAGCAATAGAAATCCAATTGCATTTTCAATTGTATGAATATGAGTGTCAATTGCAATATTGCAAGTTTTCATTTTGTTCAATTCAATATGCAATTGTTATGTATGCATTTTTTTATTAAAAAAATAATAAACATACAAATATTTTGTTTTATTAAAAAAAAATAAGTTAGACCTACATATGCAATTGCAAATTAATTGCGTTGATATAGGTGAATGAAATTAGTGTGATGTGGATTGCAAAAAAATTGAGTTGACAATAAAAAACACAAATACAATTGCAAAAACAATTGAATTGATGTTGATGCTCTAAATTCTAATCATCAAGAATGCTACTTCAAGAAAGTATTCACACTGCAGCACAAAATCTATATTAGAGGGAGTTCACTCTCTCTCCTCATTTTTTGAGTTAGTCTCGTGTCGTTTTGCTCTTGGTAGATTCAACATGGATGTCCACTTCGTGAAAAAAACATGCTCTTTCATCGGGACTCTTGTTATATACAGAATACAACTTTATTTTTATTTTTGTAATGTTATTATCTAACCATAACCTGACGATGTATCTTTTTTAAAAACGCCTCATTATCTAATTGCTACTTACTCAAAGTTATTGCATTGGAGATTCAATATAGATGTCCACTTTGTGACAAAACGTGTTCTTTCATCGGGAGTCTTATTACTTACAGAATATCATTTTTTAAGTTTATCTTTTAATGTTGTTATCTAACAATAACGTGACGATATATCTTTTTAAAAACACCTACCTAATTGCTACTTAAAGTCATTGCGTTGTTTCTAGTTTCTACCGCGAGAAACTGAGGTCGAACATTTTACTTAGCTAAGGTTTGGTTTCTGCCATGAGCTTTGACTTTTACGTCTAGTGGATAGATTTTCTTTTACGGCTAGGTTTTTCCCACTTCAATAGGTTTTCTTTCTGCCATGAGTTCATTACCAACCTTTCATGCGGTGGACTTGGATAACAATTGTCAGCTTTTGGATAAATCCATATGTAGTTAAATTACACAATCTAAGTGTTTGCGGATTTCCAAATGCATGCATGTGTTGATTCCACATTGAGGTGTACACACTAGATAAACTTCATTAACAAGGTATACATGCATAGCTAGGGTTATGGCAAACTGTATTAGCAATATATACGAACAAGGGATTGGTCTAGTGGTAATACCATAGTTAGGGTACTTTTTGTATTGCGGTTTATGGATTGTTTATGGCAAAGGGTATGATAAAAAAACTAAATATTATAAACTATAATGAAATTCAATCGGTATCCATTTATTTTAATCACATCTTACATCTCAAATTAATTCCAAACCAAAACAATTAGGAGGTAAATTGTACCTCCTACCTCTTTTTTTTTTTTGGGGGGGACTGACATGAATTCTGAGAGGAGAGAAGAGAAGACACTTTTTTATAATTTCGTATTTTTCTTAATTAGATTTTATCTCATTTAGTTTTAACTCGATATTTTTTTAAAAAAATATTATACAGAAATAAAGTGTCAGGAGTTCTATATAAAATCATGGATATAATTGAATTGCAAGACCATAAATGGTGCAACTGTTGAGTATAATTATGTAATTATGTGGCCGAAAGCCTTGGGGCTTTAAGGGCTCGGCCCATTAGGTCAAAGGGATCTTCTCGGTTAGGGTTTGGGAGAATGTAAAAGTGTATATATATGCTCTGTACAGGAAACGTTGGAGAACCTTCTCCCAACAACTCGAGTTATTGGGACCAACTGGTTCTTGACATGGTATCAGAGCTGATATTAACAGTTGATTAAAGTACAAGGTATGGTGGACCTGTGCAAACTTCAAGCCAATGGGTTGACTTTCGTTTAAGGGGGCGTGTTAGAGAGTGGTATAAAATCCAGCAGAACCTTCTCCCAACAACTCGAGTTATTGGGAGCAACTGGTTCTTGACATAACTCAAATCATTGCTTATTATACTATATATATAGTATATAGTCGTATAGATAGATATTTTTCTTCTAAAGATTTGTTTACACATTTATAATTAAAGAGTTAAATATTTTCATTGAATGCTGCCAACTTATCCAGCTGCCAAGATCTAAGAAGAGACAAAAAGTCAATCAATTCGAAGAAGATTATCCGCCGCGGGCTCCGCATCTCTGCATGAGCCGTAGTCAGTAGTGTGCATAAATTAAGAAGATATTGCAATCAAACTATCTTTTTTGGCATCTTTGACCAGTTTTTTTATACCCAGCAAATATGGGCCATTTCTTATCCTTTTTTATCTCTGCCATTTCTGATAATCATAATATCACCGTCTGTATCTGCGGTAAGAGATGATGAAATGATCAGAAATATATTTATGATTGACTTGTTATCTGGATGAATTTAGGGTATCGTATTGGTAGGTAAACTCATCTATATCTTGAATTAATCGGATTTCGGAACGTACTATGTCGATAAATTATAATGAGTAAATCTCGGTCCTAAAATATCTATACTTATGTATGACTATTACGTGTAATTGGTTATTCAACAGTTCATCCATCTATATATTTTGGGAGAGCCTTATAAGGGCAAGTGGTTCTTATAATTTTAATGATTATTTGAACTTCAAATTCCATGAGTTTTAGAGAGAAAATGTTATAGAAGTCTTATCGTCTCGGATGAATCAACTTGTAAATTCGATAAAAATAAAAATTTAGGTCAAGTCCACACAACTCTTTCATATTAAACGTCCATTTCATCGCATGACATGTTGAATTTGTGCAAACATAAAAAAACATATAAAAAATAATTAACATCAATACATGAATCTCTCAACAACTTCAGCTCGATAAATATTTTACTATTATTTGATGTCAAACCACCCGTTATTAATCATGAATTCCCCCGGCAGGGCGTGCATGTGGGCCACGTATCAAATAATTATCTTCCCGTTACACGAAGGCTACCTAAGCTAAATCTTATATATAATAACTATGTGGATGGTGAGCAAAAGCAAACCAAGAAAATCAGAGCAGAGATGAGAGAAGCATCAATGGCGTGTCTCCCACTGTCAAGAGCCACGCTCCTTCTTCTGTTGTCTCTGTATCTTTTTGGTCATGCCGTATCATCTACAACGACGTCGGGCGCCAGCAGTACTGTGCCGGCCACTACATTCGGCGACGATGTCCCGCCGGCCAACCGTTCAAGTTTCCCGGCGGGCTTCCTCTTCGGGTCGGCGTCCGCTTCTTACCAGGTAAATTAAATTAACTACCATCGCTTCTATTCTATGGCATTTTATCCATAACTGAAGTTTTGTTAACACTGAAAAATCCCGTCGCTAATGTTAGGAAAAGGCGACGAAAAATTATTTGATTTTCGTGTTATTGAGGGCGGGCCAATGTTTTTTATTTGGGTTTCAGGTTGAAGGCGCGGTAGCTGAAGGTGGGAAAGGACCTACCAATTGGGATGTTTATACTGCCAAATATCCAGGTTTCTAATTCCTACTTTTTGTCACAACCTGATTTGAAAAATGGTCTAAAAGATAACAAAACATAACATATAATCAAAACTACCATTTTGATGGTCGCCGGCAGAGAGGATAGCCGATCGTAGCAACGGGAATGTCGCCGTCGATGGGTATCATCGTTACAAGGTAATTAATAGTGACAACTTGTTACCGTAGATCAGTTCTCTGTTCTATATTCGACGAGTTTGGGATAGAAATGCAAATCGAAGTCAAACTAATCATATAAAGATGAAATAGTATATGTTTAATCATGAAAGAAAGAATAAACTAGAGACTAAATGCATCGAGGAGAGGAGTCCACATGCATGCCAATAATTAATTCAATGTTAGCTTGTGTATCTCTTACGTTTCAATTGAATGCTTATGCATAATAAATTAATAATGGATTTTTAATCATGAAAGAAAGAATAAATTAGAGACGAAATGCATCAAGGAGTCCACATGCGATTCAATGCTAGCTTGTGTATTTTTTTATGTTTCCATTTAATGCTTATACATAATAAGATATGTTTTTTAATTGTGTACAGGAAGACATTGCAATTATGAAGAGTTTAGGGTTTAATTCCTATAGATTTTCAATCTCATGGGCTCGAATATTACCGAGTATGATATTCAACATAACCTGCTCATCTCTATTCCATCTTTCACTTTTTATCATTAGTTACTAAAATTAATCAGTTAATGTGACTATTTGTAATTATCAGATGGGACGATTGGTGGAGGTGTGAATAAAGAAGGGATCACATATTACAACAATTTTATCAACGAGCTCCTGGCTAATGGTAAATAAAATGCAATCAGCGTCTATTATCATTTTTCGGTAAATATCAACATGTTAGTACGTAATAACTAATAACCCTCCGAGTGAAGTGAACATTAATATTCATTTCATCAATATAAATTTCCTTAAGAGTTGAATATTTCTCAATTTATTTTTGTTACTTATTAGTCTCCTTATTAACTAATTCCTCAAATGGTGATATCTCCAGGCATTAAACCTTTTGTAACCATTTTTCACTTCGACCTCCCTGAAGCCTTGGAAAAACAATATGGCGGCTTCCTTAGCCGTAAAATTGTGTAAGTACTAGCTATATACCACTCTCATTATAATAATAATAATAATTATTATTATTATTATTATTATTATTTATTAGTGTTTCACTAATAACATTAAAAATCTATGTACGATATTCGCAACCATCGAATTGCCGCCATTAAAGAGTCAAATAATTTCTCTCTTTTCCCCTAACAAAAGAATACTATGAACCATATATATGGCAGGAAAGATTTCGTTGCATATGCGAATGTTTGTTTCAAGCACTTTGGAGATCGAGTTCAACACTGGGTCACAATCAACGAGCCTCTGTCGCTCGCTTTGTTTGGCTATGCCCAGGGGACGTTGGCGCCTGGTCGATGCTCGAAATGGATGAACTTGAACTGCACTGGGGGAGACTCGGCCACTGAGCCATACATAGTCGGGCACCACCTCCTTCTTTCTCATGCTGCCACCGTCAAATTGTACAGAAAGAAATATCAAGTAAACATCTTATATAGTACTCCATCCTCCATATTCTCTAAAGATGTGATCATGTATAAGGTCACTGAAAGGTACTTCGTCTGCAGGCAACACAAAAGGGCAAGATCGGCACTGCCCAAGTGATACAGTGGCTTCTTCCTCTCTCCAATTCTAAGAAAGATCACGAAGCTAGGCAGCGGAGAATAGATTTCACGCTTGGATGGTACGTGTTTTCGGCTAGTTTAATTTTAGGGTTTGGTTAGAAACAAAAAAAAAAAAGCTTTATCACATGATGACCACCCATGGGCTTAATTTTGCAGGTTTCAGGACCCATTGGCCACCGGAGACTATCCGGCGTCGATGAGAGCTAATGTGGGGAAACGATTGCCCAAATTCTCAAAAGAGGAAGCCAAGATGTTGAAAGGCTCTGCCGATTTCGTGGGGTTGAACTACTATACATCTTACTACGTTTTCAATGACCCTCCTCCGGCTAATGCTCTCAAGAGCGCTACGACGGATTCTCATACCAATTTTTCACGTAATTAAGCAAATTTCTTTAATGCTAAAACCCTCAATACTAATAGCTAGTAAACATAATCAATATCTTATGTTATTTTTACTAATTACCTAACTTGTTTCATGTTGCTAATGAAGCCACGAAGAATAATGTCGACATCGGGCCAAAGGTATATATGCCTTTCCAATCTATCATTAAATTGTTCATGAAATAGAAGGTTTATTAACTAGGGTAGTCACAAACTCGCAATCACTCAGAGCTTATGATGGTCGAAAGGTTTCTATTTAATTTTTTTTTTTTTATATAAGAGTGATATATAACTGATAAGGTTTTATATTTAAATTAACAATTGCCAACACTAGCTATATGATCTAATTACCTTTCCATTAATTATTGTGCTGCAGGCAGGGATAATTTGGCAGTACATTTACCCCAAAGGTATTCGAGATGTTGTTCTCTATGCAACAAAGAAGTACAATAACACGCCTATTTACATCACCGAAAATGGTGAGCCTACATTTTATATTTGTTTTATACATAGAGACGGTTTCATCTCAATGAATAAGAAGGTTTTTTTGTTTTGTTTTGTTTTATTGTGTATATATATGCTTGTAATTCTAACAAATTCATCAATTTGTCGATGAAATTTAGGAATGGGGGAGGTCAATAATGATACCTTAAGCATCAAGGAAGCTCTTAACGATACCCTGAGAGTCTTCTTTTATCGTGAGCATATAGCATATCTCAACAGTGCAATCAAGTAAGATCGACATATCATGATATAATTTAATGTTTCGCACACTTGTCTACAATACAACTGATGGTAATTAAAGCTTTGAAATGTCTTAATGTTTCATATGTACTTAGTTTAGGATGTCATGTATCACTTTCTTACTAATGATATATCAGAATCTATTCGTTCATAAATATAAATAACTAACTTTTGCACAATTTATCTGGTCATGCAGGGATGGTGCAAATGTGAAAGGGCATTTTGCTTGGTCAATAATGGACAATTTTGAATGGGCGGAGGGCTATACTATTCGATTCGGCATTAATTTCGTGGACTACAAAAATGGGCTAAAAAGATACCCTAAACAATCCGCCGTATGGTACCGTAACTTCTTCAAGACTTAGTCATGATCTATTCGACTTTTGCAGTTGCTGTTCCTTTGTTTAACTTTTTTCCAAGAAGATATATCCTACTAGAGATATATGAGTATGTTCCTTTTTCAATAAAATTATCTATCAAGTTTCTTTTATCTTAATACTCTCATACTCTTGTCACTCACCTTATATATAATTTCTCAATAGTACTTTTAGCAATAATGCAGTATGTATGTACATTGCTTTTGTTGAAAAACGTGTTCATAATCATCTCATCAAATTAGAAACATATGAAATTCGTAACCCTGCTATCCCCTCAATGATCATCCCAAAAATTACCGGGTAAAATGATCGTTCCAGATCACGAGGCTAATGTTGTTGCCGATCATTTCTCCTACATTATTAATCTAATTCTAACCTTTTGATTTAGTCCAACGGGTATCCATGTTTTTAATGCTCCTTCATGTGTGAAAAATTTACCTTGCATTGAATTTTGTATGGCTTTGAAATTTAAATTTAAAACCAATGAACTAGAAATATACCATTGAAGGATTCATTTCACAAATAATAAAAAGGATACATGTTGGGAAATTTTATCAGACCGTCCCCAAATCTTAGATGGGCCATTTCCTTATCTTCTAAAAAATATATATATATATATATTTTCAAGAAACCCCGCTAGTAAATTAATTAATTAATTACTTGGCACTTACGTACTGATTTCTAAAGTTTCGTATCTACATTAATAGACGAGTCTACATTATGTAGCTATATAAGTAAGATGAAACATGAAATAAACAACGACTAATCTACAATTACGTTCAAAAGAAATAAAAATGATCAATTAGGAAAGGTGGTTTCAGTAACACGATCATTACAGAAGACAAATTGTTAAACAGTATCATTCAAATATCTTATAATTGACGCAAACTTTCAAACATACTGTTCAGATAAAGTCACATATAAAATTTTATACATATGAATGTCGTAACATACGCGTGTTTGCATTTTATTGGACTACGATTAGAAGTTGAAAAGCACATTTGGTGAAAGCGTGGTAGGTGGAGATTAAGCCTACTTACCAAACAAGGCCCTACTTAAATTTTAATTATATTATTATTCGTCTCATGATTATGTTTAGCAATTGGACCTATAGCTAGCTGTAGATACATGCTTTGCCCGTCATATCTCCAAGACTCCAACAACCATTTTGCACTCGCAGATAGCTAGCTTTGCAGACACACTCTTCTCTACAATGGAGAAGTGGCAGACACAATGGTTAGATTCAAATTGTGGAGCCACCTTCGATTCGAAAAATAACTCTTCATTTTTGGGTTAGTAAGGGTTACCGATTGCCGAGTATAAAATAAATTAGTCAATAATTTGTGGAGTTTAAATATATAGATTGGGTTCCGATCAATTTGGATAAGAAGTTCTCTATATATGATTAATTCGGAATCACTAAATATTGTAATCATTTGTATGGAGGCGGAGTAGATTTTGAATTCGGATTTGCTCTTGGTGAATTTCAAATCGGGTTGGTGAATTTTAAATATATAGATTGGGTTCCGATACTTACACTTTTAGACATAAGTTCGACATATGAAAACATTGCGACATTTACAAAAAAAAAAAGTGTGAGTATCCATATTTTATTTCGACATTTGAAAATGTCCCTTTGAAACCTTGCGATGCAACACTTATGTATAGACACTTATATCTTCTGTCATTTTATTTCGAATATGAAAATGTTGCTATAAAACCTTGCGACATTTACAAAAAAAAAAAAAAATTGTCGCTACCTATATCTTTCAACATATGAACATTTTGTTACATAACTTATGACATTTGCAAAAAGCACCGGTACCTACATTTGGCGACATTTATTTTGAAATATAAAACTTATTATTTGACATTTATTGTTGTATTCGTATAGTTGTATTTATTAGTATAGTGGTATTGAATAATTCTTGCCGTTAGATAGTTATTTTTTATGAATATACCAGTAGATTAAAATGATTCACTCATTGTATTAGAATATTGGTATTTGCACAGGTTTGATCGGATTCAAATGTAGATAAAACTGAAAATTCATGGAAGACCAACTTACGCATGAAACGACGCACTTATTGGGATATGTTGACTATTCTTTGCTTCTTTACTTTCACATGCTATATATGTATACGTTATTTATCATAATTATTATATATACGTTGAGATATATGTTGACTGTTCTAAGGCATCAAACTTCAGATAAGATTAAATATACATATGTCGGAGACTAAAGATCCGTATCTACACAAATAGACCACACTAAATTAAAATAATCAAATTCAACAAAACCACCCTATTCATCGTTCAACACGGATTACCTCGGTCAACGAGAAGTCTCTGGGCTATTGTAATGATCGTTAGTAACTCAATGTAGAATTTATAAAGCTGATATGCAATCTGTCGATATTAGGGCTGGCAATTTGGTCCAGGACTGTTTGGTTTTACCCGAAATCGGACAGTATAACTTGGACCGAGATGGGACTGGGACCGGATAGCAAACAATTCAATCTCATATTCGGGCTTAGATTTGAGGTAAAAAAATCCGGATAAAAACCGGATAAGAGACCCCAACACTCAAATAGCCACAAGCTCAATCTAAAATCAAAATCAAATTGCCGGGTCAAGACCGGAGTGTATCCAATCCAATCTTTGGTCCTTATATTCCCGAAAAGACCGGACTGGGACCGGATCAATTTAGTCCAATTTAACCGGACCGGACCGTATAGCCACCGCTAGTCAATATGTTAGAGCACACGATTAATTTGGGATGTCAGTTGCGACATTTTTAAACTAAGTTTCGTTAGTTCTTCATCTATGATATTTCTGATCTTCGTGATTGGCAGAAGAAGGGAGAATGTGTGTCGTTTTTAGAGTATTGATGAATCATATCGCAACCTCTAAGTTCCTAATACACTAAGCTAGTTTTACCCATGCAGCAGGAAGCGAACTCCCATAAAACTCTATAAGTGAGTATAACTATTTGGGTATCCACTCATTGAGTCGATACCGCAGTTCACAACTTCACATGACACGCGTGCGAAACAGACTACCAAGAACGAACGGTGATCAATCTCACTACCTATCGCGCAAACTACCTAACAAGTAACAACACATCAAATGAGGGTTTAATCGGAAGGAGAGAAAAAAAAAAAAAAACTACGTACCATACCAATAGAAAGGGACCTAAGTAGTACCACTTAATCAAATTTCAAAATATTGGTTGGTCCTGATCCATCGTCACATTCTTCCTAGCTAGTCTTGGTTTATGAACAGAATGTTTGTGTTCATTATTGAAGTAGGTACCAATATTAGACCCACCGTTTTTCGACCACGATGAAAATTGGCTGGTGCTGCTGCCTACGTGTTTTCGTAGGAGTTTCGACGTGGGCTACAAATGGATTATTTTTATATATTATGCTATGGTACGTAACGTAACGTAACGCAGGTCAAGTTCCACGACAATATCAATATTGTATTCCCTCATACACGGCATGTGGACCTTATATATATCTGCTAATGGTTTCGAACGGAAAACAAAGAAAAAACCAGAGCAATACAGAATTACAGAACAACAAAACCAAGGAGAGTACGTACAGAACAAAAACCGTAATAATGGCGAGTCTCCTACGCTTAAAACTCCTCACAGTAGTACTTTTCCTTTCTCTCTATCTTCTTGTTCACGCCACATCGTCTTTAGCGACGACGGCCAGTGGCAATCCTGTGTCGTCAGTAATTAGCAACGACGATGATGTCGATCCGGTGGCTAACCGTTCGAGTTTCCCGGCGGGATTCCTCTTTGGGTCGGCGTCGTCCTCTTACCAGGTAAGCGATGACTGATTATTTACCATGGCGCGGCGCCTTGGTCTTCTCTGATCAGACATCTATTCGTTCAATATTGTTATTAGCAACGATCATTGTTTTTCCGTCGCTAATGTTTTAAAGAAGGAGTCGATTGTTGATTTTTCGCTTTTGTGTGGGTCAATTCAGGTGGAAGGCGCGGTAGCTGAAGACGGAAAAGGACCTAGCAATTGGGATGTTTACACTAACAAGTATGGAGGGGAACAAGACGATTCGTCGTCAACGCATATTCGTCTTCGTGGTGCAGCAGGCATGCATCGACCATCTCGGTTTCTCATGAGCTCTGATGATCAGGATTCTGATTCGAAGCCCAAAGGTAAACCAGATTCCAGTGATGACCTAATCCAATCTAAAATATTTTCCATCAGCGGTTAAAGAGATAAGTAAATTAAACCAAAGCATAACACAAGCATTTTGATGGTTTTGCAGAGAGGATAGCCGATGGTAGCAACGGGAATGTGGCCATCGATGGGTATCATCGCTACAAGGAAGACGTTGCAATCATGAAGAGTATTGGGTTGCAGGCTTATCGATTTTCTCTCTCGTGGGCTCGGATTTTACCAAGTATGATATTCAATCATAGCTGCTAGCTCTCTATTTCATTTTTTCACCATGCAATAGTTATCATTAACTACCAAAATTACATAGTTGTTAGTAATTAACGGGTTGTTTTACAACCATGCATCATCAGATGGAACGGTGGAAGGAGGTGTGAATCAAGAAGGGATAGAGTATTACAACAATCTCATCAACGAACTTCTTGCCAATGGTAAATTAATTACATAATTGCAATCGATCCATTGTGTTAATCATGTTCGTTCGATTTATATCATCGGTTGATCACCTTATTAACTATTTCCTCAAAATTTATCTCCATCCAGGCATCAAACCTTTTGTAACCATTTTTCATTTCGACCTCCCCGAAGCCCTGGAAAGAGAATATGCCGGCTTCCTTAGCCCTAAAGTTGTGTAAGTACCCTCACCGTGCACTCTCAGAACTACGCAATCGAAATTTATGTACAATCCATCCTTTAATTTATCTTTAGCTAACGAAAATATACATACTATGAACATATTACCAGGAAAGACTTCGTTGCATACGCGGATGTTTGTTTCAAGCACTTCGGAGATCGAGTTCAACACTGGGTCACGATCAACGAGCCTCTGTCATACAGTTTGTTCGGCTATGCCCAGGGGACGATGGCACCCGGTCGATGCTCGAAATGGATGAATCTGAACTGCCCCGGAGGAGACGCCGCCACCGAGCCATACGTAGTCGGACACCACCTCCTCCTTTCTCATGCCGCCGCAGTGAAACTGTACAGAGAGAAATACCAGTCGACACAAAAGGGCGAGATCGGCACCGCCCAGGTGGTGCAATGGGGCCTCCCTCTCTCCGATTCGAAGCAAGATCGCGAAGCAACGCAACGAAGAATCGATTTCACGCTCGGATGGTTTCAGGATCCACTGGCCACCGGAGACTATCCACCGTCGATGAGAGCTATCGTCGGGGAAAGATTGCCCGAATTCTCCAAGGAGGAATCCGAGATGTTGAGAGGTTCCTTCGACTTCGTGGGGTTGAACTACTACACATCTTACTACATTTCCGACGCTCCTCCTTCAAAATCTATGCCTAAAAGCGCAACGACGGATTCTCAAACCAGTTTTTCACGTAAGCTAATTAAATTAAACCCTCTACACTAGCAAACGTAACTTATCATATCTATCTGTGGTGACTAATAATTACTTGCAACCAATTTGTTTTCATGTCGCTAATGAAGCCGAGAAGAATGGTGTCGACATCGGACCAAAGGCAGGGATATCTTGGCAGTACATTTATCCCAAAGGGATTCGAGATGCGGTTCTCTACACAACAAAGAAGTATAATAACACGCCCGTTTACATCACTGAAAATGGTGAGTCTAATTAATATATGTAGCTAAAATTTTGACAGTTTCATACCAATGAATTACATGTTTGTAATACGCTTGCAAGGCTAACGCGACTATCTTTATAATCAATTTACAGGCATGGGCGAGCTCAGTAATGAAACATTAAGCATCAAGGATGCTCTTAATGATACTCTACGAGTAGATTTTTACCGTCAACATATCGCCTACCTCGGCAGTGCAATCAAGTAAGATATATGCTTATTAAGTTTCCAAATATCTTGATGTTAAATTTAATTAGGATGTCATACTCTTAGAATTTATTTAGTCATCGGGGGGAAAAAAAATTCTTACACAATTTTATGTGGTTATGGTTGCAGGGGAGGTGCAAATGTGAAAGGGTATTTTGCATGGTCACTGATGGACAACTTTGAATGGTCCGAGGGCTATACAATCCGATTTGGCATTAATTATGTAGACTTCAAAAATGGATTGAGACGATACCCTAAACGTTCTGCCATTTGGTTTCGAAACTTCCTCAATAATTATTAATGATCTATTTTATTTTGGTAGCTTTTATTAGTTCTTTTTTTCTTTCCGAAGAAGGCATACCATATGAAATTGGAGTATGTTTCTTTTTTCCCCATAGAAATGTAAAGAAAGTATATAGATACAACCCCCAACGAATACAAAGGTTAACGCAAATGATACAACAATTTTTGGATCATTAGAGTTGTTTTCCTTTTCCCACATTGTAATTTGCTGTTGAAGGACGGCTAAGATTTATTCATTTGAGGGACTAAATTACATGTGTTGATTACTTAGTGTATCGATTTTTTCAAATTTGTTACTATAAATTTTTCCTCTCGTATTAGTCTTTACCTTTAAATCACGCGCGTTTCGCCTAATTGGCAGTCGACAATAATTTTTTTTATAATTTAAAATAAAATGTAATGTATATTTTTAAAATTTCCCCTCAATTTCTCTTCTCCGCTACCACTAACAACTCGTCTCTCTTCCCATATCACCAAGATAGCCAAATCACAAATCTCCGGCCTCCATTATACCCTTCCATCAATAAAAACAAAGAGAGAAAAACTAGATTGAGAGAGTTCAGAGCTCTAATAACTATTGTTACCGGTTGTAACTATATAGAACAAACCAATAATTACTTATTATATATTTTAGGTTTCCCACATGTATTGTATTTCCTTGCTTTGTTTAGTTTGGTTTTTCTTCTCCTATCTAAGGAATGGCAACGAGGCATGTTTGAGAAGGATTTCGCTAAATCATTCACATCGTCATTTTTGTATACTCAAACACATACCCATTCAAGGAGGTTTTGCTTTCATATCCCCATACCCAGAGTTTTTGGATACCTCTGGATAACACCCTCTCTGTACATCCTACATTACCAAATTTGTAATTCAACACGTAGATCTTTGACTTTAACACTTAACAAACATGATAAATCATGAAATCAGCAAAGACACAACCATTTTAATACAAGAATAGTCAAAATTGCTTCGCAAAGATACGACCGTTTTGCATAAAATTTTTTATTTGATGTGAACGAGACTACTCTACAAAGAGTTAAAACTCTTGATTGTTTTATTTTTTTTTCTTTTGATTGTTTCTTCTCTCTCACTGCCAACAAGAACATCGTCGACCTAATATACAAAAGAGAGAAAATCTAACCCAGCCTCGAATCATGCCGGAATAAGAAAAAAACCAAACCAAATAAAACAAGGAAATAGGGTTATAGGTATAATATGCCCCTCTACTATGACGTTTTATCAAACATACCCATTTACTATTTTTTACATCAAACATGCCCTTGTACTTCGTAAAAATGATCAAACATGCCTTTTGTTAAAATTTGAATCCAAAAATCATTAACAATGCCGAATTTAGTCTGGGCGACACAAATGACTAAAATATCCCTAATAAATTCACTTTAGAATCTTTTTGGTTCTTTTGTATAATCAAATCATTCAAATAATTTCACTTTGAAAAGACCAAAGGAAATAAAACAGGGGACAAAACTGACTTTTCCCTCCTATTTGTCGATGTCGGGTCGTCTAAATCTCAATTCAACCATGATTGACAATTTTTTCAATGGAATTTTTAACAGAAGGGCATGTTTGATAATTTTTTCAAAGTACATGGGCATATTTGATGTAAAAAATAGTAGAGGGGCATGTTTGATAAAACCTCGTAGTAGAGGGGCATATTATACCTATAACCCCAAGGAAATACAATACATGTAGGAGGGATGACAATTACCCATCTAGGATAATTTTACGTAAATGCAAGTAAATTCGTTGATTATAGGTAAAGCAAAGGTGAAATATATATTGATTTTGGACTTTCTATACCACCATGGTGTAATGTTATGTATTACTAAAATTACCACCATTTTTAAGAACACAATTAATATAAATTTTTTTTTAACTAGGACATAAAATGAAAAAGATATAAGCCATTAAAATTAATTAGGAAAAATTAGTATTTCGTGGACAGTTGATAAGGTTACTGATGTATATGCAAAAATGAGTTGACATTTTGACAGGATCCATCGTTTATGCATATAAGTATAAACCACTAATTTTAGAGTGAAAGATATAGTACTGCGCGCATTTCATCAAACACTTCCAACCATGCATTCGTCCAAAAAAATACCCTCCACGACTGGTAAATTTCCTGATATATAATTGTGGTTCCTTTGGACTTATATATATGTTAAAACGACGGCAATAGCTATGGACATCTAAGACCCGTTTGTCGCGGCAGGAATGGAGTTTTATATCTTCAGCCGGAATATGGATCAAATCTGCTATATAAACGCATCTCGTTTTGAATATGAAAAAAAAAAAAAAAAAGATAAGAGAGAACAATAATCATGGTGACTTTATCTCAAAACAGTACTACTATTCGTCACTTGGGTCTCCCTCAGTCAAGAAGAGCCACGCTTCTTCTTGTTCTTTCGCTCTATCTTCTTGGTCATGCCACGTCGTCGTCGTCGTCGACGTTTAGCGACAAGCACAATAGCGACCTACCTGAACATGTTCCGGCCGTCGCTAACCGTACGAGCTTCCCGGCGGGCTTCCTCTTCGGGACGGCGTCATCGGCTTACCAGGTTGGTGGTCATATATATAAGCCTTCCTATTCGTTTATGGTATAAAAAAAAGCAAGGAATTTCCTTTTGGCAAACGACTGAAGAAGTCGTCGCTAAAAACGTTTGGAAAAGGCCACGGGTATTAAATTTTCTTCGTCGGGGTATGTGATGAACTTGGGGTTTTGATCAGTATGAAGGCGCTGCAGCTGAAGGTGGTAAAGGGCCAAGCATGTGGGATGCTTACACTTCCAAATACCCAGGTTCTATCTTCTTCTAAAATCCTATGCTGGTTATGTAAAGGTTTTTTCTTATAGATCATGTTAAATCGTATCGTGCGTAGTTTGATCGAGACGGAGATATGATAAAAATACGTAAGAACAAAATGGAATTACGTGGTTTTCTCGTTCAAATTGAGTGGCGAACGCTATACGTCACCGTTCACTATATGCCAGCGTTCACTATATCGTACTCCTGTCGAGTTTTACTACTTAGATCATGAATTAATCAAATTTTGGGGTATGATACTGTACCCTAACTTCTAATGAGTGAACCACCGTCTCTAATTCTCTAGCTCGAGTCAGAAGATTCATTTATATAAAAAAAACAATAATCGACGAATCTGATTCATCAAAATATATCACAGTCCAAATAACAAGTGTGAACACAAGCTGTGGCATATGCCAGGTGTACATGAGGCTTTGCCATATTTGTATAAATGGATTGCATATATTATATACTCTTGGTGTGTTTCCCTTTTGCACCTCTTTGTTGGCTGCATGTGTTACAAACAGCCTACTATGAAAGACGGTGCTGATAATAATGGATTGCATATATTATATACTCTTGGTGTGTTTAATTTGCAACAAACAATTAGTGATTTTATAGACTCATATTTATGAGCTCAGTAAATCCTTTTGTAAATGCATATTTGATTAGTTTGATTACAAGTCTGGCCGACTAATGTTGAGTATGGAAGCTACACACCGCGTTACATTCGCAAATTCCATACATCACCTTCCTCCGGTCCGGCCAACGGGCCGGGGCTACACGCTAGTTATATATAGATTTCGACCATAAACCCTAATTAACTACCATTAGGAGCCGAACCCTAGGCTCAAACCTACAACTATGGACTCCAACAACTTAACTGACCCAACTGAATGTTGATTTTGGGCTTTCACACCATGCTGTGCTTGACTCATAACTCAACAAGCGTGTGCAAACTTGAGTCTACAATGTTGATATTGGGCTCATACTCAGTATGTCTGTGCAAATTTGAAGTTTTCAACTTGTTGTTTGAAGGAGGATTAAGAAAGTGTTTATAAATTTTATAATTAACTTTTTCACAAGGGTTATTGGAATCAAACAATTTATGATAATAGTCGCAATAAGTTAGATAAAAAATTTGGGGTTTTGATGGCAAGGTGAAATGGCAGGTAAGATAGCCGATCGGAGCAACGGGGACGTGGCTATTGATGAGTACCATCGGTACAAGGTAATAATTAAATAATTAATAATGCCAAAGATGATTTTAATAATTGAAATATTTTGCCCACGGTAAACAATCAATCATATATAATATTATTGTACTCATTATGTCTTTTTTTTTTTTAATCACGTTTATGATATTTGCAGGAAGATGTTGCAATCATGAAGAACACGGGGTTAAATGCTTATAGATTTTCTATCTCATGGCCTCGTATTTTACCGAGTATGATAAGCATAACTTGCATTTTTCATCATTTTTCACCGTGCTATTATCCAAATCAAGCTAGACCTAGTCATATGTGTCATATTGTCAGATGGAACACTCAACGGAGGAGTGAATAAAGAAGGGATCACATATTACAACAACCTCATTAATGAACTTTTGGCTAACGGTAAATACAACTCCACTTTTAACACTAGACTAACTCCTTTATATAGTATGTCTCAGTTTTTTTTTAATCAATCAATCGCAGCAACTAAGATTAGTTAAGGTTCTTAATTGATTAGCTGTAGTAAAATTAAGTGTTAATATAATATCATCTACTTACCAATTAATTTCTCAAATTATGATTTTTTTTTCAGGCATAAAACCTTTTGTTACCCTCTTTCACTGGGACACTCCCCAAGCCCTTGAAGACGAATATGAGGGCTTCCTTAGCTATAAAGTTGTGTAAGTACCTTTATCACTCTTGAACTATTGAGATTAAAGAGTCAAATCGACATTGTTGCCTTTCTAACACAAAATGTTATATATCAACATATACATGTATGTCCCAGAAAAGATTTTGTTGGGTACGTCGATGTTTGTTTCGAGCACTTTGGCGATCGAGTTCAGCATTGGGTTACATTCAACGAGCCCATAGCTTACAGTTCGTATGCCTATGGCATGGGGATGATGGCGCCTGGCCGATGTTCAGGATGGATGAACTTGAACTGCACCGGGGGAGACTCAGCCACTGAGCCATACATAGTTGCACACAACCTCCTCCTCGCTCATGCAGCGACCGTAAAATTGTACAGAGAGAAATATCAGGTAAACAATCTACATACTTCAAAGTGTACTTTATCCGAATTTCCTAAAGGGGTGGCGATATGCTCAAATTTCGAAAGTTAATGTCGTTTATTATATTTCGTCTGTAGGCAACACAAAAGGGTGAGATGGGCATTGCCCATGTGTCGCAATGGGGTATTCCTCTCTCCGATTCTAAGCAAGATCACAAAGCTATACAACGGGGAATGGATTTCATGCTAGGATGGTACGTACGTGCTTTGTTCATAGTATAATTAGATCTAATTTTTGGATATCTGAAACCTGAATCATTATCGTGAGAACACTTGTTGTAGGTTTATGGATCCATTGGCCACAGGAAACTATCCACGATCGATGAGAGCTATCGTGGGGAAACGATTGCCCAAATTCTCAAAGGAGGAATCCAAGATGTTGAAAGGCTCCTTTGATTTTGTGGGGTTGAACTACTACACAACTTTCTATGTTTCCAATGCACCACCTTCTAACCCTCTGTTCTCAAGCTCAACGACTGATTCTCGAACCAATGCTTCACGTAAGCAATTTAATGAAACTAAACCAATTACCATCTACACTATTAAACCTAACTCATGTGTATGCATTTTTGTCACTAATTATTTGCAACTTCTTATGTGTTTCATGTTGGCTATTAATAATGAAGCTATGAAGAATGGTGTCCCCATCGGCCCAAAGGTATGTTTGCTCCAATCAATCGTTAACTTCTTCATTAAATGGAAGGAAATTAGTAACGGTGGTTACAATAACTCGAGGACTTGAATCGGAACAACTTGTAAACAGATGTGTGAAACGGTATCTTGTATCATTTTTATACACATAAATTCAGACAAAATTAATTAAGTTCCAAGTAGTGACTAGTGCTTGATGTTGATCAATCGGAAATGATAACAATTAACTTGAACACTGACACCGGATTTACGTGGTATCCCTGGAGTGATCCAGGACTAATCCACGGAAGAGCTCTGAACGCTCTTCTAGCTACTGATGTTATTAATCTGATGATCCAAAAACTGATGCGGTCGGCTCAACCTATACAGGGAAAAAGGAAGAACATATATCGGGAGAAAGGAACTAGAGTCGAACCCTAGGGATGCCTCCTGCTCTCGTCTGGGCTCCCATGCATGGGTTACATGGACTCGTACAAAAGAATGGGCTATATCTACTGGGCCTCGTATAAACACGTACAAAACTATTTACAAACATACGAACCCAAAATATATAACCCGCTAACAGCCTCCCCCAAATTGATGCTGATCACAAAGCATCAATTTGCTCGAGAGATACCAATGGCGACTGGGGGAGAAGGCTTTGGTGAAAATATCAGCGATCTGATCCTCAGTGCGGACATAGTGAAGAGTTATAGTGCCATCGCCAACCAAGTCGCGGATGTAGTGCACATGAATTTCGATATGCTTGGTGCGATCATGTAAGACTGGATTAACAGCAATCCGGATTGCACTCGTATTATCCACATAGAGAACCATAGGGAGAGAACAAAGAACACCCAGATCACGAAGTAGACGACGCAACCAGACAAGCTCAGAAGCAACATCGGACATAGCGCGGTATTCAGCCTCTGTAGAAGACTTCGAGACCCTATCTTGTTTCTTACAACGCCAGGAGATAAAAGCAGAGCCAAACTGAACAGACCAGCCAGTGGTAGAGCGTCTAGTATCAACACAGCCAGCGAAGTCGGAATCGGAATAGGCGCTCAAAGCAAAAGAGCCAGTGGAAGGAAAGAACATACCAACATCACGAGTCCCCTGGAGATAGCGCAGAATACGATGAACTGCAGCGAGATGATCAGTTCGAGGAGAGGCCATAAACTGGCTAACAATCTGAACGGCATATGAGATGTCTGGACGAGTAGCAGCAAGATATATTAAACTCCCAACAATGCTTCTATAACCTGCTGCATCCTGAAGCAACTCACCAGATGTGCGGCCTAGTCGTAGATTAGATTCCATGGGTGTAGAAACAGATTTACAATCCTGAAAATGATGATCAGACAGTAAATCAGAGATATATTTACGCTGACTTAAGAGTAGGCCTTTGGAGTTCCGAGTAACCTCAAGACCAAGAAAGTATGAAAGATCCCCCAGGTCCTTGAGATTAAATGCGGCATTGAGACCCTCTTTAAGACTCTGAATACCAGCCGGATCAGAACCTGTAATGACCATGTCGTCGACATATAACAAGAGGGCCACGAGACCAGCAGCAGTCTTGCGGGTGAAGAGAGACGGATCATTTAAGCTCTGCTGAAATCCAAGAGCACGTATAGTAGACTGAAACTTCTCAAACCAGGCACGAGGTGCCTGTTTGAGACCATATAAAGAGCGATTGAGACGACAAACCTGATCTGCAGTACCCATGGAATAACCAGGAGGACACTCCATATATATCTCCTCCTCCAAGTCACCGTGAAGAAAAGCATTCTTCACATCAAGTTGATACAGAGGCCACTGCTGACGGGAAGCAACTGCTAATAAAGTCCGAACTGTAGACATTTTCGCCACTGGTGCAAAAGTCTCATTATAATCCACACCAAGCTCCTGCGTAAAACCCTGTGCAACCAACCGAGCTTTATGGCGTTCAATTGTACCATCGGGATTCATCTTGATGGTGTAAACCCAACGACAGCCAATAACAGATGTGGAAGGAGGAGGTCGGGGAACTAATGTCCAAGTGTTGTTAGCATGCAAGGCATCTAATTCACGCTTCATAGCATAGTCCCAGACAGGATCACCTTGAGCTTGCTTATAGCGAGTGGGAACAATGTAGGAATCCACTCCATAAGCAAAATAATCATTGAACTTAGGAGGGGGTACACCTTGAGTAAGCCAAGTGGATCGGCGCGGTGGGGCAGCTGGAGATGAGACAGTAGCGGACGAATGCAAAGGAGAGGAGGATGAGCTACTGGCCGAGCTGGGAGGCGACGCAGATGTAGCCGGGGAGTTCTCTTGAGCGGACGAGCTGGCCAAGGATGGAGAGCTGAAGGAAGGCGAGCTGGCCGTGGTGTGTGTGACGGACGAAGACAGATGCGGAGTGGGAGGAGTAGGAGGGTCAGCGGGAGGATCAGGACCATCATCATCATTATGCCCAAAGAATGGTAAGGGTAAAGTGGATGGAAGAAAACTTGGGGTGGACGAAGGACTCGAGTGAAACATAATGTGTTCAAAAAATATGACGGTTGTAGCAATACGCATACGGTGAGATGAAGGATCAAAACATAAATAACCCTTATGCACATCACTATAACCCAGGAAGACACAACGAGCAGTTTTAGAAGACAGTTTAGTACGCTCTCGCCGAGGAAGAAGAACAAAACACAAGGATCCAAAAACACGAAGACGAGAGTAATCCGGATGCTTATGATAGAGCGCATAAAAAGGACTGACGTTGTGCAGGATCGGAGTAATTTGATAATTGATAAGACGGACAGCGGTAGCAACTGCCTCGGGCCAAAAACGACTAGGAACATTAGAAGCAAGAAGCAGTGCACGGGTAAGATCTAAAACATGCCGGTTTTTTCTTTCGACTAGACCATTTTGTTGGGAAACGCCAGGACATGATTTTTGACTGAGAATGCCTAGAGACCGATAAACCTCATGTAACGGAATAGAACTGAATTCACCACCAGGATCGGAACGTACTATTTTCACAGGCCGATCAAACTGAGTATTAATCATTTTCAGGAACTCAGTAGCAACCGATCGTAGTTCCGATTTAAGACGCAAGAAGTAAACCCAAGTAAACCGTGTAGCATGATCAATAAACAGGGCAAAATACCGAAAACCATGTCGAGAAATAACAGTGGACGGACCCCACAAATCAGTATGAATAATATGAAATGGTTGATCGATAACAGTGTCACTGGATGGAAAAGAACGACTAACGGTTTTTGCTTCTACACAGCTCGTGCAAGAATGTTGTGCAGGAATACTAACGGTATTTTTGCCAAGTAATGACTGTTTAAACATCATAGCTAACCGACTCGAATGAGGATGTCCTAAACGAGAGTGCCAAAGATCCCAGGCATTATTAGACTGACTCGAAAAACATGAAACAGGACTATGGACGGACCTATCGAGAGAACTACTAATGGGCGATGATGATGAATCTCCACGAAACTCCTCGAGGTGAAAAATTCTCCCTCGTTTACTCCCTTTTCCGATCTGCCTCCCCGTCTTCAAGTCCTGGATAAAGCAGCCAGATGGAGCAAACAAAACAGAACATCCCTCTTCGGTTAGTTGACCCACAGAAACCAAATTCGGAACAAGGTGTGGAACATGAAGAGTATGTGGCAAATTGAGCTTGGAATCATTCATTATACCCACTCCCTTAACTTGTAACTGATTACCATTAGCAACCCTCAAAGACAAGTCACGAACAGACTCCAAATTTGTCAAACAGCTAGAGTCATGAGTCATGTGATTGAAACATGCTGAATCAAGGAGCCAAGGAGGTTTCTTACCTGTCGATCCATGGAGAGTAGCAAAGGCTGCATTAATGGCAGTAGGGAGAGATCTTTGGAGGGCTGCGTTCACCATTTGTTCAACATCACTTGCGGAAAGACTCCCACTACCACTGCTGCTTGCGTCGGTGAGGTAAGCTGGGCGATCACTATGATTATTATATGAGCGGTCAGCAGGTCTATTATATGGACGTTCAGCATGTCCATTATATGGGCGATCAGAAGGTCCATTATATGGACGTGAAGAGAATCCTGTTGATGGCGGATTGCGTCCGGGAGGAGCGGCGGCCATACCACCAGTGACTCTTGCCTCGTGCCTTTGTCGAGTGCGGCAGTCGAGCACTATGTGACCGGTTCTTTTGCAATATACGCAAAAATTCCAGCCACGACAGTGCTTCTTCAGATGGCCACGTTCATGGCAATGATGGCACTCTAATTCGGAGGCAGGAGTGCGGCGTTGGAATTGAAGTCGGTCGGCAGCGTAGGCAGATCCTTGGGACGCAGCAAAAATGGTTTCCCCCGCTCCAGGACGTACATCCAGCTGGGCCTGGGTTCTCATTCGAGTCTCTTCTCGAATCAACACCCCTAGCATGCCATCAAATTTAAGGTCGGCCTGATTCAGCAAGGTAGAGCGGACAGCTTCAAATTCGGGCCGTAGCCGCATCAAGAAACCCATCAACCTATTTTGTCTTCGTTCGGCTAGTGCATCTGCTGAAATGGATTGTGGACGAAGAGCAGCAGCTATGATATCCTGTTCGGTCCACAATTCTTGGGCGGCGTTGAAGTAGTCCGTGACGGATTGATCGCCTTGTTCAAGGCGGGCCAAAGCCACCTGTACTTCGAACTGGCGGGCAATATTCATCGTGGAATATGTTGCTTTCAGATGCTCCATCATCGCGTGAGAAGTAGTGAACTGACGGAGAGACAAGCATGTGGAGGGATCGACACAATCAAGCAGCCAGGATCGAACGCGGGCATCCCGCTGATTCCACTGATCAATCTCGGAGGCAGGAAAAGTAGGGCGCGGCTGAGGCGTGGTCCCATCGAGTATGCCAAGCATACCACGACCTTCAACAAAGACTCGGAACTGGAATTCCCACAGAGCAAAATTCGTAGAAGTCAAACGAACGGAGGGACGATCAGAAGCCATTGGCGGAAGCTCTGATACCATGTTGATCAATCGGAAATGATAACAATTAACTTGAACACTGACACCGGATTTACGTGGTATCCCTGGAGTGATCCAGGACTAATCCACGGAAGAGCTCTGAACGCTCTTCTAGCTACTGATGTTATTAATCTGATGATCCAAAAACTGATGCGGTCGGCTCAACCTATACAGGGAAAAAGGAAGAACATATATCGGGAGAAAGGAACTAGAGTCGAACCCTAGGGATGCCTCCTGCTCTCGTCTGGGCTCCCATGCATGGGTTACATGGACTCGTACAAAAGAATGGGCTATATCTACTGGGCCTCGTATAAACACGTACAAAACTATTTACAAACATACGAACCCAAAATATATAACCCGCTAACACTTGATTGCAAAGGAAGTTTTCTTCTTGTAAGAAAATGCGCAGCAAATTATTTAAGAAAATGTTACGTATTTTTTTAACGATGTGGTAATACCGAATATTATGTGATTTAGTTACCCCTTTAACTAATTTGTCTTACAGGCAGGGGTATCTTGGCAGTACATTTACCCCAAAGGAATTAGAGATGTTGTGCTCTACACAAAGAAGAAATACAATAATCCACTAATTTACATCACAGAAAATGGTGAGCTAATGTGTTGGATATATAGTTGGATCTCAATAAATTGAAGGTTATATATATGCTTGCATGATTAACAAAATCATCATTTTCTCTGTGGAAAACAATTATTCTTAATTCATAGGCATGGGCGAGGTCAATAAAGAAAGAATGAGCCTCACGGAAGCTCTTAATGATACCTTAAGAGTGGATTTCTATCGTCAGCATCTTGCTTATCTCAACAGTGCAATCAAGTAAGATATATCATGATATAAATAAATGACCTAATTAAATTTAAGGTGTATTGTATATCCTTACAGTACCCTGAGAGTGGATTTCTATCGTCAAGATATAATTAGATTTTACAACTATAATTTCAACCAAAATATTTTTTACAACTATAAAAATGTTTTGTATGCACTAAAAATTCAAGTTGTGTTGTATGTTGTTCCCTATTAATTATTATTAACAATCTATAATTTTTTTTATTTTCTCTTAAAAAACTTACAGGGATGGTGCAAGGGTGAAAGGTTACTTTGCTTGGTCATTGTTGGACAACTTTGAATGGACGAAGGGATACACGGTTCAATTTGGCATTAATTACGTGGACTACAAAAATGGGCTCAAACGATATCCTAAGCAATCCGCCCTTTGGTTCCGAAGATTCCTGAAGAATGAAAAATGACCTATTTGATTTTCTTTTAGTGGCGGTTGTTTCTCTGATGGAACTACTGCATCCTTTCTGAAATGAGATAAAGATATGAGATCATTAAGTAGTCAATTTGGAAGGGCTCTTGGCCTATTCCGATCCTATCAAATTGTACCAACTTGCTATTAGTCAATGTAATTATGAGTCATTAATTACCCTAATATCAACTAAACCACGTTTTGATTTCAAATTAACACCCAAAAAAAATTGTGTTGACATATGGGTTTTCAAAGCTCCCCATCGAATCAGTACTACAGAAGCAATAACAAGGAGATTGGTTAGTCAAAGCGACATGGAGAGCAGCGTCAGCCACCTGAAAATGAAGCCAACTAAGGAAGGAAGGATCGTTAGTCGATCAACCCATTAACCCTTAACCCACTAGCTCGATCAGGCCAACGAGCTAAACCGAATTGACAATCTTGGTAAAGAGTAATGAACTGTTTGTTTGTTACTCCAATTTTTTTTTCTTATGATGGTGCTATATAGATTAAAATTAAGAATCTGGATTAAGAATTTATACAGACCATTAAAAAGACAGCACTTAAAAATAACTTATAATTGACAAGAAATGACTAAAAGAAATGTAAAACGACCCTCACTTTGACTCCTAATCTAGCTCTTAGCTACCTTTCATTATCTGCTTGACGACAAGAACTATAAAAACAATCCCCAGTTTGACTCCTAATCTAGCTCTTAGCTATCTTCGATTTGCTGCTTGCCAACTCAAGAGATCGAGAACCGATTTTGATAGAGAGAAGGAATTTGTTACGAGATAGAATCGACCTGGAAATTCAAAGAACTAGGTTGGCGTATTTTTATTTTTTTTATTATTTTGGAATTATTTGGGTTTGTATTTTTTTCTGTCTAGAATAGCTAAGTAGTAATTACGTTAGTATTTAATTCGAGGAATTTTCCAATGCTATATAGTATTGGTACTATAGGTTTTTGTATTTATGGTACAACTTGAAATTGTACTTTTAACGTTATGGTACAACTTCCGATTGTACCTATACTTTTTGTACAAATTCTTTTATGGTACAACTTGAACTTGTACTTTTATGTGATGGTACAACTTCAAGTTGTAAAGTTGTACCATAACATAAGGATACAAATTCCTTTATGGTACAACCTAAACTTATACATTTAATGTTATGGTACAACTTCAAGTTGTACATTAAAGCACCAATACTATATAACATAGTAGAAGTGCTCATTTAATTAATGTTTCTTGTAAGAAAGAAAATGAATTCAAGTATGAAAGGGATAAGGAGAGCTAGAGAGACCAAGGCCTAGGAATAGGATGAGAAGGAAAAAGATTTGATTATGCAACTATATAAATATGTGCTTTATCTACGATTAATAATTTATGAGAAGATTGAAATTTGATATATGTTTCTTGTTTTTGGTATTTTACTAGTACTTTTCGTAGCTATTGCAGGGTTGTTGTAACTATTAAAGAGATCATCTATTCGAGAATTTCAAATAAACTATCTTAAAATTCGGTGATCAAATATTCATAGAAGTCAACATCGGAGGCACATCTACGCCTAACAGAATGGGTCACTTGGAGTCTAGAAATTGATTCTAAAAATCTGTATTCCTTGGAGGTCACCCCCTCCATCTCTATAAATCCATCAAGAGAAAATATGACAATGCAAAACTGAAAACCATGACATCCTACTTGCAACCAATCCGTTTTTAGATATTCAAGGTGATTATTAAAAAAAAAAGTCTCGTATTCCTGCAAGCTGTTTTGTACCAACTATTAAATTCCTGCCACCCTTGATCCCATCCATATCCAAGGCTCCAACAAACTGACCTTTATTTTGTTCATTTACTGTTTGTTTTTATTTTATTTTATTGGAGCATCATCCCATTTCCAGAGCAAAACAAATGCGAGAAATTAACAGGAAATTACAAGAAATACATTCTCTCTTCTTAGATCAAGTAGCGGCCTCCAATGGCATTAACCCAAAACTCGACCAAAGCATTTCCACCGTCTCGTGACTCTCATCAGAAAGATTCTTCTATCACGACAAACAGAAAGCGAGTTAAAGTGAAACACTAAACCCTAAAGGTGCCGCCAAAGAACCCTCTACAAATTAAAAGACTACGGAATCCCAAACCGAGGCTGCCAAAAGATTCGTGCTATAGTTATTAACTGGAGTGGTTATACGGTTCGGTCCGGTTAAATTAGTCCGAATTGATTAGGTTTTGATTCGGTTTTTTCGAGAATATAAGGACTAAAGATTGGATTGGATACAGTCCGGTCTCAATTCGGTCTTGATTTTAGATTGACTTTGTGGGGATTTGAGTGGCCTGAGGCCTGAAAGGGTGAGGAGTTAGTAAAATTTTGGGTGTTAGGGTCTCTTATCCGGTCTTTATCCAATTTTTGGTCCGGTCCCGAACGATTTTTTTTACCTCAAATCGAAGCCCGAATATGGGATTTGATTGTTTGCTATTCGGTCCTGCTCCGTTGTCGATCCGGATTGTACGATCCGGTCTCGAGTAAAACCAAAAAGTCCGGACCAAATAACCAACGTAGTTGTTAATATTCACCACACCGTCTTCAGGTGAATCCCTCGTTGATTGGTAATCTCAATTCACTTCTTCTTTGTTTTGATGGGTTCATTCAATTACTTCTATATAAACCACTAGTAGTCACCATTTCCTCTGGACAAATCAAAGTAGGGAGGTTTCTACAAACTCAAAAGATTTGTCAATTCAAGTGTCATGGCTATGTTCATGACCAGCTGCTTCCTGCTCGTATTTTCGTCGCTAATAGTTATCGATGGAGCTCGAGTTATGATCAATCGCTCTGCCCGCGATACTACTGCGATCAATGGTACTACAAGTAGCAGAGCTTCTTCCCTCAACAGAAGGAGCTTCCCTGCCGGCTTCATATTCGGCACGGCTTCCTCGGCATACCAGGTACTTTAGATAGTCGTCACTATTTCTGAAGATCGGAGGTTTTGAACTTTTAAGGACGAGAGTTGGTCACTAAAGGCACGGAAAAAAAACCGTCGCTGAAACTCATTACTACAAAGATCTTTTTCGGGGGGAAAAAGGGTTATAATTAGGGAAACGCCGAGTTGGGCCGTTGTTGTTTTCCACATCGAAGAAGATCATCATTTTGTTTAGGGGTCGTTTGGATGGATCAATTGTAAAACGAGACAATTTGACCAATTGTTTCATTTTACAAAACGAGTCATTTAAAACGAGTCAATTCAGATTACCTGCCCCCACTCCAGACAATTGTAATTGGCTCAAAATAAGTCAATTCAGAATTCCCCAGCCCAAATTGTTTCATTGAAATTTTCTGCTGCCAAACGGATCAATCTAGCACAATTGACTTAAAACGAGACAATTGTGTCAGATTGATCCATTAGAATTCCTCATCCAAACGACCCCTTAAAGAATATTTACTAGTGATATAAACTAGAGGCAGGATCGTCGTTAAAAATGGTGTCCAAATGTGTCCGTGAATTTATGGCGACGGAAATGTGTTACTCGTAGTTAAATTACAAGACGAGAAAACTTGTGAAGGAAAAAAATCACCTATGAACTATATATAAGACGAGATAATCGTTTTTATTTCTTTACCAATGACTACTAATTAAAGACATTTCATTCAAATTGATTGTAGGAAATGGTCACGGTTTAAGTAATTTGTTCGTCACTAATTCATGTGTTGTTTGTTGCCAGTATGAAGGTGCGGCGAATGAAGGTGGCAGAACTCCAAGCATCTGGGACAATTACGCTCATCAATTCGCAAATAAGATAGCCGACCATAGTAATGGAGATGTGGCAACGGATTCTTATCACCGTTACAAGGAAGATGTTAAGATCATGAAGGATTTGGGTTTTGAAGCTTATCGAATATCGATATCATGGTCAAGAATTTTACCCAGTAAGTCAGTTGCATATCTCGCAAAAAAAAAAATCCTCATATTTATGTTATGTTGAGATCAAGATTCGAACCAACAACGAATGCACAATAAAATGCACTGTATATGTTGATTCATCAGATGGAAAGTTGAGTGGAGGAGTGAACAAAGAAGGAGTGAAGTATTACAACAATCTCATCGACGAACTCCTCACAAATGGGATCCAGCCCTTCGTGACTATCTTTCACTGGGATCTCCCTCAAGCTCTGGAAGCAGAGTACAAGGGTTTCCTTAACCCTCGTGTCGTGTAAGTAAAACCGTATTCCGATCGGGCCTTAATATCAAATCAAATCGTCACAATAACTCGAGTTGTTATCAGATCTTCTATGCTCCGTTTCACTTGGTAACCTTTTTGGCAGGAGTGATTTTCGGGACTATGCGGAAGTATTGTTCAAGGAGTTTGGGGACAAGGTGAAGAACTGGATCACAATCAACGAGCCACTGAGCTACAGCGCCGCAGGGTATGCGTATGGCTATCTTGCGCCGGGGAGGTGCTCCAGTTGGGTGCCCATGAACTGCACAGGCGGAGACTCGTCAACCGAGCCTTACATCGTCGGCCACCACATCCTCCTCTCTCATTCCGCCGCCGTCGATTTGTACAAGCAGAAATATCAGGTTTTTCTCCTCTTCGTACTAGTCTTTGATTGATTGATTTTTCAGAAATAGGGTAGCTAGCTGTTTATTATAAACAAACTACTCTCGATGATTCGAGTTGTTGAGAGAAAATTAATTATAGATCTTACTTTCTTACACACTCCCTCAAATGAAAGTCAACTCACGGATTTGAAATTTGCACATATCCACTATACCTTTTGCTTAAATCAACTATTAATATTAAGAATTATTATGAAAATTCAAACCCACAACCGCTTGGTCAAATCTGTTCTGGTATCAGGTCATGATCCCACAATAACTCGAATTATTAATGAAATGTAATCATGAATACTCTCTTAATCATTTGAGATTAATTTGTCTTTTTTTTGCTTTGGTGAATGGTTCAGGCAAGGCAGAAGGGTCAGATAGGGATCACACTGGTGTCTCCATGGGTAATTCCCTACACTAACTCCACTGAGAACAGGAATGCACAAGCTAGATCTCTTGATTTCAGTTTGGGCTGGTTTTTCGAACCCCTGACGAGCGGTTCTTATCCGCAATCGATGAGGACTCTCGTCGGCAAGAGGCTGCCCGAGTTCACGAAACAAGAATCGGAGAAGATCAGAGGGTCGTTCGATTTCATCGGGATGAACTATTACACGGCTTCTTATGCAGTTGATACGCCTTTGTTTGGCTTTGCACCCCGGAGCTACATGACTGATTCACTTCTTAACACAACAGGTATATCTTTCCATCGAGTACGGTTTGTCGTAAACTATTTGGTTTCAATAACTCGAACTATTAGGAGAAGGTTCATGTGAGGATCTTATATTACTTCTTGCATGCCCCTCAAACTCAAAGTCAAATCATGGGATTGCACAGGCTTTTCATATACATACCACGTGTTTAAATCAATGATTAATATGACGGGTTGTGAAAAGTGAGAACTTGTACACGAGATATCACAACCAGGAAAGCTCTGATATCATGTCAAGAACCAATTGATCCCAATAACTCGAGTAATTGGACCAAACATATTATTATAGTCTGGTTTGCCCAAATAAGTGTGTATTCAATCTCCCCGACAATCAATATTAACATTTGACTTAAAGCACATGCAGTGGCGGAGGGAAGGCAAGAGGAGAGGGGCCCGAGGACCCCACTTGGAAAATTTTGGGGGGAAATTCTTTAGATAAATAGACTTTAGAATGATTATGCAAATATAGGACCCCATACATATTCACTGTTATACTTGTTGTTTCTAAGGACTCCCATCAACTCAATGCTCATTAGATACATAGGGTTTTATTGTTATTAATTTTTTAAGAACAACATTTTGTTTAAAGTCTGGCTACATCACTGAGCTCATGATATGTTGGATTTGTGTCTACTTCAAATTTATAAGTTGACTTTCATAAAAATGATGTATAAAAAAATAATATAAGATTCATAATTAATCTTCACTCATTATTTTGGCCAGTTACTTTATTACACTATTAACAATTTACTACCCATCCGATGAACAATTAGTTGAAGAAATTAATTTCGTTTTTTCCTTTCTGGCAGACAACCGTAATGGAGTCTCAATTGGACCAAAAGTGAGTATAACTAAATTATTTTGGTCGTCTCATTATGTTATGTGAAATAATTCATTTTCCTGTTAATTGCAGGGAGCTTCGAGTTGGCTAAATGTGTATCCCAAAGGAATATATGATATTTTGTCGTACATAAAGCGCAAGTACAACGATCCAGTCATTTACATTACAGAAAATGGTATAGGGAATCTATGGAACTGAAACCCTTGATCTCGTCGCTAATGAGTGCCTGTTAATAGCGACGACATTTTGGTTTTAACATAAAGATCGTTATTATGTCTATGTTCTTTATATATACCAGGGATCGACGAGCTCAATAACGACAAGGTGCTGCCGCCGGCAGAAGCTCTCCAAGACAAAATGAGGATCCGTTATCACCGCCGGCATCTGTATTACCTCCAGAAAGCGATCCGGTAAATTTCCTACACCATTGATTTTGTGTGCATACCAGAAAGTCTTGATACATAATTAAAAGTAACAAGCAAATAGCAAACGATTTTTGTCATAAATGCACATGTTTTGTTGTTCATTATTATATAATTGGAAATTTAAAACTATTTTAGGATGGATCAGCAATTCAGCATGGTCAAATTGACGAAAATTGAAATCACGCACTTTTTTCATTGGTTGGTGGAAGTATTTTAAAATTTCACTTATCTAACACTAAATTATAATAAATCAAACACTAAATTCTAGCAATACATGCATTCATATTTTAAAAATATTAAAATCACATTTTAAAAAATGAGTATGAGCAGGGTGTGCAAAGATCATGTCCAAAGTCATGAGAACCACGATCCAATAGTGAAAGACGGCATAGAACCAATGATCAGACCAACAATGCATTTTTTTTCCAGTTTGGTTCGATTCAAATGTCAATTCAGTCCATTTTCTCCAATATTTATTAGGGATGTGCAATAAATTAGTCTATCCGGACCATACCAAACCAAACCGATTCAATGTGGTCTGGTCCACCGAACCAAACAGTTGCACACTCTATGTATGAGTGTGTTATATAATTTTCCATTTTCCATCCATCAACCCCCTAAATTATATTGGGCTTTTCATTTGGCAGTGATGGAGTTAACGTAAAGGGCTATTTTGCTTGGTCGTTGCTGGACAATTACGAATGGACAAGTGGATACACTACTCGATTTGGACTATTTTATGTGGACTTCAAGAATGGGCTTGCTCGATATCCCAAACAATCTGCCAAGTGGTTCAAAAGTTTCTTATCCCAATAGTGTTCATCATCCACCAAAACCCCTAATTTTATCCAAACCTAGAAACTCTCCTTGTTTCTCATATCTTTGTTCTTTTATCCTTTAATCAAGTTGTTGCAGGTTCTAATGGCATTAAGAGACAATCCTCCTCTTTTCTAACTTAGTAAGCTTTCATGTTATGTAGAAGTAGGTTTAATTGGGTGTAACTGGGAGGGTGAAATTCGCAATTGTATGCATTGAAGAAAATGCATTGTTTTTCATCAAGATTATTGATGTATTTGGGTGCAGTTACAATTTCACAATTAATATCAACATTATATAATATCATATACTTTTTTTTGAAAGAGATACACTGATGGCGTCTTAATTTGTATTAGACATCAAACATTATTGGGTTATAGTTATACTCATTACATCAAAGAGATCTATTAGCTAAACCTCGGGTCATACATATCGATAGGATGTATACCAAAATGAAAGCCATGGCCTTTGTTATCCAAGTAATCAGTTGCACTATTGCATTCTTTGTATATGTGCTCAGTCTACACTTCCCAGTCGAGTACATGAACAACAAGGTACTTGGCTAAGTAGTGTTTTGGACAACCAGATGATTATAAATGAATTTTTTTTTTATCAATTTCATAACGTTCCTAGAATAGAAAACATGAAACTTCTCTTTAGTTATGATTTCTCCTGAGGCAGAATAGATTTTTTCGATGTATTTCATAACAACCTCTGCTTGTCTTAGGCTAGCATAACAAAAATGACTAGTTCATCAACAAAGAAAAGGTAAGACTAATGATTTCCATCCTTTTGATAGTCTAATGGGTTTCCATCTCCCTTACCTAACTTCCTTATTGATACAATGACCCAAACTTTCAATTCATAAAGTGAAGATATAGAGTGATAGAGGACATCCTTGTCTGAGACCTTTGTTTCTCCTCCACCGCAAAAGACTTGCAGTTTAGTTGTTGTGACAAAAGTCATGATCATTCGAACTCCATCAACTTCGATTCCTATAGCTTGGAGGGTTTCTTCCAGAAAGTTTCAATCAAGTCAATCATATGTCTTGGCTAAATCAATTTTTAGTCTCCATTCTTCCTTGACATGGATTGAACTGTTTCTCACAAGATCAAGATGTTATCAGTGATGTTTTTGTTAGGTACAAAGATTTACTGGTTAGGTTTGATAAGAAGGTTTATGAGGGGTTTGAGTCTCTCAATAAGGCACGTTGCAATAACTTTATAATCAAATTTAAAGGCTTATCGGCTAGAATTGGCTCATTGAGTTAGGTGCTTCTACTTTGGGAATCAACATGAGAAGGGTATCACTAATTTTTCTTATGTGTCCTGGATTCCCAAAGTAGGAGGCCACAAATCTGTGAAGATCCGGCCAGATCAAATCCCAATAAATCTGTCAGAAAAGGGCATGATGCTCATCGTTTCCCGGTTATCTCATTCATTCTAGTGACAATGGTTTGCACTTACAACATAAGGATTGGTATTCCAATATTCCTAAGTGCAACTTCATCAATGTCAAAGAATTTTGCAGCCGCTTCAATTATGTCCATATGGTCTTCCTTAGAGAAGAGCTTGATGAAGAACTCTCGCGCCATTCTTTGGAGTGTTTTTAGATCTGTTATCCATTGATCAATGTCATTTTGAGGCTCTTAATCTTATTTCTCTTCCTTCTGATTAGAGTACTAGTGTGGAAGAAGCATGCGTTTTGATCTCCCTGTGTGATCCCATTCACTCTTAACTTTTGTAGCCAGAGGAGTTCCTCTAGCCACAGAGTTTCTTCTTGTTCCTCTCTAATTCCTTGTTTAGCTTGGAGTACTGATTGGTTGTTCGGCTCCCTTTCATTCCCCCACTCCAATACTCCAGCTTGTTTATCAGTTCCTTCTTTCTTTTAAAAATGTCGCCAAAGGCTTCTTTAATCTATCTTCTTAACTTGTCAGTAAGATCCTGCAGGGATGGAAGAAACTTTTGATCCTTATTCCACACGTCAGCAACCAAAGGAAAGAATTCCTCGTTTTTCTTCCATGTTGCAACGATTGTATTAGTCGTTTATTTCTTTATTATCTATGAATGTATTAGCCGACCCATTTCATAACAACCTCTGCTTTTTTCATAATATGAATACGCGTTGTTTTGTCTATGAAAACAATAATTGTATTAGTTGTTTATTTCATTATTATCTGTATTATTCGGATATTATTTGTTGTAATTATTTTTATTAAATTATGAGTTATTTATCAGTTTATATTCTTAAAAGAGGAGACAAGTACTTTTGACTCCCAACTCACCACTGCCCATACCCTACCCATAATCAACGAATTTACTTGGGATTGTGTAAAATTATCTGTGGGTGGATTTATGATGGATTTGTTGCATTTTGTATTTGAAAGATAGGGTTAGATTGGTGTACTCCTGTAGTATACTATATTTTAGGTATTCCTAGTAAGATATATCTATCTAGACCATGAATTAAACTGAGCGTGGGTTATGATACTATACTCTAACCTCCAATGGATAAACCCCAAGCCCCGATTCTCTAAACTCAATCCCGAAGTTCAATTTAATAGAAAACAATATTTGACCGTTGAGATTGATCGGAGCATATCAAAGTACATCTAACGGCCAGATCCCCTAGAGTATACTATACTCCTGAAGTATACCAGTCATTACCTTGAAAGACAACATTGTTTGTTTAGTTGATCTTTTATCATGGATTTACTTGATTTGATATTTGGGTCTCAAAAGTTTGCCTTCCATACCCAAATATCAAATGAAATGTGGTATTTGCAAATACCCGAGCTCAATTGTTACGACCATCAGATCAAGAAGTTGTCTCCGACACCTTTAATCGAGTTGTTTCGTGTTACATTGAGTATTTTAGATACGTTATTCTTCAATACCCAATGATTTATGTTCTATACTATTCGATATTGCTTGATGTGCTAATAAATTGGTACACAAGATAATGAAGAAGAAGAAGAAGAAGAAGAAGAAGAAGAAGAAGAAGAATAAATCAGATGGAGATGCTGTTGGGAACTCCCTGTCCTGTAACTCCAGGCTTAGAATGAGGCTTCAAAAGCTCATACGGCAAAACCCCAGCTCCACTCCTATTCTTCAGCTCTTCATTAGCATTCCTCTCATCAATAATACCTTCCAACACCTTCAGCCTCCCACTGAACTTCTCAAAAGCCGCCTTTATCAACGGCTCATCGCTCCAGCTCCACTCTATCTCGTCTCCGATGTACTCCTCGTCGGGGGAATGATTCGACAGCACGTTCAGCACAGCCATCACTCTCGTCGCCTGCAGCTTCGAAGGGAAGGTAGCTAGAAGCACGGCTTCCGGCCTTTTCAGGAAGAATTTCCATTCTTCTTCGGTTGGGTCCTCGTCCGGCATCTTGATTCTGGTTATGGTTGGCCTGTTGGGGAAGTAACCTGCGAATGCATACTGTCCGAAGTTCACCGAGGCGTGGTGGCCTGAAGTCACCCACATTATAATGGTGAGGATTTCGATGAGGTCGTTGGAGGTCTTGAGCTGTGGCCACCATGGTTCGTTCTTCTTGTCTGCGTGGCCCTTGGTTCGTATCTCTGTCCACCATGCTTGGAGCTCTGGGTCGGCCTCGACGAGCTCTGGCTCTGGGTAGTAGTGAGTGACGTAGTCGGTGACCCACTCCTTGATTGTGTCCCATAGAATGAGGCCATCATTTGCGAAAGGGTAGTCCTCTATCGTGAGTTTCAGGCCGTGGGGTGCGTTTTCATCTTCAACTGCCATTCCCCTGAATTTAAATGAAATGACCAAACAAGGGGATGGTGTTCATGAACGTCTTTTTGAATGTGAAACATGGAAGGTTGGTAATAAAAGTAGCAAGTTACCTGCGTATGAGGTCTTTAGGTAGCGCTTCGTAGTCGAATCTCCAGAACTGATCGTATGCAGCTGAGCAGATATCTAAGGAGTATTTCCCAGGTGAAAATGATGATTCAATGATACCGCCTGCATTGATGAGTGATTCTCGAGCGAGGGAGTTGATCTCCATTGTGTATCTGAAGTGAGGATGAAGTAATCTGTGAATGGGATGCATCACACTAAGCTGCCGATTTGTCGCTATAATGTATGGTTCAGTCGCACAATGTGTTCTTAGCCTGCAGAAAAAAAAACATGAGAATGCAATGCACTTGTAAGGTTCTTCGTCTCCTTTGTACGAAATGAAATCTGTTTTCATACAACAAATGCAAGATCAGACATACCAATGGCTAACGAGTTGGTGAATGCCAGAATCGTGAGCAAGAACATGTGCCTTGGCTAGCTTCCAGAGCCAGCAACCTGTGGAATTCCAGCACGGTCTATACACTTGTTTCCACGCAGGCTTCTCGTTCGTGGGAGGGCGACAGAGCTCGATGGCCAGCGGCCTCAATGTGCCTTCGGGAGTGAGAAAGAAGATGGTCCTCGATCCGTATAAAGTCCTGCCCTTGAGTTCCCTGACTCTGTGCACAAATGGCAACAGGATGTCGTGATAATCCAGGGTGAACAGCTTCTTCTGTTTAATTGCCTGTGGGGGGGAAAAAAGAGTACAAATCTTCACTTTCTGAACCTCAAGCCTCAAATTTTGTTATTGGGTATGTTGTCTCTTTACCTCTTTAACCGACATAATCCCTCCAATTTCTGACTCAATGAGTTCAGTGGTGATTGCTGATTCCGGTGCACCATAGGTTTCGGGGTCAAGCTTGCTCTTCAATGGCCACTCCTGCACGACATTCAAGCAAAAACCTTCAAGCCAGAGTTCACTAATCACTTTCAAGTCATAAATGGTGAACGAGAGGCTCTTTCTGGTTACACACCGTGATCAATTCCAAACAATATGGGTTGAGACCAGCAAGCGTCTGCCTCGCAAACTCCTCATCCTTCATCCAGAAAAACTTATCCCCTGCAACAAAACAAAAGGCCCAGGCTCATTCAGACAAATCGTCGAACACTTGAACTGCAACCAACAACTTTCTTCCCCCACGATTCGAGACATACTTTCCAAAGCGCCGGGGGGCTCGAACCGCATGACGTTGCCAGTTCCGGCGAAGAGGCGAGGCAGGGTGGCGTTCCAGAACCCTTCTTTAGAGAGCTCCGGCACTTCGAACCCAACGCTGAATAGCGAATCGATGGTCTTGAAGTGATGGAACCCACGATCGGCGTCGGCGAACACGTTCCCCAGCGACGGGATAAGCGTGTTGAACAACGAGTAGAGCGTCTTGGCCGAGAACGTCACGAGCTTCACCTCCGAGAACTCCTCGTCCCGCGGGACGTAGAAATCCCGCGCCTTCTTCTCCGTCGACGGATCTGCAGCAGCGTTTCCATTTCATTTCACCCGCCAAAATCAAATTATGATCTATTTCTTTATATAATAATACTACAACCTAGGTAATTAGCTCTCACCGGCTTCACAACGGGGGCGGCCGGTACGGCACCGTCTTGGAGCGGGGAACTCCTTGCCGCCGAGGGTCGGCCGGGCGAGCGCAAAGTTCGCGTCAGGATCGCCGAGGTCGTTGTAGACATCGTAATCGTAGACCCGATCGCCGTGCTGTCGCTCGCCGAGCCCATTTCCACGCAAATGGACCAGTTCTTCGTCCCGCAGGCCCACGAGCCCAGCTGGTGTGTTCTGGGGCAAGTAGGACTGTAAAATGACAAAGCGAGCGGGCGGGCGGGCAGGCCCATCAGTTTTTTGGTCCATTAGGTCGCAGTCATGGTTTAGTGGGCACGACTATACTAGGTCGCAAATCAACCTACGGTTACTTGGAATTGATGGATAGTTCGTCTTCGTCCCATGCAAAACATATAACGTTAATTTTTTTAGGACCACCAGTACAATGATGGTGGCCATGATGAATGTACAGATTTTTATCCCAAAGATTATAAGGTGGAGAACAGTGTACGTAAGAGACAGGTCTGGAATATATATCACAAAAAGATTTGGGGGCAAAGCTCTATCCATAAACCCCACACTTCCGATTAACCATGCATGATAAAGCTTAATTACTCTGCGAAACAACCATTTAATTAATTACTTTGCGTGACTAACCTTGCTGTTGAAGAAAACCCTCTTGCGCTTATCGGCGAACTTGGAGTGGATCCAAGAGTCGCAAGTGAAATTTACGGGACCATTTGGGAAACCTTCCAAAACTATGTGCCTCAGGAACATCTCCTTGTGGTGCTCGTTCTCCACGAAGATGGCTCCCACCGCCCCGAACTCCGCCGGCACCTCGAACTCCGCCTCGTACTTCACCTCCCGCCGCTCCACCTTCCCGCCCTTGTGCGCGTACGCCTGCACCGTCGGCTTCTCCAGCTCCGTATCTTCACACACAAACAAACGTTACCACCAAATTATTATAAGAAATTTGCTCGTTCAAACACAAGTGGCCGGCGGAGCCACGTCGATGACAGGGAAGACTATAGTTCCTCATAACCCTAAATTTGGAAAATATAGCAGTTTGTAAGACAATAATTTTCTCGTCGTCAACTCAAATTTTTTTTAGGTAAATTTGTTGTTCCCTCGTTTAGATTTCTGGCTTCGTCGTTACTGACTAACACATGGTTACCATTTTTTCCGATTACTGCTTTTATAGGTTTCAGAGAGAGCGAGAGCGGACAACTAACGCGTTCTACCGACGAGAAACAAGGTTATAGTTCGTGAAGAGAGAGAGGTGGCTTACTAGGGTCCAACTCGGAGCTAACAAGCTCCAAGAGGAGGGTTTTGCCGAGAAGGTCTTTGATGTCATCCATTCCTCGCTCAATCCCCATGCCGGTGAACATGTCGCTCATGGTTTGCTTCACGGTCACCAGTGCCTTCACTTTTATGGGCTTCTCGTGCATGAGGTAATCGGCCATGGCGCTAGCATCGTTGGTCGTCGTCGTCGGCGCCGTGTCACTGGCCGTAGCCATACAACGACGTCGTCGTCGACGACGGGATCTTGCATTGTGAGTGGTTTTGGGTATGTTGTTGGCCATGGAGAGAAGGGAATGGTGGTAAGCATGGCTGTTGTTGGTTCCATGGACGAAGGGCTTGGGCAGGGAGCAAATTTGGTTGAGGAGGTTTTGCTTCAGCATGGTGTTTTTTGATTCCTTACTTGGTTTGGTTTGTTTCTCTCCTTTCTTGGGTGTGGGGAGAACTACTGCGTTGTTGAAGTATATAAAGATAAGTTGTGTAATATGTATGGTATATATAGATGTAGAAATGGTGGATAGAAAGAAAGAAAGAAAGGCATGTGAATGTAGTGGCGGAAGAGTCCCGGGGTCCGGGGAGAAGAAAATCATGTTGAAATTGCTTCGGCACGAGTGAATTTGAGTGCAATCGCGAATATAGATATTTTCCGTTAGTACGACATTCATATATGTATATGATATTATTGAGCTGAAATAAGGCTATAGTTGTAGAGGAGTGTGTAATGAAGTGATTAAGCACCATACACGGGTCTGTATAAGATCCAGCATAACATTTTCCAACAACTTGAGTTATTGGGACCAACTGGTCTATGACATGGTATCAGAGCTGGTTTGTCTTTGAGGTCACGTGTTCAAGTCCTCACGACCTCCAATATTAACCGTTGTCTTTCAAGCACATGGTATGGTGAGCCTGTGCAAACTTCAAGCCTATGAGTCGGCTTTCGTTTGAGGGGGCGTGTAAGGAAGTGGTTAAGCACCATACACGGGCTAATTATTTCTAAATTTCTTTCACCAACTAGCAAGTTATTCTAATGGTCATCCATAATTTGGTAGTTTTGGTAATATTGACTTTGAAGCTGATTCAAGACTCAAAATTGAAGCTGGAGATGTTAATAACTAGGTTGCAAATCTACCCGTCGTATTTAAGGTTAAGTTTGACATAATTAATGCTAGTTAGTGTTAGATTTGCCTTCCTGCTAGAATGGTTTCGATGGAATTTTCCATTTGGAACCAAATAAAATCATTTGAATCCAATTCAAAATGAGTTTGGCCCCAAATTATACCAATTCGAACTCAACCTAACCCAAAAATTATTTCAATGTATTTGAATCCATTTAGATTCAACCCAATAGTTATAAAGACCATGACAATGAAGTTAAGATTACCCATTAGGTGAACTCATTTACATTCCTAATGATAGTTCATGAGGAAGGGAGAGAACAATTTCTATGTTTAGATAAGGATAATATATATTCATTTTTATTATTAAGTGCTACGTAAAAGATCCGTATCTGAAACATCAAACTAAAATTATTATCGTTAAACCAAACCCTCGATTCCTGGAAGGAGAGAACATACTTACTAGGATCCAATTCCGCGCTAACAAGCTCCAAGAGAAGGCCTTTCCCCAGAACGTAATCGAGCCCTCGCAGAATCCCATTGCTCGTCAGCATCTCGACAATGCTTTCCTCCACAGTCACCACGGCTCTCACTTTCGTGTAGCACTTCCCGTGTATGAGATAATCGGCTATAGCTCCGGCATCGAGCTTGGTCGCCGCCGGCGCCACATCACTGACAGCCCTACAACAACGTCGGGCTCTAGCGTAGTGAGTAGTTTTGGCCATGGAAAGAAGGGAATGGTTACTATAAGCATGGCGGTCGTTGCTTCCATGGACGAACGGCTTTGGCAGCTGATCAGAGCAAATTTGGTTGTGGAGGTTTTGCTTCAGCATTATTGTGTTTGATTCTTTTCTTAGTATGTTTTGTTTGGTTTTTTTTCCCCTCCTTTCGAAGCAAAAGATTGAGTTTGTGTGGGTGTGGGAGAGCTACTCAGAGTTGCTGAGGTATATATGATAAGATATGTGTAACATGTATGGTATCTGAGACTATCTGAGGATGTCGAAAGGGTGGAGAGAAAGACAAGAAAGATCATATGACTTGGTTTGTTTAACTACTTTTACGTGTGTCATATAGTGGGGGAAGAGAAGAGAAGAGAAGAGAAGAGTCTCGGAAAGATTGAAATTTAAGCATGTTGGAATTGCTGCATAATGCCAGTAACACACGAGTGAATTTTATGCTATTATCGCGGTCGTCGACGGAAGGTTACAGGATTTCGTTATTTTGGACTTGATATGTAACGTTTTTTTTCATTTTCTGGATTGGATTAGGGTTATGTCGTATGGAGAAGGTGTAGATAATTAGTTTGCAAATCTATGCTTCACAAGGTTAAGCTCGAATTTATTGGTAATTCTTATTTGTCTTTCCGCTCGATCGATGACGGCTTTCCATTTTGAAGCAAAAAAAGAAAATATCCATTTTGGATCCAACCCAAATCAGACACAATTCAAACTCATCCGAACATGCGAACAAGGGTTTTGGACCAAGGTAAAGATCATAGATTTGAATAACTTGAGTAGCACCTAACTAAAAACAAACCTAAATAACCATTATAGAAATAAATAAATAAAACTCGTTCTATTCCAACCCAAATATTATAACAATAATTCATAAATAAAAAAAATATTATAACAATATATCTGCATTTAATCTATTACTCATATCATTGTGGAGCACTTCTACTATGCTATATAGTATTGGAGCTTTAATGTACAACTTGAAGTTATACCATAACATTAAATGTATAAGTTTAGGTTATACCATAAAAGAATTTGTATCATTATGTTTTCGTACAACTTTACAACTTGAAGTTGTACCATCACATAAGATACAAGTTTAAGTTGTACCATAAAAGAATTTGTACAATAAGTATAGGTACAATCTGAAGTTGTACCATAACATTAAAAGTACAATTTCAAATTGTACCATAAAAACAAAACCCTATAGCACCAATGTTATATAGCATTGTAAAATTCCTCGTCATTGTGACAATTGAATCAAATTACTTAACAACTCAAAACTCAAGCTATTGCCATTCCTAAAGTTTGGCTTGTTTAACTACTAGCACAGTAGTACGTATTTCATGGAGTGGGAAAGAGTACTATCAGGAAGAAGCAGAACCACTACTACTCGTCTTCCGTCGCAGAAGGTGTAGCTTTTCGCAACGACTGTGTTTGCCTCACAAATTATACGGCAAGCTTAATTAGTAATTACACATGTATAGTTTCAATTATGTTGCATGTGAAGGCAGGAAGTAGGACTGGGTTATTTGGTTTACCCGAAGCCGGATCGTATAATCCGGATTGGAACCGGATTGAAAATAATCTAATTCAATCTTTGGGTTTAGATGGTAAAAAACCGTTTGGAAACGGATCAAAAACCGGATAAAGACCGGATAAGAGAGCCCAACACCCAAAACTTAACCAACTCCTCACCCTTTGAGTCCTCAGGCCACTCAAATCCCCACAAGTTCAATCTAAAATCAAGACCGAATTGGGACCGGACCGGGTCAAGACCGGACTGTATCCAATCCAATCTTTGGTCATTATATTCTCGAAAAGACCGGACTGGAACAGGATCAATTCGGGCCAATTTAACCGGACCGGACCATATAGCCACCCCTAGTAGGAAGTATCAAGACCTTCCAAATTCTCGTTTCAAAAGTTCAAAATACACTAAATACTAGCCTTTTTTTTTTTTACAAATAATCAAATTAGATACGAGACAATATTTTGTGAAGGTATATTAATATAATAGATCAATCTGAGTGAACAAATGTGTTTTTATGGATAATCAATGGCAGAGGTAGGTGTTGAGGAGAGGGGTCCTAAGACATCACTTGGAAGAAAAAATTTAGGCCACAATATTCTTTAGATATATAGGATTTAGTACGATCTTTCAAGTTCAGGATTGCATACTCTCGTCGATGTTAGCGCATTTAAAGACCCCAATCAACTACAAATTTGTTAGATACACAGGCTTTAATGTTGTTAAATTTTTAACGACTTCAATGAATTCAAAGTCTACCTAGAATAACTAAACTAGGATGAACAGTGTTAGGAGATGATAAGGAGACTCCGATCAACTTGCATTGTTGCACATGCTTTCGTTGAATTTTCTAACATGTATCATTTTCATCAAATTCTTTCCGATACTGATCAAGTCTAATCTACTGTGCGAATTTATTTTAGAAATATGCCAAATTGTACCTTCGAAACCACAAGAGAGACTATTGGAGGAATGGAGGTTGCATTTTTAGTTTAGAAACTGTCAAATTTTGTCATTTGGGTAAGTTTCAAAACCATGGTAGGTCGGACTTTTTTCCGAATTCTTTTCACAAGGGGCTTTTGGTGGCTAAAAACTCGTCTTCCTTTTAGTTGGTCATTTGTCATATGGGCCTCCCTCTGTGACGCTGACCAGTGGCTCGCCATAAAATCTGGCAATCAAGAAATTGGTTACCACAAAAAAATCGACATTAAGTTATAGGGTTGCTTGTAAAGCCACTCACAATGCTTGAAACGATCCGTATTGTCGAATTACCTTAGTGACGAATCTAATCTCCAAGAATGGGGTATTTGTCAAAATATGTTGGTTCAGGTTACATTAATTATTGTGATCAGTTGTGGGACTTGGGTTTCATTGTAAAATGTCTCACACATTGAGAAATCACGCGTTGTGTTTGAATTATCTTAATGTTCAATATCTTATTCGTCCAATTTATATTGGATTATCTTAAATTTATCATTGTGATTAGTGGTGACAACCAATCAGTGGATATGGAATGACACCTTAGCGTTTCGTATGTAAACTCTCTCTTATAATGTCTCTCTCTTATAATGTCTCTCTCTGCCAAAAAAGATATGGACCGCAATATGTTGCTCTCAAATTTTGAGAGAATTTTTGGACACTTGCCAATTCGACAAATTTCACACTCCATTACTGAACAAAGAGGGCAAATGGGAATATACAAAAACGCTTATCAACCATTGACTTGCACATCATTACATAGATATAGTACTGTGCCTTAAAATGGACGACGTACAGTCACAAAAAGGAAAACGTTTTGCAATGGAGATTTACGTTTGAGACTTTCTCCTTCCATATATGTTTATGGGAGATCAGTTATACTTATCTGTTTCCAGGGGGCTTGCCGAATAGTTGGTAGCAGTAGGATTCTTGGAGCAAATACATGTCGAGGGAAATTTGTATGGACCTAGCTAGTTTTGCATGAAGTATTTTTCGAGCTCCACGTAAAAAATTTCGGTTTCGTAGTTCTGATTCATGATAACCATCAAAGACGCGCCGTGTCGGTTCATATTACTGGATATCTCGTGGCAAAATCTTATGTTTTCCCATGCACTGTGAGTTTAGCCAATTATCTCTCTCTTATGATATCACATGAGAAATAAGAAGAATTCATGTTATAAAATAAAATTCTGCTAAAACATGGCATGACTCGAGTTCGACTCGTTTAGTTAACGCGAGCTTGTTCGCGAGCCAATTCTGTTAAAACAAATCGAGTTTCGAACGAATTTTTCTCGAGTCGAACACCATTCATGAGTGGCTTGATTCATTGCTACCAGAAACATAGGGACTTAATTGATCATAAATCCAAAGTATTGTCTTTTAAGTAAAAAGATTTAACTTCTCATTCCATTTCTTGCCCAACATTATTTACTCATCATTACTGACTTCTCTGCTCAAGCCACTAATACAATTTCGACGATATGCTTCGAGACTCCACTAACGCGTCAAGCGTGCATAAACTAAGCTTCCCTTTATTACATCAACGGTAGATATATCCACAACCGGCAATCATCAATCTACCACTTATTCTTCAGGTATGGCAATAACATTTTTCACCTTGGGGAAATCCAGCAGCAGCTGGACTTGCTGAATTCAAATGGAGATACTGTAGGGCACACCTTTACCAGTAACACCAGGCTCAGACAACGGCTTCAGAAGCTCATACGGGCAAACCCCAGCTCCATTCCTGTTCTTCAGCTCCGGATTCGCATTCCTCACATCAATCTCCCCTTCCAACTCCATCATCCTGCCGCTAAACTTCTCGAACGCGGCCTTGATCAAAGGCTCGTCGCCCCACGAGGGCTCCATCACCTGACCAACATACTCTTCATCCACAGCATGCCCCGACAGGACATCGAGCACCGCCATCACCTTGGCTGCCTGGAACTGCGAGGGGAACGTCTCGAGGAGGACGGTCTCGGGCCTCTCCATGAACTGCTTCCATTCCTCGTCGCTTCCATCCTCGTCTGGCATGTTCTTCCTTGCAATGGTCGGACGGTTAGGGGTGTACCCTCCGAACGCGTACTGTCCGAAGTTGACAGCAGCGTGGTGGCCTGAAGCCACCCATGCTATTGTGGTGAGGATCTCGACGAGGTCGGAAGGTGTGTTGAGAGATGGCCACCAGGGCTCGTCTTTCTTGTCAGCATGGCCAACGGTGCGGATCTCTGTCCACCAGGCTTGGAGCTCTGTATCGGAGGTGATAAGGGCTGGATCGGGGTAGTAGTGGTTCACGTAGTCTGTGATCCATTGCTTCAGGGCGTCCCAGAAAATTAGGCCGTCGTTAGCATATGGGTAGTCCTCCATCGTTAGTTTCAGACCGTGTGGGGATGAAGCGTCTTCAACTGCCATTCCACTGAAAATTAAGCACAAGAACAACAAACAGGGTCAGTAATGGAATCAAAAAGCTTCGTTTATTCTAATTTGTCATTACATGGATATAAGGAAGGCAGAAAGATTAACTTACCGCCTGATTAGGTCCTTTGGAAGTGCCTCATAGTCGAAGCGCCAGTTTTGCCCGTAAATGGCAGAGCTGAGCTGGATGGCATACTTGAGAGGAGCGAAGCAAGACTCGATGACGCCATCTGCATTGATCAGAGCTTGGCGAGCTTGAGCATTAATCTCCAGGGTGTAACGGAAGTGAGGCAGCAAGAGTCTGTAAATTGGGTGCATGGCACTCAGCTGGCGATTCGTTGCTATGATGTATGGTTCTGTGCAGCAATGGGTTCTCAGCCTGCAAATTCGACCATGATTTCATCAGCAAATTTAGTCATTGGAGACTAACTAATGAGCTTTCATCATACAAAAAAGTAGACATACTAATGAGCTAAACTGCAAACGAATCTAATCCATACCAGTGGCTAATCAGTTGATGATAGCCAACATCGTGTGTGGCAACATGAGCTTTAGCCAGCTTCCATAACCATTCATCAGTGGCAGAGCAAGTTGCTGGGGTATAGACTTTTTTCCAATGTGGTTTGCCATCTAATGGCGGCCTAGTGAGCTCGATTGCGACTGGCTTCAACGTGCCTTCTGGAGTATGAAAAAACAATGCTCGTGACCCGTACAGTGTAGTCCCTTTTTGCTGCCTCACAAGTCCCACAAAGGGTAGGAACAAATCATGGTAATCCAGCACGAACAACCTCTTCTGCTTCATAGCCTGCAAGTAGTTGGATATATTATAGCCTCACCGAAATTGGCTTTCAAGACTCATTCTACTATACTTCTATATATGTACCTCGTCAAGGGTCATGAACCCTCTGATTTGCCTTTCCACAATTTGAGTGGTGATTGCAGATTCTGCTGGACCGTAGACCTTCGGGTCAAGCTTACTCTTCAATGGCCATTCCTGTAAACAAACATTCATCCCCACATTTCCCTCAATCAGAACTACCCCGCAATTGAACTGAAGATGAATATTTATCCTAAAACCAAACATTTCAAGGTTGCAGCCAACATCAACTATGGAAGACAAATATACAACGCTAGATTTCGAGAAACTGCAAAGTTCATACCTTGACTAGTTCTATGCAGCAAGGATTAACACCAGCAACAGTCTGCCTGCCAAACTGCTCGTCCTTCAACCAGAAGAATCTATCCCCTGAAACAAATCCGAAAATGAAAAAAGTTAACAAATTGATCTCAATTGTCATAAAATCCCTAAGCATTCACCCTAAATGCGGCTGAAGAATCTATTGAATTTCCCCTATCTTTCTTTCTTACTTACTCTCCAGAGTTTCAGGGAGAACAAACTGCAAAACGTCGTTGGCCTGCTCAGCGATGGTCCTCACGAGCCTGGGCAGGATATCCGTTATCGGCGCACCTGCTTGGCGAGGAGGCAGGTTGAGCCCTTGATCGTAAAGCGAATCGATGGCGGCGAAGTGAGGAAACCCTAGATCTGGGTCGATGAAGATGGTCTCAACCGCCGGTAGCGCCGCCCGAAGCACTGACGACAGTGTGTTGCTATTGAAACACTTATCCTTCACCTCAGAGAACTCGTCGTCCCGTGGGACGTAGAAATTTCCGCCGCCTCTTGATTCCGAGAAGGGATCTACCAATGACAAGGATAATACGGTTAGAAATTTGAGAGCTCAAAAGGATTAGGGATTTACTGATTCGAATTGGTACACGTAGTTACCGGATTTAGTGCGCGGGCGGCCAGAGCGGCACCGGCGGGGATAGGGATTCTCTTTGCCGCCGAGGACGGGTCGGGCGAGACTCGTTTTGCTGTCCGGGTCGCCGAGGTCGTTGTAGACATCGTAATCGTAGATGCGATCGCCTTTCTTGCGCTCCCCCTGGCCATTTCCACGGAGGAGTCTCAGCTCTTCTTCCCGGTACTTGGTCATTCCGTTCGGGGTCTCCGACGGCAAGTACGACTGCTCCGGCGGCCATGGGTGATCAGAGAATCAAAGGTGTGAGAAGGTCGAGACTCGAGAATGCCAACAAAAATTGTCCTGAACTTCTCTTTGTCAAATTTAAAAGTTTTATGTTTACACGCTTCGAGAAAGTGAAAAAAATGGCGGGTGATTTAAGGATGTATTTTGGGCCCGGGCCATGAAGTGGGCCTGAATATCAAACATCCTTGGTTGATTGGCACGTCAAATGGGCCCATGCTTTCTATTGTCGAGTGAGGCAATGTGCTTATCAAAAATATTATAGGGATTTACTTCAAAAAAAAAATATTATAGGGATTATTAAAGTTTTTTAATTTATAAACACATAGGTATTATGAAGAGAAAAAAATAGATTTCCCAAAAAAACATGATAGTAATAGTACTTCTATAAGTTTACAAGATGCCTGATTTATGTGATATGCCCTTTGAATCAAACCTCGAGTCAATTTGATTCAATCCAAACAAAAAAATGAGAACTACGGTGTGAATAGTATTATATTCTTACTTTGACAAGTATTAAACTTCATGAATCGAGCTAAACTTGATTTTTTATTGTCGATACTTATTAGGGTAGGTTAAAAAATCTGAGTAACTCACCTTGGTGGTGAAGAAAATCCTCTTATAAGCATTTGGAGCGTCAGGATGAACCCAAGAATCGCATATAACGTGGACAGGACCATTGATGAAGCCATTAAGGACAATGTTCTTCAGAAACATCTCATTGGGATGCTCATTCACGACCACAACCCCACCAACTTCCCCAAAATCACTAGGCACATTGAACTTCGCCTCGTACTTGATCTCACCATCTACCTCCTTCGTCTTCTTGGCATGTGCTTTGATCATGGGTTGTACCAGTCCAGTCTCTTCATTCATTTCCCAATTCAATCCAATTACGGTACAAAGAAGAAGAAGAAGAAAAAAGAGGAGAATTGTCAGGAAATTGAAGCAAAAAAAACAATAATAAGAGTGTAAAACTATAAATAAGATAGTAATGTTAAAAGTACAAAGAAATCACATGGGTGCACATAGGAGTGTCGGTTCGGTTCGGGTAACCAAACCCGAAGCCCAAAAACCGAAGACAGTCTGAAACCGCGACTTACGTAACTCGAACCAAATCCAATAAGGGAGTTTTTCGGGTTTGGGTACCCGAACCCGAAACCTCCCTTGTCGAGTTCGATTCGGTTGCAGCAAACCCAAACCCCGAATGCATTTCTCTCCAACCTAAATAGAGAGCTCATACTCCCTTATCGGGTTTTTTTTGTGTCCTTATTGAGTTTCGGGTTACAACAAAACCGATACATCACACATTCGGGTTGAAAACCGATTTGACACCACTAGGTGCACCCACTTAGATTGGTTTAAGATTTGAAAGATACCATATCTAAATCGATCTTTTGTTATTCCTAATCTGAACCGTAACTAACGTCAATAGAGATATGTAATTGAATAACCACACCAATAGACACGATTTATCAGCTACTTTGTTTTTGCCATTGGGTTTTTTTACGTGTTAACCAGTACTTAGATATTATGTATGCAATTGGGGTGAGTGAAGTTTAATTGCTTATCATGATTTTCAGTCGAGATCATGGTGGTGAGGGACTAAAGACTTGATTTAAGTACTCTCAATTTGGTGTCATTATGTCATATATGTCGTTATGAACTTATGTATATATGTGTAGTTATGGATTATAGTGAATTGGACCAGTAAGTGATTCAGTGGTCCAACCAATGTCCACATCAATCGATGGCTCGCAAACATAATTTTGAGTTCTTGTACCATATGAAATTGACCCTTCATTCAACTACACCCTAATATTAATGATTAATTTAAATATCGGGTCCAACCCAATTCATTGAAACCAATTAGTTAGGCAAACATGCAAGCTAAGTATCATATCAACGAGTAGTATCATGAGATAGTGATAAATTAATTTTTGTTAAAATAGCAAAATTTCATCTCGTAAAAAATGTTTAATATATCGTAAACTAATCGTTTAGTTTTTCATTTATAATTATACACTTACTCTTATCAAGTTGGGCACTGACGAGGTGGAGATGGAAAGTTTTCCCGAACCACGACGAAATATCTTCGACCCCGAGTCCGAAGTCGGAGATCAGCGCCGTCGGCTGCATAACCGTCACCACCGCCTTCACGTCGACGGTTTGCTCCTTCGCCGTCGACGCGTTGCCGAAGAGGGTGGCTTTGGACACTTTCCCGCCGGAGCCAGCTCCCGGCTTCTTATTGTCGCCCGAAGCCACAACAACCATGTTATTCTTCCCCCGGCCCATGGCGGGGAGCGACGGAGGAGACACGGAAGGGAAGGGAAGATGAGGGCGGTGGCCGTGGTTAGCTTCCCGGCGGAGGAACGCCGGTGCCGGCTGGCTGCCGTTATGGAGCTGCGACTTCAGCATATTTTGTTTAGTGTTTGTTTGGGATAGGAATTGTTATTGTTGAAGAGATGAAATCGTTTGCATGTAAAAACTGATGAGGAAAGTGTGGAGAAGTGATTTGGGTTTTATAGGAGAAGAACTCTATAAAGGGACCAAATAAATGATTGTTAGGGTTTTAATTTTACCGCAAAACATTAAAAAAAAATGGCCAGATCTCATTTTCAATGACAAGGTGACTCAAATATGTTAGATATTATCTCGGAGAATCGACAATGCAAGAAAGTGAAAAAAAAATACATAGATTTATGTGATTCATTAACGTAATGTGTGTATGCTAGTTTAATGACTGGAGAGAGCGAGTTCATTGTATTTGAGGAACTAGTGATTACAACGATTGAGAATGAATATATAGTCCCTTTCCCAGCAAGACTCCGTGACTTCCGGTCGATGACAGATAATCTCTTTTCAAATCATAGCAATATTATCAATATAAGATAAATTCATGCATATGATTGAATTTAGATATATAGTTATCACCAAAAAAAATTTAGATATATAGTTTCAATAGTGGTGTCTATTAAAAGAATATTTGTTCATGTATAAGTTGCAAAAATTCAACTCTAAAACACTTTGTACCAACCATGTATAATATATTGTCTTGAGTTGCCTAATTGATTAGGCTACAAACATTACATGCTAGTATTATTGGTGTTGACGTAGATTTTGATAATGACATTGTAACTTAAGCTCATTTATCTTAAGTACTCTTTTACGGGTTTAACTATTGCCTATGGGCTTAGTTTGATAGAAGTGTCCAAATTAAAGGGTACCGAAAAAGCAAGCAAATGTGGACACATGCTTAACATGTAATTTGTTAAATTCCTTCCCCATGAAAACCGTTTTGGTACTCCTAAATATTAATTAATGTATTATTTAAGCTCAAAATAACTCGAAAAATAATGTGGCGTGAACAACTATGTCCGTTTCTGGTCGTGCATACGTAGACATGAAAACTGTAGGTTACAAATCAATACAACAATATAATGAAATGAACTATTTGTCAAAAAAATCAAGGTCTTCTTTGATCATGGAGCTCAACAAGCAACACATTTCTACTTCGAGATATGCGCTAAAAATGAAACTCGAGCTTTTCTCCTGAAAAACTGAATACAAATAGCTTCACATGTAAATTTATTAGTTCTAACAATAAACTCTAATAAGAAGTATCAGCGAGTCATCACTAGTGTCCATAGACTTATCTCAGTAGATTCATACAGACTGCTTTTAATTTTCGTTTCTTGGGATAATATTACCTCATTGAGTTTCTTTCTCTTCTCTATCTTTTCTTCTCATTTTGTGCTCTTAATTTTTCTTGGTCGTATTATGAATAAACCACTCACACATTCATCGAAACAGTAAAGTTTATCAATGAACTATTGGTAGCTATTATGATGATAAATCAGAAAGGACACATGTGAAAGTGTTTAGGCTTATTTGGAAATGATTTTTCTCTGACTAGTCCAAATCATTCAAAAAATGTACAATAGAGTAATCAACCAATGGAGTAGAGGCTAGTAGATGAGGCCTGATGTGGAGGTTTTCGTTCATCTTTGTACAAGAAGTTGGAAGGACCACAAAGGTGATGCATATTGATATAGGTCACCTTAGGCTCACTGAATTCCACAATAATTATTAGTGAAAAATAATATTCAAGACATTTGTTCTCTTACGAGTCTATCATCCATTACTAGGTCAACAAAAAAAAAAGTTAAATAATCGTACACGTGACGAGTTATTGTTGGCTTGATAAAAAACCATCAGAGACCTGCATAATTGAAATATTTCATCCAAAATTTACTATTGATATATGGATAATATGTCTTATTCAATGACCGAAAGCGTTCGCCCAACTGCAATAAAAACAAAACAAAACCAAGGGAACCTAAATAATTTGACATTAGCCTGATCTCTATAGATGTTTTGCAAACAAACCCTGTGACGAAAATTACATGATGTGCCTCCGATATCTTCCATTGTCGAGTAATCAAGCGAATGATAGCGTGAATGAAAAAAAAAACGTGTTCGCCCTTATAACGATAAGGAATGATCTAGTAAAGCTAAGCAATGTATCAGCCACGAAGTTCTTAGTATCTTTGTACACATGTAAATGAACTTCTTTTTTTCCCTATCAATAACTCAGATTCGAAATCACAGGAATCAGACATCATTACAATGTGGAAAATCAGTGCAAAAAAACAAAAAACAAAACAAAATCTCGTATCGTTTGGTCCCAAAGATAGAAGCTGACCGGCGACGACAATTTGCTCGGAACTGGAAGCTAGCTAGATCGGCTTTCGATCCGTTCGTATATTATACACTTCAACGTCTGGTTTGGTCCCCGGCTCGTACATACATCCATTTATTAACGATTTTTTTTTTTTTTTGGTAGAAATTCATTAACGATTTAACGACGATAAATGGAACGAGCGAGTAAGAGACAAATACTAGCCGGCCGGCCGGCCGGGCGTTCATGGTCCAATCCCGACCGTGCACGTGTCCACCATTTACATCATGCAGGCATGCAGCCAACAGCCCGGTAGTTGCCCCGGCAGTGTGGAAAGTGGCCGCGGCAAAGACGACGACGAGTGCTTAAACAACTAACTCGTGCTTCATCATTTCAGTGTGGACCACGTTTGTCGCGACGGGAGGAAATGGACCGGCGACGGCGAGCGAGAGTAGTGTTGAATATTTATGCTACGATAATTATCGTCCGACGGGAGGAAATTTAATGGACCACGTTTATCTCGAGCTATTAATGAACCCCATGTTCTTAGAGAAGGAAATTGTGCAGCTGACTTTCTTGCAAGTAAAGGTCATGACTGTAATTTTGGCACACTATCTCTTCGATGTGTGCGACGTTGATCTTAGCCAATGGCTTCGTTACGATGTAATGGGTATATTCCAAGAACGTTCTATTATTAATACGAGTTAGACGGTAATACGCAATCTTGTAAGTAAATGTATATGTCAAAGTCTTGTAAGTAGGCTAATCCAATATAATTAACAGAAATTTGATTATGATATTTGCATACGTGCTTACATCTATGAATCGCGCGAGTATCATCATCGACCGAACCATATGGACATTAGAAGAAGAAGAAGAAAACCCAGATGTTTGGATCATATTATTTTGAAGCATCATCAACCGAATCGCAATTTAATCACACTGAGAAGAAAAAAAACTGTTTACAATTTACATCACAGTAATCAAACAACGAATAGGATTTAAAAAAAAACACAACTCAAATCACAGAAACAATCCACCCAACAAAACCAGTAGTTTCCCTGATCATCATACACAGGGCAATCTGCAGGGGAGCTGCAAAATGGAGAGATGGTCACATTCATATGGAAATACTGTAGGGCACACCTTTACCAGTAACACCAGGCTCGGAAACCGGCTTCAGAAACTCGTACGGCAGAACACCAGCACCATTCCTGTTCCTCAGCTTCTCATTCCCATTCCTCGCGTCAACAACCCCTTCCAGCGCCTTCATCCTGCCGCTGAACCTCTCGAACGCGGCCTTGATCGCCGCGTCGTTGCCCCAGCAGGGCTCCATCGCCTGCCCGATGTACTCCTCGTCGGCGGCGTGGTTCGACAGCAGGGACAGCATCGTCATCACCACCGCGGCCTGGAGCTGGGAAGGGAACATCTCGAGGAGCACCGTCTCGGGCTCCTCGATGAACTGCTTCCATGATTCCTCGGTGGGATCCTCCGTTGGCATGTTGGTCCTGGCGATCGAAGGCCTGTTGGGGATGTAGCCGCCGTAGGTGTACTGCCCGAAGTTCACCGCGGCGTGTTGCGCTGATGCTGTCCATGCCATGGTGGTGACTATCTCGATGAGGTCGGATGGTGTGCGGAGAGATGGCCACCATGGCTCGTCTTTCTTGTCAGCGTGGCCGACGGTGCGAATTTCGGTCCACCAGGATTGGAGCTCTGCGTCGGAGATGATGAGGGATGGGTTTGGGTAGTAGTGGTTGACGTAGTCGGCGACCCATTGGTGTAAGCCGTCCCATAGGATCAGGCCGTCGCTGGCGTATGGGTAGTCTTCGATTGTCAGTTTCAGGCCGTGTGGTGCTGATGGGTCCTCAACGGCCATTCCCCTGAAGATTTCAGCAAGACATTGAGAGGATATAGCAATGAGAGGAACCATAGGGATGACGATTTTGATATGATTCGTTTCGTTCGTTCGTACTAACTTGTTACCCTATTCGTAGTATCCCATTTCAACTAAACTTGGTGCAATGTAGATATTGAAATACTCATTGCACACCTAATCCCATTGTAATGGAAACCAACAAGTTGGACATGAGAGGAACCACAGGGATGACGATTTCGATATAATCCGTTTGTACTAATTTGTTACCCCATCCACAGTATCCAATTTCAAACAAATTTGGTGCAATATAGATATTGAAATACTCATTGCACACCTAATCCCATTGTAATGCCAAGGGAAAAGACAGAGCTACTTACCGCCTGATCAAGTCCTTGGGAAGAGCCTCATAGTCGAACCGCCATCTTTGGTCATAATCTGCAGAGCTGAGCTGCATGGAGTATTTGAGAGGGGAGAAGCCTAATTCAATGATGCCATCAGCATTGACCAGAGTTTGGCGAGCCAGAGAGTTGATCTCCATGGTGTACCGGAAGTGAGGCAATAATAGCCTGTGAATCGGGTGCATAGCGCTCAGCTGCCGGTTTGTGGCGATGATGTACGGCTCCATGCAAGCATGTGTTTTCAGCCTGCAAAAATTGTAGAACAACCCTCAATCAGCAATCATGAAACACAATGTTGTCACATTACATCAGCCAGACAATGTGTTTCTTTTTTGGGGGTTCTTACCAGTGGCTGACTATCTCATGATAGCAAGAGTCATGAGCCAGGAAGTGAGATTTCGCCAGCTTCCACAGCCACTCCTCAGTGGCAGAGCAGTTCCCCGGTGTAAACACTTGCTTCCACTGCGGCTTCCCATCATTCTTCGAGGGCGGCCTGACCAGCTCGATTGCCACCGGCTTCAACGTGCCTACCGGAGTGAGAAAGAACAATGCTCGTGATCCATACAGCGTAGTTCCTTTGAGCTGCCTCACCGGTCCAACGAAGGGTAGCAGTAGGTCATGGTAATCTAATATGAACAGCTTCCTTTGCTTCATAGCCTGCCCAGCAATCAATCAATCAATAAGTAAATTACCACCCAAAAGTTATTACGAAAACTTGATTTCAATAAACTGTAGAGGCCAGAGGATAACATACATCATTAAAGGTCATGAACCCTCTAATTTGCTGTTCAACAATCTTTGTTGTGATTGCAGATTCTGGTGAACCATAGATCTGTGGATCAAGCTTACTCTTCAATGGCCATTGCTGTAAACAATACATCCGTTCGAGTTTATGAGCAATTCGTGTTTAGATTCGATTTGATAACCAATATCATCTACCAATTCAGAGTTTATGAGTAGAAAAAGGCATTACCTTCACCAGTTCTATTGAACAAGGATTAACACCAGCAAGAGTCTGCCTGCCAAACTGCTCGTCTTTCAACCAGAAAAATCTGTCCCCTGCAGAGAAATATCAATTCACGATCAATAAATTTGAACTAAGAGCGATTGACCTAACATGGAATGGATTGCTTACTCTTCATTGATTCAGGGACCACGAACTGCAGAAAGTCGTCGGCGCTATTAGCGACGGTCCTAATCAGCCTGGGGATGATATCCGTCCAGGGGGAATCCGCCGTGCGAGGACGGAGGTTAAGGCCTTGATCGTACATCGAATCAATGGCGGTCAAGTGCGGAAACCCTAAATCCCAATCGATCAAGAAAGTCTCCGCCGTCGGGACCACCGCGCGTAGCGCCCCAGACACCGTGGCGGAAGAGAACGCCGACTTCTTCAACTGCGAGAACTCCTCGTCGCGCGGCACGTAGAAATCGGAGTTTCCCGTCGCGAGGGGCAGCATGTTCTTGATCCAGAGAAGCGTAAAATACGTACCGGATTCTGGTCGGGGACGGCCGGTGCGGACCCGGCGAGGATAGGGGCGGTCTTTGCCACCGAGGACGGGTCGGACGAGATCCGGATTGCCGTCAAGGTTTCCGAGGTCGTCGTAGACTTCATAATCATAGATCCGTTCTCCTCTCTCGCGCTGTCCCTCACCGTTTCCTCGGAGTAGTATCAGCTCTTCCTCCCGGTACTTGGTCAGTCCGGCAGGTGTCTCCGACGGCAAGTATGACTGCTCCGGCGATCATGGAAAGCGATGTAAGATTTACAAATGATAATAATCTCCAGGACACGTGATGAGTGAAAAGAAGGCTATTATTTTGTGGGCTTACGATGGGCCCAATGATCCAATGGTGACGGGGAATGAGGCCTTAAAACAGGCCTGGATACCCATATTGCTATCAAGCCAATGGCTAATCAGTTCGTTAACAAAATGATAGGGCCCAGGCCCGTTAGCACGTGTAGCTTAGGGTTCTAAATTTTGCTTACCTTGGTAGTGAAGAAAACTCTATTCTTGGAGTCCTTAGACTTGGGATGGACCCAAGAGTCACAAACCACGTTGACCGGACCATTGACAAACCCATCGAGGACGATATCGATTAGCAACCGTTCATTACCGTGCTCGTTCTCCACAATTACTGCACCAACTTCTCCGAAGTCGTCAGGAACTTCGATCTCCACCTCGTATTTCACCTCTCCGTTCTTTTTGCTTGTTCTCTTCATACGTGATTCGATAACTGGTTTTTCTAACCCCGTCTCTTTATTTTCCGGTCATGATCATCGAGCGCACACAAAACAAGTAAGAAATTATTATATATCGCGAATAACATATATTAACTATTCCAAGTACACATGATTAATTAGTATTATCAATTACAACTAATCAAAGTTTTAATATTATAGTAGTAGATAATTGCTTCCTTACCGGGATGAAGTTGGGCGCTGACGAGTTGCAACCGGAGGCCTTTCCCAAAGAAGTCTGAAACACCGTCGCCGCCGATCCCAAGGAACCCACCAGCCGTCTCTTTCACAGTCGCCACCGCCTTCACTTTCACCGTCATCTTCACGGTCGCCGGAAATTCACTTACCACTGACCGGCGGTTGGGAGGATAGCCCACGATGGAGATGATGATCAGATGGATCGAGGAAATGGGGAACATGGTGTGGTGGATTTATATAGGAGGAAAGAGATGGTGTTTGATAATATTAGTCCCCCCATTGCTCTACCTTTGTGAAAAATGATAAAAAAGCTCTTAATTCAACCTACTTTTTGCTAGATGAGAAAAACGAGAACAATTATGCTAAATCATAATCAACCAACTTTCATTATGATTTTGAGAAAAACATAATTCTCTCCATTTTCATTATGTGTCAAATGCGAACACTATACCGTGTGATATTGGATTGAATCCGTATAAATTTGTCGTTGAACAAGCTACCCTATAAATTTTCGTGATATGGTACCTGAATTGCACTACAACATTATGAAAATAAGTGAAGGTAGAAGGCATACAATTATCATTCATCATTATTCAGATTTTGTTACAAAAAGGCTTGATTATGAACCATCAGTAAATGAAATGATTAAATGCCTTTCATGAAGCAGGGAAATCTAAACATTTTAAGTGCATAGATTATTCCAATCTTCTCATTTTTTTCCCTAGTTGTATGAATGGCAAATTCCAACCTTCATAAACATTTTGTATTACGTCAATTGGAACGATAATAGTCGCATCAAATGGTTGTCGGGGGAAACATAGTAGTGGTGGCTACAAGGGCTCGAATCTCAAATCCATCTAAACGTAAATCTATACATTTACCAATCTCACCACCTTATGATAGCTTTTTTTTTTTTACTTTTACCAATCCAAAATTAAATTCTAATGACTAATTCAACGAGTTCTTCACCAAAATAATAAAATTTCAAAATATATGATAAAATATAACGGTTAAATTAACAAAAATATATGTATAATTACAATTTTCTTCTCCAACTTAAAGAAGTATTTCGATATACTCAATAGCTTGTTCCGTTTTGAATGCTTATGTGCCCAAAATCTACAGATGTTACATGTTTGATGTTTGTGACAAGAATTGTTTACAAATTGTGGGACACAATATGTTCCAACGACGTAAGCAAATTATTGCACCAAAGCTCTGTTAGCACGCAGACCCAGTTATCATGACTGACTACTAGGCATTTACAGTGGTAGTTAGAATTTAGAACTTAATACTAAAAAAACTGGGTGGGAATCTTCATTAACAGAATTACATTAATTAAGTTACATTGGACAAACTGTTTACATTGCAGTAATTAAAAACGAATTGAGATGAACAAAATTAACAAGACAAGTCAAATGCAATCGGCCTATGACCCTTATTATGTATACACAGTCCAACTCTGGAATCTCTATGTAGAAATCTGGGGAGTTATGGAGATGATCAGATGGAAGTACTGTAGGGGACACCTTTACCAGTAACACCAGGCTCGGAAAACGGCTTCAGCAGCTCATACGGCAAAACACCAGCACCATTCCTGTTCCTCAACTTCTCATTCGCGTTCCTCGCATCAATCACCACTTCCAGCGCCTTCATCCTGCCGTGGAATCTCTCGAACGCCGCCCTGATCACCGCATCGTGGCCCCAAGCGGGCTCCATCACCTGCCCGATGTACTCCTCGTCGACAGAATGGTTCGACAGGACGTCCAGGATGGCCATCACCACCGCGGCCTGGAACTGGGACGGGAACATCTCGAGGAGCACCTTCTCGGGGGTATCGATGAACTGCTTCCATGCCTCGTCGGTGGGATCCTCCGTCGGCATGTTGGTTCTGGCGATGGAAGGCCTGTTGGGGAAGTAGCCACCGTAGGCGTACTGGCCGAAGTTGACTGCTGCGTGTTGCGCTGATGCAGTCCATGCTATGGTTGTGACGATCTCGATTAAGTCGGATGGGGTGGCGAGAGATGGCCACCATGGCTCGTCTTTCTTGTCACCATGGCCGACTGTGCGGATTTCTGTCCACCAGGATTGGAGCTCGACGTCGGAGGAGACGAGGGATGGATCAGGGTAGTAGTGGTTGACGTAGTCCGAGACCCATTGGTGTAAGCCGTCCCATAGGATTAGGCCGTCGCTGGCATATGGATAGTCCTCGATTGTAAGCTTCAGGCCGTGTGGTGCCGATGGGTCTTCCACGGCCATTCCCCTGAAATTGCAGCAAAACAAAATGATAGATGGTGAGTAATAGAAACTACAAGTAGGGTGGGAGAGTAACCATAGGATTGATAGGGACGACAATTTCGATATGAGACGTTCGTAAGGACCAAAAAGAAACGCGTTACTTACCGCCTGATTAAGTCCTTGGGAAGAGCCTCATAGTCGAACCGCCATCTCTGGTCATAAACTGCAGAACCGAGCTGCATGGCGTGTTTGAGAGGAGAGAAGGCCAATTCAATGATGCCACCAGCACTGATCAGAGCTTGGCGAGCCAAAGAGTTGATCTCCATGGTGTAACGGAAGTGAGGATGCAATAGCCTGTGAATAGGGTGCATAGCACTCAGCTGGCGATTCGTGGCGATGATGTACGGCTCTAAGCAAGCATGCGTTCTCAGACTGCAAACAAAGAAAATTTGCAGAAACCCAGTCAGAAATCATCAACACAAGCGTTGTCAACTTCCATCTGCCAAACAATGTGTCTTGATTTGGGTCCTTACAAGTGGCTAACTAGCTCATGGTAGCCAGAATCATGAGCCAGGACGTGAGCTTTTGCCAGCTTCCAAAGCCACTCCTCAGTGGCAGAGCAATTCGCTGGTGTAAAGACTCGCTTCCATTGAGGCTTCCCATCTTCCTTGGACGGCGGCCTGACCAGCTCGATCGCCACCGGCTTCAATGTGCCTACCGGAGTGAGGAAGAACAATGCTCGTGATCCATACAGTGTAGTTCCTTCCTGCTGCCTCACCAGTCCCACAAAGGGTAGCAGTAGGTCATGGTAATCCAACATGAATAGCTTCTTTCGGTCCATAGCCTGCCCAACAAGTAAGTTAGTACATCAATCCATCAGTAAATTACCACCCAGACCACGCAGAGATTCATACGAAACAAAAACTCGAGTCGATTAGCTGTAGAGGGTATATATACCTCAGCAAGGGTCATGAAGCCTCTAATTTGCTGCTCAACAATCTTGGTTGTAATTGCAGATTCTGCTGGACCATAAATCTCTGGGTCAAGCTTACTCTTCAATGGCCATTCCTGTAAACAACACATTCGTTCAAATTTACGAGCAATTTGCAATTTGTCTTTCATTTCGACTTGAGGACCAATACCATCTACCAATTGGTGTTTCTGTGCAGAAAAGGGCATTACCTTGACCAGTTCTATGGAGCAAGGATTGACACCAGCAAGAGTCTGCCTGCCAAACTGCTCATCTTTCAACCAGAAAAATCTGTCCCCTGCAGCAACATGATGATCAATCAATAAGAACCCAGAACAATCGAGCTAATACGAAATAAATCGAGATGTGTCATGCGCCTGATTGCTTACTCTTCATCGAATCGGGGACCACGAACTGCAGAATGTCATCGGCGCTATCAACGACGGTCCTAACTAGCCTGGGGATGATGTCTGTCCAGGGCGAATCCTTCGTGCGAGGAGGCAGGTTGATACCTTGATCGTACATCGAATCAACGGCGGTCAAGTGAGGAAACCCTAAATTCCGATCGATGAATATTGTCTCCGCCGCCGGAACCACCGCGCGTAGCACCGCTGCCGTCGTCGTGGCCGAGAATCCCGACTGCTTCAACTGCGAGAACTCCTCGTCTCGCGGAACGTAGAAATTGGAGCTCCCCGTCTCCGACGACGGATCTGCATATGCCCAATTGAAAATTTAAGATCTCCGACAGCTACCTAAAGGTCGGCGGTAGCACTGGTTCGGAAAATTTACGTACCGGTTTCCGTTCGGGGACGGCCGGTGCGGACCCGGCGAGGATAAGGGTGTTCTTTGCCGCCGAGAACGGGTCGGGCGAGATCCGGATTGTTGTCGGGCTTTCCGAGGTCGTTGTAGACATCGTAGTCGTAGATCCGATCTCCTTGCTGGCGCTCTCCTTCGCCATTTCCTCGCAGGAGGCTCAGCTCTTCAGCGCGGTACCTGGTGAGGCCGTTCGGCGTTTCCGACGGCAAGTACGACTGTTCCTCCGGCAATGGAAAGCGATGTCAGAAAATGACAATAATGAACGCTTCTGACTTTTGGGCTTCAAACTGGGCCCATTAACTAACTGATATAAGGGCTTAAAACGGGCCTGGTCACCCAATAATACTCAGAACCCAATGACTCATCAATGAACAAATTGATTCGGCCCAAGCGTTTTAGAACACTTGACTTGAGGGAGTAATTAACTAGGGCTTTGAGCTAACCTTGGCAGTGAAGAAAACCCTGTTCTTGGAGTCCTTAGACCTGGGATGAACCCAAGAGTCACAAATCACTTTGACCGGACCATTTTCGAAGCCGTCGAGCACGATGTCGATGAGAAACAGCTCGTTATAGTGCTCGTTCTCCACAATCACAGCACCAACTTCTCCGAAATCAGCTGGGACTTCAAGTTCCGTCGCGTACTTGACTTCTCCATTCTTCTCGCTCACTTTCTTAGTACGCGATTTGATAAGAGGCTTCTCCAACCCCGTCTCTTCATTGTTCCAATATGCATACACAACAAGCAACAAATTATTAAGTATTGTGGGGATTAATCTGGTAAGTATGTTAGATTCTTGGTTTCTAGTGAAGGAGACCAGACAGGCAGTAGCTAGGCAAGTCCTTTGGTTGGCCTAACTCTAGTGAGGGAAGGTGGGATTAATTTTTAATAAGCATTGTTAACTACTACCACTAACCCTTTTGATAACTACAGAAAATATGGTTTATTAGGGTTTGGTTTATGAAAAGGTAATTATTGTACATGATTTTATTATTTATTGCTTAATTATTTGGTGGAGCAGATACATATATACGTAAGGCGGCTATGAATTAATAATAATTATGTAATTTGGTCACAATAGACCCCACATAGTTTGTACTTATATGTGTAATATGGTGTGTCAAGGGGGCAGATTTTTCCAAAGTTCAAGTTTTGATAATTAAAGTGGTCCAATCGAACTTTTGTCCTAGTGGAAAATTTTTATCCCATCGATGTCGAAATTGAAAAGTAAACGGTTTCCATAAATCCAGAATTTCAACTTCTCGCACAGGGGAGAAGAATATTCAATCCTTTTTGGATAGTTGTATTAAAAAAAATGTGATTTGGTGAATAAACTAGAAATACAAATGAAAGATAAAATTCACAGGTTATTTTGATAAATTAAGTTGCCCTTGCATGTTCCATGCATCGTCATAGTGTTTTTTTTTTCAATCTAATTTATGACTAATCAACATTATTCTATTCAAATATCTCGAAATTTAAATGTTGGACGATTATATAACTTTCAAAGAATTAGCTCACATTATAAGAAACTCATGAATGGTGAACAAAAAGAACAGTTTTCCCTCAATAACCCATCATAATTGCGAGATATCAGATACTTACATGACATTATCTACAACGAAAATTTGACCTTTCTGTCCTCAAAAGTCTATAATATTAGGTACGAAATCATCCTGATAACTAAGTTATATACATTTTCCCTACATATAGCACCACGTAATTAATAAACACTCTCTCACTCACTCACATTCATAATAATTTTATTTTTATTTTTGTAAAGCTGAAATTCATTAGATAAATAAATAAAAGGAAGTTAAGAGTTAAAATTGAAAGAAACAAAAAAAAAGGCACACACAAGCGCCAAAACACACTATCATTCATAATATAATCCACACGATTAATTAGTCGACACACATCTCTTCAGCAGCTAACCACAACTAATTAATTAATTAAGTTAAAACATAAGATTTTGTTATACTCACCAAGATGAAGTTGTGCGCTGACGAGGTGCAACTTGAGTGCTTTCCCAATGAAGTCGGAAATATCGTCCATCCCAATCCCAAGGAACCCACCCGTCGTCTCCTTCACCGTCACCACCGCCTTCACTTTCACCGCCTTCTTCTTCTCCGCCACCGGCACCACCACCGTAGTAGCAGCAGTACTAGCACTCATCCTCCCCGGTGTAGCAACGGAGAAGGACGGCGACGGCGGGGAAGCAGTCAACATTATTGTTGCCGAGTTGTTGTTGTTTTCTAGTACTGTGGTGTTTCTCTCGAGGAACAGTGAACGGAAGTTGCGAAACAGGAGAGCGAAAGCTGCTGGGAGAAGAACCCACAAGATCAGAGAGATCATGAAAGTTCGCCAAGAGAGGAAAAGGGTTTGCTCGAAATTGGAGGTAGATTGGTGGGTAAGGATTGGATTTGGTGTTTGTGTAGTGGGGAAATGGGAAGAAGAGGGTGGTGGTGGATTTATATAGGAGGGTTTGGTAGAAAGCTGACTAAAGAAGAAGAAGAAGATTATTATTATTAGTAGGGTGGAGTGGGAATTTTCAAAGGGTGGTGGGTTTCAATGCAAGTCGTAGACGACCGAGATAATATGGACGAGTTGGGGTTTGGAATTTGGAGGGGGAAGGTGAGAGGCAGTTGGGGCCTTTTTTGTTCTTTTCTCGTCACGTTTGATTATTAATGGTTTTATTATTGCATGTGGTAATAATAATAATAATACTTCTAAATCTGGTTGACGAGGAAGTTCCAACGCGGAGTGGGCCGGGAGAGGAAGAAAGATTCATTCTCGTCTCTCGATCTCCTTTTCTCTAGCTAGTGGCACATTATTGATGAACCTAGCCACTAGTGGCACCGATCATTAGATGATATATAGATATATACGGTGGTATATTCGGTGCACCCATTTTTTACGGTGCACTCAATGCACCCGCCTCATAATTGTCATTCCAAGCATGCAATTCATGTCAAAGCGGTATCAAGTGTAGCTTATGATATTATGAACAAGAAACACGTGAATTTGCAAAAATCTCATTCCCGATTTTCTTTAATTTGAAGAATTTAGGATTTAATGATTTAGGGTTTAGGTTTACAATTTGGGATTTTGGTTTGAGATTCAAAATTGAAGGTTAAGGGGTCAGGGTAATGGATTGATTAGTTGAGATTTTATATTATATCATCATACTAGACTCATGCTACCAATAAAAAAAAAATTCAAATTTGATGTATTATAGCCACTTTTAGAGTTGGGTGCATTGAACGCACCCAAAAAAGTGAGTGCACCGAAGTAGCCACCTATATATATATATTTTTTTTTCTTGGTAAAAACCTTCAATGGCGTTTACATTTTGAAAGGGAGGAAGAGGTCGGAAATGAAAAACAAGTTCGAAATTAGTGCGAGGTTTGAACTTGGGTGTCAAGAGTACTTGAAGTTCTATTACGGTTAGTAATTGGTATATCCAGACGGATAACATCACACAATACACGCTGATATACATGAGCACGTATTGTGTTGTGTGTGATGTTGTGGATTATGAGTGATGAATTATTTTTAAGAATTATCGAAATTCAAAACCTAAAATGCTGAAGTTCCCATTGATTGTAAAGATAAGTTTGTCATAATTAATTTACTACATGCATGTATCACAGCAAGCAAGCTAGCTAGTTGAAATTGTTATCATCTATCTATATATGGTGGCTAGCTAGGGTCCAAGATTTACATCGTGGTTGTTAGCATGGTGGGTAATGTTATAATCATTTTTTTCCCCAGAAGAATTGAAATCTTTTCTTAATCCCCACATGACACATGTGCCCTTTTTCTTGAACAACCAAACATTGCCCATTATTCTACCTAGAGCTTTGTTTTTGTTTGGTACACAGCTAGTTTTGTTCTTTTACGGGGAGAGTATGGGTCAAACATAAAGGTTTGAGAGAAGGCGCTACAGCCTGTAAGGATCGGATGAGATTTCTTTCCCAATACATTAGCCACTGATGTTTTGATAATTTTAGTTTCTTCAAAACAATAGTAACATGTAAGAACTACGATTGTTTAGGGTTTCGAATTGAATAAGAGAGTGAGTTTGGGAAGAACGGAATTGAGAATTAAGAGATTTAGAAGAAGAAATTGGGGATAGAGAAGGAAGAATGGCCGACGGTGTTTAGGAACAGGTGACGAATATAGAAGAAGATATTAGGTTTAGAAGAAAGATACTTTGCTAATACTTTTCTGATTAATTCCTAAGTTATATGCCCCCAGTGCATTTATATAATAAATAAACTCAAAACCCTACTGATAAACCTAATGTCACTCCGACGCTAATCGGCCGCGTCCACACCTAACGAAATAATAATAATACCATTAATCCATGTCTCTAACATAACATCTCTCCAGCATTACATCATAAACTAGTTTGTCTCAACAACTCGAATAACAAATAGACACAAACTCAATCAATTCATTAGCAAGACAGGGTCTCAGATTCCACAAAGTGTGACGAGCTCTCAGATAGCTAGCTGCTGCAACTGCCGAACAGGAACACCATTGATAAAGCAGGAATTGAACCTCTTTACTGCAAAATTTTCTTTTCATCAAAGAACAATTAGTTAATTACAAGAAGCTGACTAGTTAAGTATATCATCATCAGACTTTTATCCCAATATTGTGTGTCACAGTTATAGATAATAAAGATGCTTGGAATCTGCCCAACTTGGTTTGGTTTGGTTTGTATTATTAGTAAATTATGTGTAGCTTCAGGGCTGGCGTGGCCACCTTCAGTGGCCCATCATATTCATACATATATTAATTATCTTCTCTACTCTAACAAAGGGTACGTATGTCTGTCTGTCTGCCTGTCTTTCTACCCAAAAAAATGAATTCTTGTTCGCACTCTGACAGAGTGATATGTATAATATAGGATAAATGTCACATTTGGTCACCGGATTACTAAATCGTGTTATGTTTAGTTACTAGAAAAAATTAATATCGATTTGAGTCACTCGAATTACTAAAATATGTCATATTTAGTCACTCTCATTTTAGCCTCCGTCCAACTTCGGTCATTCGAATTACTTTTATTTTTATGAATGTCACTCGAATTACTTAATTAGTCACTCTCCGTTGGCCTCTGTCCAACTCCATTAACGGAGTTGGATGGAAACTAACGGGAATGTGACTAAATGTGACATATTTCAGTAATTCAAGTGACCAAAATTGATATTAATTTTTTCTAGTGATCAAATATAAAATAATTTAATAATCTCGGTAACCAAATGTGGCGTTTACCCGTATAATATATGTGCAGAAAGCACGAAACTGCTGCAGCTCATGTGTGGTAGTGGCCTATTGGTCCACTTGCATGCTTTCTCTTCTTCATAGTATATATGAAAGCAGGAAGCTGCTGCAACTCATGTGTGGTAGTGGCCTATTGGTCCACTTGCATGCTTTCTCTTCTTCACAATATATATATATATGCAAAGGCTAGCGTACGTCAGTCGTATGCTGTACGCCTGTATTCACACTTGGTTTTTGCACTTCAATATATTTCGCTGAATCAGAACCGTCGGTTATTATTTTTTTAGATTAAATGAATCTCGTGGCTTGGGTTAGAGAATTAGGGACTGGGTTTTATCCATTGGAGGTTAGGGTATAGTATCATGCACAAAATTTTGGTTAATTCCTGCTCTAAATAGTAAAACTCGACGGACATACAATGTACAACTGACGTACGCTAAGGGAAGAGTGTGTTTTTAATTTTTATAATACTAATCACCTCGAATTTTCTAACTAGAGCTCGTCTATGGATAGGCCTGTTAGCGGTGCGGTTTCGGTTTTAACCGAACCGCAACTGCGGTTAACCGCAGCCGAATACGCAACTGAAACGTCAACCGCAACCGCAACTGAAGGGAGGTGCGGTTAACCGCAAACCGCAACTGACGGTTTCAGTTTGTTTGTGCGGTCAGTCGAGACCGATGGCCGTCGCGATCTCCACCCTGCTCACCGCCGTTTCTTCTTCCTCCACTTCCACCCCTTCCGTACAGAACGCCGTCTCTTCCCTCTACCGAATCACCCTCCTCCTCCCACAAGAAACGCCTCTTCTTATCCGTCACTGATAGTGACCAAACCATTGAGGGGAAACAGAGGACTCACATAGGAAAGGGGCGCACGACGGACGATGGGATTGAGGGTCGACGTCGTGAATCGCAGGACTGGGGGCGACGACGAACGGCAGGACGGACGAAGGCTGGGGCGGAGCGACGCTGACACGAGGTGACTGACGATGGCAGCGACAACGATTACGACGGGCCGACGGCTGCAGTGGGGACGCCGGGGTAGGCCGATGACGACGTCTGCAGCGTGGACGCGGCGCCGAAGAGGGGAGGTCAGGGAATAAGGGAATGGGAGGGTAGCGGCGGGGCAGGGTGAGAGACTTTCTCCCGCTGGAATTGGTATCGCGAATTAGGGTTGCGGGAGGATTCGATGGACTGGGACGCCTTGGCGATGACGAGGCGAGGACGACGACAGGCGACCGGGAGGGCTGGGGTTTGTTGGGGAGGAAATCGGAGGAGGTGGTGGATTGGCGGGCGGAGAAATTTTTTGGGAGGTCGAATTTAGGGTTCCCCTTTCAGTTCTACTTTGTAATCGCGACAAGAGGGAGACCTAGGCGAGGGCACGACGCGGTTTGGCCAGGTGAAGTGGGATTCGCGGTTAGGGCGGTTAACCACGCGCGGTTTCGGTTATGACTGCCAACCGAATTTTACCTCCTTCGCCAGGAATTGACCAACCGCAACCGCATTAATATTTCGGTTAACTATAAACCAACATTTTCGGTTCGGTTTTCGCTCCAACCGGGTAACCGCTGACCAATTAACAACCCTATCTATGGATATGAGATTCATAAATCATATATATATATAAATAAGAACAATGTTGTTACAGAATATAATGTATATATACCTAAGAACAATGTTATAACTTATAACAACGTAGAGATTCTATCAATATCAATATATAAATCAAATTATTGGGAGTGGCTTAAAATATGATTTTATATATTATTCTCGAACAACTTAGTTAATGCTGAGCGATGTGTTATGCATCAAAATTAGAGATTTGATAAGAGAATTAAGAAAATAATTTATAGATATTTTTGGGAGAGGTTGAGAACAAATTATTAGTTTAAGAAGAACTTAATTGAGAGGATTAGGCTTTCAAATTATCAATAAACTCTTCGTTACTTTGTTCCTTGATAATTTTTTAATAGTTACAATTATACTAAACTAAATAACTAAAATAGTAATAACAAGATTATTATTATTATTATTATTATTATTATTATTATTATTATTATTATTATTTGATATCATATCGTCAAGAGCCATTTGACCCTCAAATCCCAATAGATTGAAGAGTTAACGTTGGACGAATTTTTTGGGAGAGTCAATATCATCTATATGGTCACAAAATCATCTTAATCTTGAAAGTCCTAATCCTATGCCTCAAGAAAAAGACTCGTTTACAAAAACTTGACGAGTTAACAAAAAATTTAAATAAACACGCTGATCCACGTTAATCTTAGGGATAAGATATAGATCGACTTTTAGATATAATTAACCATATAATTAATTTCTTCCAAGAAGCAAATGCTGCCCACTTAATCTCCACTATATGAATTTTTCACATTGTAAATTGACTTATGCTAGCTCTTTAATTTTGTATAGCTATAATTTGTGCGCTTTAAACCGATTCTTACAATCAAGATCATAAAAGTTCACGAGCGTTACACTTTTCAACCGAAAGGTTCTAGTATTTTGTCCAGTAATAATACACCGGAAATAGTATTACTAAAAAAATTCATGATGGTGAATATTGCAGTAAAAGAAAAAACAATCAATGAAATTAAAAAAAAAAACAATTGCATTTCCATTATCATGTCACTTTGCAATTGCATTTCCATTTCCATTTCCATTATCATGTCACTTTGCAAGTGAAAATGGTAGCAAAGAAAAAAAAACGATCAAAAAATGATGTGTTCACATGGACTCAACACAAAGCCACACGTGTTATTTGCTTTAAATGGATAGTCACCGGTTTCCTTCGCCAATCACCAATTCGCCATTGACTATAAACCTATCGGTTGCCATCTCATTTTTCACGCATGTATCGCGACTGTTTAGTTGTGAGATTCTTAATGTGTTGAATTCTGGAGGGCCGTGTTACGACTTCGAGATATGGCTCAATCATCGTTATAGCTAATCCATTACGGTTTTGTAAGTGTCATTTTAGAACATAAATAAGATTTTAAAACAATCAATATACATGTTTCCTGTATATAATATATATATATATATATATATATATATATATATATGGTTATGTCCAGTGGCGGAGCCACTTGACCCCCCTTGGATCACCCCCTTGGATTTGGAGAATTTTTTTTGGAGTAGGGTATATACAAATTCGAACCAATGATCATTCAGTTGCAGGAAGAAATTCTTATCATTTCGATTGAGTGAGTTTTGTTATGCAATGCACTTTTGTCTTTATTTATAGTAATAAATTGTTGTCTTTTGTTTAAACCCGCTCTTTTTTTTTGTAGCTCTACAACAGAGAAATTTCTTGTCTTTTGTTTAAACAAAGTTGAAAGTGAAGAAGTACCAATTGAAGTTCACTTGTTTGTTTCACAAAATCAATTCCAAGGTACTTCTGAGTTCTAATTTGTAATATTTGATGAATGGAAGTCTTGATTTGTATGTACTGAACTTATTTGTTTGACGTTGTAACCGGTGTACGTGAAACTATTTTAATGTAATTGTATGAATTTAGAGTATTGCGTTGTTGACTTTTTTTAATTTAAAGTTGACTTTTCTATTGTATATGTGATTTTTTATGATATGATAAAGACACCCCTTGGCCAATTTCCTCGCTCCGCCACTGGTTATGTCTTCGGTGCACTCACTTTTTTGGGTGCATTCAATGCACCCACCTCATAATCGTCATTCTGAGCAGACGATTCATGTGAAAACGATGTCAATCATTCCTTGTAATATGATGAACAAGAACCACATGAATTTGTACAAAAATCATTCAAGATTCACTTTAATTTGAATGATTCAGGGTTTAGGAATTTATGGTTAGGGTTAGGGTTTACAATTTGGGATTTTGGGTTTAGATTCAAAATTGAATATTAATAGGTTAGGGTAATGGGTTGATTAGTTGTGATTTTGTGTTATATCATTATATGAGACTAATGCTATCCATTAAATTTCAAAATTTGAAGTATTATGACCACTTTTAGAGGGAAAAAAATCCCAAAGTACACTAGTTCTTAAAAAAAATTCCCAAAATACATAAGTTATAAAAAAAATTCCAAAAGTACACATGTTTGAGCATCACCGTTTTAGACAAAAGCGGTGAAGGTCATCACCGTTTTTGACCAAAACGGTGAATACTTCACCGTTTTTGTATAAAACGGTGATGTATTCACCGTTTCAAACTAAAACGGTGACTGCTTCACCGCGTGAGAGCAAAACGGTGAATCACTGAACTGCGTCCAAACTTTAAAACAACGTAACTTTGTGCTCGGTTATCCGATCGTAGCGAATTTTTTTTTGATTCCGCATAATTTTTCGAGATCTTGCAAGCCGCTCGAAAAATTATGCGGAATCAAAAAAAAATTCGCTACGATCGGATAATCGAGCACAAAGTTACGTTGTTTTAAAGTTTGGACGCAGTTCAGTGCTTCACCGTTTTGCTCTCACGCGGTGAAGCAGTCACCGTTTTGCTCTCACGCGGTGAAGCAATCACCGTTTTGCTCTCCCACGGTGAAGCAATCACCGTTTTTCTCTCACGCGGTGAAGCAATCACCGCCCTTCTCTGACGCGGTGAAGGCCCAAACATGTGTAGATTGGGAATTTTTTTCATAACATGTGTATTTTGAGAATTTTTTTTAAAAACATGTGTAAATTGGGATTTTTTCCTTTTAGAGGTGGGTGCACTCAAAAAAGTGAGTGCACCGAAGTAGCCACCATATATATATATATATATATATATATATATATATATATATAATGGGCTCCCGGAGTATAACATAACTCCAAGAGATATGGTTCTTCAATGTAATTTACTGTGCTTTGGCGAACTAAAACCGTCCAGATTGTTAATCTTCGGGTTTAAGTTTAGAGTACTGGATTCTGAGGTTAATCCATTAGAAGTAAGGGTATGATATATCATACCACAAACTCGCTTTAATTCGTGGTTAGATAAATGTATCTCACAAGTAATATCTGGAGTATCGTATACTTCAAGTGTACAACAGTCTGACTCATATATGTATACATGATAATATTGATTTATGAATAGCCTTAGTTAATTAACATATACTTGAACCCACATCATACCTAGCTACAATCAATTAATCATAAATAATCAATTGAACCAACCATCGTACCTAAAATCAATTAACCATTTATGTACAAGGACAAGCTGTAATATTGTATCACTAACTTAACCAACATGCCTATTATGAAAGAACCCTAATATTCAAAGGCTCTATCTGAACTCTGAAGGCATCCTACCAAACCCTAATAGCCAACCCTATATATATAATCCAGCGCTGTGGTCCAAAATTTACATCGTCGTGGTAAGCATGGTGCTGGGTAACATTTAATCTAATCCATCCAACGATCGAGTTTAAAATCTTTCTTTAATCCCCACATGTCATCCCATCTAATCGAGTTTAAATCTTAAACTAAATAAAGTTAATTCACAACCCAACTTAATCCTCTCTCTCTTTACAAAGATTATCGTGAAGATGGTCAAACATAATGGTTCTTCGATGGAAAAGTATTTTAAACCCCATTATTGCCAATTAGCTAGCCATGAGCCCTGCAAACCTGTGTTAGTGGCCTATTGGTCTACTTGGCATGCTTTGCCTTCTTACAGGACATATATACCAATTTATGTTCAAGTACTTATTACCGAGTTTTGTTATTTAGATTGTGAATTAACGAAATTTGGGTCATGATGCTATATTCTAATCTTTATTAGATGAATCTCAATTCTTAAAATTCTCTAACTCGAACCATAAGATTATATTAATCTAAAAATAATAACCGACGATTCTGATTCGTCTACTACACTTTCTTGCACATCCCATTCATCCGCAAGACAAGAGAAAGACTAAAGAAAACCCCTCAAAAGTTCAAATACGGTTAGATTAAAACAATAATACAAACTTTACTCCTTTCTCTCTAATTTTACATGATCAAAAACTAACATCTAAGATGACATTTAAAAAAGAAAATAGAGTGCAAAATTTCAAGAAACGTATCGTTGTGTAAAAAAGAGCATTTTCCCCCCTTTCTCTAAGTGGTCTTTTTATCCATGTTGCGAACGAGCTGCTTCATCTGGAATCTCCAGAACAAGAAGTAGGCCAGGCCCAGCCCAATCATAACATACAAAATTACATTCTCGTCCTCGCCCTCCTTCGCCGACCGAACCTCCTCTATCCTAAACCACTCCCTCTCTACTTCCACATTCCCCAAAATGCCCTCCATCACGCTCCCATATAACACGTACGCCCTGTCCTCCGCCGCCGCCACTACTACCGCCGTCGCGAACCCTTCCCTGTCCTCCAGCTCCACGGAATCGAACACCGCCGCCTCCGCCCAGCTATCGTCGCTCTTCAAAAACCACACCTTCTCGTGCGACACCACCAGCGCGGCCCCGTCCCGCCTCCTCACCGCGATCCCGTCGGCGTACATCAGATCCGCAGGCAGGATCACCCGCCTCGCTCCCCCGGTGACCTCATCGACCTTGAACACCTTCCCGGTGTTGCTCTGCACCACGAGGAGGTACCCCTTGCTGACGTAGGCCACGCCGTTGAGCCCCGATTCGCTGTACGGCAGGTCGCGGTCGACGGGGGATTCGGTGAATTTATCCGATCTGGAGAAGATCGACGCGTTTCCTTCCGAATCTACTTTCCAGATGAAGTTCCCTTCCTCGGTTCCCAAGGAATTGGTGACGTACGCGTTGCCCTTGAAGTCGACGGCCACCGCGTTCGCGACGGGGCGGCCGGTGGCTCCGCCGTCGGGGAGGAGGGAGAGGAAGAGCTGCTTGCGGGTGCGGAGGTCGTAGGCGGCTAGGGCGTTGAAGATTGGGAGCGGGGCCACGGAGTGGACGGCGGCGAGGAGGCGGTTGTTGACGGAATCGACCGCCAGGCCGAGGATCGAGGCGTTGGGAGGGAGGGAGAGGTCGGTGATGAGGGTGCCGACGACGCCAGCATCGGAGACGGAGTGGATCGAGCGGTGGCGGAGGGATCCGACGATGAAGTGCTGTGCGGAGCGGTCGTAGGCGAGTCCCTCTGGGTAGAGATTGGGGGATCGGAACTTGATGACGTGTGGTTTCCCCGCCGTGGATGGGTTTGGCGCGATTAGGAGGATGAGGATTGAGAAGAGGAAGGAGATCGGAGAGATTGCAGCCATGGCGGATTGAAATTGATAAATTAAAGCTTGAAAATGAGTTTTTAAGATTACTCCTGACGCCCTTTCCATTTGTAATTTAGAAGCTACAATGGAGATAAACTACATAGCCTGAGTCGTTAATACTCTTATTATTTAGGTAAATGAAAACAGAAAACCTTGTTAACCAAAGGCTTTCCAAACCGAAACAAACCAAAACCCAACCCAATGGACCCATTTCCAAGTCTTCTTATTCTCATGCAACTCCCCCAAGCACAGCAAAAGAACACAACCACCATTCCTAAATGGAAATGCTATACGGAACTCCCTTACCAGTAACTCCACTCTCCGAGAACGGCTTCAGCAGCTCATAAGGATAGACCCCAGCTCCACTCCTGTTCTTCCTCGACGAATCCGCATTCCTCGCGTCGATCTCCCCCTCGATCTCCTTCTGCCTGCCATTGAACTTCTCGAAAGCAGCCTTCACGTTCGGATCATCGCGCCACGCAGGCTCGATCGGCCCACCGAGGTACTCCTCGTCGGGGGCATGAGCCGACAGCACGTCGAGCACGGTCATCACCTTGGTAGCCTGAATCTGGGACGGCAGGGTGGCGAGAAGCGCCTGCTCGGGCTTCTCGATGAACAGCTTCCACTCGTCCTCGGTCGGGTCCTCGTCGGGCATTTTCACCCTGGCGGTGGTCGGCTGGTTCGGGAAGTAACCTCCGAACGCGTACTGCCCGAAGTTAACCGCTGCGTGGTGGCCCGAGACGACCCAGATGATGGTGGTGCAGACCTCGACGAGGTCCTGTTGGGTGGAGATGGTCGGCCACCATGGCTCGTCTTTCTTGTCCTCGTGTCCCTGGTTGCGGACTTCGGACCACCATGCTTGGAGCTCTGCGTCGGAGGAGACGGATTGGGAGTCTGGGTAGTATTGGTTGACGTAGTCGGTCACCCATGTCTTGATGGAGTCCCAGATGAGGAGGCCGTCGTTGGCGTACGGGTAATCTTCAATTGTTAGCTTCACACCATGTGGTGCAGATGGGTCTTCCACAGCCAGTCCACTGCAAGACACCACGAAATCAGAAGGCTAACATTAGGAATTTTCCACCTCCAATCAACATTTGCTAGCTAAAGATGAAAAACCAAACAAGTGGAATGTGAAATTAGTAGTATACAACTCACCGGTTAATCAGATCATGAGGAAGTCCTTCCTTATCGAAACGCCAAGATTGGCCATAGATGGCGGAGCTAGCCTGCATGCAGTACTTGAGAGGGGCGAAAGTCGACTCAATGACTCCACCAGCATTGATCAGAGCTTGTCGTGCCAGCGCGTTGATCTCCATCGTGTATCGGAAGTGAGGGAGCAAGAGCCGGTGGACTGGGTGCATCGCGCTGAGCTGGCGTTTCGCTGCAATTATGTAAGGCTCTGTGCAGCAATGGGTTCTCAGCCAGTGACTGATGAGCTGATGATAGGCAGAGTCGTGGGACAGGACATGAGCTTTGGCGAACCTCCACAGCCAGACATCTGTAGCAGAGGAATAGTTCGGAACATACACTTTCTTCCATTGTGGCTTTCCGTCGAGTGGTGGCCGAGTGAGTTCGATTGCTAGAGGCCTCAATGTGCCAGCTGGGCAGAGGTAGAATACAGTTCGTGACCCATATAATGTCGTGTTGTCGAGCTCTCTGGTTTTTCCCACAAATGGCAACAAGACATCATGGTAGTCGAGCATGAATAGCTTCTTTTGTTGGATGGCCTAAACAGAGCAATAACACAAACGTTAGAGAATGACAGAGTGTTGATTAGTTTCAGAGTTGAAAACGATTCATACATCATCCAGTGTTGTATAGCCTCTGATTTCTTTCTCAATGAGTTCTTTAGTGATTCCAGACTCTTGAGGTCCATAGACGGCAGGGTCCAGGGTACCCATAATAGGCCACTCCTGAAAATATTCCAAACAAAGAGGCATAAAGTTAGTTAATTTACTAGTTTTACTACTTTAGCAACACAGAATTCCAAATAGCATGGGTGTGTTATAACTAACTTTTCTTGCTAAATTAGATTACCTTGATCAACTGTATGGTGCATGGGTTGACACCAGCAAGTGTCTGCCTAGCAAATTCCTCATCAGTGAACCAGAAAAAGCTGTTTCCTGGAGTAACATACAAAATCTTTTCAGTTATACATTTACAATTGACTGAAGCAGTTCAGCGACCCATCTCGGATTGATTACCAGTAATGATATTAAACAACTTGACATATATAATGTTGAGTTAGAACTCAAAACAGAGAAGGAAGTAGCTTACTGTCCATTGTTGGAGGGACCTCAAACTGCAACACATCATTGCTAGCTTCAGCTGAGTTCCTGATGAGCGTTGGCAAGAAAGATACAAGATTTGTCTGCGAATAGGGAGGCAAGTTGAGCCCTTGGTCGAACAAGTTGTTCACGGCTGTGAAGTGTGGGAACCCAAGCTTAGGGTCGATGAGTATGGTCTCCAGAGTTGGCACCAAGGCGTGCAAAGCCGAGTACAACGTCTTCACCCCAAACTGTGCAGTCTTAATCTCTGAGAACTCCTCATCACGAGGCACATAAAAGTAAAGCGCCCTCGTCTCGTCTTCTGGATCTGTCAAGTAGTAGTTCATATGTTAAGTAATAAGATAGTAAGAGACACCATACAAGCACTGTGAAGATCAATAGTTAAAGGTATAGCCATGGAGTATTCACTACTTTTGGATGATCGTGGTCGTCCTGTTCTGCATCGCCTGGGGTAAGGGTTCTCTTTACCACCCAATACAGGTCTTGCGTCGCCGAGATCATTGTAGACGTCGTAGTCGTATATCCTGTCGCCTTTCTTGCGCTCACCTTGGCCACTCCCTCGCAGAACCACGAGCTCATCAGTTCGCAGCTTCTTCAACCCCGTTGGCGTATCAGATGGCAAGTACGACTGTTCTCATCACAAGCCACAACGAGTAATTAGTCATCAACGGTTTATATCTAACAAAAAGTCTCAGACCCAGTCGTCAGTTCACATGTCTCAGCGGCATTTTATCAAACACCTGGTGAGCAACGAAATTGTGATATTTCAGAAACCACAAAGGGTTTCCGATAAGATTAATGTAGCTTTTTACCTTGGTAGAGAAGAAGACCCTTTTGGGCTTGCCGGAGATCTTGGCCGGAACCCAGGACTCGCACTCGATGTTGACGGAGCCGGTGGCGAAGCCTTCAAGGACGATTTCCTTGAGGAACATCTCCCTGATGTGCAAATTGTCAATTCGAACCGCTCCGACCGTACCGAAATCGGCCGACAAGCCGAACGATGCTTGGTACTTGATCTCCGTGCCATTTATCCCGGCGAAGCTAGCCAACGAGCTCACCGTCGGCTTCGGCTTTCCCGTCTCTTAATCCAAGGAAAAAAGGTCGATCGAACAGCGGAGTGTGAGTGTGAGTGAGTGTGAGTGTTAACGACAAAAATGCTTTATCTCCAAAATGATCATTTGATTTTCAAATTTGGCGTAAAACGGTCACACATCTTTTATCTTTTCCAAACGGGTACCATAAGTTTGAAAATTTTTAAGAACCGATCACCTTCGATTTTCAATCCAGTAGTAAAATTACTAAAATACTATCAAAATCTAGTTTAACATTCCGACCGATCTAATAAACATGTAAGCAACTTATTTCCGGATCAAAAAGAGAACTCGATCGAGCTAGATCAGAGTGTTAAAATAAATTTTAATTTATCCTTTTTATTAACTTGATAAGTCAAATTAACTAGTCGCGAGATTCTCCATAAAAATAATGAATATGTACGAATTTGGATTTTACCGAAAAATTACAACTTTAGTCCTTATACTATAATAAGTTGACAAAAACATCCTTACTGGGATCAAGCTCGGCGGGAATGAGCTCCAAGATCATGGAAGTCCCCAGCAGGTCAGCAACAGTGTTGGGCACCAGCACGGTGTCGGCCAGAAACCCGCCGACGGTCTGCTTCACGGTGACGACGGCCTTCACCTTCACGGCGGCGAGCGGGTTGAGCGCCCCCAACCCGCCGAGGATCGCCTTCACGGCCGACCCGGATTGCCGGACCCGACCCGGGTTGACCGGGTTGGTTCCCTTGACGACTTTGGAGAACTTGGTGGACGACGGCCTCGTGGCGAGGGAGGCGATGCCGGCGCCAGTGCCGTTGAGGAACGGCTTCTCCGTCGCCGTCGACGGGTTGAGCAGGCCGGTGGATTGGTGAAGGCTCTGCATTTTTGCTTTTGAGGATCTCACTTGTGTTGGTGAGAAAGAGTGAGTGAGTTGCAGATTTTGGTGGAGGTGAAGCTCTGGTTTTATAATGGTAGGGGAAATGTGGAAGATTGTATTGGGCTAATTTGCACGTGAAAAATTGAACGGGGACTATTGGAGATAAAATTGAGAACTTGTATTCAATAATCGGTTAGGTAGGGCAGAATGAAATGTATAATAATGGAACAATAAACATAATGTAAAAATAGCCTAGAGTCATACATCAGTCGGTTGTAATTTGTAAACTATTAAAGCATTGAGAAATCGTCCTAAATAAATACTGTTTTTTTTTAAATCGAAATCGTTAATTTAATCGAAATCGTTGAAAATTGGAGAACGAATTGAATTTTATACCGTAACACAAATTTGGAGCATATAGTAACATTCTATTTTCAAAGTGTGGCATGGTGTGGCATACTTCAAACTCTTAACACATACATAAATGAAGATCTTAGATCTTTTGGTATGACGAAAGAATGACATGATGACAAAATGAACAAAAAGCGTATCCAAGAATGGAAAATTTTAATTATGGGCATGTTTAAAACTGGATTAATCATCAAATTTGAAATTTTAACTGATGACATTTGCTTAATAATAATATAGCTTTAGTACGATGTACTTTACTCGTGAACTTGTCTTTATATTGATCATAGGATGAATATCTGAAATCTATAACGAGTCTTAAAAATGTTAAAATTACTGCAAATCATAAAGAAATTTATGCAAATTAATAGTTCTCGTTGTACATCATTATCTAGTTGAACATTAATGTATTTTTTTGTGACAGATTAGATGATTAAATTTATAATTATGAGATTGAATGTATCATATACACACCCGAACTCTGGAAATTTACTGATGCTTTCTTCTGTATATTATAACTCAATCAAACTGGGCAAAATATAAAATCAAGGATCTAAAATGTTGCTTACACTTGAAATTTTAAGAAAAAAAGCAATAACTCTTCAAGCTCGTGTAATAACCGAAAAATCATACAGATCAATTAAGTCGAATCCATATAAACCCTATTGCCTTGGATGCTACTTAAGAATTTAATTACACCAATCAATGGAAGTGCGGAAATCAAATATACGCATCTCCCATATGCTAAACTGACATCCAGTACTTCAATTAGGCTGGTCCTTTATCATTTGCTTGTGGGATGAGTAATGGATTTGACATTTAACAAATATTTCATTAGGGTTTTAAAACTTAAAATCTATTTGGGTTTTAAAACTCAAAATCTATCCATTTCATAATTTTACAAATCTCACATTTCATTTGTAATTTGATAATGTGAAACAAAATCATCATAAATCTAAGAATTTTTAAAACTCAAAATCTTCGTTTTCAAATCTCACCACCAAACTTATAATGAAATAAGAGTTTATGCTTCAAGTACACCGTCTTTCCCCGTAAACTAACATTATGATGTTTGGTGAGTAGGTGATCCGTGTTTACTATATGCGACTGACAATCTCTCATAAATATCATTAGCTATTTAGTTGGGACCACTTTTCCCGTTGTTAATAGTTTTTGACCACCACACAACATGCATTAGTGACCGTAACAACCGATATGTTTCCGGATTTATTTTCCTGAATAGAAAAAAAAAAGACAGTGGGACACTTCGTTTCAAAACAAAATTTCATAGCAAATTATGAAATTAATTAAACAGGTGCCTAACGGCACTAAAAGACCCCTGTCGATTATCGTCGAAGCAAACAATCAACAAGACAACTATTCTTTCTGTAAACATAAAAGATGTGAACAATCCAACATTGTCGAAAAAGATCGTGGAAAAATGAAAGTCGTATTAGATTTCTTTTTATTCAAAGAAGTTTTGATAAAGCGAAGAAATGAGATGCATGCAAGGAGAAAAGGAGAATCATAGTAATGTCTGGGATTGCTATGGTATGTCTGTGGATTGACGGGGGAGTTATGGGCAATAGGGTTGTTCAAACGGTTTGGTTACCGTGGTAACCGTTTTAACCGGTACTATTTGGATAATTTGGTTTGGTTAATTTGGATAATTGGTTTGGTTTGGTTAAAGTTGTTAGCTTGTTTGATTTAGGTGGTTTGGTTTGGTTTCAGACACTTCTAACCAGTCAAACCAAATTAACCAGTTAAGTAATTAGTCATATATCTAACATATATTATATACACATATTTAATACTTTGCATAACCACTCAAGAGATAACGTTCATCCCTTTTAGACTCATAAAATATAAAGCTCAATATTGCTCATATAGTGTATATTTGTATATGTGAAGTGTAGACCACAACATATGGACGCCTAATTTAGATAAATTTCATACATTATGATGGATGAAAACTTGAAAGGAAGGGCATTTCCAGCCTATGATAATTGCTAACAGACTAAGTAAATTTACACAAACACAACAATTCATTAACTCATAGCATTGTCATATATTTTTGTTAGGTGAATACTTCTATACTAATCGTAAGATAATTGTCTTAGTTGCATGTATTTTTGTTAAGGGTCAAATATAACTACATGTTAATTGTTATGTTTTATTCATTATATAAATTGTGAATTGTTGCATTAACCGGAAAATTTTCATCGTCAATGATAATGTGATTTTATATTGGTTAATCTGGTTAACCAATTAACCAAACCGATTAAACTTTAGTTTGATTAATTTGGTTGTTGTATTAGTTTGGACGGTTTGGTTATGATATTGTATTCCATGATTAATAGAATTTAGCCTTATTTAATTTGGTTATAACCATGACAACCATTTGAACAACCTAATGGGCAATTTGATTGCTGCAGTAGAGGCCCTCTGTGTCCATTTATTTGCAGGGAGAGGGGGGAGAAATCAATGCACACATCATTTAGTTATGGCACCTCGATATGTGTCCTTATCTTTGAATATGTGTCATACACAATATGTATGCTCCACGTACGTGCGTTCATTATATTTTATATATATTAGGATTACTGTACGACGTACGTATGTCTCTTTTCTATAATGAGTGTTGATTGTGAGGGTGGGTGAGTGAAATCTGAAATCTCCCTTTCTAGTGGGTTAACAAGAGTCCTTAATTACATTATTCGGGTAAATTAATCAGGCGGTCACCTTCGGGTTTGAGTAGGGGTGGCTATACGGTCCGGTTAAATATGATCAAATTGATCTGGTCCTAGTCCGGTCTTTTCGGGAATATAAGGACCAAAGATTGGATTGGATACAGTCCGGTCTTGATCCGGTCCCGTCTTGACCCTGTCCGATCCCAATTTTATCTTGATTTTAGGTGTTGGGGGTCTCTTATCCGGTCTTTATCCGGTTTTTTACCTCAAATCTAAGCCCGAATATGAAATTGCATTGTTTGCTATCCGGTCCCAGTCCAGTCCCGGTCCAGGTTATACGGTCCGGTTTCGGGTAAAACCAAACAGTACGGGACCAAATAGCCAGCCCTAGGTTTGAGGATCAAGGTTCTCTCCTAGTACATTTTTTTTTTTTTTGGGTAAAAAGGACGTTTAAAAGGCGTCATTAACATTTTCGGTTTAGTTCCCCTATGTGCTAAAAGTTATCTTAAGAAAGTAACCACCAATAATCCCGACAAATATTAATGAGTGCCTTTGTTTTTTGAATATATACTAAATCATTTCGTTGATAGTAAATTTTGAGTGGGGTTTCATGCTTTGCTAGAAATTGGGTTGAGATTGATGGGATCTCAATACACTATTAAAATCTTCTGACTTCTGGTGGTTGGAGCGATGGCAAGTACATTAAGTAATGTTAGGATATTGATTACTACTACTTTTATAACAAAAAAAAAAGTTGGTAAGAAATACCTCACATGTTCGTATAAGAAGATACGGTGTTCTTGATTGAACATGTTATGACTAGCATTTTGGGTATGAGATCTATATATGCAAAGACCACCATCATGATCCCATGTAACAATTCCTACTCGATTGTGTTGTAGGATGGATTAAGATCGAGATCGTAAGAGGCTATTCACCCGGTTGACGTTGGTTTGAGCATAAATGAAAAAGTTCAATCTATCAGAATAGTCCGTCTGTGAGCGCAGAACCATTCTCTATAGCATTCATTGTCCTCGCGTATTTCGTTCAAATTATTTTATTATTATTTTACATATATGATGTATCCGTTTCGCCGAAATTACTATCGTATGCATCTTATTAAAGCGATGAGTATGTTCCTAGATCCCGATCATATGTCGATTAGGAAATTAAAGGATAGGGGTATAAACCATAAAATAATGTCATGGAAATACACACAACAAATATTCGAGATTTTATTACAAGGGGCAAAGGGTAGGATCTATGCTACTTACTTACCACCCACATGCCAATGCGTCGGATTCTACAATGATTGATTGATATCCTTGTCGTTTTATATATACAATTGGATTAGTTGGCGTTGTCCAATGATCAATGTAATTATGAACAAAATAATATTTTTATAGTAAAATACTAATATGGTAATTAAGAAATAAAAAATATTGTGTCGTACTTTTCTTAAGTATGTGATGATAAATGATCCGATTCTCTCGTTCGTCAATAAACATGCCATAATTAAATCGCAATTCATATCGCGTAACTATATGCTATCAGTTCTTTCTGATAATAACATATAATATTATACAACATCGACTTCCTAATTCTTTCTGATAATAACAAATAATATTATATAACATCGACTTCCTACTAACTCAGAATTATTTAGAACCATGAAACCTTGTAGTATATGTCATCCTCTATTTTCAATCTCACACTAAGAAAATAAAAATAAAACAAAATATTCTCAGCATGGCTCATGGGGCAGGTTTTAATTTTTCCTTTTATCAACATAGTTATTGGTGTAGTCAATGCATGCTATCTATCGGTTTCATCATTTCCAGCATATCTTAATTAGTTATATTTCCAATGTTATCCGGTTTTATCCTATCTATTTTCTCTCTTTGTTTTTTTTTTTTTTTGAAATCCCCTCATTTCCTTAGGAATACACGTAAAATAACATAAAATAATTGGAAATAATTAAGAAAGTATGGGGGATCTGACCTAATCGGACGTAGGCGTACACGTATGGGTTCACATGCATGCATGTGTTTCATGTGGTCTGTTTATTTCATTTTATTTATCAGAAGAAGTCAGACCACGTAATGATGACGGTATGACTAAAAATTATCCAATCCATGGTTTCTTAATGTGATATTTGGTAATAAGATGTGGAAAATTTCGTAATCATTATGCTTGTAATTTATAGTGTGTACTATATCAAAATGTGCTCGAGAAATTCATGTCAAATTATAGTGTGTATCTTCTCTTCATGTCAAATTAAAAAGAGTCTTTTACCAAAATTTTACACCGTGGTGGAGGAGTTAGGTTGAAATCAGGAGGGTTTATATCTTCTTCTCAATTTAAAATATATACATATAAAATTCGTAGCAAATTTATAAAATAAAATAGTCAGACGATGCCTCAGCTCCCCTCTCACCCATTTATCACCGTTCCGTCGCTAATTTTACATACAAACCTCAAGATCCACATTTGGTGGTCCTTGTATGGCAGTTTGCGATTTCGATGCTAGGCAATACAAATCTCTCGTAACTACGAAGAAGATAGTTTTGTAGCAAATTGTCTAATTAGCTCATGACGTACTACATATGGTCACCCATATGTAGTTTCATGTCCATTTTCAGAGTTCGATCCAATCATTTTCTGCTTTTATTTTCTTTTATCTCTTTGCTATTGAGATTTACGGATACCTACTCATGTTGGCATTAATATACACAAATTTTTTTTTTGTGTAAAATTACATCCGGGACCCTCTATATTTATACTATAGGTCTTGACAAATAGGGCAAATGAGTACAATTTTTTCCGGTAGAAAATTACAACAACTTTCCCAACACTCGAATAATGTTGCGAGACACAAATCATTGACCATAATGGCAATGCAATAAATCGACGTCGTGGTTGGTGAGTTGGCAACGTGAATAATATGGTAGGTTAACTATTTAACGACGGGACAATTAATAATTTAATATTCCACCATAGTCTTTATATCTAAATTAGTAATGTAATTGTGATGGTTAAATTGTAGCTAAATTACAACTAGTTGATAATTAACAAAAAATCTATAAATTAACTTAACTTAAGTATATGATCTCTAACGATGATTTTTTATGGCCGCATGAAGCATGACCGACTAAGAGATGAGGATAAGTTTTACAATTAAGCACTTCATTGTCACACCCCTTCAACAGTTAAGCACGCTAAATTTTTGCATTACTATACTCTTACCATACGTGGTTAACCTTTTTTAATATTAACCTCATTTTTTTTAATGCAGTACGGTTTTGTTGTTTAAATTTTGTGTATATTTTATATGGTGTCTCATCTCTCTTGCATTATTGGTATGCAACCGGCCAAATTCAATAATTTATATCGGGAACCATATCCACCTACCTTATACAGTGACCACTAATAACAACAATCAAAATAGGAGGGATTTAATAGTAATATTGTGAACTGATGGCTGATGGTGATCTAAAAGTGGAGCAAAAAAGATATGGACGAAAGGTGATCTTCATAGCTAGATTTCTCTCAATTCGAATAGATCTAAACACGATTTTTATTATTATTCACTTTTGGCACTCAAATCCATAACTTAATACATAGTATTAGTTTCGAGCGTCTGGCTAGTGCAATAAATGAATCAGTTGTTGTAAGCCAAGACGATCGATAAGTGAGTTAGGTTTAATATAATGATGACAACAATGTGTTAGGTTCAAACAATTTCGTATTCTTAAATGAATTAGTTATTGTAAAAAAATGAAAATAAATAATGTACTTTCGAGGAATGATAACAAATATTAAGACAAAAAGATTAATAGTCGTATTGGAGAAGTTGAACAACTTTCGAACAAAGGGATAATAACTGTCAGAATTATCATAAGAAATATTTTCATTTATCCTCTTTCAATACAATTTTTTTTTGATAGACTCATTCAATACAAGTTAGAAAATTAAAGAAGAGTTTTATTGAAGCGGAGAGGCGACAGCGTGTACTAAAAGTCTAACACTGATTAATTGTTAGTGAAAATCTAGCATGTGGGTTCACTTGCTAAAAGAAATAATAGAGCGGCTCATTTTGTTATCTTCAAATAGTACAAGGACTTATCTAGCTATTTAACCCAGTATCGAATTCTGGCCCATGGATCCTCTTCACTAGCGGGCTTTTTGCCTTTGGCTATACAGTATAGCCCTTTTGTGGGCAGAAATGTTCGTTCTCCATGGCGGGAAAACGGTCAAAAGCTTCGATCCGATGCACTTGACCTCATCGTACGAGAAACGTATCACAATCTAAGCCGGTCATCGGGTCGCCAAAAGTTCTCAAGGCCGTTCGATTCGATCAAAAGGATCAAGGGGGGTATTTTTCGCATACCTTCGCCTAAAATCTCAGAATCCAAAAACCCTAGAAACCAGCTTGGTTTTCAGTAAATGTTCTGTTAAAATCGATTTCAGGGTTCCCAACCGCTAGGAGGACGGGAGATTGAATTCAGCTTGAGACAATTTGTCTGATGGAGACCGGAGGCAGCAGCGAGAGCCCGGCGGAGCCGAAGAGAGGCAGATCCCGAGCTCCGAAGAAGGCGGCAGAGAGTCTTCTCAAGCAGAGTTCAGTTTTGCCTTCCCTTTCGTTCTCGGATTACGCATTTCCCTTTGCTTGATTTGGAATGTAAGTGTTGGATATCTTAGTATGGAGTTTTGGTTGGTTGTCTGTGCAGAATCGCCGGCGGAGTTCTTTGCGGAGAACAAGAACATCGCAGGGTTCGATAATGTAAGCTTGATGAGTCGGTTTACCCTTCACTTCTGGCAATTTGTAGTTGATTCAGTGAATTGGAATTTGATTTTGAACTCGTGTGTTTGGTTTCTCAGCCGGGGAAATCCCTGTACACCACGGTCAGAGAGCTAGTGGAGAACTCGCTGGATTCTGCTGAATCCATTTCCGAGCTCCCCGTGGTAGAGATTACAATGTGAGTGCTTTGTTGTTGTTGTAAGATGATTGGGTGGATTCTGTGCGAATTGGTATTCAGTTTCAGTTGGTTTGCTGTAGTGAAGAGATAGGGAAAAGCAAGTTCAACTCCATGATTGGGCTTATTGACCGGGAGAGGGTTGATGCAGCACTCTATGATGATTACGAAACAGCAAAAGAGCGTGAGGTGTGTTTGCTTTACAACATTTGCTTTTCCTGTTTTCGTGGTGAGATTGCGCTGAACTGAAATATTTGGGGTTGATTTCACATTTGTATGGGGGTTCTGGTTCATGATATGCAGAGAAGATTAGCGAAGGAGGCTCGTGCCCAGGAAATTCAAGCCAAGAATGCTGCTTCGGGAAAGAAAGTTAAGGAGCAGTCTGCTGGCAAAGGCATGAAGGGTCGTGGTGAGGGTTCGTTTTACAGAGTGACTTGCAAGGTGTGATTTGCTTGACTTTTTATCTGATCCTTTGATGTTTTCCAAGTATCGAACTGTACAATGTGTACTCTTTATAGCTGTGTTGTGGAGTTTTCATTGGTGTAGATTCTCACTTGAGTGAGGGGTGCTTTTAATGCAGGATAATGGGAAAGGGATGCCACATGATGACATCCCAAATATGTTTGGCCGAGGTGATTTGCTTATTTTGGTGCTTAAGTACCTGGCTTCTGGTCCAGGTGGTCAGTATATTTTAACCCCTGACTGACTTTTAGTATTCCTTTGTGTGTGTAGTTCTGTCTGGGACAAAGTATGGCCTCAAACAGACACGTGGGAAGTTTGGTCTGGGTGCAAAAATGGTAAGTATCATCTTGAAGTGCACTGCTTTGCATTCTTGTCGAGGTTTCTATGTTTTGAGCTCCATTTTTGTTTGTGCTTTTTACTCTGCAGGCTCTGATTTGGTCCAAAATGAGCACAGGGCTTCCTATTGAAATTTCATCCTCAATGAAGGGCCAGACATATATGACCTTCTGCAGGCTGGACATTGACATCCATAGGTACAGTTACGTGTCAGGATGCACTTTATGGTCATTTGCCTTGGTTTTTAACTTGTGGTTCGTTGTTCAGAAATGTACCCCATGTTCATGTACATGAAAAGAGAAAGAATGACAACAAGTGGCATGGAGCTGAAATTCAAGTGGTCATTGAGGGGAATTGGACAACTTATCGTGTATGTTCTGATCCTTAGCTATGTTTATGCTTCTATGTGGTGTTCTTTTGGTTATGTTTATGCTTCTATATTGTTATAATTTGAGTTATTCCCTCCATTTGCAGTCAAAGATACTGCATTACATGCGGCAAATGGCTGTTATCACTCCTTATGCCCAGTTTCTTTTCAGATTTATATCAGAGACATCAGAGTAATCTCTCTCTCTCTCCCCCTCCAACCCTCTGTCTTTCTCTCTCTCTCTCTCGCTCTCTCTCTCTCTCTCTCTCTCTAGGTTTCCTGACTGTCACGGTTGCTTCCTTTCCATATGCAGTAAAAACGTTACCATAAAATTTGCGCGGAGAACAGAGGTTATGCCACCAGTTCCTCTTGAGACAAAGCACCATCCATCATCTGTAGATATTCTGCTGATAAAACGTCTGATTGCCGAGACTTCCAAGCAGAATCTTCTGCAGTTTCTTCAGCATGAGTTTGTAAACATCGGGAAATCACATGCTGAACGCTTAATTGGTAAGCCAGGCCTCAATATTGATAATTCCATTTGAATGCTGAGGCTATATGTAGTTCAATTCTCATGAAATCACTTCATCTTAGTTGCATTTGATTTCTGAATTTGATGTTAAAATCATTACTTCAATATTTAATCAGGGGAAATGGGGTCAGAATTTAGTGCCAAAATGCCTGTTAAATCCCTTACTGATCAGCAGATAGTTCGCATACATCAACTGTTTCGTCAAGCCAAGTTTGATGACCCTACTGGAGATGTAAGCTGTTCTATCCTCTCTACTGGCATTCTGTCACCTCTGTCGATTGATTTAAATGCTAAATTAGAACCATTGCCAGTGTCTTAGTCCTGCAGGAGAATATAATCTTCGTCTTGGAATTATAAAAGAGCTTCATCCAGACATGGTTGCTACTTATTCGGGCAGGTGAGGTCCTGAAATATCAGTTATCACTATGCCTTCCGCTGCTCTATGCTGCTAATTCGCTTATGGATATGCAGTGCTCAGGTATTTGAAGGACACCCATTTATTGTGGAAGCTGGTGTCAGTGTCGGTGGAAAGGACGTAAAGCAGGTAAGAGTTTGGACCATTAGAAAAGAAACTGATTGATCTTCAAGCTAGAAAAGGGGGGAAATTAGGTCTAACCTACTTGCAAACAGACTAATTAGCTTTGAGTCGGTTTTATGCACCAATAATTTCCATTTGATCATTCATCCTCTGATGTTGCCACTCTGGTTCAGGGTTTGAACATCTTCCGTTTTGCAAATCGCATCCCTCTTCTGTTTGAGCAAGGTGCTGATGTTGTGACCAGGACTGCCCTCAAGAGAATCAAGTAAGTGCAAACTGAAAAAAAAAATCTGCTTCTAACTATTAACCCAGATAAATCAATTCTTAAAAAGTTTCTCTTTTCCACAGCTGGGGTACTTACAAGATAAACCAGACTCAGGACAAAATAGGCGTCTTTGTAAGCATTGTCAGCACAAAAATCCCCTTCAAAGGCACTGGTAAGGAATACATTGGAGACGACATCAAGGAGATTGCTACTGCTGTCAAGGTGAGAGCTAGGCTGCCCTTCTTCTTGAGCTCTCCCTCTTTTCATTCTCCCTTAACGATTCCAAACTTACACCGGCAATCCCTCCCTCCCTCCCTCTCTCCAGTCAGCCATTCAGCAGTGCTGCAATCAGCTGAAATCAAAGATCATCAAGAAACTGCAGGCACGCGAGCAGCAGGAGCGAAAACGCAACATAGGCAGGTACATCCCAGATGCCTCAGCTGCTATCTACGACGTCCTGCAAGCGATGACACAGCTCCATGCATCGAAGAAGAGGCGATACAACGAAGAAGACACAGACCTGGTTTCTAAGGTCGCATCTCGTTCGATCACCACGGCCACTCTCAAGGAGAAGCTCTCTGAGCACGTTGCGCGGGTGAGAGACAAGAACCTGAAGTCACAGCCACCTACTGTTTTCCGACGACATGCATTTTAACAATGTGTGTGGGTTTTCCCCTCTTCTTAGGTGGACTATGAGATGGCGCTGGAATACGCGACACAGAGTGGAGTGAGCGAGGAGCCTAGAGAAGACGTTTACATCCAAGCGCTCGAGCCTGCTGCTGCTGATGCCAAGAAGTTCCTCGACTTCCATAGTCCCGCATTCGTCTTCAGACTCGTCTGTTGAAAAGGATCGTTCGAAAAAGCACATATTTATATCTTGTATCCATCTCGTGCTGATCATAAGAAATAATCTTATGTTAGAATATAGTGCTTCATTAGTACCAACTGTGTATGGGATATATACTAAACACTGATATCTTGTATTCCAACATTGCGTGAGTTTATGAATTCATACAGGAATAAATCGTGTAAAGCTGTGTAAATTGTACATCATTTTCGTATAAATTCATATATTTTCTTGTCCGTAATTGCTAAATCGAAATTGGAATCATTTTAAAACAAGTTGAATATACACAATATTGAGAGTGTACTACGTAGATGCTTTTCCTTGTAACGTAAAATCGCAACACACCTTCCGCGCGAGAATCCATTACCACGGTCCATTTCTGCCTCTTGTCGTCAATTTATTAATCGTGTTTTGTACATTTCCCGGCGAGAAAAAGGAGAAACGACCAACTCCCTGGCAATCGTCTTCGGAACTTCAAAAAAAATTCCCTCCATTGAATCATTCCACTCGATCGCTTCCTCCGTCGCATTTCTCAAACAGAAAGCGTTCGTTCAACAATGGCGAGTTCGCCCAACATCGCGATTATGGGAGCTGGCATCTTCGTCAAGACTCAGTACATTCCCAGATTGGCCGAGATCTCCAATCTCATCGTCCTCAAAGCAATCTGGAGCCGCTCTGAGGTGAATACTAAACCGCCATTCCTTTCTCCGCAGATTCAGCTGTTTCATTCAATCTCTCATCTCGTACCTCTGCGCGTTTCAGGAATCGGCGAGGGCTGCTGTGGAGATAGCGCGCCGGCATTTCCCCGACGTGGAGTGCAAATGGGGGGACAAAGGACTCGGCGAGATTCTCAACGACGAGTCCATCATCGGCGCCGCCGTGGTTCTCGCCGGACAAACTCAGGTCAGTCTCTCCCTCGATTCGTTTCTTGTGATCTTGATGCTCGTGTGATTAATTGGAGCTGTGGATGTGTAAACTTGGTAGATTAAGATTTTGTCATGAACTAGTTCTGTGTGTTATAGGTTGAGATGTCTCTGAAGCTATTGAAGGCAGGGAAGCATGTTCTTCAGGGTAATGAAACTTGGTATTCTGGCATTTCTTAGTCAGATATGTACTTGCTCCTCAGTCAACTCATTTGTACTGACTTTTGGGTTCTTGATCTTCAATGCCATCTTCCATTGCTTGCTTCAAACTTGGTTGATCTGAAGAGAAACCTGCGGCAGCTTGTAAGTGCTGATCTCCATTTGAGTTTGGATTGACGCGAGAATGTGCTGTTAACACTACTTATGCGAGAATGTTTGGTGTTCTTGTGATGTAGCGGCGAGAGAGATTGAAGCTGCACTCTCAGGTTACAAATCCATTTGTGCCAAAACTCCTGGGCAGCCAATCTGGGCTGTGGCAGAGAACTATAGGTTTGAACCTGCGTTTGAAGAGGTATTTTTTATTTCGATTTGTCCGATTTTCCCGTCCAACTAGCATACACTAAGGCTCGACTATGATTTGGTTACACAGGGTAAAAGGTTGATGGCTGAAGTGGGAGAAATGATCAATGTACAAGTCATCATTGAAGGATCAATGAACAGCACAAACCCCTACTTCTCGAGTTCGTGGAGACGGAATTTTACAGTAGGTTATTTGAAACGATATTGTGCATACTTTTGACCCGTGATAGAAGTGTTGATTTCATGGAGATTAAAGAGCTCCAGTCTCTATTCTAACACTGAACTCTATTTGATTCATAAAATGATACTGGAACTATGTTCTTATTGATAGGCATTTTAACTTTTCAGTATTGTTGCTTGTTGACGGTCCCTTTGGAGAAACCTTACCTAGCACTCCTTTCATTTTGCTTCCACAGCTAGTTGACATATCATTTGTATCGTTCTTGAGCTTGCGCTTTGTCCAACTTCTTGACTGATATGTCTTCCATACCTGCAGGGAGGTTTCATTCTTGATATGGGGGTGCACTTCATTGCAGGACTTAGGATGGTATGTGTGACAACCTTATTTATTTCCACGCGCTAATCGCTGTATCGAACGATTCTCCACCCATTAACGATCTCTTCTTTGTATGTCCATATGATATGACCAGCTGGTTGGAAGCGAGGTAGCCACGGTGTCTGCCAGAACCTCTCATGTGGATACCATCTTACCTCCACCAGACAACATATCTGCAGTCTTGTAAGCTTCTTCTGTGCTAAACTCTTTATTTCTCACAAATGGTTCAGTACCTCGATCAAGAATCTGAAGCCTATTCTACGTACATTTGCTTTTCTTAGCCAGTTAGAGAACGGATGTTCTGGAGTTTTTGCTATGGTTGTCTCTTCACGATCACCTAAGGTTTGTGAATGGTGTCTGTTCCATTTTCTGAATGGTGCTGAACTATATAATCAACTCATTTGAATGCTGCGACTTACAGGTAGTCTGGCGAGTTGTTGGCTTAACCGGTACGCTTCAAATCCAGCGTGGTAGCGAAGATGGACGCCGCCATGGTTACCTGGTACGATGAAAATTCCATTAACCTATCAGCACAACTCATCTTTTCTCCTCTTTTTATGCCTTCAATGTTGCAACTTCTGGTGTTTCAGGTATCCTTCTTCGGCGGCGATGGACAAAGCAAAAGCAGCTTCCACGCATTCAGCGGTGTAACAGAAGAGTTGAAAGTATTCATACGTGACATAACACAAGCTTCCCTTAAGGTAATGCACAAAGAAAGATATTGTATCACCACTTCCGATTCCAACTAGATGCATCAAATTCTTTTCCAAGTGTCCGCCTGATCTAAATTACTCTGTAAACTCCAACGCCTGCTTCCTGGCTCTGTTGATCATGTTTGTCTGTAATGTGGCACTTTTCTGCAGAAGGAATGTGGGTATGAAGCCGAGCCACGGCTCACTTTCTTGGAAGGCGCTCGGGACGTGGCTCTACTAGATGCAATGCTTGAATCCGGGAGGAAAAAGGGAGCCCAGGTCGAGGTCAAGCAGTTTTAGATTCTTCAAGGACAGAATTTTTTCCAATTTGGCAGGGAATTTTCTTTGTGTGTAGTTTGCTTTAGACTCTTTTTCTGCATTGCTGTATAGATAATGAAGGCATTTTATCAATTGGATCTTGAGACAAGAATAATATTGTACTGATTAGTGATTATGATCATCAAAGCGATTTAGTACTGCAGTCTGCAGTGCTTAGTGCTATTTCTGCTATGGTTGAAAAATTGGAAGAGAGTTTGGTGGCCATGAAGGAACAGGCATTTGAGACTCCAATTCGCAGCTGGGCCTCCCCTGGCCCAAGTGCAATTCCGCTCGGCAGGCTTACTTAACACAGCTAAATGCAATTACCCACGTAGCTAGCGATGGCAATAGATCGGGCTAGCTATAAGGTATCAGACGTATATGCATTTAATTTTTTTCATTTTTGATAAGATCGCGAAAAAGGAAGATAGATACGTTTGACTTGAACACATTAATAATGCATGGTGAATATTTATTTGTTAACGTTAAATCTATCATTAAATTCTCACTGAAAGAATCATGTAAATGATAATAACATCAATTTTTCTGATCTTGCTTTAAACTAAGTAACAATTAGGAGTTACTTTGGAAAAAAAAATTAAACCTTCAACACACTTGCTCTATTGAAAAAGGAATCTGAATGATCCATGGAATAGAATACGTGCAAAAAACTCTCATTTCCTTTCTTCAAATACAAGTTTTGTGATGAGTAATCAACTTTGAAATTAATTAGTCCAAAGAAAACATGTCCTTAGACCTAAACAGAAAAGGCGACGGGAATGGCGGACAGGGAGTGGTTTTGGGGAAAGAAGGAGGTGGGAGGAAGGAGGAAGGAGGGTTGGGTGGGGTTGGGTCATGGGTTGGGTTGGGTTTAATGACGTGGCGGGTCGGGTTTTATTTTTGTTGAGTTATATCCGGCTGATTAGGCAATTCTGTTTGCCACATCATCACTTAACGGACTTCATTAACGGAGTTGGACGGAGACTAACGAAGACTGACTAAATGTGTCCAATTTTAGTAATTGTAGTGACCAAATTTGATATTAACTTTTTCTAGTGACCAAACATGTCCCGATTTTATAATCTCAATGACCAAATGTGTCTTTAACCCATTGCTTTTTTCTCTTTTTCCCTTCGTTTTCTCTCTTGTTTTCTTGTTCTTTTCCAGATGGATAGTTGAGTCTTGAAAGAATCGAAATTTGTTTGGGAACCAAGAAGGGAAGAAAGAAGGAGGTGGCTTTTGGATTAATGGGTCGTCGCCGATCTCCAGACAGCTGGAAATTGGGATTAATTCTTGTTTTTTTTTTTGGCTATTCTTTGATTAAAAACAAACACAATAGTGAAAATGATATGAAATATGACTCAAGGTTTGGATTCAATTAGAGATATTGAAATGCTTGATTACGAAGAAGGCGACACACACAAATTAGTGAACCGAACTCCGATTCTAGTTGCACTTTCGAGCCAAATAATGATACATTATTGTTGATAATGACTTGAATTGGACTATCTGGCTACGACTGGAAGCTACATGGTCTCGCTGTATAGTAAAACCGTGTCTCTCCTGCCCGTGTTAGTAAACCACATTAATTTATGTGTCTTGTTTCGTTTCTTGCTCTATTGATTCTCCAATTTTCCGGTGTGTGTAAAGTGTAAACAGTCAGTGACAATTGCATTTCAAGTGTTGCTGATTAGTGCAACCTAACACCATTGGATAATTATTAATTGCGTGATTCGAAAAACATGAAATTCTAGTTTATGCAGTCAAAGGAATTATGAATTGAACCAAATGGTGGATGGTGTAACTTTGACATCCAAAACCCATTAATGTGACACGAGCAACATTTCTCTTATTTGACTAAAAAACAAGAATTGCAATCCAAATTAGACTCAAGAAAATGTCTCCTTGAACCTATAGCTTCGAATTGAATAAGAACAAAACAAACCGCCTTGTCCCTCGTCATGTGTCCATCCAACCCCAAACCGACCGTAGTCCTCGTATAACACAAATATTAATCTACCCTTCTTCTATAAAACCAAATAAAAGGTAATAAAGAGATTAATCCACAAATTAATATAGATTTTAATTACAAAATTTTGTGTTTTACTTTTTTTTTTTTTTTTCAAAGTGATTTTCCATGGGTAAAACAAAAAGGACTAATCACGAGTTTACAAAGGGTAGCAGTAAAAAATTTACTGCTGATATTCAGGTTAAGTAAATAATAAAGTGGAAAACGGTGGGCTCTCAGTCGGTTCAGTACTTGGCCTGTCCCTCTTTCCCTCTCTTTCTCTCTCCTTCTCTGTACTGTTTCTTACAGCGAGAGAAAGAAAAGATTCAGTCTTTCCTTCTACAGATCTCGCTTCCCAGTTCACATGCTCACTTTACTTACTCCCTCTCCCCTTCTACTAGCTCAAACCCTTCTTCCAAGCTCCCATTTTCACGCTCAAGCTTCGACTTACACACTGCAGCAGCTCCCAACATTGGTGAAAAGTTCAGTGATTGAGAGGTACAAAGCTTGTGACTTTTTTTGGTTATTTTGTTAAGGGTATTACTCTGTTGATAATGATGCAGTCCAAGTGTTTGTTGGTTTGCCTGTGTGAAGTTGGTGTGGGTTGTTGTTGACAGAGGAGAGGAGGGGGGAAAAGAAATGTTTGGAATGGAATAGTTAGGTAGCTTTGTTAACTCTGGCAAGCAAGCCAGAGTAGAAGAAAATGAATTGGCATTAAGTTTAGGTTTGACAAAATAAGCAAACTTGGAGGTTTTATCTTTTTTGGGGGTTCCATTATTGATCTTGGGTTTGAATTATTCTGCCCATTCTGCAGCTATTCTGTTCCCCGGAATTAGATCCGTTAGCATGTATATGTAGATGTGGGTTTTGATCATTCTTGTTTGGTTGCTGTGAAATTGTTGGAAGAAGACAAATTGTAAAGGAAAACACTTTCTTTTTTCCTATCATTTGTTGTAAAAGTTTGGATCTTTGGCCATCAAAAGAGGGAAAAGGAAAAGTTCGAATCATTGGTCACATATCTTGAGAGCCTAGTGGCACCGCCACCTTCAAGAGTGGCCAGATTGGGCTTACCTGTACTGTAGTGTAAGTATCTATCTTTGCTCAACGAGATGGTTTACAGATGAGCTTGAGCTTCCATCATTAATGCAGAGAAGATTACTTGTTGATCATGCACTGAGAGCCATTAAATACATGCCTACGTTATGTGTTTATGTGTGTCATTGTAAAGAAATGTCATTTTCTTCATTTAATTTCTTGCCTTATTTCCCAGCTACCATGAATCATGTTAAAATCATGACTTCTTCTTTGGTTCAGTTTTGCAGGTTAACTTGAGCCTTCTGGCATCACCCTTCTCTTCCATTCCATCAACCAAATTTAGCAGCTTCTGATTCTTTAGCTGAGTCTTAGATCAGAAGAAGGCAAAATGATGCAGAAGCCACCACAGAATGTGGACTTTGCACTCAAGGAGACCTCCCCAAAAATTGGGGCAGGAGCCATAGCAAGCGACAAGCTAGCCTCAACTTATGATCTCGTCGAGCAAATGCAGTATCTCTACGTCCGAGTGGTGAAAGCACGAGACTTGCCTTCCAAAGATGTCACTGGGGGTTGCGATCCTTATGTTGAGGTCAAGCTTGGAAACTACAAAGGAATCACAAGGCACTTTGAGAAGAAGTCAAACCCTGAATGGAACCAAGTCTTCGCCTTCTCGAAGGACAGAATCCAAGCATCGGTTCTCGAAGTCACAGTGAAGGATAAAGATGTTGTTGTAGATGACTTGATTGGCAGAATGATGTTCGATCTCAATGACATCCCGAAGAGGGTCCCACCAGACAGCCCATTGGCCCCACAATGGTATAGGCTCGAGGATCGGCACGGGAATAAAGTGAAGAATGGTGAGCTAATGCTTGCTGTTTGGATGGGGACTCAAGCTGATGAAGCATTCTCCGATGCTTGGCATTCCGATGCAGCAACTGTGGGCCCAGATGGTGTGGCAAACATCAGGTCCAAGGTATATCTCTCACCCAAGCTATGGTATGTGAGAGTGAATGTGATTGAAGCTCAAGACTTGATACCTAACGATAAGACCAGGTTCCCTGAACCTTATGTGAAAGTCCAGTTAGGAAACCAGCTGATGAGAACTAGAATATGCCCAACCAAGACGATTAATCCGATGTGGAATGAGGATCTAGTGTTTGTGGTAGCCGAGCCCTTTGAGGAGCCCATGATTTTGTCTTTAGAAGATAGAATAGCTCCCAACAAAGATGATACCTTGGGGAGATGTGTCATTCCGTTGCAGCTAGTCCAAAGAAGGCTTGACCACAAGCCGGTGAACACAAGATGGTTCAACCTCGAGAAGCATGTGATTGTGGATGGTGAGAAGAAAGAGACCAAATTTGCTAGCAGGATTCATTTAAGAGTCTGTTTGGAAGGAGGGTACCATGTTTTGGATGAATCAACACATTACAGTAGTGATCTTAGACCAACTGCTAAGCAGCTGTGGAAAACCAATATCGGCATCTTGGAAGTTGGAGTCCTGAGTGCAGTTGGATTATCACCCATGAAGTCGAAAGATGGGCGAGGGACCACTGATGCTTACTGTGTGGCGAAGTACGGGCAGAAATGGGTGAGAACAAGGACTATTGTCGACTGCTTTACACCGAAATGGAACGAGCAATACACGTGGGAGGTCTTTGATCCTTGCACCGTGATCACCGTAGGCGTCTTTGACAATGGACATCTGAATGGAGGGTCTGGAAGAGATTCAAGGATTGGGAAAGTGAGGATTCGACTCTCCACACTCGAGACCGATCGAGTGTACACGCATGCTTACCCTCTATTAGTCCTACACCCTTCAGGAGTGAAGAAAATGGGTGAGCTTCAACTAGCTGTGAGGTTCACCTGCTCATCATTGATCAACATGCTTCACCTGTACTCACACCCTTTGCTCCCCAAGATGCACTACATCCACCCATTATCGGTTATGCAGCTGGACATCTTAAGGCACCAAGCTATACAGATAGTATCGATGAGGTTGAATCGAGCCGAACCACCACTGAGGAAGGAAATCGTCGAGTACATGCTTGATGTCGATTCACACATGTGGAGCATGAGAAGGAGCAAAGCTAACTTCTTTAGGATCATGAATGTCTTGGGTGGGTTGATAGCCGTGGGGAGATGGTTTGACCAGATATGCAACTGGAAGAACCCTATAACCACAGTTTTAATCCACATCCTCTTCATCATTTTAGTTCTCTACCCTGAGCTAATCTTGCCTACTATCTTCCTTTACCTCTTTCTCATCGGGATATGGAACTATCGGTGGAGGCCAAGGCACCCACCTCATATGGACACCAGACTCTCACACGCCGATGCTTGCCACCCAGACGAGCTGGACGAGGAGTTCGACACATTCCCCACCAGCAGGCCATCTGATATCGTGAGGACGAGGTATGATCGTCTGAGGAGCATTGCAGGGAAAGTTCAGACCGTGGTGGGTGACCTGGCTACTCAGGGGGAGAGGTTTCAGTCGCTGTTGAGCTGGAGGGATCCAAGAGCCACAACTTTGTTTGTGACATTCTGCTTGATTGCTGCTGTCGTGCTGTACGTGACGCCGTTTCAGGTCGTGGGGCTTCTGATTGGGATCTATGTGCTGAGGCATCCCAGGTTCCGGCACAAGCTTCCTTCTGTTCCTCTCAACTTCTTCAGGAGGCTGCCTGCAAGGTCTGACAGCATGCTTTGACGTCGATACATTCCGCCTTTCTGGGATCATAATGTAACAAGCTGAGCTGCCTTTAGTTGTAGGTTTTGTGTCTGGACATTGTGTTCTCTTCTTCTTGCTGTCTGAGAAATTCAGGTTGTTTTATTGTAATCTATAGCTAGTTGTGACATTGGTTGATCATTTGCAGGTTTCAGCTTTGAATATGCAGTAAGTTCTAGTTCTGCACACTGTCATTCTGGTTGATAGTTCAGACATGGTCTCCAACTATGTTGTTACTGAAAATGCTAAGAGAAGTGACCGATGTCACCATTGTTATTTGTTATGTGACACAATACACAGAGATACCCATGTCGGATCTGGATCCCGATTCGAATTAGCTAGGAGTATAAATTGTGATACTCTACCGTTGATATCTGGGTACGTTTGCGATTAGGATTCTGTTTCAGGGTCGTGGGCGGACTTCTGATTGGGATCCATGTGCCTGCAAGGTCTGATGGCAAGCTTTGATGATGAGGAAGATTAAAGCTTTTTTAAGGGATCAAAACGGAACAAGCTGATAAAGTACCAATTATTACATTCGTTCATTTTTAGGTCTCAGCTTCAGTGTGAGCCTGTGAGGAGAGTTTATGTTCCTTGGTTTCAGGTTGGGAAGAACGGAGTAACCAAGCAAAATGTCCATATGGGGTACTTATTAATGCATCATTTTTATTTTCAACCATTTACCCATTTTTTTCGGATAGTGCACGGTGACGTAGTCGAAATTTCATCTTAGATAGGTATATTTAAAAAAAAACACTATAAAATAGTTTTTATTTAAACTTTTTATCATTCATGATATAGTCTTATATTTGGAAAAAATTTGAGGAGTTAAAGTACATTAGTAGTTGAAAGCATCGAGCATGCCACTCTCTATGTACCAAACAATTATTCAAGATTTAGTTAGTAGCTCGATTTTAAATGGTAATCTCTGTAACTATTTAGTATCAATAACGCGTATAGTTGGTAATCTCTATATCAAACAATTATATCATTTATTAATAGGACCCCTCAAAAGAAAGTCAACTTTAATTTGCTTGAAGTTTGCACATAAATTTACTCACCCTAATTATAATTTTCAAAACTATTATATCTAATTTACTCATTTCATCCCAAACATTGATGGATCCCAAGACCCACTCTGATACACTCTCCCTCCGATCCTGATTGTGCAAGAGACTAAAATACACACTTGCTCTAAACAATTCATATAAAGACATAGTAATTCTATTACGAGCGCATATATGAACACGAGGATATTATGAACCTGTACAAAAGTCAATCGGCTTGTTTGCTTGTTGGATTTGAAAACAAGGGTTTTGAGTTTTAGAAACTTTTAGATTTATGATGGATTTGTTACAATATGGATTTGGAAGATTACATTGTTTGTTAATAGTTAATTTTTATCGTGGATTCATGATGGATTTGTCTCACATTTTTGTCTTCCATTATCAAATCCCAAATGAATTGTGGGATTAACAAATCCGTGAGGTCTACGGATTTGGATCTAAAAAAAGGGTCCAAATCCATGAGCCCCACGAATTTGTATCCCTTAGCAAACAATAAATTTGTGTCAAGTCTTTGATATTTGAGATCTGAGTGCCAAATTCATCACCCAAATCGCACAAGCAAATCATACCTAAGTGTTGGCATTCGACTTCCAGAATTTTAATATTTGCCGATCCGATTATATATATATATATATATATATATATATATATATATATACAACTCACTTCTAGTTAACAACGAATGCATATAAACAGCAAAATAATGCAAAAAAACAAACATCCAGATTCCTAATAGAGAAAACAACATGCAAGAGAGAGATTTTGTGCAGCATGGATGCCATATGGCCTTTTGATTCTCTGGCCTTTTATGTGGTAATTGGCACCAAATATTACATACCAAAAAATAAGTTTTATATTATGTGGTATTTGTGTTGTAATTGGTCACAAATAACAAGTTTTTGCCAAATACTCAATCCAAACGACTCCTTATTTTATTGCACATGACTTATACATTGATATAAAGTAGGAGTACAACTAATTTTGTACATTTTGACTAATAAACATATCCATAGAAATACATTAAATAAATAATAAATAAAATTAAAATCTAGTTAATACAATATACAATTTCATTGTTTTTTTCACAATGATACGAAATGACTTCTTATATCATGAAAGGTTTTATAAATACATAATAGGATTTTTAACTCGAAATCTTTCAATGTGTACAATCAAACAACTATTGATAAATTGGTGACTAGTTAATCCGATTTTGAAGATTGTTCTGGAGTAATTTCATAAATTGTTGTTGTAACAGATGCGTCAATTAAAAATTTTAAAGGCACGTAAGAGATTCTGGTTTTGGAATTTATTGTAATAGTGTAAAATTTATTTTTCATAGAAATTTTGAATGGAGGTCTGACAATTGAGTATTGATACATCACACATCTCCTCCTCAACTAGGTCCTCCCTTGTGAATACATGGAGTACTTCTCAACCTATTTAAAGTGATAAGTTAACCATAAGTGATACTTTACAAATTCATTCACTTTTGTATCCATCATAATATATAATATAATTGAATACTGTGATTTTTTAAAGGTAAAAGAGATAATAGAAAAAGACAATAACTAATGAAAAAAAAAGTGCTGAACATGCACTCAGAAAGACGAGCAAACCAATTCATAAAAAAAAAAGACGAGCAAACCAAAACACAGACCACTATTATTATTTATTAATGATTGATTGCTCACTCACAACACGAAAACAATCGACATAACAACGACTCAACATCAAAACATAAAACTAACAAACTCCATAATACCGAAACATTAAACCACACAAAACAAAACACACACAACCAAAGACATTACATAACAACACGAAAACAATCGACATAACAACGACTCAATATCAAAACATAACACTAACAAACTCAATGATCAATCTACTCCATCTTCTTCACTGCCTCCTCCACCTTCACCTCCACCTGCACCTCCATTCCCTCCCCTTCCCCCTCACCACCATCATCACCATCCTCGTCGTCCCAATCGCTATCGCTATCGTCCTCCTCGTCGCTCACCTCATCGAAATCTCCAACCACGGACACGACCCCGTGGTCCACCGTGATCTCAACCGTGGTCAGCGGCGGGGCACCATCATTGTCTGCCGCCGCCTCACCATCAGCGAGAGGAGGAGGGAGGAGGAGGTGGCAGGCAGATTCGACGACCTTTTCGACGATGGCAGGGTCCATCGGGACGGAGAAGAACCCCACGACGTCGCGCAGCAACGGGGCGGCGGTGTCCGCCCTGAGCAGCGGCGCGTGGGGGAGGGTGAAGACGCGGTAATTCATCATGGTGTCCTCGCAGCCGTTTTCGGGCAGGGTCTGGGTCACCATCACCACCACGTTGAGGCGGATCATGTCGTTGTTGCCTGCCGCCGCCGCCGCCGCCATTAGAGAGGAAGACAAGAGTATTGTTATGTGAATGATTGCTGTGTTTGTGTTTGTGTGGCGATGTGTCGAGCTTTTCCTTTAGTATATATAGAGAGAATTATGGTACGTGGAGAATGAATGAGCTGGCATTTTCATTTTTGAAAAATTGGGATGGAGAAGAAGTTTTAATTTTTTGACTTGTTGTGAAATTTAGTTACCTTTTATTAAGTTGGTATATAGAATGTAGTGTATAAAGTGATCTTCTTTCTCTATAGCTGTGTGTACAAAATTCTTCTTGTTTCTCGATCGATTCGGTATTTTTAAAGCGCGATTGATTGTTGTTTGTGATGCTTAAATCGCGGCGCCTGTGTCACATTATGCGCGTATTAGTTTGATGATTATTGAATTGTTGTTACATAATATTTATATTACGGTCATGTGGTTTTCTCCGTATTGATGACGCGAAATTTGACAGATGCTACAACCGAGTATATGAGACCGTTGTAACAATAATTCAACATGCAAAACCTTTCGCGCGTGTCTCAACAGATGTATGAATATAAATTAATTCCCGCGCATAAAATTTGGTTGCGTACTTTTTTTTATAACCTTATGGGATGTAATATGCGGTGTATAAATCTTCCTGCATATAGAATTCTCCATATATCTCGATCGATTCAGTACCTTTGTTAATAGTTATCTATATCGCCATTATTTATCGCATTAATACAAGACCGAATCCATACGAACAAAAATTACAACAACTACTTCAAACAAATATAAAACCGTTATGATTATTACGATAATACATACTTAGAGTTCCAATAACAAAAATTTATTGAGGGATATATTTGCCATTTAGAAATTAATTTCTAATAGAAAGAAAATTTGAATTTGTCATTATACAAAATGGGAAATAAATATTTGCTTTTTTGTTTTTTGTGACGGTACATTCTATACATAGACCGCATGGATTTTGTTGTCTTGTCTTTCATTCTTAATTTGGATAGACCGGCGTTTTTGTAGGATTTTTAATGTTTTGTCTTATTTAAATAACAAGTTTATCCAAGTTATGTGATATAAATTAGATATAAGATTCATTTTATGCCAAAAATGTTGGAAACATATATAGATAGCGAATTTTAGCCAAGAATTTATCATATAATTAAAAATTTTCCTTTTAATTTTAAGGTATTATAATCCCCTATACATAATGCGTATTTTATAGATTTTCTCGTGAATAAAATTATTTGTTTTCCTAGATCGATTCACCGTCTTCATTTCTATCGATTATTTGCAATACTAACTTGTTGCTTATATCACCATATGTATGTCAATTAGATTTATATATTTGTATTGTGAGCAATGTAGTCAAAAGCGAGTTTCTAAGTAGAAACGTTTTGATGATTTAGAAGCGTAAAATCGTAAGTTTTTAAGTTTTAAAGCAGATTTTTTAACTACATAAGTTATAAAAACTGAGATTCTGTGTAGAAGCGTATTAGTTACCTAGAAACGTAGAATTGTAAGTTTTTAAGTTTTAAAACGCGATTTTGACTACATTGATTGTGAGTACTAATAGATTTTTGTGTACTATCACAAAATCTTACAAATGCTCCAGACATACATGAAACCGTTGTAGCAATAGCCCAACACGTAAAATCTATTTCGAGTTTCTACATAAAAATACTCTTGCGTATAGAAATTCGGTATTGTTCCCCGATAAGTTAGTGTTTCTAAATTTTACAACATATAGAATCCTTCACATGTTTTGATCGATTCAATATCTCCGTTAATTATTTGCACTATACTTAATAGTTGTCTATATCAATGTTACTTCTCGCATTAACATAAGACTGAATTCCTACGTATCACAAAAAAAAAATTCAGTAACTACTTCAAACAAACATAAAACCATTTTAAAATAGCACATACCTATCTCCTTCGAGTTTGAACATTCCCCAACAAATACTATCTCGGGATATATTTTATTATGCTTCCTTATTATGAAATTATTATTTTCTAATTAAAATAAAATATATGGACAAAACCATAAAAAATATTTTCTTTGTTATTTTGGTTACAAAATAAAAATAAATTAAATATAACTTAAATATGACTTCCAAAAAAAACTGATAAAATAAATCCGGGTTAATTGCAAGGTTGGTCACTGTATTTACTAAAAACGTTCATGTTTGGTCACTAAAAATATTTAATTCCATTCGTGGTCACTAAGATTAGTTAAGTGTTTCAAATTTGGTCACTCACCGTCTAACTCCGTTAGTTTTGTCTTATGTGGCAGTCAACTTTCAAAGTTGACCGTTAACTGAGTGACGTGACAATTAAAAAATAATAAATAAAATAAAATTTAATCTTTTAGAATTCCAACTCATTGTCATAATAAGCCAGAATAATTAAAACAGAAAAAATAATATAAATTCTAAATTGACATTAGGCAACCTCCGCTTCAGCGCGTCGCCTCCGCTCCCACTTTCATCTAGCCGATTGATTTCTTGGTTTCCAAAGCCTCCTCCGTCGCCAAATCCCCAAATCGAGAAGCCCACTTCGAAATGTACGGCAACTTCTGAAAATCATCCATCCACGCCCTCACCTTCTTCTGACTGCCGTACCCTTTAGGAAAACTCATCGGGAAGGTCAAAGTCGCCTGCCGCGTTTGAATGGCCTGTACTCGTCGTTGTTCCCGTTTTTGTTCTTGCTCTCGTGGGACATTTGGAGAGCAGAGAATGCATATTCCGACTTCCATTCAGCGAGACGCAAGCATCCGATTCTGTTGGATGCCTTGAGTACTCGGAAGTGGTCGGGATGTTTAGGGATTAAGTTACGTTCGAAGTTATCGGGGAGACCTAAATCGAATTTCAGCGAGTGGATAGATTGAATTGGTGTCGTTCTGGTTTTCATCATCATCAGCAATCTAGAGTCTCTCCACGGTTTCAGCCTCGTGAGCTAGGTGGATGGATTGTTCAAGTGACTATGTGAGTCGAGAAGCTGCTCTGTTTCGGTAAGTCGGAAGCATGGCAGGTTCGTGTAGCGGGCGTGTGGGAATTCTTCGAACAGAGTTGGATACCTAGAAAAAAATTGATTGGATTCACATACATTAGAAATGGCTATCTATTCATCTATCAAATCTAATTTAACATTCAAAGTACCTGCGCAAGAATCGAAGGACGGGGACGGTGAGTCCGAGGAGCTTCTGCCAATCGGCGAAGGACTGGGTGGTGAGGAAACCAGTTGGGGAGCGTTTGATTGCGTCTTTCAGAAGACAAGCGGCTTTGAGATCGGAGCGTTTGATTGCGACGAAGTGGGCTTATCTATTTGGCGATTGAGTGAAGGAGGAGGCTTCGGAAACCCATAAATCATTAGCGAGGTGAAAATGGGAGCGGAGGCGATGCGATGAAGCGGAGGCGGGCGAATTTCAATTTGGAATTTATATTAATTTTTTCTGTTTTAATTATTCTGCCTTACTGTGAAAATGAGTTGGAATTGTAAAAGAATAAAATTTATTTTATTTATTATTTACTAATTGCCACGTCACTAAGTTAATGGTCAATTTTGTGAGTTGACTGCCACATCAGACAAAACTAATGGAGTTGGACGGAGAGTGACCAAATTTGGAACACTTAACTAATCTTAGTGACCATAAATGAAATTAAATATTTTTAGCGACCAAACACGAACGTTTTTAGTAAACACAGTTACCAACCTTGCAATTAACCCAAATAAATCCTTTGCCGTTGTTTAATCGTTGTTTAATCCAATTTGGTCTCTTCTCGCGCGCCTTCCTTGGACTCGCCTTTGTGTTACTCTCTCTCCTAGTCCTTCTCTCTCTAGAACAGAAAAGGTGATGCGGATGCCAAGTTACCTTTCCCCTTTTCGTATACATTGAATTTAGCAGAAAAAGAAAAGAAAAGGGTCTATTAATGGATTCCATTCACAGTCACCAAAAATTTCCCCATCTTTCTTCTAATGACCTCATCTGACCATTTTCGTCCCTTCTCTGCCCCTTCCCAATCCAAAACGACGCAGGCAATTGGGGAATCGAGATTCCAATAGATAACAAACAAAAACCAGAGAAGAATCAAGGGGGAAAAGAAACCCACTTTGTGAATTTTTTAGGGTTCTTCTGCTTTGAATCGCCCGCAAAAAGTTCAGAACTTTGCCTGCTAGATGGGTGAATTGGAGGAGATTGCCGCTGATATATGGTAATTTGTTCTTCATCCGTTGGAATTTCAATTTGGGTTAGAACTTGTTGTCTCATGCATGCGTATGTGTTGAAAAGTTCGAATCTTTATGATGATTGAAACTGGGTTTAGCATCTGTTGTTTGGTTTGGAGTTTTGTTCTGATGAATTCGATGTCGGGAACACGTAGGTTTCATTTGAGAGGTAGATTAAGCTGTTTTGTTGCCTAGGTAATGAACTCAGAAATTGATTGGGTGATAAGATTGAGTTGTGGTTTGGGAGTGGGATTGTTGCTTGTCGGAGATCTTCTGCTTGTAGTTAAGATTTTGCCTTCATGAGTTGCTGCTGTTCGGTTTGGTTTGTGGACGACTGATTGATTGAATTGGCAGCTCGGACATTGATGCTGACGACCTGAAGTGTGACAACATTGCGGAGAAAGATGTCAGCGATGAGGAAATCGACCCTGAAGAGCTCGAGAAACGGATGTGGAAGGATCGAGTCAAGCTCAAGAGGATCAAAGAGAAGCAGAGGATATCAGCACAGCAAGCCTTAGAGAAGCAGCAGAAGCAGCCCAAACAATCCTCCGACCAAGCTCGAAGAAAGAAAATGTCTCGAGCGCAAGACGGAATCCTCAAGTACATGTTGAAGCTCATGGAAGTCTGCCAAGCACGGGGATTTGTGTATGGTATAATCCCCGACAAGGGCAAACCTGTGAGTGGAGCATCAGACAACATCCGAGCTTGGTGGAAAGAAAAGGTTAAGTTTGATAAGAATGGGCCTGCAGCAATTGCCAAACACGAGGCAGAGTGTCTGGCGATGATGAACGAGGCGGGTGACAGTGCTCGACATGGGAACTCCCAAGCTGTCCTCCAAGATCTCCAGGATGCGACGTTGGGGTCTCTTTTGTCGTCTCTAATGCAACACTGTGATCCACCTCAGAGGAAGTACCCATTGGAGAAGGGAGTTCCACCACCATGGTGGCCCAGTGGGAATGAAGATTGGTGGGGGAAATTAGGGCTACCGAGAGGGCAGAGTCCCCCTTATAAGAAGCCGCACGATCTCAAGAAGATGTGGAAAGTTGGGGTGCTTACTTCGGTCATCAAGCACATGTCGCCAGACATTGCTAAGATAAGGAGGCATGTCCGCCAGTCAAAGTGCTTGCAGGATAAGATGACGGCTAAGGAGAGTGCCATTTGGTTGGGAGTATTGAGTCGGGAGGAAGCCCTGGTTCGGCAGCCCAGTAGTGATATTGGTTCCGGGATAACTGAGGTTCCCCCGGGTGGTCGAACTGGGAAGAAGAAAGCTGCGGTAAGTAGTGATAGTGATTACGATGTCGAAGGTGTTGATGATGGTGTTGGTTCTGTGTCGTCTAGAGATAGCAGGAGGAATCATCAGGGTATGGATGTCGAGCCAGTGAGTAGCCCAAGAACGGAGTTTACTGAGCCAGTTAAGGTGAAGGATCAAACAGAAAAACCAAGGAAGAGGAAAAGGATACGAGACAAATCGAAACATGCTGAAGAGCCGTCGACGAATGATGATCCTCAGACTATGGTGGCTGAGCAGAGAACAACTAGTTTGCTTGACATGAATCAGGCCGATATACGGCCTCTTGATCAACATCAGATGCTTGCAACTGACCATAGCAGTCATCATCAGATGCTTGCAACTGACAATGACAGTCATCATCAGATGCTTGCAACTGACCATGAGAGTCATCATCAAATGCTTGCAACTAACCATGACAGTCATCATCAGATGCTTGCAACTGACCTAGAAATTGATCCGAATGCCCATCTTGAGGTTGAACCTAACCTTCCTACAACGGAGTTCAGCAACTACTTGTCTGGAATCCCATCTGGCTTAGATGGAAGGGCTCAACTTTATGATCCATTGGCACAAAATTCAGACTTGTTTCATCATGGAAGCAGTTATGATTTCTATACTCCGGCAATTGGCTTTGGGGAACATGCTCCCCTGTCGGTGGATGCACCACATATTAGGCAGGATCACAATGGATTCCAGGTACCAGGAGGACTGCCTATGAACGAAACCGAGATTCCAGGAGGAGGAGGAGGAGACCTGCATAATTTTGCCAAGGATATATTTCCAAGCGGGCAAGATAGATACTTGGGGTCTCCATTCAACAATGTGCCTTTATTTGGAGACTTCAATAGCCCATTCGACTTGGATATCGATGAGGATCTGCTCGGGTGCTTTGGAGCATAAGTTTTGGTTGGAAGTTGACTGCACATTAATTCGATAGGTGCTTCCAATGATGTTGATCATGCGGTATCTGCAGGGAGCACTGACCTTGTAGAGCATGAAGGAACTGTTTCATCTTCAAATTGTAAGTTATGCAATTCATGTTTGATCTTTAAACGCACCTAGTGCTGCAAGAATAAAGAGAGAATTTTCCTACATTTCTAACCCGATATGTCCTCGATGCTAATTTGATCATTGAGGGCTTCTGTTAGTTAGATTAGACTGGATAGATGATAGATGGTCATTGCTTAAATAGTTTCATTACTTTTCCTTCTTTCCCTTTCTGGAGCAGATAGAATATTCAATTACAGCTTCTCGTTGTTTTCTCTACTGCATTGTCTATGAATATCAGACTTGCTGCAATGCCAAAAGAAACCAGACCAAAGTTTGTTTGAGGTTAATTAGTCTGGTTTTGGTGTATTTGCAAGTGAATGTACTATGTATATGTAAGATGGAGATGTAAGTCGCTCCCGAGACACTTTAGGTAGTATTTTTCTCATAGCCGGTGAGTTGTGATACCCCTTTTGAAATTGCATCGCTTTCTTTGTTCCATTCCATACAGCAAAGTGGTCTTTTCCTCCAAATGCACCCAATCAAATTATGTCTAAGCCTTCTTACTGCTTATATACCTACTAAACATCTTGAAGGAATTGTTTCTTAATCTGGTGAGAAACTTGGAGGCTTTCATGTTCTGTAATTCTGCTTTTATCCCACATGGCTCCCCTGCAATTACCGTTGCTACACTGCCAATCTGCCATCATTGCAGTGCAGCTGCCAAGTAGCACAGCCATTCACCCGGCCGCCACATGGCAAATCCGTACGAGAATGTCTGTCTCAAATCCCCCTCGACAACTGTTAAAAAGTTGGCCAATTCTGCCCTTGGCTCATCGTTATGAATCCATTTTTTCACCGAGGATAGAAATGTCTACAGAAGCAGGAATCCCAGGTCTCAGAAATCAGAGCCCCATTCTTTTACCTTATTACCCCCCTCCACTTTGTGTGAATATCGATCGTCAAGCCTCGTCAATCGTCATTGTTCATATCTCTTAACTCAGCAAATCACATCAGCTCCTGAATATTCCTCTGTTCTCCGTTCTTTCCCCAAGAAGAACCCTTTTTTTTTTTCTACAATGGCGTCCGTCTCTAAGTTCCTAACTTTCATGTCCATTCTGATGATGGTGGCTCTAATCTCACTTGCTCGTAAGCTATCTCTCTCTCTCTCTTCACGTTTCCTTTCTTTGTCAGCTTTTGGTGGGTTTTGTTCTTACCATGGAAAGCTTTTCTTCAGGTTTACAAGATGGGGAAACAGTAGAAATCGGAGGAAGCATAGCCAGGGGAGCCAGAAAGGTAAAAGGAACAAACTTTCTGGTGATTCCTTTCAGTGATTCACTTTCCCGTTCATGGGTTTTCTGGGTTTTCTCTGTTCTGAATCGGGTGGGAACGTTTTCCCTTTGAAATCTCAGGATCTGGGAGGCAAGAAGGTGAAGAAGCTGCCTGGTTTGGTAATGGAGGACTCTGCCCGTGAAGTACCAACGGGACCCGACCCGCTCCACCATCACGGTTGCCCACCAAGCCCCTGAAAGGACTCGGGTCAGTTTCAGATTTTCGCCTGATTGTAGGAGGGTTTGGTTTTTGTCGCCATTGAAGCTTTTCCATAGTTCTATTTTCCATGGATTTTACTGACAAACAGAGGGAGTACAATTTTGTTTGTTAGGTGGAATTTCTAGGGATTGTAGCTAGAAAAGAACAAGGATTTTTGTCTAAAGGAATGTAGTTATGTCTCTGATCTACAGCTAGAAAACAACACAAGGATTCAAAAAGAGTGTCCTTCGAAAATCTCCATGGTTCTTTAGCTTCGATTGCTTCCCCATGTTGATTCTTTGCAGCCGAATTTTGTTGTGCCTTTGGTTGTTTATATCTTTGATCTTTACGTTCAAAGTGTTGGCTACGTCTCCAAGAAACAAGTAATGGAAACCATCTATGCTTGTCGGGGAAAGCCTTTCATGGTTGTTGTTTCGATTCTTGGCGACAAGAGTACACTCATTGAGTTCCAAATTTAAGTCTACTATTCTCTGAGTATTCGTGACGAGAGACGAGAGTATACTAATATATGGTATATTCATGATTAAAATTATACAGTTTTTTATATGAAGATTTAAGGTTCAATCTCGTTATTGTCATTATAGAGATATCATCTATGAATATATAGTATACTAATATATGATATACGTTGTATTTAAATTCATGGTTAAAAATATACAGTTTTGTATATGAAGATTTATGGTTTTATCTCATTATCGTCATTGTAGAGATATCATCTATGAAAGGTACCAATAAGAATATATATCTTACCTCGTGATTAAATCTAACTGTTATTCGTTAAAATTTTATCTTGAGGTTGACGGTTTTTCTCATCATAAAATTTTATCTTGAGGTTGCTCACTTCTTTCATGCATCACAATTGTTCGATCACAAATATGATCTAATAAGATGTAGATATGTAAAATATTTACGAAAATCCTATCATTCGTAACTTGACTAGCACAGAATGTGCATCTTGTCTTGTAGAGGGAAATGTCAAATGTCTAAATGATATATAAAAACCATGGTTGAAGAAGGTGCTAGGCAAGCGTTGGGGTCTTTCTTATCGCCTAGCATGTCTAAGTGATGCCTAAACGTGTTAAGTGAACGTAGGAATTTTTAGTAAAAATAACACTTTTTTTATTACTTTAATCCAATTTCAAATGATTAATAATCGTAGCTAGCAATCAACAACAAGCAAAATATGGCTTCATTTCCTACAATCACAAGTTTATTAAAGACGTGGATTGTGGCTACTCCATAGTCAACTATGGTGAATCACAGGGCAGAGGTAGGTCTACCAAGAGTTAGATAATAACTAAAGAAGTCGTGTGTTGTGGTTGATCTGCAGTCGAAAAGCAGGGCAAAGGTCGGTTCGAATGGAGCTGGAGAAGAACTATAAAATTTGTAAATTGTGGCTGCTCTACAATTGCAACGCCGAAAAGTGGGACAGAAGGAAAAGGGATTGATCGAAAGGGAGAAACCATTGCAATTCTGAAGTTTCGAGTCTTTGTCTCATTGGCCAAGACCTGTAATTCCAAATCGAGGAAGGAGGAGTGAAGGTGTTGGATATAGACCAACTGGAGATGACATCTTGAGAAGATTTGCTATTTTTGTCTACCGAATACCAACACACTTAAGTACACCTCATTTCAATTAATCACGTCTCACGCTATTTAATCATGTCTAACTTTACCTTGGCATCGTCTAAACATTATAAACACCTAGCTATTTACCTAAACGCTAAACGAAGCATAATACCGCTGCCTATCAACTAAAACCTTATTAAACTCATAATCAATCTATATCAAAATGAAGTGTACCAATACCATCCCATCCAAAAGAGTGACGTGTACCATAAACTCCGGTGCCCACTAAGCAAAAGCGAAGATAAAATATCTCAAAAAGCGAGAAATATCATGGCTGACGTGGCAGATATTTCAGTCCCCCGTCCCTTTTTAAATAATCAAATCCAATTAGGACAAAGGCCCCCCCACAGCGCGCAAGCGAAGTCTCCGTCCATTCCCAATCATCGCCAAAATATCCGGCAACTAGATCTCCGCCGCCCACCGCCGCCCCATGTCTTCCTCCACCGCCGTCACCGACGACCAATTCGCCACGCCGACGCTGGATGCCGAGTCATCCGGCATCCTCCACTCCGTCTCCTCCCACGGCGGGTACGCCTACGTCAGGATGGCCACGCTGGCCGCCACCGGCGACTCCCGGGCGGCGGAGGCCGCCCACGAGATGGCGTGGGAGCAGCTCCACTCGGGTCCCTGGCACTCCGTGCTCCCCGTCTGGCGGGACGCCTACTCCATGGCCTGCCTCCTCGTGGCCAGGTTCCACTGCCGGGACGGCGAGTTCAAGGAGGCGCTTAGGGTTTTGGACATGGGGCTGATCATGGGCGGAATGCTTCTCCGGGGCGACTTGGATTCCGCGATCCAGATCATCTCGGCGAAATCTAGGGGTGGGGGCGGGGAAAGGGAGGGAGGGAAGTGGAGATTGGTTGAGGATGGGGAGTTTAGTAAGGCCGAGGTGAGGTTTGTTCTCCAACTGTTCGATTGTTTGCCTGAGAGAGAATTGGAGAAGAAAGAGTTAAAGTCAGCGGTTTTTTTTTTTAAAGTTTTGACTAGTGAAATTTTTTACAGGTGCTTCGTATTTTGCCTGTGAAATCATTGACTTGCAAGCTTGTGGCGAAGAGATCGGGTCTCTCGCTGGAAGGGTTTCTCCGGGATCATTTCTTAGCTGGGTCGCCGGTTATCATCAGCGATGGTATGTCTCACTGGCCCGCCAGCAGAAGGTGGAACGATGTTGATTACCTGAGAAGGGTGGCCGGCGATAGGACGGTTCCAGTTGAGGTCATTACCCCTTCTTCTTTCTTTCTTTCTTCCCTCACATGTTAGAGCGTATCACAATTTTGTTTTTGTTGCTGCTTACACACTTTGCAAAGGAAATTTCCTAAATTCTTTGAATTTTAAGTTCAAAATGGTCCAAAGGGTTTCTGTGCTGCTATATAGAGGAACCTCTAGAGGGAATGGTAGGATGAATTTTGAACCTGAACAATGGGTGATCTTGGGTGGTCAAGTTGATAAATTTCTGTGAAGTTTGGTTCGAAATGCGCTTGATATAGAAACTAACTGGTCATATGGTCCTTCTATCCCAACGGGAAAGGAAAAAAACAAGGGAGCTCCATATGTCCAACATGTACCATGGATATTTTTCTTGTATTTGTAGCAAGCCAGAGATGTAGTATATCCCAGCAACGAAAACAGGGGGATTGGCAAATGTTTTTGCAGGTTGGGAAGAACTATTTATGCCAGGAGTGGAAGCAAGAGCTGATAACCTTTTCCCAGTTTCTCGAGCGTATTAGCTCTTCCTCTGGTGTCCCCACTTATCTTGCTCAGCACCCATTATTCGACCAGGCATGTTCTTGAATCCTCTTTCAATTCGACGATCCTTGTTGAAGGCCAAATTCTCCCACAATTTGACTTTTAAATTTGTGTCTGAAATGGTTAGATAACTCAACTGCGTAATGATATATGCATCCCGGACTACTGCTGTGCTGGTGGCGGAGAGCTTAGGTCTCTTAATGCTTGGTTTGGCCCTGCTGGCACGGTTACACCTTTGCACCATGATCCTCACCATAACATACTTGCACAGGTAGTACTGCAGAGGCTTTGGATTTTCTACTTTGATCAACTTCTTTTAATGCATGCATTCTTCTTAATTGAGCAATGAGTGGAATCAGTGATTTTTTTGGTTTGTAAGTCTTCTGCAAAGTTTTGTTCTTTTTCTGTTTTGTAAACCTGAAATTGGCTTTGCAGGTTGTTGGCAAGAAGTACATCAGGCTTTACTCTGCTTCACTGTCAGATGAACTCTATCCGCATAAGGAAACCATGCTCTACAACTCCAGCCAGGTGATCCCCTGTCATCATTTCGACATTCATCCTCTCATCATTTCGACATTCATCCTTGTCCGAACTAATGAATGAATGAATGAATGAATGAATGTGGTCTATCATTCTAATTCGACAGGTTGATCTTGACAACATAGACGAGAAGCAATTCCCAAAGCTGCATGACCTGGAATTCCTGGACTGCATTCTGGAGGAAGGTGAAATGCTCTACATCCCACCGAAATGGTGGCACTATGTCCGGTCTCTAACGACTAGTCTTTCAGTTAGCTTTTGGTGGAATAACGATTCTGGAAGCTCATCCATGTCTTCTTAGCAGCAGCCACTCTCCGTCTTTCCGCATCTGGCTCAATTCGGTAGGGGGTGGATTGATTAATCACGAAGTTGCTAATTTCCAGCACCTACAAGCACTTTTTTGCTTTGCTTGGTGGGAAGAGGGAAAGAGGAGGTTTTGATTTATTATGACAAACTATTTCCTCGTGTATAGGACTATAGCTACATCAATGCTGAGTAATTACTTGTGGTTTAGGAGGGTCTAGAACAAGTATTAGTGTTACAATTATTGAGTATTTCCAGAGTAAACTGGTGTGCAACTCTTTCATGAAATAATGCTATGCCTTCTAGCTTTGCTTATGTGTGCCTTTCGATTTAGTTATGATGAAATTCGGTGCATCAGTAATGGTATGATCGTGTTTAGCAACAATTGAAAACCGTGACTATAACTATATTATCATCGAGAAACAACAAACATTGTCACCCAAGATTCCAGTCCGCTACACAGACGTTGTAAGAGTGTAAAGCCGAGGCTAGCAGGCATGCACCATCAAGTTTGAACAGCTCTAGCAATGCCGAACGCAGCGGCAGAAGCAATGGCACCTATAAGTGCAGTTTGCAAGGCACTGATGAAAGGCCTGCTCCCCGTGAAATGACCCTTTGCGAACCCAAACAGCAGCAACGCTATTAGCGTCACGAAGACCGACGCAATCACCGCGTCCTGAGCCCTAGCAATGAACATGTAAGGAACGAGAGGCACCAATCCCCCGATGATGTATGCAATCGCGATCGTCAACGCACTCTGCACCGCTCTTCTTGGATCCGGCTTCTCCAGTCCCAGCTCAAACCTGCATATACGCGCACATCACGATCAACACTCTCTCGTACTAAACCCTCGAACCAAACCTGTAACATCTAGGTACATCTTAATTGCACAAGCAGATGAAGGAGTTGCATTCACTAAATCCAGTCGAACATATCATGGGTGTCAGCCTCATCAACGAGATGCCAAAAGTTGATACACAGGACAATAAGGCAGAACCAAAAGGAAGCAACTTTATTAGGTAAGGGAATTGAGATACGGAATCGAGGTCTTGAGTGGGAAATGAGAGATTCGTTTGGAGATAAAAAAAAAAAATGGTAGTTGCTGAGTGACCACAATCTGCCCACCCGCGACTTTGATTGCCACTACAACAATGGGACAAAGGCAACAATGAAAGATATGTGCAGCCGCCTGCCTCCCTGGACCTCGTTCGTTTCGTTGCGCAATCAACGTTAGGCACGACAATTTCGACCTAACCTACATGTAAGTCGATCGTTTTCGCGATTCAATTTGACATAGACATTACACATCTAGCAAGTAGATGCATCACGGAAGGCTCGATAACAATCAATGTGCGGACAGTAACTAAACCTATATAATCAATGTTATGAGCGAATCAAAGCTATCAGCTTGATATTAGCACCACCACGCTCTAATCAACTAAGCTAATGGCTGGTTTTCGAGCATATTAGCTCGATAATCAATCTAACTTATGCAAACACTGCACAAATACTACGCCAAAATTGACTGCTACCAGGCTGAAACTCGGTATTGAACTTGCTCAAATGCCGGCAAAAACTGAAGTCAAGAAAATGTTTGAGTAGCAAAGAAGTAGGAGAATTCAGTGTGCAGGAATACTTACTTCATCATGAAATCAAGCCAAGCTTGAGGCCTCTTACGCAGAGCGGCAACCACCGGCGCGTACTCGTGTGGCTCAATCCCGTATTCCGCCAGGATCTCCGCCACCTCCGCCGCCTCTGCATTTTACCCACCGCAATCAAATAACAAAAAGAGAAAAACAGAGCAAGCAATTCAAGTTCAGATAGAATTCCAGTCAGGGGGAAAAAAGGATTGAAGAACCTGTATCGGGGACGGCGACGATCTCTTCCTGTTCTCTCCTCAATTCCCTGGAGTAATGGTCCGCCTCGCTCCTCGCCGCCAAATACCTAGCCGACTCGCCGTAAAAATTTTCCGATGCGATCGGAATTCAATCCAAAATCGGGGCAAATGACGCGATAAAATTAAGAATCGAATTGTGGAGCAAAACATCGTCATCGAGTATGTAACTCACCCTCCGAGTCCCATGGAGATGGCGCCGGCGGCCACCTCGGCGAGGCCGGCGGTGAGGACGATGGAAGAAGGGGCATTGGCGCCGGACAACCCGGCGGCGAGCGCGAAGGGCACGGTGAGGCCGTCGGAGACGCCGATGATGATGTCGCGGATGACCTCGCCAGCAGTGAAGTGTTTCTCCTTGTGGTGGTTCAGTAAGGTTCGCTTCTCCGGCTCGAGGTTCGCCATTGGAGAAGACGGTCGGTGAGGCAGGGGACTAGTGAGGCAGAGCAACTGCAGGGGAGAAAGACGGTCGGTGCGCTCTTATTTTTTGGTTTCGTATTGGAAACTGGTGCTTTTTTTTTCCCAGTTTGTGACAAGCGGTGATCGATTTTTATATTGTACTGAAACATAGGTAAAAAGACGGAAATACCCCCACTGTCTTCCTCTGTATTACGATTTTTCGTTAAAAAATTTGAGACGACACTCCGAATTTTTACATGATTTTCAGTATTGACAAAGGAAATCTAATAATGATGGCTTTGTAATTGTAGAATTACGATTGCGTGATTTATGATGATTCACCAAGAATATGATCTTAAAAGCCTTTTAAATTACAAATGAACCCATGATAAGCTTTCCGGTCGATGAAACAAATCACAATTCTTCTTGATTAATAATCTAGTATTTTTTCTATAACGTAACCCAAGATTTTCTTTCATATTGATTGGCTTCAACATTAACGTTGGTATTATCCTGCCCAAGTTGATTACAAGGTGAAATCCGTGTTTTATTGAAACTAATTTGTCTTATCTTAAGCCAAATTAGTATACAAATAATAAAAGTTAACCAGGAATTTTAGAAGGAAACGAACATATAATATAGATTTCCAACCACGAAAACGATTTAGAATTTGCAATTATCCTCAATAACCATAACTTTGAGAAGTTATTCATTCAAAATTGGGAAGAAAATATTACTAGAGATACGAGAAGATTTTTTGATAGAAATGGGAGGAACTTTTTTGGATTTTAATTTAGGTAAAACTATAGTTTAGAGATTCGATGGTTTGAAGTTAAAAAGTTGGGTGGATCGTGAATCAAACACAGTCCACCCACATCTAAAGTAGATTATCTATTTTACAACCCGCACTCAATATAAAAACCACTCACCACATAATGAGTGAATGGATCGCGACTTGAATGGATTTGTGGCTTCAACCGCTCACACTCAAGTTGGTGTCATACATCAAACATTGGTCGGCGGAACTTGCAAGATGGTAGAATATAGCGAATCCGTTATCATTTATATAAATATAGAAGGTATTCATGTGACTTATCACCCATTTGATCATCCTCTTGTGTGTTTGTCCTATTATGTTTTGATGTAATCAATGTGCTTATATGTGAATTAAGAAGGCAAAATGGCAAGCACATGACAAAGGCAACATCATCATGCGTTGATACTTATTTTTAATCTATGAAGGTGGATCCATCAACAATTCAAACCTAGGAGTAGGGAAGATGGACAAAAGGAAGAAAGACATCTACAGTTATATAAACAATATCATTTTGGCTACCTCAAAAGACCAAGACCTTGGTGTTGATGTGAGATCAAATAGTTTTGTTTAGGGTAGGTTGATCCTTTATTCGGCTGTTTACTGGGCCAGACAAAATGGGGAAAAAAGTGGGTTAGATTGAACTTATCATACATTCATAAGTGGGGTGGTTGCAATCAGTTTGTCGTCCGCCATTATTCTCGCAACCTCTCAACTTGCTGATGGTCTCGCTAAACCACTTGGTGTCTCTCGCTTTCAACTTCTCTAGTCCAAGGTATCCTCGTTGATTGCTCCTTCGTCCCGCAGGGAGCGTGATAAGGATACGCCTCCCTCTGCCACCAACTCTTTCGTTCATTCATCTTGATTCTCTCACATTCATGTACTTAATCACTCGTTTTTCACTTATAGTTTTTACATTCGTGCATTAACATCTGTATAAAACAATAAATAGATTGTGAATCCACCAATAAGAGACAAGCAATCATTCTCCAATTGTTTGTTTAGAAAGATGAAGAAGTTAGGTAAAGATTACATACTCATCGTCAATCCAATATTTTATTCGCGACACATTCGACTCGTTTTATCATAACGATGTTTTGTTATCTCGACTCTATACATCATCACTTTTAGATACAACAAAACTTCCCATCACATGACGAGATCTGATTTATCCTCGGTTCCTGAGCTTGTGGTCAACTTCGCCTCCTCCTAGTTACTTACTCTCTTCTTCGTCGTGTGTTTGTTTGTACGATTTCCATTTCTATATGGTTAATTCCTCCAGATGGAATATCTATGAGGAAGACAAGGAAAGCCGCCAGCCAAACCTCTTCTTCCCTCAGCCACATCTTATAACATCATCACTAATAGTACCCATCCACATTCCCACACTAAATCCAATACTCTCAACCATTTCCTTTCATCACCGCCGACAAATGGCCCCCGCCGCCGCCGGCAACGAGGGAACCAATAAAGACCACATAGTCCTCATCCCATTCATGGCCCAGGGCCACATCATCCCCTTCCTCGCCCTCGCCCTCCACCTCGAGCAGCGCCGGAACTGCGCCGTCACCCTCGTCAACACCCCTCTCAACATCGCCAAGCTCCGCCGCTCAATCCCGCCGTCCTCCTCCGTCCGCCTCCTCGAGATCCCCTTCCGGAGCTCCGACCACGGCCTCCCTCCGGGGACCGAGAATACGGACTCCTTGCCGTACGACCTCATCCTCAAGTTCCTCATCTCCTCCCTCCGCCTCGAACCCACCCTCTCCTCCCTCGTAGCCGACCTCGCCGCCGGCGAGGCCGGCTTCCCGCCGCCGATCTGCATCGTCACCGACATGTTCTTCTCCTGGTGCGCCGACATCTCCCACCGGTACGGGATCTTCCACGCCGTGTTCAACGCCGGGGGAGGGTACGGATTCGCCTGCTATTACTCCCTCTGGCTCAACCTCCCGCACCGCCGGCAAAACTCTGTTTCCGACAGCGGCGATGCAGGGGAAGAAAAAGACTCCGTTTTCGAGGAGTTTACCCTGCCAGATTTCCCGGAAGCGTCGACGCTCCATATCACTCAGCTGCCCCCGTTCCTCCAATCCGCCGATGGATCCGACCCGTTTTCGGTTTTCCAGCGGGTCGTCCTCTCGAAATGGGCGAACGCCGACGCGATTCTGGTCAACACGGTGGAGGGATTCGACGGATTGGGGCTGGATTATTTCCGGAGGAAGCTCGGGAAGCCGGTGTTTCCAATCGGACCGGTTCTGCTAAAAAATTCCCCAACCAAAACAGATACCGGGATGACGAATTCGCCGGAGATCTGTAAAAATTGGCTCGATTCGAAACCGGCGAGATCCGTTCTATTCGTCTCGTTCGGGTCCCAGAACACGATTGCGGAAGCACAGATGAAGGAGCTAGCAGTCGGATTGGAAGCCAGCGGGACCAATTTCATCTGGGTAATCCGTCCCCCGTTGGGATTCGACATCAATTCGGAATTCAGAGATGAGGATTGGCTGCCGGAGGGCTTCCCTGAGAGAATCGAAGCGTCGGGGAAAGGATTGTTGGTGAGGAGATGGGCACCGCAAGTGGAGATACTGAGTCACGAATCCGTGGGCGGGTTTCTGAGTCACTGCGGGTGGAACTCGGTGCTGGAATCGCTGAGCTGCGGGGTTCCGATTCTCGGGTGGCCACTGGCGGCGGAGCAGTTCTACAATTCGAAGGTTCTGGAGGAAGAGATTGGGGTTTCTGTGGAGGTTGGGAGAGGGAAGGAAATTGTGGTTAGGAGCGGGGATTTGAAGGATAAGATTGAGATGGTTATGGTGGGTGGTGCAAAGGGGAATGAGATTAGGAGGAGGGCTAGTGAGATTAGGGAGATGATTAAGGATGCGGTTAACGAAGATGGGGAGGGAAAGGGTTCGTCGGTGGAAGCCATGGATGAGTTCTTGAATGCTGCAGTTGTGTTCAGAGGGAGGAAGATTAATGGCGGGAAATCCGAGGCTTGATTTAGTAATTTTCTAGTGTGTTAGTCAAATAAAGGATAAGTTGGTTTCTGTGTAATTTTGCTTCATCAATTTTAGACCGTTGCGTTGATCCTTTGGATTAAACGTTTTATGCGATTTTCTTAACCGTATCTTATTAGTGGGCCGGAGTTTCCCCATCATTTTCTCTCTGGCCCAACGTAAATCTGTCGGATATGGATCCAGCAACTCTTTTGGGCCTACAAGTTATGGGCCGAGCTGCTAACCCAAAGCTGATGCATCTTCTTCAAGAAGCACTAGGAACTCCTACTCTCCAACTAATCTTCTACCATTCGAATTGTATCAAAGACTAGAATATGTCAAAAACAAGGAAAATCACAATCACTCTATAACTTTTTTTTTATACGAGGAGAAATCTGTCTTGCGATGATGGTAAACTACGACAGTATAAATACTTGTCAAACTCTGAGAGTATCATATTAACAATTTTGTATACCCAAAAGAAATAGAATCAACTCTGTTGTAACGGAATAGGAAATCGACAAAGCGAACACACAAATTTATGTGGTTTACTAATATGATGTGTGTTAGCTAGTAATATAATGGTTGGAGATACCAGTTTCATTATATCTGGGGATATACAGCTTACAAAAATTGAAAAAATATATATATAACAACACCTTCTCTAGGAAGCCCTCCGTAACTTCTAACCGACAACAAATAATTTATATTCAACTAATAGCAACAAACTCATCATGAATCCATAAGTTAATTGAGATACTAACTTTCGTTATTCATAATAACAGTTTATAATGTATCAAAACAATCTTTAAGAAAATCACAAATTCGCCATATAAATTCGAACACGAAACATCAAATATTAACACCAAATTTACGTGATTTCAACTAGAAACGTTAACACCACCGGAGTGACCATAAGAACCCTTGTACCTACACAGAACCTTACACCTCAAAACCCTCCCTTGAACATAAAACCCAGGCATCGCCATAACCTTAACCACCTTGCTCGAACCACCACCACCACCATTTCCCGCCCTTTCCCTCGACACTTCCTCCATGTACCTCGGATCAAACCCCCTTTCCTCCTCCACCCTCAAGATCCCGATCGCCGGATCGAACGAGAACGCCAGCAGGTGAAGCAGCCACACGCACTTCGCCGCCACGAAGAACGCCTGCAGCAGCTGCTCCGGCCACGGCCGCGTCCAGTTCAGCACCGCGATGATGCAGCTCATCCTCTGGTCGCAGAACTTGCTGAACTCCTCGCTGTAGTACTTCGTCCCCTTCCTCAGAACCTCGTTCCAGCTCAGGTTCCGCAACGAGACGAAGGATTGGAACTGGGCCTGCCGATCCTGCTGCGGGTCCAGGTGCTTCGGCGCGCCGTTGCTGTGGAAGGCCGAGTTCTCGAAGTCCTGGTGCATCGTGTCGTTGATTATGGATTCCAGGTGGTGGAGGATGGTTTTGGAGTGGTTGGAATGCACGGAGAGCAGGGTTTCGATGAGTGGGGAATCGGCCGCGTCTTCGATTTGGGAGATTAGGGCTTTGCAGAATTGTTTGACTGAGAGTCTGGATTCGGCCACCATTTGGAGGAACCCTTCCACCATTGCTTCGTCGGTCACTGGGAGAATGGATGGATGATGATTCGAGTTGTTGTTTTGTGAGTACCCATCGATTGATTTGGCTCGCCCTTTGGATCTCGTGGCGGATTTCAGAGCCTTCTTCAGCTCCTCGCAGTAGCCCTCCAGGTGTTCGATCTTTTGCCTCAATGGGCCTAACGAAGCTCTCGTCTCCGCAACTTCTGTCAATGCTGCGTCCCTAGTTTCATTCGATTCCCTCAGCTCCCTCCTCAGATTCTCGATCGACAGGAAACCCAGTTCCCCGAATGCCTGCGAGGCCTCCTCGGACTCTGTTCTCACCGGCGAAGTGGTAGCTACGTTCTTCGTGGGCTTCTTCCTCAGCCTCGGAAACAGCCACGACATCATTCCTTTGCTCCTCGGCTGAGACTGGACGGAAGCGTGGGAATCAGTCAATGGAACTACGATGTTGGAATGAATCTTGCTCTTTCGATTCTGAGCTTCGAAGTCTGCCATTGCGCGGGAACGGTTGTTGCGGGAGGATGACGATTTGAAGTCTGCAAAGTTTAGTCCTCTGCTCGATTTGTAGAGCTCTGCTGCTGTCGTCGTTGTTGTTACTCCGCCGCCGGGGGAACTATGGAGAACTGTGATGTTGTTCCTGCAGGGCCCGGTGACGGATTTCTGATCGTCGGCGGAGTGGATCCCTTTCTCCTTCTTGAAATCCGACAAAACGGTCTCGTAGCTCATTGTCCCTCCACCTCCTTCTACGCCGCATTCGTCCCAGCTTTCTGATGCTGTCCTTGACTTGGCCGGCATTGAGTACTGACTCCCTGGAAATGGCTCATCCTCGTAGCTCTGTGCATTGAAAGTTAAATTCGGTAAGGTTCATTTGTATCTCAATAAGTTATAATCCTTTACATCAACATCAAAGTAGATAAATTTAAGGCACGAACACATTAAATTATCAGGACAATTAGTATAGATTAGGCAGTTAACAATTAACATAACGACAGATGTTAAAGAAAAAGTCAGTAAACTGAAGTTATATATTTAATCATTCAGCCAATGAACTCGAAAGTTCAAAACTTTTTCTCTAACTTAGAAGCAACATCTATCTAGCTACAGGGCAATGGTGAGAAAACAAAAAAAGGAGCCAACTTTACTTAAACAGAACATTCAATCTATCCTGGGTTCAATTTTTGCAGCAGGAGAAGAAGACTGACCGGAGTGAAGATGGGATAATCTTGAGCTGAGAACTGAGGAAGAGGGCGGGAAGAAGCAGGGGAAGAAGGAGGAAGGTATCTGAGATTTGCAGCAGCAGAAGGGCTGCTAGTAGAAGTAGTAGTTCCTTGAGTCAAAGCGGCATGAAGAGCTCGAAGCTCCACTGCTTTAGCAATGGCGGCTTGGACTTCCTGTCTGTTGATTTCCCCTCCTCCTCCACCGCCGTTGCTGCTGCTGTGGTGGTGGTCATCGAAGATTTGATGGGTAGAAGAAAGGACGGCGGAGGCCATGAAAGGAGAAACAGAGTACTATTGGGTTGGAGCATGTAGAAGCTTGAGAAGCCGCAAGGGATAACTAGAACAACAATCCAACGGCTGTATTGGGTTTATCAAGAAATGGGTTCACAGGATTGTTTGATTGTATATAAAGGAGGTGAACAAGAGAAGAGAAGGTCTGTAATCCAATGAAGCTTTTGTTTGTTTGTTTGTTTCTTTTGTCTGTGAGTCGAATGGAGTGGAGAGGAGAGGAATGTTGGCATGTGAATCTCTCGAGTGTAGAGAAAAGAGATAGAGGAAGTAGAGATGGAGAGAGAGTTCCAACTTCCAAGTTGTGGTTTCCTACCCTATGACCTATGTGGGTGTGTGTTGTTTACTTGTTTTACCAAACTGCCCATGAATTTTCAGTAGTGGACACATGAATTATGTCGATAAAACAAAATTATTAAGGGTTGTCAAATAGTGTTGAATTCAAATACTATCATCACTAAATAAAATTTACAAAAGGAATTTTGTCACAAAATTGGATCAAGCTTTGTCAATTGACAAGGCATTGCCCAACCTAGGTCTGCCCCTGTTGATTTCCCAGAATAGCCAACACAAATGAGAAACTTTTTCTAGAGTCACACTAAAGAAAAATGAGAGCTTACTCTAATCTGGAATTTTGAATTTGATAGGCCATACAAGTGGTAGTGACGAAATGTTGCATGTACTTTATTTCGAGAGCTTACTCTAATCTGGAATTTTGAATTTAATAGGCCATACAAGTGGTAGTGACGAAATGTTGCATGTACTTTATTTCCTACAGAGATAACTCATTTCATTTTAACACCGAATTTCTTAATATTGCAATAATGGATTACAAGAACGATATTACAGGTGAATTTAGTATCTCAAGTATTATATTGTTTTACGGTTTATCGGAGGTTGCGAGTTAGGTAGGGCGAAAGTTTAAGAAAATAACAAGATAGGTGTTGCAAGCAAGGTTGTCAAACTAGTTTACGTTAGTATACTGGTTTTGCAAGTGAAATGGTTCAACCGTGCTACAACCAATGCTTATGCATGTTATTTCAGTTTTAATAAAATACATGATGGAAATCATCAATCCAAGTAAATTAGTTAGGAAGAAGCAATTAAAATAGTTAATTTACGCAAAATAATTTATAGTTAGAAATTGGTAACTGATAATAAACAATTAGATACGTAAAATAAAGTATATAGAATGAATTTTGTTAATATTTACAATGATTTATGTAAAATATAACATCAATCATATAATATATAAGGTTAATACGTATATTAAAGTTTATTGTAGCATGTTGCGTGTAAAGTTGAAACTAGTAAACATGATGTACATGGTTCAAATCTCATGATGAGTGTTCATTTTTTGAGGACATCTGTGAACATACCGAAATCTAATTTCTGGTTTAATCGGCATGTATTCCTGAATTTGACCAAGATCGAATATCACCCTCTTTCAATTGATTTGATGGCCGGTACAGTTTATACCCGATTGAACCGGCTGTCAAGAAGCCGGCGTGACAACCATGGTTGTAAATGAAGGAGATACACAATATCTCAAGCCACACCTATGTGACAGACAAATCAAATCGTTAACTCAATCAAGCAAGTGCGCATAAGTCGAGATTGTCATCGGTCAAGGATAAAGTTTCACTTACCAGAGATAACAATGCTTCTGAAATTTGAACCGAAATTACTCGTTAAATTCGAAGAGCTTACTACCCAATTATCTGTACTTTTTGTGATAATCATAAATGTATCAACAAATTCCCATCTTTGTAAAGTTGAGAAGGCTAATAATTATCAAACAAAACATCATGTTCTCTAGTCATCATATTAATTCCTTGATTCCTTATATCTACTACTAGTACTTAATACTGTACAATAAAAAAGAAAGAAGAAGAAAATGGGTGGTGCCATTGTGGGTATGATTGCTACTCTGTACTCGAAAGTTGAATCATGAGGGAGATGATTCTTTGTCCAACCAGCAACCCACCACTCCACTTACCAAATCAAGTCAGATAAGGTCATTAGAACTATGTAGCTCTCAAGCACGATCAAATTTGATCACAAAATTAATTTAGTTCAAACCAAATCACGTAAAATCATTAGAACTATGAAAATGAAACTCTCTGAACCCACGCAATCAAACATGAGCAGAAACAAACACTTAGAAGCTGGCTTCCTTGTTGGGTATTTCAGTGAGTATAAGAAGAGTATTATCATGGAACCGTGAAAATGGAATTGCAAGTAGGATCAAGAAAAAGACATGTGGGAGGAAGAGATTAGTATTAATAGTTAATGCTACTTTGGCCTTTAAGTACAGATATCATAATCTTCTATATATTGTTCTTTTTTTAAACACCTCTTTGTATATGTTCAACCTCTTTTATGACTTGTGAGTTGTGACCCAACCACTCCCTCAAAAAGGCTACCATGGTTTTTCCAACATCCACATGCTAAAGCTTTTTCTAGTTTCATTTGTTTAATCATAACCCAACACCCACGCCAACATGAGTCATGGCTCTCTGTTATTTCATCTTTCTTATGTGATCAAACCTAGGGGGAAATTACATACTTTAATTCCTCTTTGTTATTTATCGTTTTTATTTGTCTAATTCGAATCAATACATATTTTATTGAAAATTTTCGTTTTGATGATTTTGAAAGTGATGGGTCTGAATTCTCAATATAATGAACATTATCTCTCAAACAATATCTCATTATGGTGATCTATATCCTCGAAATACTTCAACCTTAGAGTTAGTTGGATCGCCAAAGTTTATGCTCTAAAAAAAGTCTCCATTCATATTGAATTTAAATTCTTTCTTCATCACTCTCTGATCATTTCCTAGCTTTTCACTATGTTTACATTGTCTAAGTAACCTCTCACTATGTTTATAATTTGAATCACCATGTGTACTAAACATTCAACAAATCATATTGGTGGCTTCTACTTGCATCGTTGAAATTCATTGTTGATGCCCCAAGCTTGCTGTACAGCTAGTCAGCTAGAGTTTCATATAACCTTAAACAAAGAGGAAGGATGAAGGATTAGGTAAATTAGCATTCACAATAAACTTCTAGCTAGGGTAGGGAAGAATAAGGTCAAGGAAATTGATTTTGTGGCTCGTCAATAGCATAATTATCACCAAGACAAAAAGGAGAGCAGATCATGATCTCAATACTGACAATAATTAGTTCAAACTTTCAACTTTTTATTACTGAAACTTATGGCGATGATGTGGTAATCATGCTTAGAAGGGCATTTGGAACTTCTAATCAATCCAACAAAAGTGGGGAATGTTAACTAAAGTTTGTTCTTGTGTATGATTTAGGGTTGCCACCTTTTTCTTGGTTATGTCGTTTTTGGGGTTGTTTTACTTGGTTGGAATTACATTTAGATGCAAAAGTTGAGATGTAATCATAGGCAAGGGGGAATAAGGGTAGCCATACACCTCCAATATGGGTCCAAGCTATAATGTACATATAGAAGAAAGAAGAATGTGGAAATGGAAGGATCCATTTTCCTCTTTTTGTGATGTTTCAAACATCATTAATGGGTAGCCCATTTGCCACTGCCTTGCCTTATACAGGAGGAAATTAAAAAGATGAAAACATAACCACATATGGGTGTCACTACTTGTGTTTGATTCCGAAAAGAATCGCCCAGATCAGTAGAGAAATTAAGGAGCTGAAGACTCGAAGGAAAACCCCAGATTGGAGATCGAAGAAAAGGGACCTGGAAGTTGAGCTACAGGATCTGCTATACAAAAATGAACAGAGATGAAAACAACGATCAAGAATGGAGTGGTTACGAGAGGGAGAAAAGAATACAAAAGCTTTTCATGCAAAGGCCACTACTTGTGTTTGATTATGAATGCTAGGTAGCTAGCCTTTTGTGGTCCTTGAGTGAGATTCAAGTTAGAGACCATTACAACAATATATATAGCATCATATTCCAATCAAGATGGTCACCATATATGAATGAAGATGAAGCAATTGCAATGCAAGTATGTAAAGTCAATTATATATACGTGAGCATCTCTAAAGAAACCGGGTTGTGTTGACTTAGCTTTTGATATATAGACTATAGTTGAAAGTTATTCGTTTTGAAACACGGTGAACCCAAGTATTAAATGTCGATTTGCGAACATGTATGGTGCATAACGGATGTGTGCACACTTCCTTCAAAGCTCGTTAGTTAAACTCTTGTTCATGCATATAGGACGCGTATAAGAAAGCAAAATAAGATCCATATATAGTTAAAAGTTAAACCATCTACACATAATATAATACACCGAAGGGAAAAACGGGAGCCCCATTTCAAATTTCCTGCAACGAGAGTGAAAGTAGGAAGGACATTTTGGTCTTCACAATTACTTTTTTTTATTCATTAAAAAGACACATACTGAGATTTGAACCATGTCCATTTTAAAGAAAAGCAAGGAACATAACCAATCACACTAAGTACATTTGTTGTATCTTTTTAAATCAAAAACTTTTAAAGAAAAGCAAGGAACATAACCAATCACACTAAGTACATTTGTTGTATCCTTTTAAATCAAAAACATATAATAGCAGGGAGGAAAAACCCCTTCCCCCCATTTCAAATTCTCTGCTCCATGAGCGTTTGTAGGAAGGGTAGAATAGGTAGTGTTAATTTTTTTCTCTTTCCTCTGTGGAACGGGCCAACTTACCGTACACATGCGGATTTAAACGGGTTCAGGAGTGTCAATTTTTTTCTTTAAGCCCTTGTATTTCTCCGTGGTGATAAAATATATATGAAAAGGCAAAAACAATACTTCTTTTTATGCTAAAAATAAAAAAAATTTAACAATAAATTAATGCATGGTATCTAAAGGGCTAACCGCTAACCATAAAATAAAAGAGTTGAATGGGCCTGACCTACACCGGATTTGGCCATCAAGTAAAACAAATGAACATCATTGGTTTGACATTCTAAAACAAGCTATTTTCTCTAGCATAATATATATTATTATATTATTTTATATTTTAGTGGCTAAAATATAATGTAGTTTAAAGTTATTCAATGGTTCAATCTCGACCAACCCAATTAGTCCAATTTTTATCATTTCAAATATATATTATATAATTATTTGATATCTTAATGATAAAATTATAGTGTATTTTATAGGGAATCGTTTGGTATTTGTTAGTAAATAACTAAACAGAAAGATCTATTTGGTTATTTTAAACATTAAAACGATCCTAAACATTTTCAGTTTCTTTTGAATTTCTATGGTTTTATTCCCGAATAAGTGATGTGCAAATGGCGAATTGCAGTCATCTATTTTCTTTCACTATTTTTTATTTTCAAATAGAAAGTTTAAAAGTAACGAATAATTAGAATTTTGCATGGGTCGGTCAAACAGGCTGAATTTTTTGTTTTGGCCCGTTTTGATCAAGTCTAATTTATAATCACATGGTTCCCTGATACCCGATAAAAATCTCAATCCAAACCAGTTTGGCAGGTGAGTCCGTGTTTACCACCACTCTCTAGGAATACGACAACGGCGGTTCCTATCCCAAATCGTGTTGTTCGTTCTTGATTTCCTTAGATTTTATCATGGCCTGACAAAAACCAGAAAGCACAATGACGACAAGATGAAAGTTTTATAAATCAAATTAATGGTGTTCTCTTTCTGATCTCATGTAATTATATAATGAAGTTGAAGTTTTTCGATGCTATTCAATTTCATTGGTATGTTTTTAATGGTCTAACTTCATGGTTGTACCAACTTTTGATGTACTGTTTATGTTCCAATATATTCACTTTGGTATGATTATTAGGGATATGCTAGGCGGTACTCACCATTAGACCAATTTAGCTTAATGGTTGAATCTACGGGTTATCCCAATAATTCAATATTCGGCTCAGCTCCTCCGACCAACGGGTCGGGTTACAAGCTAGTTGTTCCTAATAACCCGCTACTCTTTCTATGGAAACAAGCTCATTAAACAGGTATCCTCTGTTGTACATTTAAGTTTTAATTCCCAATATTAATAAACTTGTATTACCTAAACTATAAAAAAACGCTCTAATTATTCATCCTCAAGCCTATGGATCGACATTGTTTCTACAATTGGATACTAGGGTTACTTGAATACTAGAGTTCACATAATGAGAACTTTAATTGCAAGCCCTATGGATTTACATTACAGGCAGAATCACCCAAACGGTAGACTTTCAAGTCCCCTTTCCTTGTACACAAGGAAATGCTACAGAAATTTTGGCAACAAAAGCAAAAGAAACCATATGCCAAACCGCATTAGCTAAGGCAAAGACCACCACCACAAACGAGTATGGGTTCGTTTGCTTCAGACATTTGAAAATTAAAGATTTGGGTAGAACTTGAATTTTGAAAAACCATGAATATATATATAAAGATTTGGGCAGCAGCTAATTGCCTTTCCATACCCGATCTCCTTGTATATTGTTTCAGTTTTGTCCCTTTTCTCTTGTTCTTTACTCTCCAAGATTCCGATTCTGTGCTGCTTTCTTCACTCCATCATCATATATAGAAACATGCACATAGTCGTGATGCAATGTGGTAATGTAGATCTGAATGTGGTTTGTTTGTGATGGTAATGTGAATTATTGGTTACCATTTTGTTAACCAGCTATTTATGGCTAGCTAGGGTTAGGGTAGTTAGTTTATAAACTTACATGCACATGTTAATTATCATAGGTTCATAGTTAGGGTAATTAATTAATTAGTTACCCCACGGGGAGCTATAACCCTGTGGACCTGATTACTAGAAAACCCAAGTGGTAATAACTAATCATGTCTTTGATTAGCAATAATTCAGCATTCTAGTTCCTTTTACCCCTTAACTACTACCCGTGAATTTGGCTTCTCTAACTAACCTCACCAGCCTTGTTGCGTGCATGCATTGTGTCATAAACCAGTTGGTCCCAATAACTCGAGTTGTTGGAAGAAGGTTATACTGGATCTTATACAGGCCCGTGTAAGGTACTTAACCACTTCCTTACACGCCCCCTCAAACGAAAGCCGACCCATGGGCTTGAAGTTTGCACAGGCCAGCCATACCATGTGCTTGAAGACAACGGTTCATATTGGGGGTCGTGAGGACTTGAACACGTGACCTCAAGGACAAACCAGCTCTGATACCATGTCAAGAACACGGTGAGCTCGAAAGAGCTCACAGCTGACGTTTTATTAAACGACTACATTGTGACGGCTTGCTATCACACAAGTCGATAGCTAAACTTATATAGATAAACTTAGGGTTAAAACCCTAATCCAACGAATCAGACGAGGCCCAACAAGGCCCAATACTAACACGGTTTAAGTAACCGCAACACTCCCCCTCAAGCGAAGACATGAATGACAAGAATGTCGAGCTTGAAGAAGTAAATGTGAAGAACAAGCATGATGGCTTGAACTACAAAACTCGAGATGAATAACATCTCGGACGAGGTTGATTGGAGACGACTGACTCTCTCTGAACAACCTGATGATGGAGACGATTGACTACGTCTCTTGAACTTGAACACACCTAGTACATCGCGGTCGACCTGATGACTGAGTTAGTCGACCGACATATGTTGACCTCCTATTCTCCCCCTCAAGCTGGAGCATGAACAACGTGAATGCCCAGCTTGAAAAGCGATGAATGGTTGATATGTGCCCACTAATGAACCGGAAGAGGGGACGATCATTTCTTGGATCGCAAATGCCAACTGGACGATAAAGGGACGATAACTTCTCTGATCGTACTACCTTTCGAACGCCAGGGGACAATCATTTTATGAATCGTGAATGCCTCAATTGATACTTGACTATAGTTGATGGGTAAAGCCTGCAAAATGAGATAGCTTACCCAAAAAGACTAATTGAAGAGTTCTTTGATAAACTGTTACCAAAAATATATGCTAAAGCCCATAAGGGCTAATTTGGCCTCACGACCACACTTGAATTTGGCAGCCCATTTTGTTGAAGATGGCCCAAATGGAGAAAGAAACCCTTGGTTTCGCAAATTCTCCCTCATGCGCCCACCTCATCAACTGCACCATCTCAGGAGAAGCAATCAACGGCGGCGGAATGGCGGGAGACAAGATGCAAAAGAAGATCTCTGATGGTGACCTTGCGGATGAGACAATGCTGGTTATGGTGGGGGGCTCGGATTTGAGCAGTCTCGCCTGACGCCAACAACAATGGTGATTCAGCGGCGTCGGGACGCAGACGATGAACGAAGCTGATCCAACCCACGTTGACTCGGCCGTCGTTAGATGGCGCGGAGGATGATGACAGTCTGGACGTTGATGGTCGATCTAAGGATCTTGTCTTGCCGCCGCCGACGATGACAAGCATGTTGGAGGCCGGGATGGACATCGGCTCTCGACGGTGACAGGGACATGCCGACCTGACCGAGGCAGAGACGGAACCTTGGTATGAGCCGACAATAACGACGACGTCAATGACTGGACGGAGACGATGACTTCGTCTCTCCGGGAAGACCAGTGGCCGTGACTGAGTGACGGTGATGGCGGAAAGGACTTCGCCACTGAACTGCAAAAGTGGAGACAGGAGCGGGTTGATGCGCTCGAGAAGCTGATGGATGGCTCGGTTAGATGGTGACTGGACGAGTTTGGAGTCGGAAGTCCTTTTCTCTGCTTCAATTTTGTCGAAGGAGATGGAGACTCCAACCATTGCTGGAGATGGAAACGACTCCAAGAAAGTAGCGACTTGGCCGACGGATTCGACCGTGATGATGATGATTCAACAACGTCGTGATGCGCACGACGAGGATGATAAAGAACATCGATGATTCGATGCTGCTGCGGAGAGGCAACACTGCGGAAGCTCAAAACCCTAGACAAGGGATCGAGTTTTGCTCTGATACCATGTAATAAACCAGTTGGTCCCAATAACTCGAGTTGTTGGAAGAAGGTTATACTGGATCTTATACAGGCCCGTGTAAGGTACTTAACCACTTCCTTACACATTGCTAGTTGGATGATTTACACAAGGCTCAACAATTAGGTTTTATGTGTTAGATTATGATGATTTGATTATCCTTGATATTTGGATTACTTATTCTTGAGATTATAATTAAACCAGGCTCACTCAGAAGTGAGAAGGGGTTGGACCTTGTGAGTAGGGGGTGAACAAACACACTCGCAAACCGACCTACCCGTCCAACCTGACCCAACCCACCCGTATTTATCGCTAAAACGAAGGTTTTGGGTTGGGTGAGGGTTTTCTTTTGTACAACCCGTCTCTTTTGGGTTGGGTTTGGATTTTGGATTACACAACCCGTAGAACCCGACCCAACCCGTGTTCCAACTATTAGTATGAGTTCGTATCTAAAAAATATTTATGTCGTATATAGCAATACTTATGAGAAAATTAAGATATTTCGCCATGTTTTTCTATCATGGTCTCCCTAATCTAATGCATTCTTCGACTTAAAGTTTAGACATAAATTGAATATAGTTATGATTCACGTAATTCTTTTTCTTGTGTACAATTTTAATAGAATAACATATTATGGATGCGTTTGTTTATAACCTTTTTAGCCTATTTCAACAAATATCGCGAAAAAAACTAGACATATGTTGAAGTAAATTTAAAATTCAAAAAACATTTTTGAATTTTGATACCTTTCACCTCGATATTCTCTTTTAAAATTTTAATTAGTTCTAAAATATTTTTTATGATGCATAATAATTATATATTTTATGTTGGGTTGGATTATTACTTAAAAATATCGCCAACCTGACCCAACCCAATTAGAAACAAACCGTAGGGTTTAAATTTTTTTGGGTGGGTTTGAGTTTGATAATTCCAAACCGTAGTACATTGGTCGGGTGATTAAAATGGTTAAACCCGAACCACCCGACTCATGTACACCCTACTTGTGAGGTCAAAATAAAGGCCAACCCAACTGATAGTCCAATACAGAGGCAGAACATACTGGGCTACAATGGAACGAAGCCCATCAAAGCTTATCGCGTCTGGTACCCCAAGGCCCACATATGACAACCCGTGTCGCTCTTATTGAAATTAATCTCAACCGCTCATACACCCAAACCACCGACGGTCAAGATAGAATTACTGGAACCGCGAAAGAAAAAGACTCCCATTAATTGAAATTTGAAACCAACACAGACCACGCGGATCGCCATCTCCAGCCGTCCAATCATCTCCCGAATCAACGGCATGGATTCAATCTACCACTTCTGGCGGAACCCACGAAAATTTTCAAAATTTCCCTCCTCCGTCTCCCCTGAAAACCGCCTCCCTATACATACACAAATCCGCCGTTCACAAACCTACATCTCAAATCAAATTGCTTCATCAAATCCCAGATCTCACTTATATCTCCGATTCCCACAAAAAAGATGGCTCGCACGAAGCAGACAGCAAGGAAATCCACCGGCGGGAAGGCGCCGAGGAAGCAGCTGGCGACCAAGGCGGCGCGCAAGTCGGCCCCGGCGACCGGAGGAGTGAAGAAGCCTCACCGATTCAGGCCGGGAACCGTGGCGCTGAGGGAGATCCGCAAGTACCAGAAGAGCACCGAGCTGCTGATCCGGAAGCTTCCGTTCCAGAGGCTGGTGAGGGAAATCGCCCAGGATTTCAAGACCGATCTGAGGTTCCAGAGCAGCGCCGTGTCGGCCCTCCAGGAGGCCGCCGAGGCGTACTTGGTCGGATTGTTCGAGGACACTAACCTCTGCGCGATCCACGCCAAGAGGGTCACCATCATGCCCAAGGATATCCAGCTTGCCAGGAGGATCAGAGGCGAGAGGGCTTAAACAGATTTTAGTTTGTGCCAATGGGTTGTTTCTATGTTTTAATGTCTGGTTGTTTAGCGCTGTTTACTAAAGTATTTCCGTTTGTGATTTTGGGTGGAATTCAGGATTCCAGTGTTTAGATTTAGGGTTTCTGGAGGAATTGAAGGTTGTAAATCTATTATGTTATGATTAATCCAAGTTGGCTACTCATGTCTGGCCTAGTCTCACATAGTGAAGGAGATTCTCTCTCAAGTTTGCCCTTATTAAAGCCTCTAATTTGAGGCATGGTGGAAACTTTATTTACAAATTCTCAGTACCCAGATGACAAAAAAAGTCTTGGTAGTCCTGAGACGGAAGAACTGAGAAAGGGAAATCAAAGGACCCAATACGGAACACTATACTCTGCTAAATCTCTCTGGAACTGCCAAGTTCTATCTTACAAGGAAAAGGATGGAGCGTTTCTGAGATTTGGAATGATCTGAGAAGAGCCGATCTTCGACCAGACTTGGAAGGACGACCCGAGCTCGGAGTGATGTCGTATTGAAGAAAATGTGTCGTATGCATCTTTTGAGAAACGGAGGATAAGTCAACAGACCAGTTATACAGGAAGACCAGTGAAGATCGAGTTCGAGAAGGAAACGGAGTATTCAAATTTCAGAATCTTATAATAGTGGACATGGAGCAATTTTCGACTCATTAGGGGGGAAACTATGGGTCTCGAGGACAATAGGGTTTTTTGGCTCTTCCACCTTGGGCTATCCGTCGTTCTCCCACTCTCCTGGTCGTCCCCCGCCACCACCATCGATGGTTACACATCCGCCACTGAAGACGGCCATCTTCTCATTCCCGTCACCAGAAAACCACCACTCCGTTCAAAAGCAGATCGTCATGGCCCCGAGGAAGCAGCTGGCGACCAAGGCGGCACGCAAGTCAGCCCCGGCGACCGGAGGATTGAAGAAGCCTCACCGATTCAGGCCGGGAACCGTGGCGCTGAGGGCTTAAACAGAGCGTAGTTGTTTCGAATAGGTTGTTCAATGTCGGGTTGTTTAGGGTCTATTTCTGCTTGTGATTTTCGGTTTTAATTTCCTAGAATTCAAAATTCCAGTGATTAGATTTATGGGTTTCTGAAGGAATGGAAGTTTGTAAATCTTATGTTATAATCCAAGGTTGCTACTGATGTCTTGCCTATTCCACACTGTGAAGGAGATTCTCTCTCAAGTTTGCCCTTATTAAAGCATCGATTTTGAGGTAAAGGCGTAAACTTTTTAACAAATTCTCACTGCCCAGATGTCAAAAAACAACCTTGGAACCAATGAGAGGAAGCAAAATGGGGTTATGGTCTTATGGGTTCGTAAGAACTGAGAAGGGGGAAATCTTGTTTGTATGCTCTGTTCTTTAAGCAACTAATCTGGGAATTGACAGAGGGGAAAATAGAAAGAAAGTATCGGCAGAACGCAGAATGCCCGTGTTAGGATGACCAGTAATACAGGAAGATGAGTGAAAATCAAATTCGAGAAGGAAAAGGAGTATACAAATTTCAGAATCTTATAATAATGGACAATTGGACATGGAGCAGTTTTCGACTCATTAGGGGGAAACCATGGCTCTCTAGCAAAATAGGGTTTTCTGGCTCTTCCAACTTGGGCTATCCGTTGTTCTCCCACTCTCCTGCTCGTCCCTCACCGCCATGGATAGTTACACATCCGCTGCTGTCGACGGCCATCTTCTCACTCCAGTCACCAGAAAACCCCCACTCCGTTCGTCAGCAGACCGTCATGGCCCCATAAGCAAACTAGGAGACGATCTCCTCGTGGCGATTCTGATTCGCCTCCCGAACGCTAGATCCGCCTTCCTGTGCAAATCCGTCTGCAAGCGGTGGAGCTCCCTCATCTCCACTTCGGCCGCAGTTTCGTTTATCACCGTCAACAGAGCAGGATCGACGACGGCGGCGAACAACCTCCTTTAACCTCACGCGACACTGAATTCATCTTGAGCTTTCTCCCAGTGCCTGATGAGATACGATCCAATTTCGTACTTTTGGGTTGCTTCAAGGAATTCGTTTTATGCGGCTTCGTGGACTCTGCTGCTGCAGGAGATGATTGTGATGGCGAGATGACGAGATTGTTCTTCGTCTGTTCCTCTGGCGCCGAAAAGGTCGGTCGGGTATCATAACAAATGTTTAGTCTGTGAATCCGGTAACTCTATGTCTGGTAATTTGGATTCTGGAGATGATGATGATGATGGCAGAGTATTTGTTAATCCCGCGGATTACAGTCTATTCCGCGTCGTCCTTGTATCCAGATCGCCTGACCGTGCAATAGTAGACTTGTTTTGTTCGGAGTCCGGGGAATGGATGGAAGACGCCATGGCTCCTCCTAGTTCTGGTTCTTCCATACAGATGATGCTTGGGGATGTGATGATGCCCTTGTGGAACGGCCGCGTGTGTTGGCCGTCCGATGACATGCTTGCTGTTTGTGTGGAATCCATTCTGCCCACACACACCTCCGACTTCCATCGATGAATCGCCGGACAACGTGAGTTATTACTAGTGGTCCAGGTCCTTACCGAAGCGCAGGATTTGGGTCTCACTTGGTGCTTTATTTACACATAGTTTTCCACAGACCAGATGCAGAGGCTTTGGTTATTTGGAGATGGGAGGAAGACGAGAGAAGATGGAAGTCAATTTATTGGGAGTATTTGGCGAACTTCATAGTAAACCGTAACCTTGTACAATTTAAGGATTTGAAGGTGCGTGATGTAGTTGGCGTTCATCCGAGTAGGCCCGAAATCGTCTTCTTAGACTGTTGTTGCCCTTTTGATACCATTCTTGAGTGCAATATGAGGACGGGAAACCTACAAGTCTTCACTGATACAAGGAATTGGAGGACGTTCTTCCAGCCGAGGTTTACTTGCTGGCCTTCCCCAATTCCAGGCTACGAGAAACTGCAGAGTATGTACGATGGACAGCGATCGTTGACTCCCTAAACAATAACTTGGTAAATCTCAAGAATTTCTTTCATTTAATTACTTCTAATTCCTTTCATTTGTTGTTTTGCCTCTACAACTCGTCACCTAGTGCTTCATTTAATCTCAGGAAACCCGGAGTTGCTAATGACAATCCAATCCTATGTGTTAGAAACATAAATTCTGGCCCTTGTTGTTGTTTTGGATTTGATGGTCGTTTGGTCTTGTTTTGGATATCTGGGAAGTTTTGCAGGTTTTCTGAGATACTTGGGGTATTTTGGATATAGACATTATTATTAGGTAGTTACAGAGAATTTACCGGCTTATATATTCTGTGATTAGTGGGATTTTATGAATTAAGAAATCACATAACAAAATTCTCTAAACCTACTGCTTCTTCCTTTCTCTCAACCTAGCCGTCGGCCTCCTCCCTCTCTTGGAGACCGACCGCTTTCTTCTTCCTCAAGCTTCCTTCTCCCAATTCCAATTTTCCTATTTCGTAATTAATAATGCTCTTTCTTGCTGTTAAACATTGATATTGTTGGTTCCTTTTCTGTGATTCTCTGTCTGCTTGAGATTGCATCGGAAGGGGATTGAATGTACAACATTGACAAATTGTTGGCTTTGGGTATCTGTATGAGAAAATAAGAATGCACGGAATGAGTGAATGTATTCTTCTGGACTGCCCATGGCTGTTTTTCTCATCTAGGTACTGAGAATTTGTGCAGAAAGTTGTTGCCTTTACCACAAATTCGATGCTTTAATAGCTTTCCCCGCTGATAATATTCGCGTTTAAAGCTTAAATAAAAAAAATGGTTTTGTGTAAACTTTTTTTTTTTTTTTTTTACAGTTTAGAGTATCCTTATATTCCATCCGAAAAGAAACCAAATGTTCGTTACAAAAATAGTGCAATGATATTAACAATTAAGATCCATTTCAAAGGTAACGAAGCTTCCCTAGCTTGGCGAGCAACCCAATCTGCAAGTAGGTTAAGCCGTCGGGGAATGAACTTAATCTGGATGCAAGGAGCAGATCGAAGAAGAAGAGACATCTGAGCAATGGTAGCTCGACAATGCCATGGAGTCCTGATTGAGAGCAAGAGAAAGCACCTGGCAATCCGCACGAATGCAGGTAGTAATCCCATCATGAACCGCAAGCAGGATGGCGTTGAGGAGACCAAGGGCTTCAGCCTTAATCGGATGCGAACACAAGAAAGTCTCAACCTTGTCGTCGTACACCTGACCATGAGAATTGACAATAGTAATCCCATAAGCCGCCAAACTCGAGTCGGAAACAAACGACCCATCACAGTACATCACTCGAGAGAACGACGGTGGTGTGGGAATGGGAACCCCTAGGCTGAGGGTGCAATAGAGTCGGTTGGAAAGAAGAGCAGGAGAAGTCTGCGATTCCATGAAGTCACGATCAAACTTAATTGCGGATGAGGTCGGGGAATGAGCCATGTTGTCGAAAATGAAGGCGTTCCAGGCAAGCCAAATATTCCAAAAGTGGTATGCAAACCCCAACAGAAGAAGCCACATTGCATTCCATCTTCAGCTGGGTTGGTCTCTCTCTACAAACTCGATATTCATATGTTGTGGTGCAGGGCACTGCCTAATCATGAGATCATAGTACTTCAAAATGAGATGTATCTGAGGAAACCCTCGTGGTTGCTCGATTATTCTGTAAAAACTAAACTTGATGACACTTACCAATCATTTCTCAATGCTAAAATACTTACCTTTTGATTCTGCAGATGTTTGTTGTAGGAAGAGCGTATGGTACCGGTATAGACATTCTTGATTTCTTCCCTGACTCATCATCCACTTCCCACGTAGAAGGACACCATCATAATAGATACATTACCACGGCGGAGACCATCACGACCACTGCTACCCATCCGATGGTGCACTGGTAGCAGCGACCCTTCTTTCAAGTTTGATTCTCTTTCCCCAGACCGGTGCTCCTATTACCGAGTCTGAGGACTAGTCTGACTTTAAAGACAACGTGAATAACTTTTTGTATATAATAATACCTTTAACATTTTGTTAAGGGTAGTTCGGCCAGTTCTACTCCTAACTGACCGTGAAAGTGCAGAACTGACCGAACTATTATTAACAAAATGTCAATGGTATTATTATCCACAAAAGCTATTCACGTTGCTTTTAAAGTCAGACTAGTCCTCAGGCTCGGTAATAGGAGCACCGGCCTAGGAAAAGAGAATCAAACTTGAAAGAGGGGTCGCTACTACCAGTGTACCATCGCGGGGATGCGTAATAGTGGCCGTGATGGTCTCCGCCGTGGTAATGTATCTATTCTGATGGTGTCCTTCCACGTAGAAAGTGGATGATGAGTCAGGAAAGAAATCAAGAATGTCTATACCGGTACCATACGCTCTTCCTACAACAAACATCTGCAGAATCAAAAGATAAGTATTTTAGCATTGAGAAATGATTGGGAAAAGTCATGATTGATAAGTGTCATCAAGCTTAGTTCTTAAAGAATAATCGAGCAACCACGAGGGTTTCCTCATATACATCTCATTTTGAAGTACTGTGATCTCATGATGAGGCAGTGCCCTGCACCAACACATGAATATTGGGTTTGTAGAGAGAGAGAGAGAGAGGAGGGGTAACAAAAATTACATGGGTGGTGGTGCAGGTGGCTGATTTTGGAGCTTTCAAAGTCCAAAATGCCAGACCAACCCAACTGAAGATGGAATGCAATGTGGCGTTTTCGGTTGGGGTTTATCAGGATCGATTGACATCCTAGAGGTGATATGTCATCATCCTAAACATATAGAGAACATAAATAAGAATGGTATAAAATTCAATGACAATAGATAAAGAGAGTCTTGCATTACTAAAACAGAGGAATTTGGTGGCTTTTGCTACTGCAAGCAACACCTTCCAACAATCATACCTCCACGTATCCAAGAGTAACAAGTAAATCTTGTAAGTTCCACACTCCTGTAGGTATGGATGGGTTGCGGATGTCCCACATAAACACATTTCCAGAGTGGTCACCCCCAAAGACCTTCTGCAAAGTTAAATGAAAAAAGAGTTCATTAATAGTCCAAAATCAACATGACTTCAAGTTGGAATTACACATAAAAATATGTTTTTACAAAACCTGACTATCCAAATGCAACTGGATACTTTTCAGTGACAGGATGTCATGAACAAGCTCGTGGGTTACGAGCTCCAAACACGGTAAGTAACTCGTTCTTGGATCCCGAACGTTCACTATTCCATTCAATCCCGAACCGTACAATCTACAGTAGTATATTGAATAACGTTATAAATAGAACAATAAGAATGAATCTATAAGACTGGTATTTGAGTGTTTTAAACAAACCTTGAATCATCGGATCCATTGAAAGCTACATCACTGATCCTTGTACCCCTGTTCGGTCTCAAGACCTATACAAATCACTAATTAGAGTTATTTACCACTAATTATGAAATTTAACAAAACAGGACACCCAATACAACCCGAGAATGCACAAATTAACCTGATTTTGCTTTACAGTGTTCCAGCGAATAGCCTCGAATTCGTGTGCGGAGTTAACATGAAATACATCTATCTTATTGGATAGAGTTTCAGAAAACCCTATGTCTGAAAAAACAATGCATCGTTCAATTAATAACGCATCTAGCACTAAGGCATTCTATTGATTACATGGAGGAAATCAGCAAACCTCCTGTCTTTGGCACGATGTCATCACTGTAATATCGAAGGGTTTGAAACCTTTGGATCGTCAGGCAACCAACTCGGTTAACTGAAGCCAAGAATTCTCCCGTGGGATCAAATTCCAAGCCAGAAGTGGCATCCCTTCAAAACAAACGTCTCAGTAATCAGTATGTGGAAGTGGAATGGAAAGAAAAACATTAAATTGGGTAAAGAAGAGAAAACCTACCTGAGTCTCTGGATTGGAAGCAAATTATTGGAGTAGGCATTGACAATCTAAGGGAGGGAGCAAACAGCTTTTAATTAGCTACAATGAAATCAATAGAAGAAAGAAAAGAAAGAAAACAAGGAGCGGGTACCTCAGTTCTACATGGGGTGAAGCCTTTGGCATGAGCAACAACAACTGTGCCCCTGTGGTAGTCGTAGGAAGCAATCATCTTCAAGTGCAAGTCATGCTTGATAATCCGCTGTATGGGAAGGAGAAAGAAGGAAAAAGAAACTTAGGGTTTTTGTGGTGGTCGACTGGATGAGAAGAAGGAAGAAAGAAAAGGAACCTCTTCTTTAGACTTGGAAGAATCAGATAAATCAGAGTAAATGGAGTTCTACTTACCAAGTTCAATCTCGGGAGCAGGAGGGTTGGGAATTTCTAGAATAACCTCTTCTTCTCTGACAATCTGAAGCGAATACATGTAGGATCAGGGTTTCCTCTTCCTCTTCGTCAATGGAGGAATCTGTAGGATCAGCTTCCTCTTCTTCTTCGTTAATCTGAAATGAGGGATCATAGATCAGTGCCAGTAGTACACGAGTGTTTCCGCTGGGCATTCTAGGGTTAAAACGATTTTCCGTCATTGATAACAGAAATGGTTTATTTCAGAGCGAGAATGGCGCGGAAGAAGAAGAAAATGGGACGAAGACTGCGAATTTTTCCGCGGCGGCGAACAGACTAATGGGGAAGGGGAAGGGGAAGGGGAAGGGGAAGACAGAAACTTATTCGTCTGTAATCACGCCAAAACTGAAGGAGCCAATCCCACCGTTGATTGGAAGGATGATCCAACGGTGTGGAACAGCGATCCGCGTAGTTGAATTAGTTTTTTTTTTCCCCTTTTGTTAATTCTTTAGTTAGAAGGGTTTATGTGGGCCTGGTGCACCAAAGGTTTGATTGGCCTCTGGTCACTATAAACACCATATTGGGCTGATGGGTTCGGCCCTTTTTTCTTCCTTGGTAACCCGTTTGCATACTAGGCCCAGAACAAAAAAACTCAACTATTAAAGTCACATAAACACAATTAAAGACCAATAGTCCTATTAAAGTCACATAAACTCCCGTTACTTCCTGTCGTAATCAGATAGTCCGATTAAAGTTAAATAAACATAATAATTATCAAAATCATCTTTGACATTATTAATTACTACCTTGTAGCGGTGCTGCTCATCAATGGCTACATCCCCATTACTACTTTGCCTCGTAGTTTTAAAAATTGCTAGCCATCAACTATATACCATATAGACTAGCTTGGTCGGACGTGTGATTTTACCGTCAATTTATACGGTTAACGCTCCACTTCACTGCATATTTTTTTTTTCTTCCAGAAGCTAACTTGTATTACCAAGAAAGAATAAGATAATAATGTTCAAACAACACTGGTTTATAAACTCGAGAGAAACCAACCACGAAAATCAAAACCCGGAACTCCCGCATGAAACAAAGAAAGGGATTTCTTAGCCACCAAATGGGCCGTCCAATTGTTTTTCCTACCAACGAATTACACCTCAAACCGAGCATATTGCTGACGTAACAACTGAATTTCTTCAAGAATGCTGCCACCTTTGACATCCCGAACTTCTCTCTCACGTATCTTATCGAGAAAAACCTTAGCATCTCCGCGAAATACTACCTCGGTGAGACCCTTCAAAGAGCACCATCGAATCGCATCTCGTAACGCCAAGAGTTCTACACTGTAAGGATCGTCCACACCTGCATAGAGAAATCCGTTCACAAAAACGATACTCCCCTGCCCATCCCGGACGACCAAACCCCTCGGCCGAATGTGATCCTTTCGCGACCGCTCCATCCACTGAACAAACAAACCCTGGTGCAACACTCCCCGATCCCTCCTAAGTCACAATCACCGGTCTCGGAGGAGGAATCTGTTGAGTAAGTGCTAGCCACTACCGAACTTGTTCCTGATATTGACGGAGAAGGACAGATGTCTGATACTGAATATGATAAAAAAATGAGCCCAATTACTCCCCTTTCCAGATGCGCCATAAAAGCGAGACAAACCACATTATTATTTAATCGGAGGAGTCTCTCTCAAGAACTCGCCGAAAAAACAACGCCATGTTCAAATGCTCCAAACCCCGCCTAACCTCTCCAAGGCCACTCCCCTCCCACAATTCAAATGAAACTCTGCAAGAGAGGAACAAATGCTCAAGCGATTCTAATGGTTCACAAAAAACAGGACAACGCTTGGAACACTAAACTCCGTTCCCCCAAACCTGTTTCCACAAAGATGTGTCAATGAAGGAGACTTCAGCCTTCCAGCCAGGCTCTTTACGCCGCTCTTGCAGGGCCAGATGATACCCTGACCGTACTGAATACATACCATCCGATTCTGCTTCCCAAACCAGTCGATCCATGATGCGGACTCTAGGCAGTGGGATCGCTGCAATTTTTCTACACAACTCGAGTTCAAATAGATTTTTTTTTTGTTTTACATGTAGAATATTTTTAGTATCACCTCACATTTATTATCAACTTATTACGAAGATTGTAAAAAAAATTAGAGTAATGTCTATTTGGCTAATACATTTTATTTATTATTCAGGATCTCAGCCCCACGTACCACTTTGTAACAGCGGGTCCTATTAAACATGGGGTCACCTGTATTCAATTTGACGTCAACGGGGCTTCACTCCCAACAGCCTTATACCTTCGGAAACACCAACAAGTCTCACTTGAATTCGAATATGGGATCTGCAACTCCCAGACCTTCATTATTGCGACAGTTTATCGTTAGACTATCTTATCTTTACCTTATTGTGGAAAGTAATCCCCCATTAATATATGGTAGAGTTTTGTGTAATTTTCTCCATTTCAAATTTTCTGTAACGAGAGTGAAAGTAGGAAGGACATTTTTGTCTTTACAATTATCTATTTATTTCAAATAAAAAATATCAATATGAAGATTTGAACCCAGGTCTCTTCAAACACGAACAACAATCATAACCAACTACACTAAACGAATTTGTTGTTTCTATTTGATACAAAACATACACTAAACTCTGGAAAATTAATGACTTTTACATCATGATCAACAAGCCCACTAAGTCTACCATATTTATTTTTATGGTGCTTAATACTTCAATTTCCATAGTAGAGTTTCATGTAATTTTATCCATTTTAAAATTCATGCTCTCCTTAATTTTTGCTTAGGTAAATTTGTAATTGGCTAACATGAAGAAACTATTTCTTTTACTACGTGTTGCGTCATTGTATTTTTCAATTTAAAATTAAATGTTGTCCTTTTGTATCTTTGTTCTTATCTCTTTATAACTTCCTCCAAAAGTCCCTCCATCGTGCAATAATTTGGCCATTTCACTTCCCAGTACAAGAACGCATTTGAAAATTAATCTTCTGGTTTCTCTTGGCACGACAGTTTTATTTTTGGGATTTAAACTAAGCAAATAGAAAATTTCAAATTCGATATCAATCCATGTCGAATAGAATGGAGTTCAATCAAGTAGGTATGAATTTAAACTTGGAGTAGAAGAGTTGGAATTGAGTTTGAGAATGGAAGTGGGTGGGGGGGGGGGGGGAGGGGGGAAGAAATTGTGTTTGAATTTGGTAGCAGGTAAAGTTCCACTGCAACAAGTGAAGGCAGAAAAGAGGGAGTTGGAGAGGGTAGTGAATGAATTGAGGTGGGTGTTGAAAGATATGGAAGAGAAACTGGAGCAGTTAAAGAGAGAGAAGTGAGAGATGGTGAGGATAATAATGAAAATGGAGAGGTTATGGAAGGACATGGAAGTGGACTAAAGCAGGTGAAGGCAGTCAAGGGGGAGATGAACATATTGATGTAATTGGAGATGAGTGTTGGTTTTAGCGAACTTATTACAAGTGCCCCGAGGAAATGAAGTTGTTTGGTTGAAACATATTGCTCTTGAGATTAAAGATAGAGTTGATAAAAATTTGGTCGTTCAACGGAGAGTGGTGGCTATTTGCTCTTTAGGTTTATGGTTTTTGCAGCTACCACAACCTATTTATATGTTAAACGAGAAATCACTGATTTACTGAATTAGGTCGATTCTTTATTCAACCTACTGAAACTTATAGAAAAGAAGTGTCTAATTTTATGTCTTATGACTTTGATCAAGTCTATTAGTATATTGGAGATAACCCTAATTTTGTCGTTTGCTCTCAAGTTTTGATGGTTCCTTCTTAGTTTAGTTTGTAGTATATAGTTGACTTGAACCAACAACTCTCAATTTTTTTTATTAGTGGCATGTTGTTCCTAAACGAAGAGCATTGAAGCCTTTATGTAGGATTGTGAGATTTTAGATTCAGTTTCAAACTATATATGGGCCGTGTGGTAATTCCAGTGAGCTTTTATATTATATCTTTCTTGACAATTAACTAACCAATATAATATTATCATTATGAAATGAAAATGAAATCAATGATACTTTTTATATTTTATATTCTTAAAAGATGATGGTATTTCTTCGAGTGTTCAACCTATATATTATTTCCTTATGTACCATCTAATTCGAAAGATTATCAAAAATATTAAATAGGTTAATAGACTTAAATTTAACATAAAGTTATAAATAATCAAATATGAACATTTCGGCCAACGGGCCGAATTATAAGCTAGTTGAAAAGAAGGAAGACACTAGCGTCGAGTTCGAGTTCGACAAGGAATAGGAGTATTACGAATATAATGATAAATTGATAATAGAATAGACAGAAACGTTTCGATTCTTTAGGAGGAGATAGAGACTATGGCTCCAGCGCAAAATAGGGTTTTCTGGCTCTTCCACCTTGGGCTATCCGTCGTTCTCCCTCCCTCCTGGTCGTCCCCCGCCGCCACCGACGGCTACATACCCACCGCTGTCTACGGCCATCTTCTCACTCCCGCGACCAGAAAACCACCGCTCCGTTCAAAGGCATACCGTCATGGCCCAATCAGCAAACTCGGAGACGATCTCCTCCTGGCGATTCTGATTCGCCTCCCGAACGCTAGATCCGCCTTCCAGTGCAAATCCGTCTGCAAGCGGTGGTGCTCACTCATCTCCAGTCCCCACTTCGGCCGCATTTTCGTTTCTCACCGTCAACAGAGCAGGATCGACGGCGGCGGCGGTGAACTACTTCCTTTAACCTCACGCGACACTGAATCCATCTTGAGGTTTCTCCCCGTGCCTGATGAGGTCCGATCCAATTTCGTACTTTTGGGTTGCTTCAAGGATTTGGTTTTATGCGGCTTCGTGGACTCTACTGCTGGGAATGATCTTGATGGCGAGATGGGGAGATTGTTCTTCGTCTGCAATCCGTTTACAAAGCAATGGGTCGCCCTTCCTCTGGCGCCCAAAAAGTCAGTCGAGTATCAGAACAAATGTTTAGTCTCTGAGAATTTGGATTCTGGAGATGATGATGATTGTCGATTCCGAGTCGTCCTTGTTTCTGGATCACCTGACCGTGCAATAGTAGACTTGTTTTGTTCGGAGTCAGGGGAATGGATGGAAGACGCCATGGCTCCTCCTGATTCTGGTTCTTCCACACAGATGATGCTTGGGGATGTGATTCCCTTGTGGAATGGGACCTTGTGTTGGCTGTCCGATGACATGCTTGCTTTTTGTGTGTGGAATCCATTCTGCCCACACACACTTCCGACTTCCATCGTTGAATCGCCGAACAGCCGGAGTTATTCCTGGTTCTCCAGTGCCTTACCGAAGCGCACGATTTGGGTCTCACTTGGTGTTTTACACATAGTTTTTCACCTTGAGGAAATTCATTGTTTGTCTATTTGGAGATGGGAGGAAGACAATCGAAGATGGTGTTTTCTTTACACTGGCTTTGTGGCGGATTACATCATTGACCGTGAGTATGTACAATTTAAGGGTTTGAAGGCGCATGATGTAGTTGGCATTCATCCGAGTAAGCCCGAAACCATCTTCTTGGAGTGTCGTCGTCCTTCTGATGTCGCGCCTATTGTGGTCGAGTGCAACATGAGGACGGGAGAGATGGAGGTCTTCACCGATAGATGGAATTGGGGTGCGTTGTTCCAGCCGAGGTTCACTTGCTGGCCTTCCCCAATTCCGGGCCACGAGAAGCTGCGAACTATGTATGATGGCTGCTATAGTTGTTTGGTTCAGAGCATCAGCCAATCTTGAACTCCCTAAAACAGTAGCCGGTAAATCACATGAATTCCTTTCATTTGATTAATCTAATTCCTTTTGTTTGTTGTTTTGCACATACAATTCATCACTTAGTGCTTCATATATACTAATTAACAGGTCAATGCGCTCGATCCACATGACATTGTCAACTCAATCATCTATGCTCTTAGCTATGAAGAGGGAACCCGGTCCCTGGGTTAGCAATGTTAACTTATTGGCCAAAGAATCACCACGAATGGCTACTCATGATTGTTAGAACTTCTCTTTTCTTGGTTTGTGTCGACTGATTTCAAGTTTTTTTTCTTCTCCTGTATAACCAGTAATTTAAGTCTAGGATGACACATGCGTGAATGACTGAACAGGATGCTCAGAATGTATGAATTGGGGACACTTGCAGAGTCGCAGAAATTTGTCTGTTGTTGGTCATCCTTTTACAAGCATTCTTCCAATCCTTGGTTTATCTTCTTTTCACTCTTTCAGTTCCCGGTTTGCTTGCTAAGAGAACAGAGGGAACCAACAAGCTATCGTCTTTCTCACGAACCAATAATCCCATTTTGCTTCCTCTCCCCAAATCCCACCTGTAGTATAGGTAAGAAGAAAGATGCCATGCCTTCACGGGAGCATACATTTAGTGTTCAAAATCTTGACCATTGTTAGTGATAACAGTTGCTTGGAGTACAAAACATGATGACAGAGCTCAGGATTCCTTTTTCCTTTGTCCCAAATTAAAGAGTTCAGAGTTCTAATGCTGCAATTTGTATCTTTTACAAAAAAGAGTTCTATTGTTTGAACTCTAGTTGTTCTGAACTGTTGGTTTGAGAGTAGGCAGCAATTGTTACATATTATAATGTATATATTTCAGTAGGGCAATCTTACAGAGTTACAGTTATTTTCTCATAGAATACATGTGTGTCTTACGTTTGAAAGAACAAAATGCAATCTGTTCTGTTTTTGCCTCTTCTTCGAATCCGGGCCGAGTCTTGTTTTCTGTTTCCTCGCTGATCATTGTTGGACCAACAAACATTACAAAAATTCAATTAGATTCAATGAAACAACAGCAAGAGATCGGTGAGTTGTCCATGAGTGAATGGTTTCTGAACTAGTTCTCTTCACAGACCATTATAGCAAATATTCCTCATTGGCGTGTATGTTAAAAAAGCAAGCTCTCAAACCCAAGTTATAGGGTTCGAATCACACACACAAACATAGCTTGCTTTTTCAGTTTAATTATCATGCAAAATACACTTTTATAGTCAAAACTTTCACGCTTGTGCCAACGGTGTTATCTAACAGGGTGACTGGACTAACAGCAACGGTTGACGTGACATATTTTATTCAGAAATAATAACAGGTGGAAAGTCATTAAAATTTTATCCTTTAAATTCAATTACATTAAATAAAAAATATACAAAAACAATAATTTCATCCTCACCACCGCCGGTTCTCCTTCCCATCTTCGAAATCGTCGCCGTTGTTGTCTCGTTCTCTCTGATTTCCTCATCTCTCCATCAACGAACAACAATAAAAAGATTACCTACAAACAAAACCCTTTTCTTCTCTTCTCCTCTCATCTTTATAGTCAGCGGCAAGTTAGACTCTCTATACACTTGAGAGATTCTGATCTCCCAATCCAGGTTCAAAAGGTTCCTAAATATGGCTGTCGTTTGCCCATGTCTGTGATCATCCTCCGAGTGGTTGTTAATGATCAAAATAGCCGTCTCCGAATCCAGGTGAAGCTCAATTTTTTTGTACCCTTCTACCCACGCAATCTTCAGCCCCTCCATTGCACCTTTCAACTCCGCATGCGTAATCGAGCAGCTTCCCAAATTGCAGACAAAAGCTCGAGGACACCTGCCGAGATGGTCACGGAAGAGGCCACCTGCAGCCGCCTTTCCTGAGTCTTGATGAACCGATCCGTCGCTTTAGATTTGTATCCATTCAGGGTGTGGTGGCTTCCAAGCAATCTCTTTCGTCTGCAGCACCCTCCTGGGTTCATTCGTTATGTTCTCCCAGAATGTATGCGCGTTCTGACGATGTTAAACCAGGCTCTAATCCTACAGAGAAGGCCCTGCTCCGAGTAATTCTTCCCGTCTAAGACTTCTTTATTCCTCTGTTTCCAAAGGTGCCAATATATAAGCCCGACACTTACTCAAATTTTGAAATTGATGGCAAGGGTGGCGCGCAAAGTGACTTTAGCATGGGTGTCATGGGCCAAAAAATCCAATCCACGTGGCCCACTTAGGGGTCGTTTGCTTCAAGGATTTGGTACATGGATTTGGTACCAAAAAACCAATTATCAAAGATTTAGGTACAATCTGTTGTTTGCTTGCATCTTTTTTGGAGACCAAATCCGTGGGGCCCACGGATTTTAAGGGTCCAAATCCGTGGACCCCACGGACTTATAAATCCCACATGTTGATGTGAGATTTGGAGTATGGCATAAATCCTTGATGAGATTTTACCTATATACCCTCATGCACTTTTAATATTCCAAGGTTGCCCTCAAATTTAACTATTATACATTATAATTAACAATAAATGAATAATATAAACGTTCAATTAATGTGCAAACATGAGTTAGATTTTTTTTATCATTTCTTGTGTTCTAGTTTTCTTTGACCTTTTCATGGAACATGTAATTCTTTGTTCTCCCGATTCTAATATATGTTGTTATATGTTACTTTTGAAAAGGAGGACAAAGAATTGGTAATTGATTATGTTACGTTAAAGTTAAAACGGAATTTTCTCGTTTATTATTATTGTCCATGTGGCAACATTATGCTTATTAGTATGTATTGTCCTTGTTTTGTGTACATATCATAAACATGTCAAACATATAGAAAATGATAGTAAGGTAATTTTGAAGTTTTGTCCTTGTTTTGTGTACATATCATAAACATGTCAAACATATAGAAAAGGGCAGTAATGTAATTTTGGACTTCAAGTAGTAAATCCCACACCTTTAAGTCCATGATAAAAACATCCCAACAAACAAAGGATTGTTACAAATCCATGATGTCTCAAATACTTGATAAATCCTTGGGTTTTTAAATTATAAAACCCTCATTTTGAAATCCATGAAGCAAACGACCCCTTAATTGATTTAAACATTTATAATTAAGTTGGCCTTATAAAAGTCTTTTAATTCTTTGTTTTTAACCGATGTAGTACAAAATTAATTTTTATGGGTAAACAACACCCTAGCTTCTCCGGCCAAGCTATCATCACGTCGGCTGGCAGATGGGTCCAAGAAACCAAAACCTCCAGGAAAAAAAAAGGGAAATAGGGAATGAATCCGAAATTTGGAGGACTGGATTGGATTGGTATCAAAGCTTGGAATTTATTCCAACCACATGCATTCAGTTTTCTGTGCAGGCAGTCGGCAGAGACACAGTGGCAAAGGACCGCCGGACCACCTCAAAACCAGGCAAATGGGAAGCCACCGATATTATTCCTTCCTTCCTTTTCAATCCCAAAACTTTTAAAAATATACTAAAATTGTGGAGATATTGAAAACCCCATCCTGACATCTGCCCCTCCGCCCTTTAATGGCTTCACGTGAAGTGTCTCGTCTGTTTCTAACCTTCCCCATGTTTACATGTCTCTTCACTCTTCTTCCCCAATTTCTACAATATTCACGTCCAAGGATTAAGTTATATGCGATATTTCGATACTCGGATAATATATCAAGAGAGGAGATTATTTCGAAAATATATTGCATCGTATGCAGAATGTTTTCTATGACCAAAGAACCAAAAGCATATAGTACAATGGTGATGATTAGGGTGGTCGTATATGATCGATCTCCTTCGACTCTCTCGTTCTCGATTCTCTGCACTCTCCGTGATAGTCCGATTAATAAGGTGTTAGATGTCAGTATTCTATCGTACGTGTCTGATGACTCCCAAACTGAGTTCCACTAGTGGATCATATACATAATTAATTATATAAAAACTAGTGACAACAAAAGTTGCTTGAAATGTGACACTAAAATAATAAAGTTGCATGCTAATAATGTATTAACTTATTGTGTTGCTGACTATCCCACTGTATGCATAAATGTATAACATGATTGATTAAAAGTTTCGTTGCTGAAGTAAACATGTTGATAAAGAGATTTTACCAAGGAATAATATTGCACTATGTATGGAGAATGTTCCCATGACAAAAGAACCCAAATAGTACACTCTCAATAAAACAGTAGTAACTTATTGACTTCAGAGTTGCGTTTAACGAGCTAAATTAAACCATTAATTAACCTATATCATTATGCTAATCATACTCAGCAGTACATTCCATTAATTAATAACCTTCTCTCCTTTGAAAGTTTACTACACATAACATATATATATAGTAACAACATTTCATATACATAATAAATACATTACAAAAACTTAATAATAAAACACGATTTTAATTTTTTTTTTTTTTACTTTTATCTCTCACTGTTTACCCAAACACGGTCGTTTCAGCGGGCTGCCGCAGAGACAGTCATTGAACTCAAACGACGCCGCTTCGAGGTGGTCAAATGGCGACCCGGCGGGAATCTTCCCGCATAAATGGTTGTAGCTCAGATCCAAATGGCCGATGTACGACGCCGCCGCGATGGATGGTGGGATCCCGCCGGTCAACCGGTTCCGCGACAGATCCAGCACCGTAAAATACGACCGGGGGCCAAACTCCGGCAGCTTCCCGTCCAGCGCGTTCCGGCTCAGGTTCAGATTCGTAACCGACGAGCTGAGCAGATCGGCGGGGATCCCGCCGGTGATCTTGTTCCCATCCAAATTCAACGTCGCGAGGACGGCCATCCGCCCCAGAGACTGTGGAATCCCGCCGGAGAGGCGGTTGAGGGAAAGGTCGAGATCGGCCAGCCGGTAGATATGGGAAACCGAGTCGGGGATCGAACCGGCTAGGAAATTCCGGCTCAGTAGGGCCCGACTCAGCATCCTGAGCCGGCCGAAATCGGAAGGGATCGACCCGTAGAACCGGTTGTTCCGGAGGTCGAGGTGCATCAACCCGGTCAGGTTCGTGAGCGACCGGGGGATCCGGCCGGTGATCCGGTTGTCGGCGACGTTGAGCACGGTGAGGCGGTGGAGCCGGCCGATGTCGGAGGGGAGCTGGCCGGTCAGCCGGTTCCCGATGAGGTCGAGGATGCGTAGGAACGGGAGCGATGCGACGCATTTGGGGATCTCGCCCGAGATCCCCTTCCAGTCCGCGATGGTCAGACTGGAGAGCCTTTTCATCCCGCAGATGGCCGGGGAAATGGTCCCGGTCATGTAACCGGTACGACCGGCTTTCTGAAAAATTGGGTCCTCCGACTCGCCCCGTAGGTTTATGTCTGCGACCCGGTTGGTTTCCGGGTCGCAGCTTATACCGTACCAGTTGTGGCAGCAGTCCGGTCCGGTCCAGGACTTGAAGATGCCGAGGTGGGGCTCTTGGAGGGAGGATTTGAAAGCCATGAGGGCGGCTCGGTCGGACGGCGGGCAGGCGGTGGTGGTGGCGGCGGAAAGGAGGAGGAGGTGGAGGGTGAGTAGGAGCGGAATGTGGCGGAATGCAGCCATGGTTTTGGGGTTGGGTTTACCGGCGACGGCCGGTAGGGGTAGATGGGTCTTTTTGGTACGGGGGGCGGGAGGAGAGGAGTGTGTATGGGGAGTAGTGTTTGACTGATTTTTTGAGTCGTGGTCTTGGTGTTTATATATAGGCCCGAGGTGTGGATTGTTTACGGTTTTGCCCCTAACGTGTATGATTGGGGGATGGCGGGGAATATTTTCGGGGTTTTGGGGATTTGATCGGAATTATAATGTGGACAACATTTATGGAGGGATTAATTGTTTGCATGTGGGAGGAAATTTTGGGACAATCTCAATCTGCCACATATGGTATTATGAGATGGTTGCTAGCTTTGTCATTCTAAATATAAAAAATTGAGAATTTGAAGTGATTGAGAATATGTCATCTCTAATTTACACGTAGATTGTGGTTCAACAGTGTTAAATTGTTAAAAGGAATGGATGGTGTCAATTTTCAGGCTCACCTTGATGAATAATAGTAAGTAGATCTCATCTCACTGAACTTAACGTCATTCTTGATCGATAACAATTACATTATGTTACGAATAACAAAATGAGCTAACAAATTTGAACGAGATAAATTAAAAAAAAAATCTACATTTGAATCAATCGTTGGAAAGGGACTAGTGTCATATCAACTATTCTATTTTCATAATTTGTTACAAATTTTACATATAAGTTTACCTATTTATGAAATTAGAGGAGAGCTATATAATTTTGTCTGAACTTAATGCGACTTCATTATTATAAACGACCGAAATATATCGAAACAGAGAAGATAGAAGTCAAATGTACGTGTGTAACTTTTAGTGGATAAAGATGAGGTAATATGCATGTGTAAGTAATCAATATTTTGTGTGCTATATGACTTAAATTGTCTACAATATTCATCACGGCATTCATTAATGATTTACATGTATATCACCGAATTCGTTGAATTTGCAATCCCATCCTCGTACACAAGTTGTCTGTACTTTTGCTTAAAGGTTTCTCCATTATTCTCATGGATCACCTCTCATTCGATTTTTACCATTTGAGTTGATCGACACCTAACCTTCAATCAACCCTTCACTACATGTCCAACTTACTTTCACTATTACCTTTGCTTTTTTCTTGGCAGCTGTACTGGAGTAAAAACAAAAAGCATATGTCATCTATGTGTATGTTGATATGAGTTGAATCGAATTATCTGTTGCCAATTAGAAGTCACGGGATTCTCGTTGTCAGGTCATCTAGTCGGGGTTCAATTAGGGGGCTTGTGTGGGAGCAAGGGGTTCAACCTTCAGGTGTATGGGCTTATACATGTTCGGGTTTCTGTTGTGGACCTGGTCTGTCTTTAACCTTGTTCTTTACCAGATATGATTAAGGTTAGGTCATCATGGAGAAGTACGTACTATATATACTTCTCAATCCCTCTGTAATCGGTAATCTTTCTCGAGTATAGTGAAACTGATTATTATCTCTCGCTGCCCGTGGACTAACTAACACGCATAGTGTCAACGGATCGCATAAATATGTATTGTGTGCTCTTTATTTTCTTGAATTGTCGATTATTCCAATTCGTTCTCGTCATGACAGTTTCGCTTCCTATTGTAACACGTATACATGGGGAAAATGAAAGGGGGTTGCTTGTTATTGCATACGGTGTAGTGATGAGAAGGAAAGATATAGTTACACTATCGACTTAGTTATCCGATTGGAACAGTTGATCGAGCAGAGTTAGACATGCATGAAAACGAAGAACGATGACAAAAAGATGGGTTGGGTTTGGTACGTTGTGGATATCTCAAAGGAATTGAAAGAACCAACCAACCAAACAATGGAGGAGGCGGTTCGACATTGGAACGTGCATGGCCGTTCACATCCACTGAGGTGGTGGACTGGTGGTTGGTCCAGTACACTATTCCATATTTTCTTCGTTCAAAGTTTTGGTTTACTGGTCCCGCGCTCTGATACCACTTGTCATAACCGGACTGCTCATTAGTACGCGAAATTGTCCACTTTGGGCCAAGGCCGAATGGTTTTACTCTTGGGTTGGGTGTCCTACCTGAAAAGGCCTCGTACTAATGAGCTTGGTGGACACTGATATACAAGGATTCCTTCACTTGTATTACCGATGTGGTACTTGGATTGTCCCTTAACATCAAGATCGGCTTCCACGGTTCTCGGTGGCTTATACTTGGGGGAACCTTTGGAGTTAGTTAGCAATCCATTTGGCTGGCGTTTTTCATCCTTTTAGTGTTTATTTTTCACTTTATTCCTAGGGACTAACAGAGTAGTTACTAAAATGGCTCTTTTATCGGCAGATCGATTAGTATTGACTGCCGCGTTTAATTGCTTTGTTGTTCTCTAACTATTCGTTACCACTACTTATGACAACAACAAAAAAGACTTATATTTATTTATTTATTCTTATGAAATGTGGTTCGAGTTTTGATATATAATAATACTAAATAACTCATTTTTCTTTTGTCATTATGGTACGATAACGATGATATATTAGGATGGTACGAAAAGAGACTTTACAAGTTCATACATAACAAAGGGTTAGACACTTAGACTAAACTATCGAATCACTCTCACTCGGATCGGATGAAGAGCGGAGGCCATTATGCGGCTACGTGGTTCTTTCAAGTCCCCATATATCTTATAAATTCACGTCTGCGAGGAGCTGCCCAAGGTCTGTTTTGGTCCCATATTTTTGCACCTTCTTAAAAACCTTTTTAATGTTGTGTAATCATAATCCTATGTTGTTAAGATGTCACACCGTATACATCATGATCATCATTATTCGTTTGTATAATAGTTTCGTTAAAATGCGATCCGTTTTTCATACGTACTTACTTTCTTCTAAAATATATGTGTTTTATGTGACTTTAAAGGAATCATGATTCGATCAATATTAATGTTATTTCTGAATGTTAATTATTCGTGGTTTTTAGTTATCTGATCTATCCGATCGTTACGAACGAATTTTTGAGCTAAACTTGTCAACATCATTCCCCATTCCTACCCAGATCTAACGCTTGTGAAAGAGATATAGGGAGATTTGAGATTTGTACTAATGGACAAGAAGAGCTGGTGGATGGCAAGTCCCTCTCAGAAGTCTGAATCTCTGTGTCTCCTTTTATTTTAGGTGGTCTTCATGGGTTCTGGATCTGGTCTTATCAGGAACTAACTTCTATTATCATAACAAATTTTCGATCACACTGCCACATCGAGATTCAAGCAGCTGGTTAACACAGTTTATAATATACTGCTGCAAGTGACAGCTCGAGACTGCGCCTAAAGATACAGTCATTAACAGCAGGATCGATACAGCCAGCCAGCCAGCCAGCAAGTCAAGTTATTAAAACCTTAATTAGAGCAATAATTTATAGTTTTGTCAGGAACAGATGCCAACTGATTAGGGCTGAAATTTTGGTTGACCCGCCCCTGATCCTGTCTCATTCTTGATCCTGTATGACCCTTTAGGGTCGGGGCGGATCGGAAAGGGTTGGGTCAGTGGGTCGACCCTAATAGATATTCTAATTAATCATCAAAATTAATTAATTAGAAACTTAATCTCAAAAATTATTTATTTATCAAATTAATTCCAGAAAATTAATTAATCACCAAAATTATTCTAAAAAAATATTCAATCAAAAAAATAATTCCAAAAAATTAATTAATAAACACAATAATTTCATAAAACTATTTATTTACCAAATTAATTCCATAAAATTAATTAATCACCAAAATTATTCCAAAAAATTATTCAATCACAAAAATAATTCCAGAAAATTAATTAATCACCACAATAATTCCAAAATTTTATTTATTTACCAAATTAATTCCAGAAAATAATTATTTACCAAATTAATTCCAAAAATTAATTATTTACCAAATTAATTTCGAAATTTCAACAAAAAAAATACTTATTTACCAAATTTTGTCTTCGTCAATTTTCACAGGGATAGGGTCAGGATGGGTTATTAGGGTCAGGATGAGTCATTTAGGGTCAAGACCCGGCCCTTACAGGGTTCTGTGATGACCCGGCCCTCTTTTGACCCTTCATTCAAATTGACCCGGCTCGACCCTAAGGGTCGGGTCGGGGGTTTTCAGGGTCAAAGCTTCAGCCCTACAACTGATTAATACAAAGCTGGTTTTTGGGTTGATTTGCGTCATAGTTAAGAAGACTATGGGTAGTTAGTTTTAATTTTGAGATTAATTAGCTCATTTTTAATAACATGCATGATTGGGAACAAGCATGTGGCTCATCATGTGCTGCGATATGTATATCTGGCCCCATGGAACAACAAGATCTTTCCCAGCATTTTGGTTTTTATCAATTAAATGATGGGAGGTAACACGTCACCTCAACCGATAATAATAGAGATAAAATTGTTTCCTCTTTCTCCTATTTGAGTCAAATACCAACGATGATTTGTAACTTAGTCGCATCATGAATTTAATTAATATGTAAATTTAACAATGTTCAAAGTTCATCTTGAATAGTAACAAGAGGACCGTTGGATAGGGCTATTTCTGGTCATACTAAGGTTATCAATTCGAGTTCAATGTTTTTTGGTTGATTGACAAAATCGAATAATATAACTTCTGTTATCAATTTTGCTTGTAACAGATTTTGCACTTATTGGTTGCAGTGTCCATGAAACCGTATCGTACCGACGGTTCAACCACGAAATACCAGTATCGGAGGCTAAACCGATATGTGGTATTTACCGGTATAACAGTTGAACTACAATTAAACCACGGTTTTATCATAAAATACCATACCGCCGACTTTCCCGGTACGGTCTCCGATACGATTTCATGGACCATGATTGGTTGATAATGGCAAGAAACACAAGAGACTAACTAAACACATTCAATATGAGTCTTTTTCGTGGCTACCCGGTTTAATCCAAACGAAATTCCGCCTCATAATCTCTTCATATTTCCTTGAGCAGACCAAAGGGGAGGGGGATGGGATTAGGTGCTAACCCTTATAGGGGTTAGCACCGTGATAACTAGCAAAAAACGCTAATAAAAATAACGAAATCACAACGGATTATTATAAAAACAATATAACATCTAAGCTAAATCACTACTAATTCAAACTAGTAGTAGTTTTTCCCTTGATTAGGATGGTGCTAACTATTGTACAATTAGCACAGTAACTCGGAGGAGACAGAGAGAGAGCATAATATGGTAAGTTAAGCAACCATCAATTGAATAACGCAAACCACTAGCCAATATTTTTTGCAAAAAAAGAAGGGGGAAAAAATAGATTCCAGGCAAGAATCTACAAATCCTATCTAAAACAAAGTAGGCAGTATCTGGGGGAGTCAACAACAGGAAATCCGAAGTCAACCTGGAGAAGGAGGAGACCCAGAATCCTAGGATCCCGCAACCTGCTCTGCTTTCGCTCTTTTCCTAATGCAGAGTGAGTGAGACATGGCGTTAAACATGGAGAGATTTAACCAGACTTCCATTCATGCTCTGTCTCTCTCTCTCTCTCTCTTGTGAGCACCTTCCTTCCTTGGTTCTCCATCGATCGGCTCGCTCCACAAATCATGCACCAAATATGGTAATGGATTCTGCACACTTGGCAAAAAAAAAAAAAATACACATGTGAGTCAGTCACCAGATTGAGAAACTAGTGGGTAACCAATGACCATCCTTTGTAGGCGAAGGATTCCAGGGGCCATGTTCCCCCCAATTGAATTGGCTTAATACGATGGTCGGCTCAGTGCATGTTACATGCTCTTACCCCTCTTGGCTGCAGCAGTTCGCCCACACGGCATATGCAGTTGTCGACCTAGCTATAAGCCTATATAGCCTTCTGATCAAGCTCAGCCAGTCCATACCGACTCGACTCGAAACGACGGATATGACCACCCTTCATAGCAGTCCTTTCTCCAGCCTCGACTTACATTGACTCGCAGCAACACCATAGTGACCCAAATCCATCATTGCTGGTGTTTCGTGCTCGGTATGTTTAGCTCTAGGAGATCTACGCAGCCAACATTAGCATATATGTACAATTAGTTGATATCAAACGAGGTAGCTTTATCTTAATCTACCTGACCTCAAATGCCGCGGAGTAAGCCCGAGATCCTGCAGGCTACAGCCCACGTTCGAGCAAGAACTGTACATCGTGAGCCTCGAGCTTAAATTCTCAACCTTGCAAAATGGAGTCCCATGGCGGTCAACTCTGCCCAAAAAAAGTTGTTTACTTGCTCTTCGACTGTTGAAGAAAGTCAACGGTGAAGTCGAGCGGCCTGATGTAGATGAGCCGCACTATCGAGCTGCGGTGGTGGCAAGGTATGGAAGAACATTGGAACCGAATCCTGGACTTGCTTCGGAACCATGCTCTGTGATTGCCCAGGATTAAGATCGGACATTTCCTGAAGAGAAACCAGAGACATCGTCAAATGACTCAAATGTTTGAAATCATTAGGAACTCCTCAGATTTAACACGGAATAGGGGTGTGCAGCGACTCTGGATGATAACAAACAGAATTGGCATTTGGATCGCATCAGGCAATAGATCTTCTAACAACAACGAATGAAAAAGGAAGACTGACTCAAAACCTGACAATATCAAAAGGATCAAGACTTTGGTCATTATTTTTCCAGTGTTTTTCCATCCAGTCCTATGCCGATCCGATTGCAGACCAGGCCGGACCATGCACACCCCCTTATATATCACATACCACTAGATTGAAAGCTTCCAGTGTTCTGACACTTGTAGTAGCGCCCGACTGAGCAACCTGCTGCATACAAGAAATCAAAACACTTAGCATAACAGCCAGTCGAGAACAGATACAAAGTCCCCAAGTACATCATAAAACCAAGAAACCAACCTTTCCTTTGGTTCCCTTCTCCTTTCCAGTTTCTGACAATCGAGGAGCCTTGTTGCTCGATATCACAATGTCCAACTGAGGTTCAGATTCTCTCTCGACAGATACATTCTCTTCTTCACCAGAGTGATTCACACTCCCACATTGCTTCAAACCCTCTCTAATAGCAGAAAGTGCAATGTTGTAACTCTCATGGGAGAGTGACCCTTCTTCTCCCAATATTATAGCTCTACGACACAAATCATTGAACCTTCTCACCCTTTCCTGCACTTCATCCAACTTCCCACTAACCGGCTTCCTACTTCTAGCAGCATTCGTCCACCTCTGCAACACATACTTTGATGGGATACTGAACACACCAGACATCTGAAGAACTACAATACCATGCCTGCACAGAAAACCTTTAAACTCGAATGAACGACACGAACAACATATCTCTGATCCTTTAGCATTCCACTCCACCACATAATTCTGATCATCCTCAAAATCCTTCACAGCATACACCGTGGTGGTAGTCCTCTCATCCTCGCTCTCTTTCTTCAGATGACAAGCTGCTGCTCCCAAAACCTCCAGCTGGAACTTTTTGAAAATCTCATGTGTATAGATGAGATGCACCTGCTTCTCAAATGGGGATGGCGATTTCAACTCGGGGACCTCATGCCACGCATCAAAATCTGCTTTGGCTTCTTCCTCGTACATGTCTTCCAGAATCGCTTTATACTGTTCTACAAACTCATTCACCGACGTGTCTCCTTGCACATACTTGTCGAATTTAGAGTTCAAGCTCTCGGCTCGTGAGTATGCAGAGAGACTACCAAAGGTCACATCTCTAAAAAAAGTAGGCACCCAAAGTCGCCGATCTTCGTACAATGACTGAAACCATTCCACCTCTCTGACATGGAATTTGTCGACCAATTTCCACCATCTCTTCTCGAACTGCTCCTCTGTCCATGATTTAAAAACACACTTATGAAACTTCACAGTGAAGGCATCATTCCACAGGCTGAAATACTCGAGCTGCCGGGGGACCTTCTCCAGGATGTAATAGAGACAAAAGCAATGTTGAGTTCTCGGAAAGACTGCTGCAACTGCAGTCTTGATCTCATTACTCTGATCGGTGAGCATAACTCGAGGACCTCGATCCCCCATAGCCACTGACCAGGTCTGCAGCAACCAAACGAAAGTATAGACCGTCTCATCAGCGATCAACCCACACCCAAGCAATGTCGGCTGAACATGATGATTCGATCCAACGAAAAGAACCAGAGGTATCCGATACTTGTTCGTGAAATACGTGGTGTCCAAGCACACCACATCACCAAAGTTGTTGAAATCCTCCATTCCCTTCGCGTCGACCCAGAACAAGTTCCTCAGCTGGTGCTGCTCGTTCAAATCAACAGCGTAGTAGAACTTCGGATTCTCTTCCTGCAACCGAGTACACATCTCAAGCAAGACCTGAGCATCACCTGATTCTAACACCAAGCGCCTTCCTTTATCGTGCTGACTCCTCATGTAGCCATCGAGACAGTCCAAATTCTGATACGCCCCAAACAATTTGGAGGACCCAGAGCCGCTGCCGCCATTCTTCTTCCTACGAACGCGAGAATCGCTGCCGTTGTCGAGGGGATAAGTGGCGGTGGCACTGTTTTTATGGCTCCTGAAGAAGTGAGCTTGAGCGGGCAAGAGCTCGTGGTTGTGCTCTTTGACAAAGCTGTGAATGTACCATTTCCCGTCCTGCCTCCTCTTCACGTGCATGCTCGCCTTGCAGCCGATCTTCGGAGACGGCCGTGGGTTGATCGCGTCGTCGGACTGCTGCTTGCTGCCGTACCGGATGCAGGAGAATTTGGCGTCGATGAATTCCTTTGACGCCCTGGACCTCCTGCTGCTCAATTTCGCGGTCCCGAAACCTACAGACCTCGCGTACTCTTTGTAGGAGGAGTACGCTTCGTCGTGCGAGTCGAATTCCATGTCCTCCCGCAGCTCGGAGGCTCCACTGCCGGCGGCGCTTTCGCGAAGATCCATTTCTTTTCGCAGGGCGAAATCAGTTCATCTCTCCAATAACTCAATTCAAACGGAGAAGAACCAATTGCAAGCGAGATTCAACCTAATCTATACTCGGGGAAAGCTCTCCTATACCCATTTGTTCGCCGACGGAGTTACAGATGGAATGAGGAAATCAAAAGATGGGGGAATACGGCGATTAGATACCTGGAGAAATGAAAAGTCCGGCGGATTGGGGACGAAGGGGGAATGCCGGAGAAGGACGGAGGAATGAAGGGGTAGGGTGGTCGGGGATCGCCGTTAGGGTTTCCGGTCCGTCGTCGCGAGGGAGGAGGATGAATTAGCAGAGGTTTTTTTTTTCTTTTTCTTTCTCGCCTACTCGCTTGGCGGTTTCTCGCGTCTTCACGCGTCAGCCGGCGGGAGACACGTGGGTGGAGTGAGGGCTGCTTTTGTAATTTCGCGCGTTTGGTTCCCGGGATATCTTGGGGACGACGACAATGCGAGTGGGATTTGCACGTGGGCAAGGGCAAAAGTTTGATTAACCAAAGATGATTAATTGGTTAATTCATCTTTTTTTAATGTATATGTTTTACTTTACCATTTCATTTAATATTTAACTTCTGATTAAACTTGCCAGTGAATCAATTGGGGGAGGAATGAATTGAGAAATTGGGATCGAGATATGCACGTAAATTATCGTATCGTCGTCATGTTTTTACTTTCTCAATGATTATGGTTTTCTTGAAAATTGATTGTGTCATCCTCAAACATCAATTTCTTCAAATTCTGACTTCGTCAAAAATTATCTTTGGACCTAGCATATTTTCGAGCATTTTACGACCAAACCATCAATTAGTGTCGTTGACTCCAGAACAATTTGTTGGAGGTGGGTTTTGCTTTTGCCGTTATTAGAAATGGGATTAGGAAATCAGGATCTGAAAATAGAAACGGCAAGAAAAAGTGGCGATAGTAAAACGACGAGGAGAAAACGACCGCACGATTATGGGCTTTGGGCTTTGGGCTTCGATTAGACTACCCAGGAAGATAGAAAGGAATAATGCACAGTTGATGCCCATATCCAGTGGACTTTTGTTTAAGTGGGCTGGGTTATAAAGTGTCCAAACATCATTTCTTTCAACATGTCCGGTTAGAAAAACAAATTGTAGCAAAGGCAAAATTTTAGTTATTTGAATGAATTCATTTTTATTTCCCATAGATAATGATAATATTCATTCAATATTTTTCAATAAATTGTAAAGATAGATAATAAAGGACGAAAATTTTTCTTCAATTCTTGTTTCAACATTGCGCGTTCGAGTAGTGGAGGTTATCAATGAGGTGGGTTGAGATGGCAAATGAGGTCAGACATCTCAACTCGCATATACCGAATACTGATATACATCAAGTAAGAGCTTTGCAGAACATGAGGTAATACAAGAGAGCTCGTCCCATAACACGAGAAAACAGGTCATACATACATAAAAGAATGAATGGCATAAAAGTTTTCACCTCTTTCTAACTTTTTCCTCCATGCTATGCTACACCAAACTTCTCACTCGATAACGACAAGTCTTTGATCTACCATTAGATCAAAAATTCATGACAAGATGTCCTAGCATTTCTTGAACAACAAGATGCTCTTAGTCGTTTAACAAGATACTTGCTAGTTTTCTTAACATTTGACTTCCCATTCAACCAAAAGAAGGGACTTCAAATGGTTCCTTCCACCCACCTTTTGTCAATATTCAAATCGATCATTACAAGAGGAACACCCTAACAATAAAAAGATGTAAAGCAACACCACCACCAACAACAACAAAAAGGTGGTGGAATGGAATGATGAATGGCTGCACATCAAGATACAAGATTTTGATGCCAAATTAAGTAAAAATTTGATGGGTTTGCTTAAAGGTTTAGTTTGGGAAAGAATCTTATTCGAGTTGGGATACAGTAAAACCCCTCTCCTCCAAAGCAAAGTGAAAAAAAGTGCTCAAGAAAGGAATTACATGAATATAGGGCCTCTTTACAAACTTTGGCCTCCTTTTGATCCTCTCTTGTCCCATTTCTTTGCTATTCTCAGCTCTTGTGTTGTTCTAGCTAGGAACAGCCATTGCTTTTCTGCCTTTGTTCCATCTTTTTGGGCTTGTCATCTTTATGTATCTCTATTAGTTTGGCTTGGAGTTTCACGAGTTGAGGTTAAGGGGAGAATCTCTAAACTGCGCACAAAAAATGTACTTGATCATTCGGGTAATTTTGTGATTGTGAAAAGAATGAAGTTTTCTCATGTTGTCATGCAGATAGGGGTGGCTATACGGTCCGGTCCGGTTAAATTGGATCAAATTGATCCGGTCCCAGTCCGGTCTTTTCAGGAATATAAGGACCAAAGATTGGATTGGATACAGTGCGGTCTTGATCCGGTCCGGTCTTGACCCGGTCCAGTCCCAATTTTATCTTGATTTTAGGTGTTCGGGGTCTCTTATCCGATCTTTATCCGAGTTTTTACCTCAAATCTAAGCCCGAATATGAGATTGCATTGTTTGCTATCCAGTCCTAGTCCGGTCTTGGTCCGATTTCGGGTAAAACTAAACAGTCCGGGACCAAATAACCAGCTCTACATGCAGATGCCGGTAGCAGGCAGCAGGTGTCACTACAAGTAAAATCCTTCCCCACAACAACAACCACAACCACGTTATGTTCTGTTGTGCCAAAAATCCAACACCACACTTTCAAAGTCATCGCACTCTTTGATGATCATTGAATTTATTTTAGTTTTCTCCCCATAATTGCTGCAACTACCCAGTTGACCATTCTCCCCTTTCTCTCTCTCTCTCTCTCTAGCCTTCATTGTCTATTATCCTTCTCTACCAGACTTATACAGTTATACTAGATGTGGTATGAAACTGTGAAGAGAGAAAAATCTGAAAATGACTCTATGTTTGTGAGGGTTTGGTTGGTAACCACATTTGAATTTGATCCTAGCTATAGCCTATCTGACTGACTCGGTCTATTTCTAAACCGGCCAATTGAGACATCTCACTAGACATAGCTCGTCACCAAAGACGTAGTATTATAATTGTTGGGTGTAGTATTAATCCGTCTAATACGACAAAACGACTATTATTAGGTCCAAGCCCACGCAGAACGTTCCTGGCCAAGGAGGACAAAATCCTATATAAGGGGGCTGAAGCCTCCAAATCAAGGGAAAGGGATCTTCTTCTTCTCTTCCTTACTTTCTCAAAAGGTCTCTCTAAATCCTGTCTCACTACTTCTCATATACTATTCCTGGACCGCACTAATTTGAGCGTCGGAGCGTAAATCCCGGGGGCTGTCCCCTCCTCAGAAGTTCTTCCACTCCCGAGGAAATAAGATGAAGGAGTTCAGATCGAAGCCCTACAGTAATTAACCATGGAGACTTTCTCGAATCCAACAATTGGCGCCCGCCATGAACGTAGAATTCTCTTGCATCCCATATTATCATGTTTCATTTTCTCTACTTCTGTTTTTTTTATTATTATAATAAAGTGGAAGCATGGGTACCTGGCCCAACCAGGGCTCGAGCACTGGTTCCCAAGTGTTTTCTGTTGCCCTTCAACGAATTCTGATACCTTCCCGTAACGATGGACTTGGAATTTGGAAGCGCACCGAATTAATGAATATATAAACCCAAAATGAAAAAAAGATTAACAAAATTATTTATGAAGATAACCCCAATTAAGAATAGGGATGAAAGCGACGTCGTTGGTATCAGCAATAGTTTACTACACACGGCCCATGATTGCAAAAGGGAAGGGGGGCGAGTAGGCCACGGCGTCACGCTTTTTAAAAAAGGAAGGTTAAAGGATTAGGAATCGAGTTTTTACTTTTTAGTACTAATCATAACATTAATTAATAATATGTGTCAATAAAAGTATTATTTGTCTATTGATGTCTCGATGAACTAAATGGGACAACTCACCACGCTACTAAGCCTACCCTTAGGTTGCGTTTGGTTGTATTGTATTATACAATGTTAACAAAATGAACATTTCCTAATAATGGTTAAAATTCACCCTAGTGAGGGTTCAATCAACCCATTAAACAAACAAGATAAGTATATAAATAAGAAATATGTTTTTTTTTTACATTGGTTTGGGTAGTGGTGATTAAAGGCTATAGTGCACTACCAAATAAAGGATTTCTCACTTAATCATTTTGTTAATACCAAGTATTAAAATTGAATATTGATTCTCCCTCCTCTGATCCTAATGTCAATTCATCTGATTTAAGTTTGCAAACAGTCTTGTAATTTAATATTATCGTGATTAGAGTCGTAATTCTATAACATTGGGTTCGAATCTTAATGAATTTTCTGCTTTCCCCAGGTTCTTATCGATTCCAGTATGACTATAAAATTATTGCATATAAATCCATCTCCAACTATGAATTATGAAATCTGCTTCACTAAAACATTTACGCCTCGATAGATGTTACATATCTCTCATTCTGGTTTATGTCGGATGATAAATGTGACTGCACAGAGAACGGCGACGGTGCTAATTGTACAATAGTTAGCACCGTCCTAACCAAGGGAAAAACTACTACTAGTTTGAATTAGTAGTGATTTAGCTTAGATGTCGTATTGATTTTATAATAATCCGTAGTGATTTTTGCTAGTTATCAAGGTGCTAACCCCTATAAGGGTTAGCACCTAATCCCATCCCGACTGCACATATTGTAATGTAATCGATGAATTGTCGGATACAAACTACACACTCGCTCTCCTCTCCCTCTCTTGGACCATACATCCACTTAATTTGGTTACGTTTGAAACTAGTAATTAAATAAAACCGAAACCAAATCATTAATAAATTTTAAGTACTTACACGAAGTCTGTAGAAGATAGAAAAGTGTGAATCTTTACTTGTAGTAGTTGTACTCCACGTTATTAGTGTCTAATTGGTCACAAACTCAAACCAAGATTAGTACCCACATTAATATGCCATTTGTTCTTAATTAATATATCTTCCACTACCAAGTTTTAATTGGGTTCAATTTTTAATGTTGTCACACGTGTCTCACTTTTAGTGGGAAGCAAACTTTTATGTGAATTCTTAAAGCATACGTGTCGTATATAAATATAGGGCAAATTACCCCAAATAAAGTATGTACATATGTCCAAGTTTTCGTGAACCCCCAAAAATTTGGGCACTTAGATGATGGAGAAAGCATAATGTTTAAGGGGTTGGTGGGTGGGAGGGAGGATGGTTAGTAATATATTTTAATAATTATGTGTGCACCTCACCACATCTTATTTGCTTTGATTATTGGATTACAAGAATCTTATACCAAGGAACAAAATCTTCATACTTCAAATTGTTCATATAGTCTTTTATGATTGAGTTGTTCAAATGGGAAAGAGCAAAACAAGCTTAAGCAAAGAGATTATTAAATCTTATGGTAAATTATTGGCCTTAGAAGTATTGAGATAAAAGTCACATGCTGAGAAAAAAATTGGAGGGAGATTGCTAAAATGATGTTTTGGTCTTCGAGATTATGGGAATGGGAGGATGTAAAGTAGAACAAGGTCGGTTTTCGGATCCATTTTGGATCGAGAGAAAATGTGCACATATAAATACAGAGTTAGGTTTCTGTCAAAAATATGTCGTGTTGTGCGACACAATGAATGATCTAACTTTCCTTGTGATTTTTTTTTTGAAATAAATTGGACCCATCTTATATGATATGAAATCCTGGTTATCCCCTTGTTGGGGATCATCATACATTCAACGCTATTCACAACTACATGTGTCAGGGTATACCATAAGTGAAGTTGATATTCTCGCAGTGGTTCAATGTTGTCACATTTTACCCTTGTGGAAGAGTGAGTCCACATCCATCCTTGATTTGATCAATACATGTTGTTTATTTCGTCCCCTTTTAACTTCATTATTCTTGAACTTGTATGATTATTCAAGTGCAATTACGCTTAACGTTAACTTCGCGATTGATTCAGATTGTGGGCACATTTTAAAAGTTACAAACTGAAGAGAAACATGAATTATAATTGGTCAGATTTTGACGTGCAATCTGGGTCTTCTTGCCGTTAATTAGTCAAAGTTAATTACCTTGTTAATCATCCTTGATTAGTGGCTCTCCATGTGGAGGTTCTGCCCGTAAGATCTACTATACCCATAAAATACCAAAAAAGGAAATACACCAAATCCATCTCGACATGCGTCTATCAATGGGCTGGTCCCCTCACTTACTTACAAATTACTAGAGTGTCTAAATACAAACGTAAAACCTCGGGGGTAAAGAAAAGCTACAAACCTTGGGTTCGAGATAAATGTCATAAACGGTTTGGTGTTAAGTGTTAATGTATCAAGTTATTTGGAAAAATGCTAACTAACAATTTTGTGCTTTTTCTTTTACAAAAACTAGGTAAAATGTTGTTTAGGGTACAATTAAAGCATATGCACACAAGTGAGGACACACATGGGTTTCTCTTTATCCTACACACTAAGAGTACTCTCTATTAGGGAAGACAATTTCGACCTGACCCGATTTACCCGATCGGTTTGACCTGTTTTGGGGCAGGTCAAACCCGCCTCGTAGGCGGGGCGGAGCGGGCATGGGTACCTCTCATCGACCCGACCTGCCCTGACCCGCCCCATTCTCGACCCGTTCTTGCCTAAATTACATATAACTTACATTATATTTTAGTTATAATAAAGTTGTAAATAAGTGAAAATCTCAATTTCTTCAATAATTTAACTACATTTTATCATATTATGGTTTATTTCTTGGTCTTTCAATGAAAAGAACGAATATTTCTACTGTTTTTCACATAAATTACATACGCAATGGGTCGACCTGCCCCGACCCGTGTCCCGTGATAAATTACCCGACCTGAACCCGACATGCCATGGGGCGGGTATGGGTATCGAGATACCCGCCCTGGACCTGCCCCATTGCCATTCCTACTCTCTATTGTGTTTAATCCTGAGTAAGACGGTCATATTACTCGTTAATTATTAGCAAAAAAAAAAAAAAACTCCCGTTCCTTCCACATATACGATCATCAAGCAGACATTTACCTCTTGACATATACGATCGTGAATCGTTAGATCAAATAAATTTGTCGGGTATTCATGAGAGATTGAGAGTCGGGATAATATCTCACACGTAAACGCGCGTATCCACATCGAAACAACAACTAATTGTTCAATTATATGAAAACGGGATCTATCCAGACTATTTGCAAGTAACTGCAATCTGGAAACCTTTTAAATTAAAGATGAAGAAAAGAGGCGAGCTCGAGCAAATTCATGTTCATGTGGGTTGATGTCTTGATGAGATTCATATTCTTGTTACCTCGAAAAAGCCAAAAAAAAAAATGTGAATAAAATAAAGGGTAGGGAAAAAGGTTTGCTTGCGGCAGAAATAAAGGGGCAGTATGGACATGGTCAGTTTGTAAACGAACCGGGTCGGGCCCCACCCGATTGATCCAACCAAACCAAAAAAAAAAAAAGGGCTTATGGTTCGTTCCAAAAATAGGAGTGAACCCATGTTTTGCCCATCTTCATGGTTTCCGGGTTTGCGGGTCATTACATAAATTCGGCAAGTGCAACGTTGCACGCCCCGAGCCCCACATTTCCCTAACCGGTACGGTTCATCGCTGATCGTGGTTAGGAGCAGAGAACAATTCTGATTTTGATTCGGTTCTAGCTCGATTTAATCCGGTTCCAAATCAAATTGATGGATGCCTACCTGATGGTAATTCATTTTGGCATGTGTTAGGGTTTTTGTGCTATTTTGTGTGTGGGAATTGTTGTGCTATTTTATTTAATTTTGAATATTGAATGTATAATGGGAGAACATTATTCTGTGAGGAACTATGTATTTGTTTGATTGGACACCATTGTGTAGGTTATTTGGAGGCCATCAAAAGTACAACTAAATCAAGTTAAAAGTTGTTTATGTTTGAAAACTTGTTGGATTTTGTTCGAAATTTACACATTTTATCTTGTGAAAACTTAAGAGCTTCTTCGATGAATTGGAAAAGAGGTTAAAAACCTCTGAAAAACTGGTCGGTCTGGTGCTTTCGACTTTCGTTTTGTATTATGTCTTGTCTTGTTGTTTGCGACCTTTTTTTTTTAAATTCAATCTACGTCACCAATATAAAAAAATAGGTTAGAAACTATTACTAGCGATCAATGACAATATAAAAAATCCGAATGAGAAGTGGTAAAAAAAAAGCTCAAGATATTCGAATAGTGGTAATTATGAAATGATGGATCAAACTACTATATTTTCTAAATTTTTGATCTAATGTAGTGATGACAAATTCTTACTGACCCGTTTTACCCAATCTGTTTGTCCTGTTTTGCGATTAGTTGGTAATTAAACCCTTCAAAGTTCAATGTAATACCATCAAAGTCATTGACCAAACACCTGGAGTCTGGACCGTCTCCCTCCCCGCTGCTGTCTGCATCTGATTTCCCCTCTGCTTCTTCCTCCCTCTCCTCTGCTTACCTCACTAGTTCACTTCCCATTAGCGACTCTCAGCAACAAAATCATTAATTTTCATTATCCCCTCTTTTCTTTATTTTTCCTCCCTTTTCTCTTTTTTGTTTTATTCTATTTTCTTCACAAACTCCTTCTATTGTCCATTCTCTATTCTCTTCCCCTGTTTTGCTCCCTTTTTCCACCTTTGTAGACTCCCCTCTGCCTCTCTCTCCTTCCTCTTATCACCACACGAGTAACTCAGTAGGGAAGCCATTAACAGCGAAACAGAGAGAAAGGGAGGGGGCAAAAAGGAACAAAAAGACCAGGGAAATAGATTAAAAAAAAACAGAGGATGATTCTCCATCGCCATACCTCGACCTCTACTTCTGGGTCTTCTTCCCTTCATCGTTAAACTTCACAGATTCAACTCCTCTCAAAATTTCCTACTCTGATTTCTTGGATCTGATTGAGAAAGTAGAGAAAGAAAAGAAAAGTCTGCAGCTTTTTTTTAAAAAAACTTTTTTATCCTTTTTTTTTCTTCTTGCTTCCTCTGTTTCCGATGGAGCCAGATCTTCACCATCTTCACCACCAGCAGCAATCGAACCAGAAGCAAATGAATTCCGGCGGAGGCGGCGGACTGACGAGGTACCAATCGGCTCCGAGCTCCTACTTCACCAGTTACCTGGAAAAAGAGCTATGCGACGAGCTCTTAAACCGCCCTTCCAGCCCGGAAACGGAGAGGTTCTTCGCCAGATTTTTAGCCAACACCGCCAGCTCCGACGGGTTGCAGCCCGACCCGGTTCTCGCCCCGGTTAAGCAAGGCTCTCCCCCTTTACAACAAGTGATGGATGATTACTCTTCCGGGTCGCGGAGCTTCTACCCGCCGCCGCCGACGCCAAGCAGCCAGTCCCGCCCACCATTGCCGTCGGCTCCGGCCATGGATTACAGCCGCTTGCCGCCGACTCCGCCACCACCAGCATCGAAATCTGGCGGTGGGAACAACTCGTCGAATCTCGTCAGGCACAGTAGCTCCCCTGCTGGGCTTTTCTCCAATATCAACATTGAGTTCGAAAATGGTATCTTTCTTTGAGCATTCAATTCTTCTGTCTACCCTTTTTAGTACTCTCTCCCAAGGTTTCATCTTTGGTCTTATTTCTAAGAAAGGAAGGGTCTTTGGTATGTGGGGAGGGGAGAAATTTGTTTTAGAAGGGGCAAAAAGTTTGAGTCTTTGCTTGAATGTTTTGATTTTGTGGTGCCTGTATATAGTAAAGTTTTTGAGGTTTTCTGTTTGGTCTTTAATGAAATTGAAGGAAGTAGTCTATAATCAAGTAAGCAACTTGTTGGGTTCTTAACTTCTTATAAATTGACACTTCCAAATATTTTCTCTCTTCCTAAGCTTATAAACAATCATTTGAAGTTTGAACTTACTCCAAGTGGGAGGGGAATTTTATTTGTTTGCATCTCTTCCTTACACCCTTTTGGGTACAAGATTGTACTATGTAACTAAGATGTTTTTCGCCACCAACTTATGAATTAATTAACCCCACTTGCCAAATTCCTCTGTTCCTTTCTTATTATTGGGCAAGTAAAGACACTCTTTTGATTTGCTGATACTTCTTTTCCTCATAGAACGAATCTGGACATCGAACCGGTGAGACTAACGATGTCGTGATTTGGTTGTGATTTTCAACGAATGCCAGGGTATGCGGTGATTCGAGGGATGGGAGATTTTGTTGGGAATAGGGAGTCATCAGGGAGGATGAGCCCCATAGCTGAGATTGATACAAAGGACAACATTGTTGAAGCCATTAACAGCAGTAGAGCTGAGAGTTCGTCAGATTTCGGAGAGGCTCATCATCCTGGTAACTATGCTGGTTCTACTGCTGGGTTCCCCATGGGTTCTTGGGATGATTCTGGGATCATGAAAGGTGGGCTCTCTGAGGATGACAGAACTTTCTCTGGTCTCAACGATTCTCAGGTTGGTTCTTGGATAGAAAGCTGCTCCATTTTCCTTGTATTGGGTGTTTCTCACTTCAGTAAGGATTTCACATCAAGTTGATGCTACTAACGTGCATGCAGCAACTTGGTGTGTTCCCCCACTAAGTTTTCGCTCTTAAGGCGACTTGAATCGACGACCTTCTCCGAGATGCAATGTTGATGAGATTTACTGTCTTTTCTTATGTGGGAACAGGATGTGGAGGGAGGAGGGAACCGTCCACCAATGTTGGCACATCACTTGAGCCTTCCAAAGACAGCGGCAGAGATGTCGGCTCTGGAGAAGCTGCTGCATCTTCAAGATTCGGTGCCTTGCAAGATTCGAGCCAAGCGAGGTTTCGCCACTCATCCAAGAAGCATCGCTGAGAGGGTATGGAAACATCCCACCAGGCTTTCCAACAGATGAAACACAGTAGTGTCTCTTGTGTTTTCAGTGCAAACTTCTCTGTAGTGTTAGAAGTCACCTTGTTGTTCCTTTCGTTTTAATGCATTCGATTTCTATTGGATCCATGACGATCATTTGGAAATTCGTGGAAAAACAGGTGAGAAGAACACGAATCAGCGAACGAATGAGGAAGTTGCAAGACTTGGTGCCAAACATGGACAAGGTAACCTAACATCCCCCTCATATACCACTCATTACTGTCGTAATACGAGAATTAGAGGTGACCAACGATTCGGTTTTTAGTTATGATGGATCATATCAATGTCCTGCAATTATTTCTGACTTGTGTGTTCCCACATTATTGCAGCAAACCAACACGGCAGACATGCTAGATTTGGCCGTTGACTACATCAAAGATCTCCAAACACAAGTCAAGGTAAAAGACATGATGTTCTCATCAGTACCAACCTAACTAGGATATTCTTGGTTCTATTCCAATTCTTAGGCTTTCTGGGTTGTTTTCTACAGGTAATGGCAGATTCTCGAGCCAAATGTACGTGTACAAGTACAAGTATGCATCAATCATAGCAGAAAAAACCCCTAAGCTGAAAAGGGATCAGCTTCCATTTCCTGGCTAAGCCATATATATGTATACAAGTAATAAGAATAGTCTGCCTTCTACCCATGAAAAATTGAAAAAGAAAGGAGTTTGATGATAGAAAGAAGCAGATTATTAAAGCTATAGCAGGAGCTTTGGTATATTTATATCTGTTGTGAAAAAGGGGAAAATATTCAATGGCAGAAAATAGAAGATGAATAGGAGCTGTACAGTGATTAGCTTGGCCTGTTGTAGACTTGTTAGTGTTGTTGTGACATAATAATTATTATTATTATGATTTATGATTACTATTTTTTCCATTCCCACTTTGTTTTTGGGTATGGGCGTATGGCCTCCAGATTATGTGATTTTTGTAAGAATGTATAGGGCTAAGATTATGATGAAGATTAACAGAGTCGAATCGATCACCTCAAAATTATCGTATTCATGGTAGTACTGCTTGCTTAATGATCTTATGGTTCTGATTTAAAGGATATGCTTTGGAACCCTTTGTGTAATTTCCAATTTTGTGTGGTGGGTAGGGCAAAAGGTCTGATCTTTCACTATTTTGTGGTTTTTCTTTTTGGTGTTGATACAAGATAGGAAAAAGAATAGGAGTGTGAAAAGTGGGTAATGTGAAGCTTGAAAGGTTTGTGGATGGGGGGCTAACTTTTTAATTTAATTTTCTTTTGGTTTCAATACTAATTAAGAAATTGACTGGAGAGAAATTAGTGTCCACTACTTTATCAATTTAGTTGTAAACCATTGGTGATGAGTTGATACAGAAAGGAAATAATTCCAAGCATAAAAAGCTCTTTGGTTGGGAAGTTTGGTTTGGTCAATTCTGTCATTTCAACTCGATTTGAAATTTTTCTAAATTCTATCAGTTGTAATGATTTAAGAGAAATTAGGAATAGCTAGCACTCCATATAATACAAATGTTAGGTGGGTGTATCAATCATACAATCTAATTAGGAAACTCGAATAAAATATGCTTTCGAAATATATTTTTTGAGTCGCTGGACAACGATACTATTTCACAATTTAACATAATCGACAATAAAATCGTTTTTCAAACTTGTATGTATCTACGTAACTATACTGATATCAAGTAACGTGCACACCATAAAATGTAATATAGTATAAAAGATAAAGACTCTATAAACTCTATCACCATCCTATTACTAATTAGTCTATCTTTGATTTACAAACTGACAATCACATTCCTTGCATTAATATTATCCAATGTGGAAAAGAATATTGCGGCGTTGGGATGATATGGTAGTACAGTCAGATAAATCAGTCAGATAAATTACTAATTTATATGATAGATCAACTTAAACAGAACGATATAACAACAAACATTAATGAATAAAGTTCTCATATTTTGATAAAAAAATACATAAACATTGTTAAAGGGAACACAACACAAAATTTAAACTGATTTGATTACTTGAAGATTTATAGGATTTGAAAAAACAACGAATGAGCTCCACAAGTTTTTTCTTCCCCTTCTTCTTTGGCTACTCCATACATCACTTTTAGTAGGGTCGATGTCACAGAATTTTGTTAAGAGTATAATAAATCTTTCTATGCCAAATTAGGGCCTGATTTATTTATTTTTTTGTCTTTTCCTACCTTCCTATCTCTCAAATAACTCTCAATTCGTTTCCATAAAACTTGATGGAGAAAGGCAAGGCTATACGTTTAAGCCAAGCTAGCTAGCAATCTCCCAACTTTCTTATCTTCAACGTATGTTCTCCACTACATGTGTCCCCTTTTTCCATTGCATTCTTCAAAGGTGTAGTGTAGTAACAATCAATCAAGGGGTTTTCACTCTTGATATGGTGTAGTCATGAGCTACAATATGCTTGTCTTTCTTTGTTTCAATAATAAGAGCAATTAATTAAGGCGTGTTTACAGTAGCGTAGCCAGATTTTGAATTGATTGGGGCTCTTAAAATTTTCAAAACACTAAAGTCCATGTATATAATGAAGTTTGAATTGATTGATGTGTTTAAATGAGCTAACATCCACGAGAATATGAGATCCTCAATTCAAAAGATCATATTAAATTCTACGCAGTTAAAGAATTTTGTTGCCCGATTTTTTCCCAAATAGGGTTCCTACTTCCTAGGACCCTTCCCTTCACATACCAAAGAAAGTGTGCCAGTTTAGTGAAATTTGTCACATTAGAGAGCGGGGGGCTTTTTCTGGTTTTAATATAATTTTGTTTTCTAGGGTGACCTGACCATACCACAGCTGGATCCAAATGGTAACAACCAACCGTGGCCCAAGTCCATTACGCGAAGAAAAGTGAGTGCCATGTCACGGATGACGTCATCATCACAATTATATTATATTGGATTGATTAGGGTGGAAGTTTGGTTTGCGAGTCGCGCCAATCCGCACATATTGTGGCTAACCATATCCATTTTCATAAGTTGTGGGTAGTGATGAGTTGGAAATAATAATCGACTTCTAAAGGCGGGAAATAAAAAATATTTTGGGCTAATACTATTGATCACTATGTTGCGTAATGTCCATTAGATATTGAGATGCAAATCACTAAAACTATTAATTTTATCTAAATTTACAAGAATCGTAAACTTTCTCTACAAAATTGGTGGATGAAGTAATTGAAAGATTTGATACAAGTACTAGACATCTTTATAGAAGACAAATCAGCGAAAGTATCTAAATTGATACAATTTTATTTATTTGTGAGAGATTTATCATAAATGTGATCCAACTTGCCTAATCAGGCCATTTTTTTTGTGAAGAAATCGCTAAGCTATTTTCTATACAATGGAAATTTGTATCTGTGTATGTGAAATGATTTGTATCGAGCCACATCAAATGATTCAACCTTGTAGTTACCCCATACGTCAATATGAAAAAGTTCAAAACTAGAAGCAGTCGTTTGCTTCGGGGATTTGGTTGATGGGTTTGGCACCCAAATCCCAAGCATCAAGGACTTGACACAAATCCATTGTTTGCTAAGGGATACAAATCCATGGGGCCCACATTTCATTTGAGATTTGATAATGAAAGGTAAAGTTGTTAGACAAATCCATCATAACTCCATAATAAAAATCAATTAAACAAACAACGTACTCTTCCAAACCAATAATGCAACAAATCCATCATAAATCCAAAGATTTTTAAAACCCAAAACTCTCATTTTCAAATCCAAACAAGCAAACTACTAGGAAAAAAAGGAGTTCTAAACTGCTTAGCAGGCAAACAGGAAAGACAAAGAACAGAGTTTCATGAAATTTGTTTTCCCGTCTCGCTCTTCTTTTGAGTCATTCAGCTACTGCAAGGCACTAGTTTCACTCAATTCCTTCCCTGCAACCTTTCCTTCTTTTGGTAAATATGCATCCTCTGATAGCTGCTCCTCCTCCCACCCTTTCACAAAGTTTTGAAGGTACTCTCTTGAGACACTGGTCAGTCTTTCCAGCTTCAAACGAAACTCCTCAAGACGGCATGCCCTTTCATATCCACGGACAATGGAAACGATCTGCTTCAGTTCCCTCTCTGCACAGTCCTGCAGCTGCTCCAAGCCATACTCGGCCAGACCTTACTGGTGTTCGAACAAGTCTCTCCTCCTCTCGTCATCCTTCTGTATGAAGAATCCATAAGTGTAGCTCCATTTAAGAACCCGCCTGAACTCAACTATCTGAACTCAAATAACATTGAGCTCATACATCGTAATAGCGAAACCCTCACAACTTCCAGTCCTTGATAATTTGATTCAAGTCACATCAAACGGGTAGTTAAAGCATCTTGGGCTTTTTCTCGCAAACCCCAGAATCTCTTCGGGGCTGTTATTTCGGCCCGTGGTGGTCTGAAGCCTTGGCCCAATAGTACTGCACACCAAAATGGTTGAGAACGGCGGTTGTCGTCAAGTTCCCTCCGAACGTTCAAAACCCCCCTTCTTCTCCATCAATGGCTTTCCCTCTCAAAATTCAAACCCCACTCCACCGAAATTTGAATCTTTACACACACAAAACAACAAACCCACCACAACGCTCACCAGGAAAACGCTTCGGTAATCTCCATTTCCCAGTGAAGTAAACAGAGCTCCTCGGTCAGTCAAATGAGAGAATCAAGATCGAACCTTTCAAAGAATGGAAACGATTTCAATGCTCCTTCCATAACCAGCAGCCAAGAAAATCTTCAATAAAAAATCGAATCTCCAACCCCCATTTTCCTTCTTCTCTCCGCCGGTTTCCTTACGATGGAAGAAGACCCCGCCGAGTCCTCCTCAGGCGGGCCTCCGCTGGTCTCCCTCTCCTCATTTCCTCCGGCCCGCCGCCGGCGCCGCCTCTCGTCGTGCTACTACAACTTCGCCCCCGTCGCCTCGTGTGGGACCATGGCGTGGCTGTCGCTCCAGGGACGGACGGTGAATGCGGAGGAAGCCAGCTCGTCGAAATCCATTGGTTTTTTGGGGAAGGAGGAGGAAGCCCTGGCGTGGGAGCTGTTCACGCCGATCCAGAGGTTTCTCATTGTGGCCGTGATCGGAGTCGCTGCTTCCGAGTCGAGGAAGAATCGGACCATCTCGCAGCTTAACAAGTCTGTTGAGCTTAGGGTAAGTGAGCTTCATCGGTTACGATTTCTAGGGCTTTATGTCACGGCAGAATCGGAATCATTCACAACCGAATCACTGATTGTAGAAAGAACATCAATGTTCAATTTCATGGAGGGTTGATTCGTGGGGGAAGATTTTCTGTGATTGCAGGATGAGTTGCTGTCGAGTATGCAGCAGAAGCTGGACAGTCTGTGTTTGCAAATGTCTAGCATAAACGTGCAAGGAAACAACAAGGATGATGAGGAAGAAGAATTTCTGAGCAGTATGGGTTTCGTCGATTGCGGCTGCTGGCATTGTGATCAACACCAGCAAGACCTCTTTGGTGGTGGTACCATGGTGAGGAGAGGAGTTGTTTTTGCAAACTAAGAATGATTGTGAGTTGCATTTTGCACCTTATTGTTTTCTGCTTTTGCGATGTTCAATGTGGGAAATTTTGGTTTCATTAGGGCCTGAAGGGCGCGAAAGCTTGTGGAGGGGATGCGGCGATGGCCTTGAAAAGGCCTTCGTCAAATCAGGACGAGCAAGAAGAGAGACGAATGTCTGATTTGTCTGATTGGGCGTCCAGTTCTGCATCTGGATCAGAATTTCAGGTAAAAGTGGAATCAAGAATGCTCACAGTTTGGTTGAAAGTTTAAGACTTTACTTGAAATGGTTGTATCTTTTGTTGGCCTTTATTGAATCCATGGCGAGAAAGTTGTAGAATTCTAAAGAACTTTATTTGGGAAATTTGGTTATAAGAACTGTATTTCATTGGAGAAGTAGATTAGTGTTCTGTTTCTGAGCATCCATTATAGCAACAAGTCAATCAAAATTGATTGATGTTTCTGGTTATTGAATTGAGATTTCTTCATTTTGCAGATCAGCAACTTTATGGTAGACCAAGATACTTGCAATCTCAAGAAGATCTGTGAAGAGAAGGATGCAACCATCAAGGAGTTAACAGATGTTCTTCAGTTAACAGACAAAGCAGGTGCAAAGGTGATAGCTTTACTTACCCTTCTTCCCCCAAGCATGACAAAACAATTCCCATTTCCCAGCTGATTGAGCTCCACCTGTTCTTCTTCTCTTCCCCAAATCAGAGAATATCAGAACTGGAAGACATTATATGTAGGAAGAATACCATGATCACCAGACTCAAGAAGGACATGTTGGTACTAGAACAGAAGGTAAGTAACTTGTACTTGATAAAGCTCAAGGAAGTTCTTAAAACTCCACAAACATGGAAACATACACCAATGTTTGCAAAAACTGAAAACCCTTTTGCCACAGGTGGTTCAGCTGACAAGGGTCCGCAGGAAATCAACCTCTCATTCAACCGTGGAGTTCGAACAATCATCCCCTTTCATGTTGGACAACATAGTCTACGACATGGACAGCTTAACCAGCTCCTCTTCCTCTTCTTCCTCCTCCTCGGATTCGGATTCACCAACAACCCACCGCATCATTCCTCCTCCACAGACGACATGCCAGAAACCAGCTGCAGGAAGGGTTTCAACAAGCACTCCACCAGCCATGACCAGATCAGTAAGCCCTCTCATTGAACTGTCAATGAATCAAAAATATGGCAGACCTTCTCCATCAAAGTCAAAGCAGTTGTCTGCTAATGGTGATATCAAGAAGACGAGGAGAAGAAGGCCACCACCTCAATCTGCTTCCAATTCCATTCCGAAGAAGAGATGGTCCTAGTTGGTAAAAACTATGGTTGTTTGTTCTAGTTGAAGTAGATTCAGCTCAGTGAAAACATTTGAGTTGATGTCAGTTAATAATCCATTGGCAATATCATAACTGTTACTGATCTTAATGAAAGTGTTTTGGAGTAGCGGCTGGTATGAATTTCCATTTACCTCCCTTTGACTGATTGGCGACTCCCTGGTCTATCGGTCATCCAAGGGTCCAACGACGACGTTTTTGGTACCGCCCGTGTAGACTCCCAACAACATTGGCCGCTGCTTCTGTGTATGGCGGCATTCCCTTTTAGTCAACCGTACCATAGATTATTAGCCCCAATGTTTGAATATTCTAATTGAATGTTGCATTTTTACCCTAATTAATTGCTTATAGAGTTTGGCTGTGTATTACGATGTATACACTTTGTATTATCCCATTTGAAAATTGATTGATCGTGTTACATCAACATCATCAACAAAGTATAATTCATGTTTGTGGAGTACTCAGGACCAAAGTATATGTGGGTTTTCTATTCTACGAGGAGAAGCTTCTTCCTTTTTTCTCTTCAACATCTATGTAGACTTTTTTATAATCTCTAGCCATTTTATATTCATTCCCTTACCCAATTTGTATTACTTTTCTAGCATGATGACTTCGTATATTCTGACGACCTCCTAAAACCTTTCATTAGATTCATTTTCTTTGTTCGTAATCTGACGAAAGATACCCTTCAACTACCTATTCAGAGCATTCATATTCGGCCCGTTCCTACATATTCTCCCCAATTTCCAATTGCAAATCTACCGGCGGAATTCCCTGTTAACCCAATTCCGGTTTCCACCAACGCAAAACTCTCCCTCTCTCTCTAGAACTCAAAATTCCGATCTTCTCTCAGTTCAATTCCTACCTTCTGAAACCCCAAAAATCCATTCTTTTCCAATTCCCCAGCTGAATTCCAAGTGGGTTTTTGGTAACTCTCGTTTCACATGATCTGAGCTGAGCTACAACTTTTTTTTTATTGGTTTCGCCGCCGGGAAATGACCATGGACCGATCGGGCAATTCGTCGCCGGGAAGCCCCGACCCGAAATCCTCCTCCTCCTCCTCCGGTTTCGTCCTCTCAATCGACTGCCTCAAGGGCGGCTCCAAGGCCGACGAGTGGACCGGCGACCTCCTCCAGACCGGCGACATCGTGGAGGAGATCGTGATTCCCGATCCCGGGTCGTCGTCGCGCGGCGGCGCCGGCGGGCAGTCGTACCGGGCTCCGTTCAAGAACGGGAAGAGCGGGGTCCAGAAGATTCTTCACGCGTCGTTCAAGCGGAAGGAGACCTCGATTCTGGTCCGGGTCAGGCGGCGGGGCGGGAGCGAGGTTTCGGAGCTGCAGGCGTGTATTGTTCCCGATTCCGGCGGGAAGAAGCAGTACATATTGAGGTCCATCGACGACCCGAATTACACCGCCGGGTTCTGCGACCGAACCGAGTCCGAGTGCTATGAATTGCAAGGTCAGTGAGTTGCGGAGCTGGCATTGACTTTTCACTTTGCTCTGTTTTTTTGTTCTACTTTCTGTGATTTGACTGAGTTTTACTTTGTAAACTATATTCAAGTAATCAAATTTGACCAGTGGTTTTAGAAGTTTTACATCAATTATATATTATATAGACTAATATGATCCGAGATAATATCTTAGGCAAATCAAACCTTCTTTTGAAAGAAGAGAAATTAAAATTAGATGATTGTAGATTAAATCGGTCACGTTAATGTATCAACGGTTGAACAAGAAATGATTTCGCGTGAGGACCTAAAATTGGTTGTCTTCCACAATTATCATTGTTTCTTTGGCCATTTGCCCACTTTTAAGGATAGCAAATCCTGCAATCTTTGACAAAATTGCCTTTGAATGAAAGCTAATCATCACAAAAGCCATTCTTCTGGAATTTAGTGTAATCTTCTCCTCCTAGAAAATGACTTTTCCTCCCATTCCTTATCTAACCTATCCCCACTAACAATATTCCTAAAGTGATGCTGACTTGTTTTGAGCCTAATGGAGTAGCTGGTTGCCTTCATCATGTTGAACTTTTGGACCCTTTTTATTAGAGTCCTAAAAATGGTTGTTCATTCCGGCTGCTCTTTGCCCTTCTTCTCGTGTTCATATGCAAAAGCCAACCTAAAACTTTACATGTTGGTTACCCACTACTACAAGTCACAATATTGGCCCTTTGGGTCCAATATTGTCTTGGCAATGTTGTTTCATCACATTGATTATGTCACATAAGTTGTCAGATCTTAGTTGAGAAGCTAATTGACTCGAGTCTTGTGAATGTGTTTGATTATGCATTGCCAAAATAAAGGTTCAAAAGGGTCCAGGATGGTGAGTGCACTATCGAGCTCCAAGCTGCAGGATGGGTACGTAGCTTATCCATGGAGGAGGAAGATGCAGGAGGTTCTGAAGGTTCCGAATTCGAGCTGTTTCCTTTCCATACTCTTCCTACCCGAAGCTTCGGATCGAGCTGCTTCGGGTTACAACGACATCGAGCACACCCTTGCCAGAGCAAATGCGTGGCTCTTTGCATCGCAGGCTTCTGGCGTCCCCATTGTCTTCATGAACATTCAAACAGAGTCCCTCCTCACCAAGGTAAATATGTTCATCAAACATCAGCAAACTCTGTTTTCAAAACAGAGTACCCATTGTCTTCATGAACATTAAAAAAACAGAGTCCCTAAACACCAGCAACTCTGTTTTTAAAAGCTTCAGAAGTGAAAGCAGAGCTAGTTGGATTCAGGTGCTTACGAGTTACGAGTTGGCTTATTAATGGATTCTACAAATTGTCTTATCTATCTACGCTTGGTTTCTACCCTGCAGATATCTGGCGAGACAGCCTCTTCAACCGTGAGTGCTGGCTCGCTCTCCGACCTATCCAACCTCGCGAATGCGAGCTTGTACGGCTTCGAGGACTACCACGGCGTGGACATAGGCGTGGTGAGAGCCGTTCGACTGTGGTACGCTCCGCTTTGCGGAGAGTTCTCCATCGAGATCAAGATCAGGGAAGACGATTCCAGGCTCGGGTTCGCCATAAGTCGAACCGAAGAAGGGTTCATCTACATTTCCTCGGTGATCGACGGCGACGAGAATGCAGCCTCGACGAGGTCGGGGCTCAACAATCTCTACAAGCAAGCAACCTCCTCCTCCAAGTTGCTTGTTGTCTCCAGGGTTTCCAACCAGAAGGTGCTCCCTTGGATGGTTTCCTCCACGGGAGCGATTCGATGCTACGACACCGTCTCGTTGAGCCAGAAGCTCTCTCTTCATCGCCACGCCAAGGTTCCCATCGTGATACATTACTTCCTGTGGGACAAGGCGTTGGCTGGTATGGGTCCTGGAAGTGCAAGGTATGGTGGTAGGCCTGTTGGGATCCCGCCGCGGCGGTCTGAACCTGTCCCTGTTCAAACGGATGTCGTGCAGTCGCCCCCTCCTGCTCGACATTCGAACGAGAACCAAGTGCTCCCGCTTCCTCTGCCTCGATCGTCTCAGGTGGTTCCTAGTAATGATGGTGATGATGATGGTGGTGTTGTAGGGCCGGAAATCAAGCTTGAGAGAGACACCGCCGGTGAACTCTCTTTCAGGTTTCATGAGTTCTCCATCTCTAACAATTGGGTGTGAATTATGGAATGAAAGCTTTCTTTTTGGTACAGCTTGGTATTTTTTATAGAGAGGTGTTTTTGTATGTATACACTGATAGATAACACTTTTGTAATGCATATTTATAGTTGAATTATTCTATGATAATTTTAATTTGATATGCAATACATTGTTTCACTAATCATTTTGGAAATATGCTCCTTTCCCACTCTGTTTGTTATTGCTTGCTTCATACGCAAAAACTAACAACTACCTTCCAGAATGTATGTAACCATCCTTTTTTCTCAACTACGGAAGTGAAAGTAGACAGTGTATGATTCGTCCCTAAAGCTCATCAATGGTGCAAGGATGAAACCTCTGTTCTCCCCCTTGGCAACAAAGCTAATGGGATGGTACTGTGACAGCCCTCGATTCGCTGAAAAGCTTGCTCCTTTACCGAATTCGTCATCACCACCAGCGCCTGAGCTAGTCCTGCAGCTGAGCTTTACCTTTGCTCCTGGCTTGTAATCCAAGCCACTGAACACAAAGCAGCCCTTCTGACTAACAGACTCGAGAGACACGCTTCCTTCCTTCCCATCCAGTCCTGATATGACGAGGAATTCAGACGACCCATCTGAAGGAACTGTGTTTCTGACCATCATCACTTCATCTTTTCCTTGCTGCATTAGCACCATCCCTGGGAGGTGGAATGGCTCCAACATGACTTGTTCACCAATGAGATCTTCAAGTGATGTTGATAGCTTGTGGCTGTTGTTGTTCCTTGAGATGAGTCTGAATGTGGAGTGGACCGAAGCATCGGTGCCAGGGTTGGAGAGCTTCTCCATTGTGATCGAGGATTCGTTTGTGTTCGTCACGACGAATGTGGAACCTCCAGATTCTTGGGAGAGGGTGAGGAGGTGGGAATTGTGTGTAGAAGGAACTGGAGTGATGGATTCAGGAAGGCTTGATCCGAGTTTGAGGTTCCAGTCACCATTGCTGTAGCCAGCAAGTAGGTATGGGCCATAGAGGATTGCCATTATGGAAGCATACTCAGACCTGTCATCTAAGCACATCAACGAATTTTGACACAGTCAAATTAGCTTCATTTTGATTTTGAGAATCTGCATCAAATATATGTATATCAAGTTATTCATTTGAAGTTACCATTGATAGCTTCAGTTCTCAAACTCATAGGCAGCTTTAGTGTCAATTTGTCACTGCTGCTCCACTTTCTTGTCACGGACAGGAAATTTCCTGTATCGAAAGTAGCCAATGCTGATTAAAAATTTGCTTCAATGATCCATGCGAAAGTTTCTTAAGTTATTCTTAAGCTTCAGCTGAAGTATAGAAACCTGGAGACGGAAGAGGCAAGCTCACAGCATTTAAAGTCGCCTCAGCACCATTTGCATTTGCCCAAGTTGGTATCCTCAGATTCAAAGTAGATGACTTACCAGACCCCTGCATCATTCAAAGCAGATGGAAATAACCACACTAATTAGTAACTTAGACCATAAAGTGGTGTGCATTGATCTGCAGCCAAGTAATCAACTCAAAAGAGTAGTTAAGTGAGTGTAGCTAATCCTAGGTTACCTCTTTCAGAGAAACTGTCAATGTCACTCGCAGAAAAGGCTGCCAAGAGACAACAGGATCAACCTTCTGACTGAGAAAGACCTGTCCAGATTCCCAGTCGAAGGTGCTTGATATGTATTGGATGATGTAAAGTCCTGGTGCATTTCCTTGCTCTTCAAAGTATATCGAATCCCCCAGCTTAGAGAAGGACTCCACTCCTGGCAAGGAAGCATAGAGCAGAAGTTATCACTTGCCTCGGTGGCTAGTACTGCTGAGGAAGTTCCGTCATGAAACAAGTGTCACAATTGACTCATGACAGTACTAACCTGTTCCATAACAACACCAGAAGGACTGAAACGGTGTTCCCCATCCATGGTAGCTTCTACCCTTAGAGCTTCCAGGACCCTGTGGTAGCATGTAGATCATCACTCCAGGTTCTGTTCCTCTCTGGATCCCCAGGACACCGTTGGTAATGGCACGCTCGTAGTAGTCTGCATACGCCACTTCTTTTGTGCATCTGAAGAGGTGACGTGAGACCTGCTCAATCGAAAACGAATAATTCATCTATGCAGAAATGTGTCTCTGTGTGTGTCCTAAACAGCTTTTGGGCAAAATAAGAAGAACGGAACGATGATTACTTTCAGCATGTTGTAACTAGTGCATGATTCTTCATTCTCTGTCTGCAGTGTACCAGCCAACCTCTTTGGATCAGACCTAGTGATACGTTCAACAGCCAAGGATCCAATACCGGACAGGATCAGAAACAACCGAATGCGTATGAATACGACTGAAAGGGTAGTTGTCATTATGTACCAGAATTCACCCACTGATGTCCCTCCAGTTGCATAGCTGTGAGAAGAGTTGACAATCTCCATGAAGTATGTCCCAATTTCCTGGCGCATCGAATCAGATTGAAAGAAGGAAAAAAAAAAAAAAAACCATCAAACAAACACCAAGCATTTCAATCAAATACTTAAACATTCGCAGTTTCATCATGTACTGAAAGGTTGTTTGAAGGATCATTCTCATAAGAAGCTACAACTACAACATTTGTTCAATGCCATCCAATGTATCACCAATATGGTACATTGCTCAGCGAGAATCATATGGGACAACCGAACAAGCAATTGATCACCTTATAAAGTGTATCACCAGTGAGTTCGTAGCGCATTTGTGCTCCGATTACTATTGGGATATGAGTATTTGCATGAAAACCAGATATGTCATCAGCCTGAAACGAAAAGAGAAAACTCATGTTCTATAAGCTCAATATACTTTTCAGACTCTTCTTGTCTATAATGTAAAGCAATAACTACAAAAAGAAAAAAGGAAAAGGGAAAACAACCTGGATTGCAAGCAGGCCAAGGAAGCATGGCTTGTCAAAAAGGTGAGCCAGCAACAAATGCTTGGGATTTCCCTACATAAACGAAAACAAAGAGGCATATACTGAGAGACCAGCAAGTCACACTGAAAAAGTATGCAGTGCGGCAACTGTGACCTATAGCAAACTGTAGCAGATGTTTAATAAGAGCATTACAGCAATAAGATCAAAAGAGAGAATCATCAGCACAATCCATCATTTTAATATTACCGTTACGCTGTACAATTTGTAGAGGATATCATTCATCCCTCCAGTTTCTTCATTCAGAGACCGAAAATGTCTCTCAATTGTATACTTGGTTATAACATTCTGGACACGGCCATAGAAGTAATCAGCCATCCATGTTACCATCTTGAGAGCTTGAGCATTGTTGGCAAACATGTACTGATCAAAAAGACCTGCCATGATCTGGAAAACCCAGGATTTGGATCAATCAAATGACCTTGAGAGTAGTAAAATTCACTTCCCATGTGGGTAAGCAGCCATGGAACAAGGAATCGTTACCTTGTGAATGGTGTAATAAGGAGCCCAAACAGGCTGCACAGCCTCAAATCGATCGAAGAACTCCGAGGGGAAAGCAGATAAGTATCCTGAACCGATTTTGTCTTGACATTTAGATAGAGCTGACACGACTGCCGACATTTTCTCTTTGAGAGTTTCATTGTGCGTACTGGCATACATCATCGCAGCAGCACTCATGTAGTGTCCTGAAACACAAATGAAATGCAACAGTTCACTTGTCAGCTATCAACTTATACTAATGTTTCAAATTTCAAGGTTGTGCTTCCTTTGACTAGCTTTTAATCTACTCATTTGAGTATATGATCTGAAACAAACACCTCATAAAACATTATGAAAACCATTTCAAGCCAATAAGGAGGTACGAGCCCTCTGTCTTCAAGCTTAAACCAATAAGTTATAGTAACCATTAAAGTTCAAACATAAAACTTATACTCAGTACATCTCATCAGTCTCATTCTTATTGTAAATGACTCAAATTGTAACAAACTCATCAATTTGGGACAAAGAAAAAGGGGTAATACTAAGCTGTGTTATATCATGTGTTGTACTTCAACTAACTACTAACAATGGCCAACATTTAAACACCAAACCTATGCTCCCATATCATCTCAATACCTCCAAGCTTCTTGGAAAAGACGCGATTTGCTACATTCGAGGGATCAAAGCAAGAACTATACTCCCATAACATGTTGGAAATGAATCAAATGGCCACATTCGAACTCATGAACCGTGACCAAGAAAAAGGGGGAAACAGAACTAACCAACAAAATGGCCTCTGAGCTCCACGTCAGCAGCTTCCCAACCACCATAAGGAGTCCCGGGAGTGGCAAAACCAGCATTCTTCCTGAAGCTCCAAACCAAATTGTCAACATCCAGCATCAACAAGTACTCCAAATTCGTCTGTTGAGCCCTCCCGTACAAGGAACTAGGATCCAGCCTCACATTATGCAAGGATACTTCCTTCAGGAAGCTCCCAGCAGAAGAAGACTGAACATTCTCCTTCATTTTCCTGTACTCCATCGCCCAATTGAACTCTTCCTCCTCCCTCAATACCTTCCTCGGAAGCAAACTGGCCCAGGCCGAATCATCAGTGGGTATCAAGTGATCATCGTCGTGGTAATGGGCAAACATCTCCGACTTCCACGTGTCGTTATCTGACGACAAAAGTTCATAACGAAACGTGTGGGAAGAAAGCTGCGTTGGAGTGTTAGTACACTCTTTGCCCTCGGAGCAAGATGTGAACAAGAACAGGAAGAACAAGGTAAAGGCTCTTGCTTTAGCATTACCCAGCACCATATTTTCTGATTTGACAAAGAACCCAGAAAGGGTGGAAGCTCTCAACCCGTATAATATAGGTCGCGGAAAGCTACGAAAGCATCGAAGCTGAGGCAAAGGCGCAAACTTTTTCACAAATCCTCAGTACCCAGATGAGAAAAAAAAAAAAAAAAAAACAGCCTTGGGAAGTCCAGAGGACGAAGAGCAATGGGGCCCTTGAACAGAATGGCGTCTTTTCTTATTATTTATCTGTACAGAAGGAATTTGGGGAGAGGAAGCAAAAGGGGATTATGGGTCCGTGAGAAAGGCAAGAGCTTGTTGGTTTCTTCTGTTCATTTAGCAGCTAGCAAGCTGGAAATCAACAGGAGAAAGGAAGGATTGGCAGAATGCTAAACTTAATTACCAGACAAGAATTCTGGGACGAGAAATGGAGGAGATGGATTGGATGGTGGCCTGATAAAGCCAGGGGAGCGTCACGGGTACGCCGTCGTTTTCCTGATGGCGGGAGAGGATGTGGTAGACACTAGACTGGTACTGCTTGGGGGAATTGTGCTTAACAGGCAAGGCAAGCAAGAAAGCAAAATAAAAAAAAAAAAAAAAAAATCAAGAGGTGTGTGACTGTTGTCAAGAACCAGTTGCTCCCAATAACTCGAGTTGTTGGGAGAAAGGTTTGCTGGATCTTATATCATACTCTAACACGCCCCCTCAAACGAAAGCCAACCCATGGGCTTGAAGTTTGCACAGGCCCACCATACCATGTGCTTGAAAGACAACGGTTAATATTGGGGGTCGTGGAGATTCGAACACATGACCTTTTGGTTCGAGGCTCTGATACCATGTCATGAACCAGTTGCTCCCAATAACTCGAGTTGTTGGGAGAAGGTTTTGCTGGATCTTATACCATACTCTAACAACTGTCAGTCAGTGAGTGGATTTTCTTCATTTGGCAGAGAGAGAGAGAGAGAGAGAGAGAGAGAGAGAGAGAGAGAGAGAGAGAGAGAGAGAGAGAGAGAGGAATTCTGGTTCAGCCACAATCTTCTTTATTAATTTCTTAAGCCCATGTTTTGATCTTTTGCTTAACTAGCTGCTAGATCATTGAATGAATCGCTTTAAGCAAATGATACCCATAATGGTGAAGATCTCAAATAATTGTTGAGGTAAAAAGAAGATTTAAAACAAACTGTGGAAGAAATGGAAAAGTCACTACTTCACTCGATCTTCTTTTGTTCATGTTCTTTATTCATTTACATTTCGATTGTATAATAGGGTTGCTCATCCATTAAATTCTAAAACTTTTTCATTAATAGTTTAATTATTTGTCGACTGCGACGTCTGGTTACTAAGTGTTTTGTAATGTCTATTTCAAACTTTATCAATGGCGAAAAAATATGGAAAAAGCATTATTAGTCTTCTGGGTTAGTTAGCGAGAATCCTTGAAAGGATGAAAAAAACCAGTCGGGAAGATATGAGATTATAGTTAGACAGACCCCCTAATTTTCTGTTAACCATACTCATGAATTGTTTGGATTGGGTATTTCAACGATACATTTGGAATAAAATGTCTCAAAATTCGACTAATTGTGATTTAGGAAAGGGGAAATGAGAGCTTTTAGTTCATAATGTCACTTTTGAATCATTTTAAAATACCTAATATTTTTTTTAGAAATGAATATTTATTCGCAAATATCTCATTCCCAAAATGATCCCCCAAATGATTCGACAGCTTATTTTATTAGGATCATCATCTACATGATTTGTCATATGTTTATGACTTGAATATAACGTATATCTTCCATTCGACAGTTCTAACAGGTCGTCTTAAAAAAAACAATCGAAGACTAAATTTTTTGCAAGTAGCTCTCAAGTATTGAAACAAAGATCACAATAAATTAAAGAAATGAATATTGACAGCATATGTTTTGGATAACAAGCATCGAATACATGACACCATCAAAGTCCCTACCAAGCAACAAATCCACATCATTTACGATCAATTCACAAGAAGCTAAGACAAGCAATAACGTTATGTTTGGGTAGGGAAACAAAAGCATATGCATATGTTTGAAGTATTATCTTGGAGGGCTCGAAGTGGTTATGTGATGCACAAGTAAACTGAATATGGTTTTCTGTTTTCCAAGTGATCTCACAACATCAAACACACTTTTGCTATCCTCATGGGGAGGCCTAACCAATTACACATTTGCCCATTATCTTTTGAGAGTTTTGGGAGCAAAATGGATAACCAATTGCAAATGGGTGAGAGTGACCTAGACTAACTATGCATATGGGGCGACACAAAATTGAGAGGAAAAGAAACCAACGATATTAATTTGGTTAGGGCTAAGATGAAACATTTTACTGAACTAAAAGCAGTCTCCTCTTTAGTCTTTAGTAAACTAAACGACACATCATCAGTTCTCATTTGAGTCGACTGCAAATATGAGTGGATTTTGCTTGATGATCAACTACTTTGTTGCTTGCCGAGGGAATTACGACGGTTGCTACTATCTTTTGATGACTAATCACCTGCCTACAAGTACCCGAGAAACTTAGATTAATATCAACATCTAATCTGATAATATACTCAATTGATTAACAAGATGGCCATGTTATTTGCTCAATATGCAACTTTGAGATGATTGACACATAATTATTTTTTTCTTTAGCCATGAAGTTTCCTTTTTTGTTGGCATAAATTAAGGAGCACATGTACATCTTAATAAAAAAAAAGTGACATTGAAAGATAAAATATGCTCCTTTATCAAGCAACTTGGAATCCTCATAAACAGATGCAAGATTGGAATTGGAATGGTCCAACAACTAATACTACAACACACTTATAGGCTTGAAAGATGTCCATCGCCATTAATTAAGTGACAACAACGTGCACCAACCCAAAATTTTTGTTCCCTCCTAAAACAAACCTTATCCTTTTGGCTTGGCACTTGCACATTTACCCCTCCAAAAGATGTACTCCAAAAATTCGGCTCGAGGCTATTATCCACCGATAATAAAGTCTATTGATCCTATTCTGCGCTGATGATTAAGTCAATTAAGCACCGAATTGGGCCAATATATTTTGGGATGGCATTTTCGTAATTATTTGAGCAATTTTTTTTGAAAGGTCATTTTCCTTGGATTTTGAAGGAAAAAGATGGTGGATTCGGCCTGAGGCTATTCTTCAATGAATATTAAGTCCATCCAGGGCCAATTTGGGTGGATTTCTTCCGGGTCCATTTTTGGCAAACTCCAAAGAGGTACCATCACAGATTTCAGGCGATTTTTCCGAAATGCCATTTTCTTTCGATTTTGGAGGCTACAGATCACAGATTCGGCTCGAGGCTATTCTCCACCGATAATAAAGTCTATTAATCATATTCTGCGCCGATGATTAAGTCAATTCAGCACCGAATTGGGCCAATATATTTTGGGATGACATTTTCGTAATTATTTGAGCAAATTTTTTTGAAAGGCCATTTTCCTTGGATTTTGAAGGATAAAGATTGTGAATTCGGCCTGAGGCTATTTTTCAACGATGATTAAGTCCATCCAGGGCCAATTTAGGCGGATTTCTTTCGGGCCCATTTTTGGCAGACTCCAAAGGAGTACCATCACAGATTTCGGGCGATTTTTCCGAAATGCCATTTTCTTTCAATTTTGGAGGCTACAGATCACAGATTCGGCGAGAGGCTATTCTCCACCGATAATAAAGTCTATTGATCCTATTCTGCGGCGATGATTGAGTCAATTAAGCACCGAATTGGGCCAATATATTTTGAGATGGCATTTTCGTAATTATTTGAGCAATTTTTTTTACTGGACATTTTCTTTGGATTTTGAAGGATAAAGATGGTGGATTCGGCCTGAAGCTATTCTTCAACGACGATTAAGTCCATCCAGGGCCAATTTGGGCGGATTTCTTCCGGGTCCATTTTTGGCAGACTACAAAGGGGTACTATCACAGATTTCGGGCGATTTTTCCGAATTGCCATTTTCTTTCGATTTTGGAGGCTACAGATCACAGATTTGGCTCGAGGCTATTCTCCACCGATAACAAAGTCTATTGATCATATTCCGCGCCGATGATTAAGTCAATTAAGCACCGAATTGGGCCAATATATTTTCGGATGGCATTTTCGTAATTATTTGAGCAATTTTTTTTACAGGCCTTTTTTCTTGGATTTTGAAGGATAAAGATGGTGGATTGGGCCTGAGGCTATTCTTCAACAACGATTAAGTCCATCCAGGGCCAATTTGGGCGGATTTCTTTCGGGTCCATTTTTGGCAGACTTCAAAGGCATCACAGATTTCGGGCGATTTTTCCGAAATGCCATTTTCTTTCGATTTTGGATGCTACAGATCTCGGATTTGGCTCGAGGTTATTCTCCCCCGATAATAAAGTCTATTGATCCTATTCTGCGCCGATGATTAAGTCAATTAAGCATTGAATTGGGCCAATATATTTTGGGATGGCATTTACGTAAGTATTTGAGCAATCTTTTTTACAGGCCATTTTTCTTGGATTTTGAAGGATTAAGATGGTGGATTCGGCCTGAGGCTATTCCTCAACGAGGATTAAGTCCATCCAGGGCCAATTTGGGCGGATTTTTTTCGGGTCCATTTTTGGCAGACTTCAAAGGGGTACCATCACAGATTTCAAGCGATTTTTCCGAAATGCCATTTTCTTTCGATTTTGGAGGCTACAGATCACGGATTCGGCTCGAGGCTATTCTCCACCGATAATAAAGTCTATTGATCCTATTCTGCGCCGATGATTAAGTCAATTAAGCACTGAATTGGGCAAATATATTTTGGGATGGCATTTTCATAATTATTTGAGCAATTTTTTTTGAAAGGCCATTTTTCATGGATTTTGAAGGATAAAGATGGTGGATTCGGACTGAGGCTATTCTTCAACGACGATTAAGTCCATCGAGGGCCAATTTGGTCGGATTTCTTCTGGGTCCATTTTCTGCAGACTCCAAAGGGATACCATCACAGATTTCAGGCGATTTTTTTTAAATGCAATTTTCTTTCGATTTTGGAGGCTACAGATCACGGATTCGGCTCGAGGCTATTCTCCACCAATAATAAAGTCTATTGATCCTATTCTGTGCCGATGATTAAGTCAATTAAGCAACGAATTAGGCCAATATATTTTGGTATGGCATTTTCGTAATTATTTGAGCAATTTTTTTTGAAAGGCCATTTTCCTTGGATTTTGAAGGATAAAGATGGTGGATTCGGCGTGAGGCTATTCTTCAACGACGATTAAGTCCATCTAGGGCCAATTTGGGTGGACTTCTTCCAGGTCCATTTTTGGAAGACTCCAAAGAGGTACCATCACAGATTTCACGCGATTTTTCCGAAATGCCAATTTTTTCGATTTTGGAGCCTAGAGATCACGGATTCGTCTCGATGCTATTCTCCACCTATAATAAAGTCTATTGATCCTATTCTGTGCCGATGATTAAGTCAATAAAGCACCGAACTGGGCCAATATATTTTGGGATGACATTTTCATAATTATTTGAGCAATTTTTTTTACAGGACATTTTCTTTGGATTTTGAAGGATAAAGATGGTGGATTCGGCCTGAAGCTATTCTTCAACGACGATTAAGTCCATCCAGGGCCAATTTGGGCGGATTTCTTTCAGGTCCATTTTTGGCAGACTACAAAGGGGTACTATCACAGATTTCGGGCGATTTTTCCGAAATGCCATTTTCTTTCGATTTTGGAGGCTACATATCACATATTTGGCTCGAGGCTATTCTCCCCCGATAATAAAGTCTATTGATCATATTCCGCGCCGATGATTAAGTCAATTAAGCACCGAATTGAGCCAATATATTTTCGGATGGCATTTTCGTAATTATTTGAGCAATTTTTTTTACAGGCCTTTTTTCTTGGATTTTGAAGGATAAAGATGGTGGATTGGGCCTGAGGCTATTCTTCAACAACGATTAAGTCCATCCAGGGCCAATTTGGGCGGATTTCTTTCGGGTCAATTTTTGGCAGACTTCAAAGGCATCACAGATTTCGGGCGATTTTTCCGAAATGCCATTTTCTTTCGATTTTGGATGCTACAGATCTCGGATTTTGCTCGAGGTTATTCTCCCCCGATAATAAAGTCTATTGATCCTATTCTGCGCTGATGATTAAGTCAATTAAGCATTGAATTGGGCCAATATATTTTGGGATGGCATTTACGTAAGTATTTGAGCAATCTTTTTTACAGGCCATTTTTCTTGGATTTTGAAGGATAAAGATGGTGGATTCGGCCTGAGGCTATTCCTCAGCGAGGATTAAGTCCATCCAGGGCCAATTTGGGCGGATTTTTTTCGGGTCCGTTTTTGGCAGACTTCAAAGGGGTACCATCACAGATTTCAGGCGATTTTTCCGAAATGCCATTTTCTTTCGATTTTGGAGGCTACAGATCACGGATTCGGCTCGAGGCTATTCTCCACCGATAATAAAGTCTATTGATCCTATTCTGCGCCGATGATTAAGTCAATAAAGCACCGAATTGGGCCAATATATTTTGGGATGACATTTTCGTAATTATTTGAACAATTTTTTTTGAAAGGCCATTTTCCTTGGATTTTGAAGGATAAAAATGGTGGATTTGGCCTGAGGCTATTCTTCAACGAAGATTAAGTCCATCCAGGGCCAATTTGGGTGGATTTCTTCCGGGTCCATTTTTGGCAAGCTCCAAAGGGGTACCATCACAGATTGCAGGCTATTTTTCCGAAATGCCATTTTCTTTCGATTTTGGAGGCTACAGATCACGGATTCGGCTCGAGGCTATTCTCCACCGATAATAAAGTCTATTAATCCTATTCTGCGCTGATGATTAAGTCAATTCAGCACCGAATTGGGCCAATATATTTTGGGATGACATTTTTGTAATTATTTGAGCAATTTTTTTTGACATGCCATTTTCCCTTGGATTTTGAAGGATAAAGATGGTGAATTTGGCCTGAGGTTATTTTTCAACAATGATTAAGTCCATCCAGGGCCAATTTGGGCGGATTTCTTTTGGGTCCATTTTTGGCAGACTCCAAAGGGGTACCATCACATATTTCGGGCGATTTTTCCGAAATGCCATTTTCTTTGGATTTTGGAGGCTACAGATCACAGATTCGGCTAGAGGCTATTCTCCACCGATAATCAAGTCTATTAATCCTATTCTGCGCCGATGATTGAGTCAATTAAGCACCGAATTGGGCTAATATATTTTGAGATGACATTTTTGTAATTATTTGAGCAATTTTTTTTACACGACATTTTCCTTGGATTTTGAAGTATAAAGATGGTGGATTCGGCCTGAGGCTATTCTTCAACGACGATTAAGTCCATCCAAGGCCAATTTGGGCGGATTGCTTCCGGGTCCATTTTTGGCAGACTACAAAGGGGGTACTATCACAGATTTCGGGCGATTTTTCCGAAATGCTATTTTCTTTCGATTTTGGAGGCTACAGATCACAGATTTGGCTCGAGGCTATTCTCCACCGATAACAAAGTCTATTGATCCTATTCTGCACCGATGATTAAGTCAATTAAGCACCGAATTGGGCCAATATATTTTGGGATGGCATTTTCGTAATTATTTGAGCAATTTTTTTTTAGGCCATTTTTCTTGGCTTTTGAAGGATAAAGATGGTGGATTCAGCCTGAGGCTATTCTTCAACAACGATTAATACCATCCAGGGCCAATTTGGGCGGATTTCTTTCGGGTCCATTTTTGGCAGACTTCAAAGGGGTACCGTCACAGATTTCCGGCGATTTTTCCGAAATGCCATTTTCTTTCGATTTTGGATGCTACAGATCTCGGATTTGGCTCGAGGCTATTCTCCACCGATAATAAAGTCTATTGATTTTATTCTGCGCCGAGGATTAAGTCAATTAAGCACTGAATTTTGCCAATATATTTTGGGATGGACTATACGTAATTTTATAAATTGGCCCAAATCGTTGCTTAACCGACTTATCATCCGTGGAGAATTGGATCAATAGATTTCATTATCGGTGGAGAATAGCCTCGACCTGATTCCGTGATTTGTAGCCTCCAGACTCGAAAGAAAATGGCATTTCGGATAAATCGCTCGAAATCTGTGATGGTACCCCTTTGGAATTTGCCAAAAATTGAACTGGAATAAATACGCCCAAATCGATGCTTAATGGACTCAATCATCGTTGGAGAATAGCCTCAGGCCGAATCCGTGATCTGCAGCCTTCAATATCCAAAGAAAATGGCCTTTCGTCGCCCAAGAAATTACGAAAATGCCAATCGAAAATAAATTGGCCCAAATCGATGCTTAACGGACTTATCATCCGTGGAGAATAGGATCAATAGACTTCATTATCGGTGGAAAATTGCCTCGGCCTGATTTGGTGATCTGTAGCCTCCAGAATCGAAAGAAAATGGCATTTCGGATAAAATGCTCGAAATATGTGACTGTACCCCTTTAGAATCTGCCAAAAATTGACCCGGAATAAATCCGCCCAAATCGGTGCTTAATGGACTCAATCATCGTTGGAGAATAGCCTCAGGCCGAATTCGTGATCTGTAGCCTTCAATATCCAAAGAAAATGGCCTTTCGTCGCCCAAGAAATTACGAAAATGCCATTCGATAATAAATTGGCCCAAATTGATGCTTAACGGACTTATCATCCGTGGAGAATAGGATCAATAGACTTCATTATCGATGGAGAATAGCCTAATCCCGATTCCGTGATTTGTGGCCTCCAGAATCAAAAGAAAATGGCATTTCAGATAAATAGCCCGAAATTTGTGATGGTACCCCTTTGGAATCTGCCAAAAATTGACCCGGAATAAATCCGCCCAAATCGGTGCTTAATAGACTCAATCATCGTTGGAGAATACCGTCAGGCCGAACCCGTGATCTGTAGTCTTCAATAACAAAAGAAAATGGCCTTTCGTCGCCTAAGAAATTACGAAAATGCCATTCGAAAATAAATTGGCCCAAATAGATGATTAACGGGCTTATCATCCGTGGAGAATAGGATCAATAGACTTCATTATCGGTGGAGAATAGCCTCGGCGTGATTCCTTGATCTGTAGGCTCCAGAATCGAAAGAAAATGGCATTTCGGATAAATCGCACGAAATTTGTGATGGTACCCCTTTGGAATATTCCAAAAATTGACCGAAAATAAATCGGCACTAATCGGTGCTTAATGGACTCAATCATCTTTGGAGAGTAGCCTTAGGCCGAATCCGTGATCTATAGCCTTCAATATCCAAAGAAAATGGCCTTTCGTCGCCCAAGAAATTACGAAAATGTCATTCGAAAATAAATTGGCCCAAATCGATGTTTAACCGACTTATCATCCGTGGAGAATAGGATCAATAGACTTCATTATCGGTGGAGAATAGCCTCGACCTGATTCCGTGATTTGTAGCATCTAGAATCGAAAGAAAACGGCATTTCGGATAAATCCCCCGAAACCTGTGAAGGTGCCCCTTTGGAATCTGCCAAAAATTGACCCGGAATAAATCCGCCCAAATATGTGTTTAATGGACTCAATCATCGTTGGAGAATAGCCCTAGACCGAATCCGTGATATGTAGCCTTCAATATCCAAAGAAAATGGCCTTTCGTCGCCCACGAAATTACGAAAATGCCATTCGAAAATAAATTGGCCCAAATCGATGATTAACGGACTTATCATCCGTGGAGAATAGGATCAATAGACTTCATTATCGGTGGAGAATAGCCTCGGCCTGATTCCGTGATCTGTAGCCTCCGGAATCGAAAGAAAATGGCATTTCGGATAAATAGCCCGAAATCTGTGATGGTACCCCTTTGCAATCTGCCAAAAATTGACCCGGAATAAATCCGCCTAAATCGGTGCTTAATAGACTCAATCATCGTTGGAGAATAGCCTCAGGCCGAATCCGTGATCTGTAGCCTTCAATATCCAAAGAAACTGGCCTTTAGTCGCCCAAGAAATTACGAAAATGTCATCCAAAAATAAATTGGCCCAAATCGATGATTAACTGGCTTATCATCCGTGGAGAATAAGATCAATAGACTTCATTATCGGTGCAAAATAGCCTCGGCCTGATTCCATGATCTGTAGCCTCCAGACTCGAAAGAAAATGACATTTCGGATAAATCGCCCGAAATCTGTGATGGTACCCCCTTTGGAATCTGCCAAAAATTGACCCGGAATAAATCCGCCCAAATCGGTGCTTAATCGACTAAATCATCGTAGGAGAATACCCTCATGCCGAATCCGTGATCTGTAGCCTTCAATATCCAAAGAAAATGGCCTTTCGTCGCCCAAGAAATTACGAAAATGCCATTCGAAAATAAATTGTCCCAAATCGATGCTTAACGGACTTATCATTCGTGGAGAATAGTATCAATAGACTTCATTATCGGTGGAGAATAGCCTCGGCCCGATTTCGTGATCTGTAGCATCCGGAATCGAAAGAAAATGGCATTTCGGATAAATCGCCCGAAATCTGTGATGGTACCCCTTTGGAATCTGCCAAAAATTGCCCCGGAATAAATCCGCCCAAATCGGTGCTTAATGGACTCAATCATCGTTGGAGAATAGCCTCAGGCCGAATTCGTGATCTGTAGCCTTCAATATCCAAAGAAAATGGCCTTTCGTCGCCCAAGAAATTACGAAAATGCCATTCGAAAATAAATTGGCCCAAACCGATGCTTAACTGGCTTATCATCCTTGGAGAATAGGATCAATAGACTACATTATCGGTGGAGAATAGACTCGGCCTGAATCCGTGATCTGTAGCCTCCAGAATCGAAAGAAAATGGCATTTCGGATAAATCGCCCGAAATATGTTATGGTACCCCTTTGGAATCTGCCAAAAATTGACCCGGGATAAATCCTCCCAAATCGGTGCTTAATGCACTCAATCATTGTTGGAGAATAGCCTCAGGCCGAATCCGTGATCTGTAGCCATCAATATCCAAAGAAAATGGCCTTTCGTCGCCCAAGAAATTACGAAAATGCCATTTGAAAATATATTGGCCCAAATCAATGCTTAACGGACTTATCATCCGTGGAGAATAGAATCAATAGACTTCATTATCGGTCGAGAATAGCCTCGGCCTGATTCCGTGATCTGTAGCCTCCAGAATCGAATAAAAATGACATTTCGGATAAATCGCCCGAAATCTGTGATGGTACCCCTTTGGAATTTGCCAAAAATTGACCCGGAATAAATTCGCGCAAATCGGTGCTTAATGGACTCAATCATCTTGGAGAATAGCCATAGGCCGAATCTGTGATCTGTAGCCTTCAATATCCAAAGAAAATGGCCTTTCGTCGCCCAAGAAATTACGAAAATGCCATTCGAAAATAAATTGGCTCAAGTCGATGCTTAACGGACTTATCATCCGTGGAGAATAGGATCAATAGACTTCATCATCGGTGGAGAACAGCCTCGGCCTCATTCTGTGATCTGTAGCCTCCAGAATCGAAAGAAAAAGGCATTTCGGATAAATCGCCCGAAATCTGTGATGGTACCCTCTTTGGAATCTGCCAAAAATTACCCGGAATAAATCCGCCCAAATCGGTGCTTAATGGATTCAATCATCGTTGGAGAATAGCCTCAGGCCGAATTCGTGATCTATATCATTCAATATCCAAAGAAAATGGCCTTTCGTCGCCCAAGAAATTACGAAAATGCCATTCGAAAATAAATTTGCCCAAATCGATGCTTAATGGACTTATCATCCGTGGAGAATAGGATCAATAGACTTCATTATCGGTGTAGAATAGCCGTGGCCTGATTCCGTCATCTGTAGCCTCCAGAATCGAAAGAAAATGGCATTACGGATAAATCACCCGAAATCTGTGATGGTACCCATTTGGAATCTTCCAAAAATTGACCCAGAATAAATCCGCGCAAATCGGTGCTTAATGGACTCAATCATCGTTGGAGAATAGCCTCAGGCCGAATCTGTGATATGTAGCCTTCAATATCCAAAGAAAATGGCCTTTAGTCGCCCAAGAAATTACGAAAATGCCATTCGAAAATAAATTGGCTCAAATCGATGCTTAACGGTCTTATCATCAGTGGAGAATAGGATCAATAGACTTCATCATCGGTGGAGAACAGCCTCGGCCTGATTCTGTGATCTGTAGCCTCTAGAATCGAAAGAAAATGGCATTTCGGATAAATCGCCCGAAATCTGTGATGGTACCCCTTTGGAATCTGCCAAAAATTGACCCGGAATAAATCCGCCCAAATCGGTGCTTAATGGACTCAATCATCGTTGGAGAATAGCCTCAGGCCGAATCCGTGATCTGTAGCCTTCAATATCCAAGGAAAATGGCTTTTCTTCGCCCAAGAAATTACGAAAATGCCATTCGAAAATAAATTGTCCCCAAATCGATGCTTAACGGACTTATCATCCGTGGAGAATAGCCTCGGCCTGATTCCGTGATCAGTAGCCTCCAGACTCGAAAGAAAATGACATTTCGGATAAATCGCCCGAAATCTGTGATGGTACCCCCTTTGGAATCTGCCAAAAATTGACCCGGAATAAATCCGCCCAAATCGGTGCTTAATCGACTAAATCATCGTAGGAGAATACCCTCATGCCGAATCCGTGATCTGTAGCCTTCAATATCCAAAGAAAATGGCCTTTCGTCGCCCAAGAAATTACGAAAATGCCATTTGAAAATATATTGGCCCAAATCAATGCTTAACGGACTTATCATCCGTGGAGAATAGAATCAATAGACTTCATTATCGGTCGAGAATAGCCTCGGCCTGATTCCGTGATCTGTAGCCTCCAGAATCGAATAAAAATGACATTTCGGATAAATCGCCCGAAATCTGTGATGGTACCCCTTTGGAATCGGCCAAAATTTGACCCGGAATAAATCCGCCCAAATTGGTGCTTAATGGACTCAATCGTCGTTGGAGAATAGCCTCAGGCCGAATCCGTGATCTGTAGCCTTCAATATCCAAAGAAAATGGCCTTTCGTCGCCCAAGAAATCACAAAAATGCCATTCGAAAATAAATTGGCTCAAATCGATGCTTAACGGACTTATCATCCGTGGAGAATAGGATCAATAGACTTCATTATCCATGGAGAATAGCCTCGGCCTGATTCCGTGATCAGTAGCCTCCAGAATCGAATAAAAATGACATTTCGGATAAATCGCCCGAAATCTGTGATGGTACCCCTTTGGAATCGGCCAAAATTTGACCCGGAATAAATCCGCCCAAATTGGTGCTTAATGCACTCAATCATCGTTGGAGAATAGCCTCAGGACGAATCCGTGATCTGTAGCCTTCAATATCCAAAGAAAATGGCCTTTCGTCGCCCACGAAATCACAAAAATGCCATTCGAAAATAAATTGGCCCAAATCGATGCTTAACGGACTTATCATCCGTGGAGAATAGGATCAATAGACTTCATTATCGATGTAGAATAGCCTAGGCCTGATTCCGTGATCTGTAGCCTCCGGAATCGAAAGAAAATGGCATTTCGGATAAATCGCCCGAAATCTGTGATGCTACCCCTTAGGAATCTCCCAAAAATTGACCCGGAATAAATCCGCCCAAGTCGGTGCTTAATGGACTCAATCATCATTGGAGAATAGCCTAAGGCCGAATCCGTGATCTGTAGCCTTCAATATCCAAAAAAATGGCTTTTCGTCGCCCAAGAAATTACGAAAATGCCATTCGAAAATAAATGGGCTCAAATCGATGCTTAACAGACTTATCATCTGAGTAGAATAGGATCAATAGACTTCATCATCGATGGAGAACAGCCTCGGCCTGATTATGTGATATGTAGCCTCCAGAATCGAAAGAAAATGGCATTTCGGATAAATCGCCCGAAATCTGTGATGGTACCCCTTTGGAATCTGCCAAAAATTGTCCCGGAATAAATCCGCCCAAGTCGGTGCTTAATGGACTCAATCATCGTTGGAGAATAGCCTCAGGCCAAATCCGTGATCTGTAACCTTCAATATCCAAAGAAAACGGCCTTTCGTCGCCCAAAAATTACGAAAATCCCATTTGAAAATAAATTGGCTCAAATCAATGCTTAACGGACTTATCATCCATGGAGAATAGAATCAATAGACTTCATTATCGGTGGAGAATAGCCTCGGCCTGATTCCGTGATCTGTAGCCTCCAGAATCGAATAAAAATGGCATTTCGGATAAATCGCCCGAAATCTGTGATGGTACCCCTTTGGAATCAGCCAAAAATTGACCCGGAATAAATCCACCCAAATCGGTGCTTAATGGACTCAATCATCGTTGGAGAATAGCCTCAGGCCGAATCCGTGATCTGTAGCCTTCAATATTCAAAGAAAATGGCCTTTCGTCGCCCAAGAAATTACGAAAATGCCATTCAAAAATAAATTGGCTCAAATCGATGCTTAACGGACTTATCATCCGTGGAGAATAGGATCAATAAACTTCATTATCGGTGGAGAATAGCCTCGGCCTGATTCCATGATCTGTAGCCTCTAGAATCGAAAGAAAATGGCAATTCGGATAAATCGCCCGAAATCTGTGATGGTACCCCTTTGGAATCTGCCAAAAATTTACCCGGAATAAATCCGCCCAAATCGGTGCTTAACGGACTCAGTCATCGTTGGAGAATAGCCTCAGGACGAATCCTTGATATGTATCCTTCAGTATCGAAAGAAAATGGCCTTTCATCGCCCACGAAATTACGAAAATGCCATTCGAAAATAAATTGGCCCAAATCGATGCTTAACGGACTTATCATCCGTGGAGAATAGGATCAATAGACTTCATTATCGGTGTAGAATAGCCTAGGCCTGATTCCGTGATCTGTAGCCTCCGGAATCGAAAGAAAATGACATTTCGGATAAATCGCCCGAAATCTGTGATGCTACCCCTTTGGAATCTGCCAAAAATTGACTCGGAATAAATCCGCCCAAGTCGGTGCTTAATGGACTCAATCATCGTTGGAGAATAGCCTCAGGCCGAATCCGTGATCTGTAGCCTTCAATATCCAAAGAAAATGGCCTTTCATAGCCCAAGAAATTACGAAAATGCCATTCGAAAATAAATTGGCTCAAATCGATGCTTAACGGACTTTTCATCTGTGGAGAATAGGATCAATAGACTTCATAATCGGTGGCGAATAGCCTCGGCCTGATTCCGTGATCTGTAGCCTCCAGAATTGAAAGAAAATGCCATTTCGGATAAATTCCATGAAATCTGTGATGGTACCCCTTTGGAATCTGCCAAAAATTGACCCGGAAAAAATCCGCCCAAATAGGTGCTTAATGGACTCAATCATCGTTGGAGAATTGCCTCTGGCCGAATCCGTGATCTGTAGCCTTCAATATCCAAGGAAAATGGCCTTTCGTCGCCCAAGAAATTACGAAAATGCCATTCGAAAATAAATTGGCTCAAATCGATGCTTAACGGACTTATCATCCGTGGAGAATAGGATCAATAGACTTCATTATCCATGGAGAATAGCCTCGGCCTGATTCCGTGATCAGTAGCCTCCAAAATCGAAAAATAATGGCATTTCGGATAAATCGCCCGAAATCTGTTATGGTACCCCTTTGGAATCTGCCAAAAATTGACCCGGGATAAATCCGCCCAAATCGGTGCTCAATGCACTCAATCATCGTTGGAGAATAGCCTCAGGACGAATCCGTGATCTGTAGCCTTCAGTATCCAAAGAAAATGGCCTTTCGTCGCCCAAGAAATCACAAAAATGCCATTCGAAAATAAATTGGCCCAAATCGATGCTTAACTGACTTATCATCCGTGGAGAATAGGATCAATAGACTTCATTATCGGTGTAGAATAGCCTAGGCCTGATTCCGTGATCCGTAGCCTCCGGAATCGAAAGAAAATGACATTTCGGATAAATCGCACGAAATCTGTGATGCTACCCCTTTGGAATCTGCCAAAAATTGACCCGGAATAAATAAGCCCAAGTCGGTGCTTAATGGACTCAATCATCGTCGGAGAATAGCCTCAGGCCGAATCCGTGATCTGTAGCCTTCAATATCCAAAGAAAATGGCCTTTCGTCGCCCACGAAATCACAAAAATGCCATTTGAAAATAAATTGGCCCAAATCAATGCTTAACGGACTTATCATCCCTGGAGAATAGAATCAATAGACTTCATTATCGGTGGAGAATAGCCTCGGCCTGATTCCTCGATTTGTAGCCTCCAGAATCGAATAAAAATGGCATTTCGGATAAATCGCCCGAAATCTGTAATGGTACCCCTTTGGAATCTGCCAAAAACTGACCCGGAATAAATCCGCCCAAATCGGTGCTTAATGGACTCAATCATCGTTGGAGAATAGCCTCAGGCCGAATCCGTGATCTGTAGCCTTCAATATTCAAAGAAAATTGCCTTTCGTCGCCCAAGAAATTACGAAAATGCTATTCGAAAATAAATTGGCTCAAATCGATGATTAACGGACTTTTCATCTGTGGAGAATAGGATCAATAGACTTCATCATCGGTGGAGAACAGCCTCGGCCTGATTATGTGATCTGTAGCCTCCAGAATCGAAAGAAAATGGCATTTCGGATAAATCGCCCGAAATCTGTGATGGTATCCCTTTGGAATC